ATAATATTAAAATAAACTCGTTTCGTTAATAACACTCTAATAAAATGAAACCGCCCCTTTAATAAACACTCATAATATAATTTGCACCGTTACGACGAAAATCTCTTAAAACCCAACAAGTATAAAAAGGTAATACGAAAAATTATACGATAGAACGTAAGTAAAATATATTTTAAAAAAATATTCAAACTGGTAAATATTTTGATAAACCACTTTGATAACAAAATTAAATACGCTAAAAAACGAAAGAAATCACCGCTAATTAAAATATTAAAATTATATATTTATACGCAAAAACTTAATAATAAAACTACAAGCTAAATAATAAACGATAAAGAATCAATAAGGTTTAAACTTATAACTTTTATCATTTGGCAGCTTGAAGACCAGGACGAGATTGCCGATCAATCCTCAATTGTACAAAAATACTTTGGTGGAGAAAGGAAGAAGGATCTGCAGCACCAGCCAATTCCGGTGGGGTGATAGATCCAAAATCCCGACCCATAATTATCTATCGATCTGTACAGTAAGGCAACGCGTTTACCCCACCAGCAACCCTAGTCAAGTCACCTGATGGATGTCAGATCCATCACAACTTTAAAAAAGGTTTTACGCTTTAATTAAGCCATGATTTACTATATTAAACCCGTTTTTACTTTAAATTATAATCAAAATTTTCTACCATTTTTTATATATTTTTACGCTCGCAATTTACCGTATTAAAAATACTTACTTTTATTACCGTTATAACCTCGGTAAAATATTACTTAATAATATTTTAAGAAATATTATAAATGTTTTTTAAGTAACAACGTAATATTTAATGCTACTTTTAATCATTAAGCTCTTTTATAATAACGTTTGTATCAAAATATAAATATTTCGTAACTAATAAATATTAATAAATATTAACCGCAAAATAAAAATTTTAAAGTTTAATTTATAAATTTATAATTTATTAACATTTTAAAACCGTACCGTTATCGTTTATCCATTCCTTATTAACGTACCGTTTAAACTTTTTAATATTAATTAATTTAGAAAAACGCATTTATTTCTTAATATTATTAAAAGCGTTAGCTAATAATACAACGCACGTAACTACTTATAAACGGATGTCCTCGTTATATACGAAATTAGCAGCTTCGTTAAAAAAACTTAAATAAAAACAGCCGCTACATTATTAATATCACCTTTTATCAACTAAATAACTTTAATATTATATCGCTAATACTTCGTTACTTTAAACATTTAAATAAAATATACTAAGATATATCCGTAATAATTCTTAACATATTTAATATATAAAATTAATACTATTTTAATAAAGCTATAATTTATCGTTATCGCTTTTAAAACATGGCTTTAATTCTTTTTTACCCCGCTAATAACGCTATATAAATATCTTATATAGAAATAACTTAAAACATAACGAGATAAAAAAACGAAACAAGCTAATTGAAAACGAAATATCGTAATTGATTCGATTACTTATTGTGAGCATTGTGGTGCTGTCAGGTATGGGCTGCAGCTGTCCGCCAGGTGAAAGGGATGAAAGGGGCCCAAAGGGGGTGAAAGGTCCATTATGGTGACAAGTGGCAGGTTTGTTGTTAGCTGTCAGGCAGCAGGGCATCAAAGGGCTGTCACACCTGTATTTAGGTGGGAATCTCCCCCATGGATCCATAGTCAAGACACAGACCATCATCCATCCCATTTCTGACCCCTGGATTTCCACACTTATCAATATATAATCAAATATGCGATAATAATATTAAAACAATTAATAATATAAAGTTCTGAGTAAATTAACTTAATTACAAACTAAAAACGATTTATAGTTATTAATTTTAAAAAATAGGATTAAAAATATACGCGGAAGAATTAGAATATAAACATTAAAAACGGTAAAATAAAGCAAAATCGCCTTAAATAACCCTTAATACCCGTACCGTTCCAGCCCCGCACCAGCCGCTTCAAACACCAATTTTATTATTGTAATTATAATTAACTACGGTTTGAAAAAGAAATATTATTACAATATTAAATATTAACCTTACAGCCTTACAAGCCAACCCTTATATATACCTGTTCCTGTCTTCTAGCTAGCTTCATATTTTTTTTCTTTCTTCACGTATATTAATAAAGTCATTTTTACAATTACTTATAGCCGAACTGTGATATTAAGCGCATCGTAAGCGTTCTTACTTGATTGATCTTTTATGTCGGTCTGCCATGGTGGCTTTGTTGATCGGTAAAGTTTGGGCGGTGACTACGGAGAACATGATTTGTATCGGCCGCCATCGCACCTTCGGTAGGCATGGTGCTGGTGGGAGACTAGCTAGAGGAGGCCTACCCCTAGGGCGTGTACTCCTCCTCAGTCGGACTGAATCGCAGTGACAGTCCCCGTTGTATCCGAAGGTGAATGACGCGGCAGTGTGTTCCTGAACGTGGTCTCGGTTATAGGACGGCTCGGTAGAATATGAATGGGAGATTCGATCAAAAGGTATCGCGATGCTTCCTAGGCTGAGAGCTCGACTGTCGAACTCTCTCCGCGTCTGTCATTGGATTATATCGAACAGGCCATCCCCCCGGATGTTGGGATGCTGGCTAAAGGCCGAGTGCTGTTGTATCGCTGGATTGTAAGAGTGTGGTGTGAGTATCTGTCGAGACGCGTCGGAATGGTCCATGTTATTCATTCTTGTTCGTGATAGCGACCATTTCACAACTACGCGTTTGGCAAGGCTGCTATCGCATTGGGAGTAAGTCGTATCGACGAAGGGGATTGTCTGTTGCGAAGAAACGGGACATCGAGGAGAAATGAGTCGGAGGGACGTCAAAGTGGAGGGCATATGCAGAAGCTGGCGCGTCTCAGGGGTCGAAGGAATAGACCAGCGGTCGAGGCTAAGAGGCCAAAAGTGAAAGGTGTCAGCTGAAGAGAAATGAGCGCGTTGACTTACGCCATGTCCTTCTATGTCCGAATGCCACCATTTTTCTCGATTTTTCGATGGCTGTAGGCTATGGTCCTGTCGGTACCGGTGCTCTCAGGGGCTCTTATGCGCTGTCTGGCGGTGAAGGTGTAATGATGGTAAGCAACAAATTTGTATTCTGGCTATGTTTGGGTTCTCCGGGCAAAACTCCGGACTCTTCTGGAGGCCCGGAGGGAGTAAAAAAAAGTCTGCTTGGGGGCCAACCACCCTGTGGGGGTATCTGAACAAAGATTTGGCGTGCAAGCCTCAAGGCGGTCAACACTCGTCAACAAAAACCGACCGCTGACAGACTCGGGTAGCCGAATCGGCCACGGGGGCAGTCGGTTCCTGGCTGAGGCAAGGGGGCCTATGGTTTATAGGGCTGGGTGCGTCCGTCCCGAGTGAAGGGGACAAGCCCTGACTGGGTTGTGTACGATCCCAACAGCCACCAGGCTCCTGACCAGGTCACTACAACGGATAGAGTCATGTTGCTGGGACTCCTATCACGTTGTACCGCTAGGCCTGGTGCCTTCAGCCGCTAGGGGCCGTGTCTTGCAGCTACCCCTGATCACGCGCCCTAGCTTGCTACCTCTTGCGGTCCCCAGGACCAACTAGGTAGGGTCCCAGACGCCTTGTAGGTCGGCCGTTCCAATGAAGCACGAAGGAACCATCACAAGGTGGAGACCACTTACCCTGCAGCCAACATAACTCGCCCACACCTGGCCTGCCTGAGTGCCTTACCGTCCCGGCAGTCTGGTAGCGACAAACGACAAACTCATGGCCCTGGCGTCAAGTACCTTGACAGTGCTCACGCACTGTAACTTAGGCAGCTTGTGGCGAAGCGAGCTGTGGTCTGCTGAGTGTATCATGGCTCCCTCTCTGGTCACAACTGGGTGTCTTCCAGCAAACGTCGTTGTTGAACCAGCACATGTAGAAACATTCATCAACACAAGCCACAAAAGCCACATGAGAATTTCGGCAGGGTATTATGGTCCATAGCCAGCCTGCTGCGAAGCGACCACTGAGACAGCGGAGAGAATTCCGCTTGCTGAAGAGCCCCGATGGGTGACCCCAGCGAAGATGTGCATGAGGAGGGCCCGATCGAGAGGAATCACCTCGCCACAGATGCTCCTAGTGAACGCTTATTGGTTGTGTAATAAGCGACGTGCGCCTCTGTTGGTGATTAGGCAGGGAGAGGAAGAAACACATACCTATTCCGGATCCCCGCTGAGTGCTACTGCAGCCAACAGCCAACAGCCAACACTAACGCAACCAACACGACCTTGAGGCTCAACTACGGCGGCGCAATGTCTCCGACACGGGATATGGGATGCTTTAGGTATGATTAGCGACACCCTCGCACACCCCGGCGACCAACACCCTATAGACCTAGTCGACCTACATTCGTCCATCTGCATACCGCCACGGACGTATTAAGGCGGGATAGTGGCAGCGAAAAGGGACAGCGAACCCGCATGTTCCCTGTCACTCGCATGAAGTTGATATAGCCGTGAGGTCGACATGCATAATATCACACATCAGAACCACTGTGGTGGAATGATTGACATGTGCGCCGACCTGGAGAGGTGCGGTTATCGCGCATACGAGGAAGTTTCCTGATCCAGACGACGCACGAGCCCGATTGAGGCTCTTGAAGATGCGCACACTACCTTCCAGTACCTGTCAAGCCGTCCATCAGATAACGGGACCTTGCTTCTTGCGGTCCAATCGCTGGGGATGGCATGGCCATGCCTACTGGAGTGCAGCGGCAGGCAACGCCCGTCTGTCGTCTGCAGCAGTTCGTGATGGATAATGGAAGGCTATTTGATGAATAGGGGGACGGTGATGAGCTGGCGTTACCGGGTGGAGACGCCGGATGTGACAGAGAGTGAGACATGCCTGTGGAAGAGCCAATCAGATTGCGTCGTGCTCGTTCTTTAGCGCTGTGTTGAGGCCCAGCTAGCGGCCCGACTCTTAAGAGCTCCACTATATTCCCCCTGTTGCCGCTGCATTTATGGGGAAGCTGTGCCTACGCTAGCGACCGGCTCCAGCCCCCTTGCACTCCCGTAAGAGCCGCATGGGGGATGCTGGCCAGAGCGGAAGAGCGCGAGCAATGCCGTGGAACGGGGCCGGATTACTTGTAGTCCGCTGGCCGGTCGTGTAGTTGAGCTGCTCATGTCCGTAAATGGTGTCGAGCGCCGAGAGGATAGACTTTTCCGTGTGCTCGGGTTCACGTCTCCTTGGGAGCAGCCCCTATTTTGAAGTCAAGATCAGAATCGGAGTATCTGACCGTCTACAACGATTCTCTAGGAAATTGGGTTTAGTTTCTGGTTCCCGAGTTCATGAAAATCGTCCATCTTTACACCAAAGCTGGTCGATTCCCTGAGTGACCAGCTTCGGTGTGGCTGGACGTGGAAGGCCCATTCCCCAACCATCATGAGCCCAGCCATCTGCCAACTGGACAGGTAAGTTTATGTGTCAATGCAGAACTATAACGTTGTTCCAGGGAAGAACCTCCGGGTATTGCGTGCGCGTGAAATCAAAGTTGGTCTGGAATCTAGGCCAGCTACAGCGTTCTTGGTGAGACGACTACCCACTATATGGCGACTCTCAGCAGGACAACTCCAGAGAAACTTGACCCAACATGGACCATGAGTCTTTGACCATACCGAAACTCAAACATGATGATGATTTGAGACAGCTCGACATACTTTTGATCTTGACATTGCATCATCACGGTTTAGCTATATTCCGTTGCCGTTTCGAGCACACATCCTAAACATACACCTATCAAGTCCGATCGGATCACTTCGTCGTACTATCATTACGCGTCAATTACCGTGAGCTTGAACAGAAGGAGGTGACAGCACTGAGTACCTACTTATGGAACTCTGCCGTTTTGCGGTGGATGCATGTCGCACAAGAAGAGTGGCATCAGACTGGCAAGTGCATCCAACCCCCTGACCCACTGGCACCTGCTCTTCGTTCAGCCACCTCTAAGGTCCTGACCCACTTGACACCCCATCCTTCTGGAGAGCAGCGGAAGTGGCAAATTCAGGGCATTCTCTTCATTCCCACCTCTTCTTGACCTCTCCCAAATCTGCATCATTCCCGCCGTCCTCTTCCTCGAGAGGTTATCAGCCCACTGGTCTACTTACCCCTGAAGACGCTGCGCTGCCATGGTTCGTCTGAAAGACGGTTCGACAACGAATACTTGATACATTACCAAGTGATATGTCTCTCTGAGCCACTCTCCTCGGCTCGTGTGACAATCCGCGGTGTACGACGAGGCCTTTTCTGCACCTTGCGTTTGACGGCAGGCACACCTGCGCCCCAGCATTCAGAGATATTGACCCCATTTCCGGCCTACAGCAATTCTGCGACCCGGCAGCGACATAAACACTCACGCTATCCAATTGTCGACGCTCGATATATCGCCTTCGTGGTCTCGCAAGACTCACACGACGTGATGTGGGAGACGAATGATATCAGCCCTACGTCGTTTTATGACTCCCTCCACCTTCAGCAGACTGCCCAAACCTGTCAAATCATGAGAGCAATGAAATGACTATCAGATTTCGATCCGTTACTGCAGAGACAGCCGGAGCACCGTCTCCTTCAATCATACCTTTGGATCCTGCATGCCATGGCCGTGGATCCCATTACCTGTCGCACCCGAGTATCACATGCAATAAGGACGTGCGGTATTCACAGAAACAGCTCTGAGCCATTGGAACTTCTTGGTTGGCATTGATGAGTCCCAGAGGCGGGCTTGGCACTGTCCCACTCATGACAACGGCATGTCCCTGAGGTCCTGACCTGGGAACGCAACGACCCAGCCATGCCAACGAGCAACAGCAAAAGGTCAAATCCGAGCAAACACGAACAGTACACAGAAGCTCACCCTTCTTCATGTCGACCTTACATCACGAGACCGACATGATGAGCTCCGAAGCTGAACCTTACAGCCACCGAAATGATGATTAGCCATCCACAGCAAATTGGTCTCGGCGTATCCTTCTCTGCAAAACGGTCTGCGCCTTTCTCGATCAAACTGACGGCCTTCGATGGCGAACTATAAGCTTCTGCAGACGCTAGGGCTGCGTGTCTATACATCAGACACAGCCCCTTTAGTCGCCGTCACGATAGCGAGGTAACTTGGACGAACACGATCGAACATACAAAGACATGAGAGAAAGCCTCGCGCAATCATAGTACGATTCAATTCAAGATCCAGACCTCAAGCAGAGTTCAACATGTACTCGAAGATCTACTTGCCCGTATTCCTTGCAAGAGCTTGCAGCATCTATCGCCCCGACGCCGTACCAGAGTATCTCGTTTCTGGATAAGTAGGTGCGCGCCTGAGAAAGAAAGACCATAACCCCAGCAAATACTGGTTCGCATGGGAACTGTATCCATCGCAATTCTTGGATCTATTCGAAGCTCTCCAAAAATGCAAGACAACTGGCCATCCTTGTTTATCACACGGAGCCGCCGTCACCAGCAAAATGTGAGTCGCTTCTCAATCCCTTACTCGTTTCACTGGCTCTTGCTATGTCAATAACGTTGTATTAGATACTTGGGAAGCTCAAATTAGCATTGACTCCAACCAGAGTACCAGGGCTAGCCATTGAGCCGAGTCGCAGCGGCCCGCTTCGCCGTATCATTGCAGCCAACACGCCCCCAAAGAGGGGCCGTACCATCGTTCCAATTCTCTCTCGTCTACCGAAAAGGCAGCAGGATCGATATATGCCGCTTTCAGAAGACGCATATGCTTGGATATTCGGTAGGCTGAGACGTAGCGAACTGGGGTTACCCCCAGCCGTTTGACCGCTCAACGTTGTGCTCAGGACCAACAAGGACCAACGAGGCCATTCGCACCATAGAGCGGCCAAGAACGGCACAGTCTTCTCTAGATGATGAATGCCTCGTCAACGCCCGAGATTAGAGTCTCATCTGTGGTCGAAGGTGTGGTTGTCTGTATCAGAAGTCAGCTTTCCTGCTGCCTGGGCCGTCGGCCTCGAGGGTCAATCACCACCCCTCGATACCCCCAACAGCGGTACCCGCAGCTCCGAACGCAATGACTTACACCGAACAGGATCCAATCTCAATCCCTTCTCGATGTGCACATTGAAGATGGCTGCAGATCACTCAGCACGCCATCTGTGCAATCTCCACGCAAGTATCAGCTGTTGAGCTGACACTGTGGTGAGTGACATCTACCAACCGACGAGGGTTGACAGTCATCCCTTCACTACCTACCTACCTACCTAGGTAGGTAACTATAGGGCACTCACCTGCCTTCAATGGATGGCAGCCTACCTCACGAGGCGACTTACACCTATGTATTGTCTCAGTCAAGGCCTCATGAAGCCGTTGCCTGTCTGCGGGACTAGCTTTCCGGCCCCATGAGGCAAACTTAAGGCATCACCGGATAGTCGCATTAACATCCAGCGATTCGTGGGCATACATGAGGCTCCGGTCATCTCACGCCCTACGACGGGGAGAGGCGATAATCTGCATTTCCTGTGTTACCCCTCATCCACGAGGATTGCTTGCTCACGTCGCGCCAATTTCATCTTGTCAGTTCTCATATTGTTGGGGTCTTCTTGTTCTCATCATGAGACACAAGTGTAAGCAAGCTTCACACCACACCAAAACTCCAAGTGATCGAACTTCTCAACACGCAGAAGGGAATGGTACTCTTCCCTCTCACTTCTCATTCCGAACTACGAACCTTTCATAAACGACCAAGCAAGGCTTGCTCAGAGAGTCTTGCCTCAGGGATCGAGCCTTGCTTGCAGCCGGATGTTCAGTTGAAAGCCGTGCCCGACACTGACGAGGCCAGTAGCCACCCGGCTGGATTCGTGCAAGGCAACAGACACTTACACTGCATCGAGAACACGTTCACGAACTGCAGCTTTCGGTGAGCTGGTCTCGCCCTCAGTCTCACATCAGAGCCCTCAAACCCAGGCCTGACACGAGGACTTTTCATCAGTAATCAAGCCGACCCTCACCGCCGGGGTAACATTCGCGATCGCTGACCGTGACCTCTTTATCCCCGCTGTCATCAACTCAATGGCTGTTCGGTGCTGACCTCGGGACTTCACCTCGTCCTAAACCCGCCCGTCCGTCTCTTCGCGCGGAGATAAGCTCATACCGAGGTATGCTTGCAAGCTCTAGACTTGTTGGAACCTCTGTAGTTGGAGTGTTCGCGAGCAAGATCGTACGTATGTATGTTTGGTCGGATTTGGAACCCGGCCATGCAGCGGCCATGCAGGCCCTGCATCCCCGCCCCCAACTGAAGGGCCGATTGTACGACCATTCCTCAAGTTCAGGCTCGTCGGTAGAGCAACTGTGAGCGGGAACTAGGACAATCCCCCCTTTGATGCCGTGCGACGCACTCGGTTCCCTGTTCATGTCGTACATTATGGGTTTTTGGGGGATCGCCAGCCGCTCTCTACTCTAGTAGATTACAGTAGCTCTGGTTGATTAATATTAGATACCGCCATGGCGTGGAGCCTACATTTGCCTCGCGACATCGCGTCGAGTCTTCACAATCGCGCGCGCGAGGCAGTTCACTACCAAGGGCTCCAACTCAGGGTCTCTCCTGGCCATTGGCTTTCGAGTGGCCGATCTGGACGTTTGAGTGCCAGCAATGGCTTACCTATTGCTACCTGCATCACACACCGAAGTCATGTTCCCAACTGGGAATACCGAATAACAATGGAGGGGTTTGACACCGTCCTAGATCGGAAGCTATTGCAGGCCCAGTCGCCCACCGCCGAATCACGCAGCTTGAGATCATGAGATGGTAGCATGCGCATTGTGATGCCACCTGCATGGAAGCAGGCTGGCTGGCAAATGACGCACTGTAACCCCATGTGGCAGCCACGTCGAGTTCATTTCGCGCACACGACTTGCACGCTTCGACCACGACGGATGGCACATGGTAAGCACGCTGTGACCTTGCCAATCATGTCTCGCTGTGGCCGAGTTGAGCGCATGTGCGGGTATGCGGAAGCCTTATTATCGGTTCGTCTTCTCCGACTCGGCTTACTCTACTTAGACTCGGCTGCAGAGTGCGCATTTGTGTCCAGGACTCTGCGATCGCAATCGCAGTAAGCAGGACAGAGCAGAACAGACTTGTATACCTAGAGGGGCGCTATATGTGTGGCCGCTATGTGAAGGGAGAGGAACGCTATGTGGAAATGGAACGAGAGTAATGAGTAAATTGGTACATGTGATCGAAAACTCCAACCATGACCGAGAGAATGGAACGTTAGAACACCCCCCGATAGATAGACAAGCTCTTAATGACCAAATGGATAAATGAACGACTGAATGAATGAACCCCAATAACTCCGCCCGCTATGATTGCAACCAACGCCTTTCGTTTTGTGTACACACACCTTCTTTCGGTGAGGTGATGATGGTCAAGATGATGGTCAAGATGACGATACTCAACAAAGCCACAGTGTCTTCGCGTCGGCATGACGAAGATCAGTGGCTGACAAGCTGATAGCCTATTGATCCCCCCATCCGTCATCAATGTCCGACATCGTTGTTGCCTTGTCTTGCGTTGCCTTGTCTCGAGGAAAAAGCGACGTCATGCGGCGTTCATGCGCCCGCAATCCAGCCTGCTCCCAATTCCAATTGATCGAGTAGTCCTGATGGATCGCTATTGAAACGACGATCATGCGCCTCATGCCGCGTCTCCGCGACTCCTCGAGGTGCTCCTTCGGACTCCTTCCAGGCCCTCGAGAGTGGCTCAGCAAGACTCGAAATGCAGTTTGGGAATGTCCCTGGGAGTGTCGCCAATTGGCTGAACCACTGGGCCGAGGGAAAGGTTCGAGATAATCGGTATGCATGTTGGTGAGCCGGCATTCTCCAGTCAAATCAAATCACCAGCTGCCAGTGCCCGCGCGAAAGGCCCTTCCATTCCCGACGTTCATTCCCGCGTTGGTAATCTGGTCTCCCCATGCGTTTCGGGTGCAGGGCTCTGAATGCCCGCACTGTCGCCTGAAAAGGCTTGACCAATCAGAAACGCGGGGTTATGCAACCGTATCAGGGGGTTTGATTGCCTCGATTCCTTTGGTAAGGTAAGGAAGCCTTGTCTCGCATTCCGGTTTCGCCTGCCGCTAATTGGGAAAGGCTGAATGTTGCCTGGAAGAGTACGAGGCTGGCGGCTGGATCGCCCTGGCACGTGGCGATCGAAAAGATAGGGGTGATTTTTCAATGTTGTTCGGTGCTGTCGAAGCTATGTAGGCTATCCGCTATTAGATGGCGTACTATGATAATCATTGGACACTCTCGCCAATCGCAAAGCAGCCTACCGCCCAACTGACAGACAAACATACCAATCTGGCTGTGGTGCATAAATGAGTGGCATCCTCCAAGCTTAACGTGAGTCGCCCAGGCCCTAGGAAGCCGATGTAGCAATTTTGGGGTCGACTGCTGTGTTGGCAGACTGATGAACGTAATAAGAGGCGGCGGAGGACACCGGCGGCAGAAGGAAGCTTTCTTGTGCGAACAGGAGTTTGACTTGGCTCTTTCAATCTGAGGGAGCTGAGCAAGACGTCGAGATGGTTCGCCTGTTGTGTATCCCCTTTGAGCCATTTCCCAAGGCCTGAACCATCACAGCTGGATGATAGGCTTCTTGGCCGGCGCCTCATCGAGGTCCATCAAGTCCTCTTCGTCCTTCTCTGAAGACCACGAAGGAGCCCTGCCGACGGTCGTAGCCGATGCGAAAGTAGGAGTACGCGATATCGTATCAGTAGTCTCTGATATGTTCATCATGTCTGCGTCTTTGGCGATGGCATCGATTTCCTTCTCGTAGTCGGAAGTCACCCCAAATCGGTGCAGCGTTCGGTCGTAGGTGAGCCACTTGCCCGCTTCAGCGACTCGACAGCCAAGCCAGAGTATCCTCTCCTTGCGTTCATCAGTCATCGATGCGACTTCGAAGTATTTCTCATCGTCGTCGATCTTCTCATTTGAGAACCAGTCTTTGGGGAAGTAGTGCTTGACCCAAAGGAGACCCTTCATAGCAAAGTCTTCAGGGAAGGGACGTGGCGGCACATCCTTGCCTTCTCGAGGGAACTCGACGCTGTGGAGCCGCTCGTGATCTCGATACGGAAGAAGCAGCGAGTTCAAGAACAAAGAGACTAACTTCCAGGGAAACTGATCCTCAACGTGCGCCATCGCGTCTGGGAACTTGGCAATGTGATGCATGAAGACCATGACGACATGAAGGAACGGCAGAACGTTGGGATCACCCAGACGGTGAAAGACAACCTCGTATGTGCCCACCGCAAGACGAAGGGCGCCGTCGAGATTCTTACTATGCTTCTGATCAGACAGCTCAGTAGATTTCAGACTTTGATCTGTCTTGGTCTCGTCCGGCCGCGAACTGATCGCCTTCATGATCACGTTCTCCTCCTGACCGTATGATAAGAGACTGCAGCAGTTGGCAATGCCGATATGGTAACCACACTCCATCCAACGTCTGGTAGTGCGCCCAATGTGGACATCTAGCTTCTCCAGGAATGCGTTCACAGCAGGAACAAAATTGTCTGGGGACTTGTTGCTGAAGAGGATGCCATGCGCCTTGACAAAGGCCACGTCGATTGGAATCAACCGGGGGTGGTGGTTCGCTTCATTCGTGCTCAGAACGGGGTCGAACAATGTCATGATGGAATCCCGAGCCGAGGCAAATGGGATCGGAACGCACAATGACTTCGTGTAATAAAACAACTGTTGCAGTGCGTTGGGTCGAGCGAGGATCGCCAGATGATGATATAACCGACCGGTGGTAGGCGCCTTGTCAGACGCCTTGGAGTACCAATGGCGTGAGACTGAGGTCCACACCTCCCTGTCTCGAATATCGTCATCTTCGATAGCCATTCTGAATCTGGTCAGCTTTCTGCACACCACTCAACAGTCACACCGACGGACCTGTATCTTCCCAGATCCCCGAGACATTCTATCCAAGTATCCTCGAATGCTGGTACTGTCTCGTACAGCAGTGCCATCATCGAATAAGCCAAGTAAATAAACGTAAGCATGTGCTCCAGCGAGGCCGGGAGACGGTGACGCAGTAACTCCAAGAACGAATGGATGCCATGCCTCCACATGCGCGCCGGCATGGCATACTTGGAGGCCAAACGTCGCAATGCTGAACTTGCTGAAGGATGCTGAGAGGCAAGAAAAAAGTCGTGGTGCTCGTGAAGCAGCGTCCGGTGCAACGCTATGAGGGCCTGCCACTGCTCATTGTTTAATTTAGCGTCACTCTGTGACGACTGCGCATTGTCAACCTCGATACATTTGGCCTCGACCATAACGAGGCCGGCATAGATCCCCTTGACCTCAGCGACTAGCTGATCTTGGCCAATGGGACGAGTCTCGGGCTGCTTGATAAGCTTGAGGGAGTCCTCGGCCTCAACGGCATCCGGGCGATTCCTATGTTGGCCATGAGTCCGTGAGGATCGCGAGGAAGGCTTAGCCCGAGGCGTGGAAGGCGAGGCACCATCGTCTGGGTTCCAAAGCTTTCCCTGCTGGGGTGATCGTCTAAGAAAGTCGGGGTCATCGACAGCAGCAGTCGATATAGGTCTGGCTCTTGACCGCTTAGGAGGACTGGCAGACCTCGGGCGGGCTTTGATGGAGGATGCGGGGGACTTGCGCCTCTTGTATGGACTCAGAGTGTCATCCCGAATAGCTGGGGAGTCCGTATGGCCACCCCCCGGGTCTGCCGTAGTAGAGAAAGGTTCTTGGTTGGAACTAGACTGTTCTGGTGATTTGCCAGTTATGGCGCTTCATAGTGTCAGTTAGAGCGTGGGAGCGAGGCTAGCCGAACGCTGAGACTCACTGTCCTCTCCGGACACCTTGTATCAGAGTGGCAGTATCCTGGCCCTCGATAAGATCGGCATGCCGGTCTTTCAGATGGTTGCGTATGCGCTCATCTATATCAGGGAATTCCCCATCGCAGTTTGGACAAGATATCGTATTGGATCTCCGAAGGTAGTTGGTGTAGCTGGCGGCTAGCGTGGGTTCTTTTTTAGACATGATGACCAAATTGATAGGTCTACAAAGACGAGAAGATATAAAGTAGATTTTAGCCCAGAGGGTGGTTGTTGAAGCTCAACTCGCGAGTATGGCGGGAGCTGTGATATGAAAAATAGACGCGGGCGTCTTCTCACTCGACAGGACACAGTCAAGTGGTGCCGAAAGAGTCGTCAAACTGTAATGAAGGACGAGGTGTGCGGTCTGGCATTGGGAAACTACTCCTTGATAAGGTAGTTTGAGACAAGGCAGCAGCAGCCGCTGGTGACTCCAACTGTGGCGATGTTGTAAGTTCTGATCAGATGATGGCTAGGATGCTGCTGTTGGCCTTGGTTCTTTGTTCGGCGCGTCAGAGAACAGATACCGAGAGAGCCGAGTCAAGATTGATTGTGAAGTGTACCTGCAAGCAGTGAATCAGCACCAACGAAGCCGAATGAATGTTGGCATGAAATGTTGACATGTTGACATGACCAGTTGGCCATCGTTGCCCTCTGCTCTGACTTGCACAAGCTCACAGTCATGGCAGCTGGCTGCCGGTCAGGCGTCTTGTGTTGTTTGCCAAACATGAACTGCAGGGAGTTGGAAGGGGACTTGAGGGTGAGGGGCAACAGGGGCAGCAGGGGAACGTACCCAATGAGAGCGGGTGCACTTTGGGTGGACACAAACTGCGAACTGTATCATTTGGTAGCCTCCTGGGCTATCGAGATATGTGCGATGAATTCGTCACTTATAAATGAGCCTCAAAGAACCTGTCTCGAGGAGATAGAATAACCGGCATCCAGACTTGGTTATATTTCATCACAGGAGGACCAAGCCTCACGGCGCGCGACCCAGTGCGAGCCTGCGAAGTACCCCCCTACGTAGACAAAGAAATCACCCCTGCCGGTTGCCTCGCGGGCAAGCAGACCCACTAAGAGCCGCATGGCGAACCAGGCAGCCAGGACAATCTGGGACTCAACTCTGGTCCTGCAACCGCTCCTCCACCTCACCTGGGCAGCCCAGACATGTCCCCCTTTATCACAGTCCCGAACCGAAGTGCAATATCGTCAGCAGCACGGGAATCCCCAACAATCTCGCTGACAGTGATATATGTGAAGGGAATGGAAAGAGAAAGGGCAAGATCCACAGCATGACCCCGCCAATACATGTACCTCGCGAAATCAACCTGCCGAACCTGCGAAAGCCACCATAACCACGAAACAAACACGACACCGAGCCCGAAATCCAACCTCCTCAGCCGCGCATCGGAACGCTCACGCTGCAGTGAACTCAGACCGACCACATTCAACCCGACCACATCGCTCGGGCAACGAGATGGAGGACAAACAGGTCGCCCTTTTTACACACGCAAGGCTGCAAGTCAGGCAGGAGAGGCAGTACGGGAGGGCTTCATACGGGTTCTCAGCCGCCCTGACGGGAAGTAGTCGTAACAAGAACATTGAACGTCAGGCTGTGGTCGGGACATGGAAGTCTTGTGTCGTAAATTGCTGCGTCCCAGCCTGTCGAATACCAAGAGTAGGTAGGCTGGCCTCAGCCCTAACTAAACTTAGCTCAGGAATGCTCGTAACCCTTGGGGGAATGATGAGCCTCAGGCTTGAGAATGTAAGCATCGTGACCGATAACATCAGAGATCACTCATCTCAGCACACCGAAAGTAGGCAACATGCACATCTGACATGGATTTGCGAAACAGTTAGAAGTAAAGAAGTGAGACGACGTATTGATCAAGAAGGATAATTGGCATTCCCCCCATTACTATGTACTGGTCTCGGGAAGCATTCACTGGCCAGGGATGGGCAGGACTCAGGAAGTTGGGGGCCACGTGCAGCTCAGGTCTGCGAGTTGACGGTGTAAGCCTGCGTACGTAAGCATGCCAGCTAATTTGCCCTGCCAGCGCCCGGCTTGTGATGTCTAAAAAGACAAAACCGTTTCACGAAAACCTCCCTCTTCATCGAGGTGTTGGCCTGGATGGCGTACCGCTACACACCTATGCGTCTAACACATCTTGTTGGTTTCAGCCTGGCCTTTGACTCTGTCGCAGACTCCTGAAACATGGACAGCCTCTTCTCTTTCGCTCCTGATGATGCGGCATATGCACAGCATAGAGCAGTCCAACCTCGCCGTCGCGTTCAACGATGTATCATCGCTCGGAGTCTTGCAACGGTCGAAGATTGCATCTCCTCGGGCATCGCATGCGGTTACACGACCATTGCTTGGAGCCATCAATGCGCTCTGGTCTCTACTGTTGCGCTGAGCACGCCTCTCGAGTTTCAAGCCCCTTTCCGTCCGGCAAAGGGGCGAGAGTGAGACGTGACACATACGATATGTTGCACTCGTCTACGTTTCTGAACACACACAAGTCTCATGATGGTATGGACTCCTCCAGATGAACTCCTCCAGGCGTCGGAACCCGCCGCTGGGTCTCTGTCGGTGCGCTGAAGAAACATGCTGGGAGCGGCCACTACTTCATTTCTGGGAAGGACGAAGTCTTCATGATGGGCTCTGCTCTCCCTTGGCCATCGCCGTAGGGGACATGTCCGATGCGCGGAGTCGGCTTCCACAGTCTCGAGCTTGTATGACTGGAACACGAGCAGCAAGGGAGGTGGTGGCCACCGATGTCTTGACATGGCAGTTGCAAGCGAGTTATCGGCAGCTATCGGCAGACCGACATTGGCCTTCATCACCTGATACAGCAGGGTTTTCTGTGTCAATATCGCCAACCCATATTACCAATTGTGTGATTGTGGTATGATGAGTTCTATGCCTGTGGGCAGTCCCGGCTGCCTCAGAAGGTCTTTACGGCGTGAAGTGTAACAGAGTTACGGAGTTACGGCCATCGCCGATTCCGGCTGCAACAACGATACGTCGTCATCAGCCACAGTCACAGCCACAGCCTCCTCAGCTCAATCCAATGAGGCGCGAAGCTGAGAATTCTTTGCCACCTGGTCGCACGTGGCGAGACCTTAAATCGCCGCTCAGACGGCCACTCCACGTGAGTCAGGGGGCAGTGCTTTGACAAGAGAAAATTATCTTCCTGTCGCCCCTGAATATTACCGCCCGATGCCATCATCACACTGACGAGTCAAAAGGAGGCGAAGTATTCTGGCGAATCACCATAGATGAGGCGAGTCGGAAGATTTGCATAGCAGCTGAAAGCTGAGGCCGAGACCACGATATTCTTGCGAAAATCGATTTTTATGCAAGAGCAGAACCAACGAACTACTTCCGACTGCTTGTCGCCACGAGTAGGTCGCATGGAAGTGGCCAACAACTTCACCGTGTGAAGCTTCTCCATGGCCAGAGATGTCATAGAAGTTGATCAGATACGAGGATCTTCGTTCCCCGTGTACTGGATCATTACATGGTAGCGTCTGGGGCGAATGGATACGAACCTGTGACTGGACACGTTGCCGTTTCACCGACATGTGGCTTCCACCAAGAGGTCTGAGCCTCCTTTTCAGATCTATGGTTCAGCTCTACAGCAAGGGTTGAGCGTGGGAATGACTGGCGGTCTGCATTTGTTAGTGGTCCCTAAACGAGACGATCTGACCTTCGAGCATGAGTCTGGCCTCTCATATGGGTTGGAATACTTGTCTCCGGCCTGACGTGGATTCAAAAGAAATACTTCTCATCCGAGGCTTGTACAGTGTTCGAGTTGGTTGGAGCACAGAGACACAGGCTCTTTCACCGCCTTGAAAAGGCAACGATGATACGCGTCAGAGGCTTCAAGGGGGCAACTGCGAGGAACCCGAAATCCCTTCACCGAATATTGAGGGAGCACAAGATTCATTTCGATCCCGCACACACCCGTCCAGCCTTCATCACCGAGGCCAATCACGTCTCCGCGACACGTTCATTGAGCATGACCGAAAGTTGTGTGAGCTTGCGATCAGCTCTTGCCCGCCTATAGCCAACCTCGGATGGAATCATGGACGAGGTTTTTCAGCTACCGAGATCCCATGACGGTGCAATATACGTTCTCAGCAGCCATGTCCAATCGAACCCTGCCCATACTAACGGCCTTGGTCTTACCCTTGTGCAAGGTCGTATCGATCCGGTAATTACTAAAGCTCTTGGTAGGGTCCACGGTGCTTTTACAGGGCTAGACAGCCTCACGCGTCGCTGCCTGGATATGAATATTCGGCCTGAAGGCCTGATGCGATAGGTCATATAACTGATCACAATACCTATTAGGCGACTACAATGGGACTCCAGCTAGCCACGCTGACATGTTTTCAGCTGCCATTGCTTACGGGCCTAGCTAGGGACTAGGAGACCCAATGGACCTCTGATCCTCAACGAAAGGTATCTTCAGGCAATTCAGGCACGAGAAGAGCCAGGTTACTCATCGATATTACTCATCGATATTCGATGTGTCATGCGACGAGATGGTCTCTGAAGTGCAGTTTGCAGTCCAACCCCTTTTCTCTCAGCCTTGCGGCAGTTGTCTTAATACAGCGCCTTGGTGCATAACAGCAGGGCTTCCTGAGGAAGACCGGCCACCCCATCGGATGTCCGCCTATATTCACCGGCAGCCAGATATTGCTTTTTTACTCGTGTTCTGATATTATGTATTGCTTCTGGGGGCCATTTATGATTGCGTGTAGTTGGAGTGCTTGGAATGGTGCGACTCTGACCATTATCATTGGCTACCATGCCTTGTTGTCTCCAGGCCATCTAAACTTACAACTACTCAAATCCATTCACTATTCACGCATACCATGTGACTTGAAATGGACTGGGGTTATCTTGCAGGCTCCACCGGGTTGAGTCATCTCAATCTGTGCCAAGGCAACCATATACATATTGGTGAACTTAACGTCGACGCCCAGTCGTAATTCTCTCAGCCGCAACTACTAGACAGGGAGCCCCACCATTTGAGGCATGACTCCAATGTATTGGAAACACTATTAGGATGCCATGTGGCGATTTGAGTTCGGACGCCTTAACTCTCTTCGCTCAAGCTTCATCCTTGATCCATCCAGTGTATCCCTGCCACGAAACACTCTTCCTCGGCCCATCGAGCCATGTGTGTGCTTGCTGCCTCATCGTCATCGTCGATGCCAGGCAGCACCAGCGCCTGTACCATCCATGCTACATTCACCAGTCTGGTCGTGCTCAAGAGTTGCATCTTGGAGTAGCATTACCTAACACCACTTTCCAATCATGGCATGTACCACGTCGCGCAACAGTTAGGTATCATATGCTCTCGAGTCTCGTCCAAGCAAGGCGTCGACACGGCAGCGTCGATGGTACCCCATCGCGTCATCTAGTCTGCAATATATCAAATCGTCCTGCGAGGCGTCCGCCGTCTTCGTCAGCCTAGGTCTCCAGACTCCAACCACGCAACGAGGAGCTGCCTCTGTATTGTGTATCCTGCAGCTGTCAAGCTGCAAGGCAGGCGGCCGTCCATCTGCAGCTCTCCATAGACGTCGAGGCCCAACCACTGTCATAACGGCCCTGCAAGGCAGGCGATACCTAGAGAAGGCATGCCGTACACGGTCCAGCCCCCACGACTTCCCCACGACAACTACGGCCTAGACCCGGAGATGCTGCCGCTTGGGTGCCATGATTCGGTCAATACTATCTGCCTTACATACCTGTGTGTCTGTATGTGCGGGAGGGACAGCGCAACATGCATATCAAAGAGCCCTTTGTCGCCCTTTTCTAGTGGGTAGTAGTAAACTACAGTGGTCTGCTACTGGCCCGCCTTGTGTATGAAGTCTCTTACTGGAACCACGAAACCCCTCATGGACGGGGCCATGTCCAGGCTGTCGATAAGGCGTAGGATGATAATGCCTCGTTGAGATGAGCTGTTAATCGTGAGTTGTTTTGTTGTGGTCGGGAATATGGCCCGGGTGGTCCCAGTGGCGCGGCCTCGGGTCGGGACTCGGGTTGACTGAGGTTTCATGTTGTTTTTCTCTCACCATTGTCACCTGATTGGTACATGAGACCAGCATCATTAACTGATTCTTTGATCAAGACATTACTTTATTCCTTTCTAAATCCGCTTGGTAGTTTTGGAGATTGCTAGTATCACCTTGTTTTGAGGTGACATGTTTTGATCGTTACCAAGCATGTGCTTGTTACCCCTTGCTGATACCCCCTATCACTCCTATGTAAGGCTGTCCATGTATCAAGAGCAAGCACGACTGCCGAAGCCGGGCCCGTGTGCCGGTTTCGCCTCACTGGGCGTCAACTTGTCACGCATATGAGACGACGTCGGATATGTCGATAGGGCATCGTTCAAGCATGATCCCGGCGATGATCACCCAATTCATAATAATAGAACGAAAACCATGCGATCATCTCGTGGCAGCCAGGGGGCAAGTAACGAAAGGACTCCCCCAGACGCAACTGCGGACGCCGGAGCGGATCCAGGATTCGCCGGAAACCCAGTTGACGTTGCGCTCTCGGACCTGGGGGCAACGCACTGTGAACGGATCTCTTGGACAGGAATGCGTAGACATCGGCTCGCCTTGTTTGATGTCTGGAAACATGGCAGGCCAGTTACATACGTGCCCACTAAGCAAGGAAAGACAGCAGGGAAACGTGTTCCAAAACCTCGAAAGCACGTGTGGTTGCACTCGTCCCTCCCATATTCGTTTGCAATATGGCGCCAAAACTGATGTGAGACTGGTTGCCTTGTTTCCCGTGAATGGCTTTTGACGTCGCTCCCACCATCCTGGGGCCGTATAGAGAACGCACGCCGTTGCAGTATTGTTCGCTGGGTTCCTCTGCATTGACGCCCAATGCTGGGGCCAAGGGAGAGCTGGTTTGGTTGGCCATGTGATGGCGCAGCTGATGTTTTTCGGTCGCGATCCAGAAATTAGAACAGTCGAGCTCCGATCGAGGGAGCGTAGTCGCTCTTATAATCGTCCGCGACCAACGTAGTAGTACGTGGCGTGCTGAGAGTGTGTGCGTTCCGAGTATAGGCAATGCCAAGTGCACGGGTGTCACCTAACACCACATTCCGCCAGAAGAACTGCATAGTGGTAAGAGCAGTGCGCGTGTATATAGTTGATCACTGTGTGCAGGCTCTTATCCGATTCGACGCAGCGAGTAAGCATGCGGAGTTGGGTATTGGTTGAAAATGCGTGCGACGTCCCCGGATAGCACCCAACGGCAGATCGCAGCAGCGAAGATTGTCACTCAAGCGCATACACTCGCGTCCACTCACGCAGTAGGTGGGCACGGCTAGATGCACATTATACGTGGTCTAACGGGCCCCAACGATAGACCCGGAAGAGCAGCCTGGGCGCCTCATGGACTTCACCTGGAGACTCACCGGTTTCATTGTATCATCCAAGCAAATGCTTGAAGTACCTGTAGCACACAATTTGTCTCGGTGGCCATTCATCATGTCACGAAGACGCAAAACCCTGAAGAACGACTCATCTCGGGTTGTTCAACTTCAGGCAGGTGAGGCGACTGAACGGCCTCATCCGGCAGGCAAGCCCCTGACGCAAGGCCCAAAGGGCAAGGCGACGACGAGGCAAGACACAAATGAAGCACAGCAATGCTGGGTCACATCCGACGTTCCGCCCAGTACGCCCAGGGGCAAGTCGGATCAAAGAATCTGCGCTGCAGGAAGCCAGACGGCATCCGGTCTATCGCAAAATCCAGGGCCATGAGAGTGAAGCGTTCGGAAGAGCTTGACAGTGGTGAAGTGAAATGCCATTGGGAAGGCATCAGTGTCTGTGGGTGGGATGATGGCGTATCTGACTGACATAAGATCATGGTGATGGGCGCAACTAAGGATTCCCCTGACATACACCGTGATCTCGTCATCCTCAGGCTCCAGAGATGAGGGCGTCTCGCTCGGGTACGGGGCTACACTGCCTACCCAGCACAGCGGTACCGATTCGTTTGTCTGCGCCAGATTACGACCTTGTGCAAGGATGCCAGCGAACGGGCGGGGTCCCAGAACTACACGATGCTGGTTGTAGGTTCGGTCAACAACTGCGGTACAGAAAGATCCTAGACGATCTCCTCTGGTTCGTACCGGAGCCCGCCTCCGTCGGATGCCCAGCAGCGGCGATTACACCGCTTATTAGTGTAATATTACACCGCCGCTCGAGTCTTCGATGCCGAACTTCGGTCATAGGATAGTCCAGTGGGCTTTGTATCGTACAGATATCACCTTGCTTCAGACACGTGTCGCGATCACCATGCGGGGTCTCTCGGGTACCTCTTCAGCCAGCGACACGGCTGGTTGCCTGACGTGAGATAGGTATACACAGTCAGAGCTCTGGCATCGCCTCGTCCAATATCAGGGTGGCGGATGTCAACCTAGATCACGCTAGGAATCCGCCCATTATACAACACAGAGTGAGATCAAGTTTCGGTGAGCCTCTCAAAGGGTCGACGAGTGACGCAAGCCTGGCCGCCGTTTCCAAGGCAGCATAGGCTTGTGCAGCTGAACCAAGCTTCATAGCTTTTAGCTCGGTTGCCTTGGTGGACACACCGGCTGAAGGGGGAATAGACTCTCGGTGAACGCAAGTGCAACGACTACCGGTAGACTTACCGACAGACCCGGTGGAGGGCACAGACCAAAGACCGAGGGCCGATTGGGCAGGCAAGCAGAGACAGACGAGCGAGCTGTGTGACGTTGATATCTGGTCATGAGCTGAGGGTACCTGCAGTAACAGGCGTGCGTTGCCCACGTTTAAACTATCTAATAAGTTGATAAGTTGATGCCGGGAACAGGGAATTTGAATCCTACGAGATGCCGTCTTGGATGTCCCGACTCCCGGTACTGTGGCATTATTACAGACGCCATCCCGGTCACCGTCTTGTGGGACGATCGAGGACCCCACGGACCACCTTGTCCTTGGACGGGGCGGAATATCTCTAGGCCATCTTCGGGCGATCTAGTGGGCAGACGGGAGAGCACTGAGCACAGGGCAGTCTTTGGTCTTTAGTCTTTGCCAGGACCAAATTATTCATGGGAGAATTGTATCGCTGCGCCCAAACTCTTGCCGGTTTCCAATCCTTGTTACTTGTGACGGACCGTTGAAGTGGTATACCACTACCTTCGTTCTGCTTGCAATTGATGGTTGCCTCGAATGAGTCTGGGCAATATGCCACTCATCCAGAAAAAACCGAGCACGTCGACTATGTGACTATGAGACGCTGGGCTTTCTAGGCAACGTACTCGGACATGGAATTCAATACGTGATCACGAGTCTCGGAGCAACGGAGAAGGGAGAACTTGGTGGAAACTGGCCTTTGAGGTATTCGAAAGTATGGCACCAACGCCGTGAAACGCAATACAAGAAAGAAATGAGGGTAACCAACAAAACACGGTCACGGTACCAACCGCGATGAAACAGAATCGTCCTCTCCTGACCGGAAGGAAACCAAAGAAGACCTGCCTCCCAACAGCTCTCCACCCACCTCCCGGCCTACCTACCTACAACAACCTATAGCCCTCATTTGAGCGGCCTTTCATTCATCTCCCGCTCGAAGTCCTCCTTATCCTGACGTAGCTGCTGGAACTCCTCCACGGCGTCGGTCGTGTACTCTTCCCATCTGGTGACTTCGGCTTTGGCGTCATCAACATCGGCCTGGGACACGCCGGCCTGGGTTTTGTGCTCCTCCTGCAGCTTTGCGAGATCTGTCTTGAGGCTGTTGGTCAGTTGTACCGCGCTCTTGGCCTTCATTTGCGCTTCGGTGAGTTTTGTTTTCATCTCCGCGAGCCGCCCCGCGTCTGCAGCGTGGCTCATGGTGGTCGGCGTGAGGGCGTGGGCGACAATACTAAATCTGGCGCTTTGGTGGAATGCTAGGTGATGGAAAGCAGAAATATCGGCTGGTCCGTGGATTCGACTGGAGGCATAGTGAAGGCTCTTATAGGCTATGACCGTTACTGAAAGCCACGCGAGGCCTCGAGGAAGGAGGTCACGCGCATCTGGTGGCTACCTGCGCCTCCGGCCGACGGTACCGCAGACCCGACACATGGACAGCGCATATTACCAACCTCGCATCGGACGAGCGAAGCGATTTCGACAGCTGATCAGGTAGATGGTTTCAAGTTGACGGCGAAAGAATGGCGGCCATGCTCGAGACGAAGAAGTATCCTCTGTTGAGGTCAGGGTGACTTACAAACGAAGGTATGTGTGAAGGACTTCTTGCGCACTTTGTAACAAGAGTAACCTACTACACATCAGCTGGATTATTGCGCCATAGCATGCTCGATATCTGTGTCACGTCTTCATCAGGTCTCGTGCACCAAGTCAGGAGCCTCGGTTCATAAGTCGATATCATTGAAACCCCGGGTTTCGAGCAGTATAGGGAACACTCCGCGTACCCCAGTTCTCTACCCTTCACCTACAGCATCCCTCTTTCGTCGGCCTTAGAAGTCACACTCTAGCCATGGAGCCAAGGGGTCAAGGTCCCTATCATTCCCTGCCCCCACCCCACAGCAAGACACACATGAATTGCCTTACGCTGTAGCTTTAGGGAGGTTGAGCTCCTCGCTATCGAGCCAGGCAACAATGGGAACGATGTTTCGTCCAGCATGCGAGAGACGCTTTCTCATGACTTCGAACTACTGCTGATGGCGAGCTGCCTGTCTCAAGAACGCTTCTTTACCGTTTCCATGCGAATATTCGCCCTACGAATGACAATATCGCATGGCCCCTCGCAGATGCAGAACACTCGGAGCCTACGTTTAGAGTATCGCACGACAGCATATCGCATATACTCATCTTTCAGAACGATGTCGCATAGGGAGTATGCTATGGCGTTGAATTGTAAAATGAGTCGCGCCAGAGATCGTTTCAGCTCGCCTTGGCCGAGAAAGTACCTAAATGAGGTTACAACAGAGGAGCCAAGCGAATGCTAGGTCTGGGAATACCAGGCCTGATTGTTCATCTTCTTGGATGCCAGATGTGACAGCTTCATACCAGATATGATAGCTTCATCCTTGCATCAGGTCTCGCGATAAGGATCCAGACGATGCGGGAGGGCAGCAGCAGTAATTGGAGGGCGACGAGCCGGACATATTGTTCGCGGCTTTCGATGGCGTCGTGGACGGATCGATCTAGGGGAGATGAACCGGGTGGTAATCGCGCCGCTGCGGCGCAAGAGCGAAAGGATTAATCCTCAACCCGCCTGACCTAAGACACAGCGAACCACTTCATATCGTGCACAAAACAGGATATAACGATGGCCGAGTCGCCATGCGTCCCTCAGTCTGGTCGAGTGGGAACGAGTAGTCCAAGCCGATACCGTTGAACCTACCTCATCATTCCAACTCATCCAATGGTCAACCCTTTCATGCCTCCGCGAATCACGATGGTGAGACCATATGTCGTTCGCTTCCACCAACTTGACTCTCGTCGACACGAAGCGCGTACGTGACCGTAGTAACCTAGCCAGAGGCACAGCCGGCATCGCGAACGACGTTCGCGTTCGCAGCTCATGTTGATAAGCCTGCGCGTCTACATCCTCGGCAGGTACACCAAACGGCCGTCAACAAGATAATCGCCGACTGCGCGGGCATCTGCCACGGCGGAAGCTTCCCGCCTCGTCAAGGGCGACCTGTTCCTGCCGAGGGAGGTCGATTACGTCTGCGACGAAATCACCAAGACGGAGCTGGAGCTAGACGAGGCGAAGGCAGCCGATACCGCTGCCAAGTTCGACTTCCTGGTGTGTAAGTACGCAGGGCGTCTTGTCGTTTTCTCTGCAAGGTGCGGCAGGGATAACTACTCTGCTGCTCTTCACAATCGTTCCCATACCACCAAACTTGCTGACGCGGCGCAGACACCGAAGGAGGCTTCGACAGGATCTTCAGCCTATCCTACTACTCGCGCATGCGCCTCGCCGTGACAGCAGCAGCTGCTGCCGCTCTTCAATAACGCGCCGCAGGGCGAACACGCCGTGACCGTCTGAACGTCGGCATAAAGCCCACGATCCAGCTGGGCGACCTGCTGTTGTGGTAGAAGCTCAACCAGGTCTTCACGACGGCGTTCGGCCACCTCGAAGGCGTGATCAACGTTTTCGGCAGCGAGCTGGCAAGGCGGTACCCCGGCAGGGTGGCGGTCAGTCATTGGTACCCCGGCTATGTGAAGAGGGAGTCGATGGAGAAGGGTACTATCTATGCCTCGGTGGTACAAGTTTGTCTATCGGTGGTCTATTTAGCCCCTTACGCGGTTCTGGCATTTATCTTGTGACGAGTTTGGGCAGCGCTTGTTGTTCGTGTCGACCAAGCATGCTCACACTTTTGCAGGAGACGGGAGCAAGACTGCGGCCGCGAGCGAGGACTGATTGCATGTCGCGGAGGGCATAGCTGGGATAGTTGGGAGAGGTGCTTGTAGGGTGACCATGGACAGCGGGACGTACCCCACATAGGAGGAATATGCCAGGCTACCAGAGGACGGAGGTGCTGACAGGATCTATGAGCATATAACCAAGGCGTTTTCTGAAACCGAAGCTAATGGCGTTGACAAGGGATGATGTATTACTATTTACTTTAACCATCATGTTGCTTTGGCGTCGGGTTTAAAGACTACTCTGGTACATATCAACAGTGTCAAGTTCATTGGCAGGCGGAGGAAGGGTTGAGTTCCCCTGGAGAGCAGGATGCACAGTATTAAAGAGACTCTCAGTTGCACGCTTCAAGCAATTCTCCATTGTATACCAAACTGCTCGAAGCTATCCAAGCCAGTCACCAGTCCTTCCCCTCCCTTTAAGCCGGGATGGTAGTCAAGTCAGTGATAACAAACTCAGCCCCGCCAATGTATCGCTCATCCACGACCGCGCCGTTGTTGTCCAGCGTGACATCCGCGCCAGGAATGACATAGGTGCCGGTCAAGTTCGTGCCGGGCCCCGCAGCCGAGACGACGGTCAGCGGGAAGGCCGACTTGTCCGCGGCGGGCGCAAACGAGAACGAGACCGAGGGGTCGCTGCAGCCGGACAGCGGGATAGCGGGCAGGTAGTCGGGGCCCGGACCGAAGAAGGAACAGGTCACCGTGGGTGCGCCGGCGGACGTGGTCACGTTGAAGTTGAGGGCGCAGTACGTGCTGTGGGCGATGCAGGCGGCCTGGGAGGGGGCTCGTTAGATCCTAGATCCTAGAGGGTGGTGCCGGAGGATTGGTCGGTTGTGGGCGTAGGTGGGAAGCTTACACTGAAGTCGGTGACGCTGTATTCAGCGGCTCTGGGCACGGCGGCGCCGAGGACTGCCGCGGGCAAGAGGGCTGCGATGGTGTTGAAGGTCTTCATGATGGCGGTTTGAGGAGTGTTGAGCAAGAGTATCAGGCTGTTGAGAGGTGTGCTGTGAACGGGAGTGATGAGACTCATATCACCAGGAGTCGGGAGGCAGAGTATTTATGCCCTCCAGAACTGAAGCGCCTGTCTGAGATGGCAGGTTGATGGCCATCTCGAATCCTGCCATCTCGAATGTCAACGGCCTCGAATCCGAATATGGTAGTGATCTCATGTTCCCCCAGCCGGCGACCCGTGGGATACGAGGTGGGCTAACCTCCCCGGCCGGCTCGATGCAACGGCGATGGCCAATGACTCCTAACCTCCACTTGATGCCTACATGTAGGTGGTGGATCATCTCACCTGAATGGCACTGCCAAGGCTGCAGCAAGGGAGACGGCCCCTGCCCCTTGAAGACCCTTGTACCTTGAATACGGGTTTTGAGCCTCCACTTCGGGAACATATGTCATACCTAGACTGCCTAGGTAGGTAGGTATGATATAAGTCCTCATAAAGGGAGCAAGACAATCATCTATCTGGCAATACGAGGAGATGATACCTTCAAGACTTCCGAGATCGGATTAGGTAGGTGCGTTATACGCTGGTGATAGCTTTGTCGGTCAAGAGTCAAGACTCGGTCAAGTCTCAGGGAGGTAAGTATGGATACAGTCATTTAACGGGTCAACAACGTTGGATTCCACAAACAAAAAGCGGTAGGGAGGATCCATCGTCACCTACGGCCCGGTGGTAGTGTTGGGTCCCGGGCTTGAGGCGGGTGCAGGTGGTGCCCCCCGGGATCTACCCGACGGGATTAAAGAGGGAAAGAGCCCGGAATGTGGGAAGTCCGTGCTCCAAGCTAGCAGCCTGATTGGCTTACGGCTTGGTGGTTCCTTAAAGGATGCGCATTGACCAACGGGCAATTCGGTTGCTTTAAGGCGACTTCCATTGCAATGACAGTTCAATCTTGTACGGATAACCAGACAGCACAATGCTTGATCGCAACATGATTGTAGGCAAAAAGAGCGTGAATAAGGCTGACGGCTTGCGGGCAGGTGCATCTCGTAGAGAGCTGAGCTCGCAAACCTTAAACTTGAATGATACCAGCCACTCTCAGCCAGAACTTTAGTCTTGGTGGCTTGCCCGAGAGACTCACTCTCGTTGGCCTCGGGCACAGCCATTGTCAACACAGACAACTCGCATTCCCACTTTGCGAATTCAATCTCTTCTCTCTCTCTCGACACTCTACCTATCAGCACGCAATAGCAAAAGTGGAACATGAAGCCCAAGAAATCTCTGGAAATCGACGGTCGCACGGGGGAAGGCGGAGGTCAGCTCGTGCGTTTATCATGCGCCTTGGCAGCCGCGACATCGCAACCCATTCGCATCACTCACGTCAGAGGCAACCGAGACCGAGGCGGAGGTAGGTTCTTCCACTAATAATCAATCAGCTCGAGAAAGTCAGAGTGGTACCGGCTGATCTGACGCGCACCGTAGGATTGAAAGCCCAACATGTCTCATCGGTCAGATGGCTGGCCGAAGCCACCGGAGGCGAGGTCGAGGGCCTGAGCGTCGGCAGCCGGACGCTGGAGTTCAGATCCTCTGCGCCCCCGACGGCTCTAGAGGAGCGCAAGATTCAGATCGTGGCCGACAGCAGCGCCGCGAGCACGCTGCTCATATTCCAGGCCGTGTTTCCGTATCTGTTGTTTGCTGCCAATGAGAACGGGGACCCGATCGAGCTCGAGATCCAAGGGGGCACCAATGTGTCGTTCTCACTATCGTACGAATATCTAGACCAGGTCCTGCTGCCGACTTTACAAGATCGCTTCGGAATCAAGGTCGAACGAGAGCTGAGGGCACGGTCATGGGCGGTTGGTCCTAAGAGGATGGGCAGCATCTGGCTGAAGTTCCAACCTATTCCACGCGGACAAACGTTGAAGCACCTACAGCCCTGGGACAACCCACTTACAGAGAAGGACTTCACGATAAAGCAGATCGACGTGAGCATGCTGGTACCTAATGCCCTGCGCGAACCGCTCGAGAAGGCATTAGCGCGCGATCTCGACAACCTATTCCCGGACGTCGACATCAACTTCGTACTGATGGAGGAAAGCGGCCACGATGCGCGGATGTACACTCTACTGGTAGCTCACTCCGAAACCGGTCAGCGCTGGGGGCGTGATTTTCTATACAATCGCGCGTGGAAGAAGAAGACGCCCGAGACGCTGAGCGCCGAGATCTCCCGGGAAGTCTGCAAACAGCTCGCCCGGGAAATCGCGACCCGCGGCGTCGTCGACGAGTACCTGCAAGATCAGCTGGTCGTGTTCCAGGCCTTGGCCGAGGGGAGGACGAGCTTCCATCGCGGGGACGAGCCGGCAGATATGGATGCACCTCCAACTGGGGCGGCTAAGGGGGGTGATCAGCTGAGCACGTCGATGGACGGACTGAAGCTCGAGAAGCGGATGAGGAAGGACAGGATGTATGAGCTTTTCGGAGAGGGCTCTACACACACGACTACGGCGAGATGGGTGGCCTGCGAGCTGTTGCCCACGGTGCAGTGGTATAACAAGGGAAGCATCTGCGATGGTGCTGGTGTTTCGTTTGCTTCGTAGATTCATTCCATTGACGATACCCAGACAGCATGTCAACAATAGACACACTTTACCCGTATAAGTATCTCGAGAAGGTGACGGGTTTCTGTGAGGTACTGGACACCAGGAAGACTGCGCAACTGGGCCATGGGTCCTACATGCCATATATCTAAGTTATCCGATACGCACTTTTCGACATTGGTCAGCAATGTCGTGTCAATCGTTTGGGAGGCCACACTTACTCAAATATGACCTCAGCCCCCTTCCGCATCCCACTGCCCACCCACATGCCATGGTTCACCTTTCCGACATATCGTTCGTCACCCGTCTCCATCGAGGCATAGAGCCGGAACTGATACGTGGAAGGATCGACCGAATTCGCCTTCTCCGGGTCCTGCAGAGCCTCCAGGACTTCTCTCGGTCCAGTCCTGAACCCACGCGTGCGTATCTCGATGCTTCAACCCGTGCATTAGCCGGGTTTGGTTTCAACCCGCCCATGGATCGTGAATTGTGAGAAGGAGGTAGTGAACCAACTTACAACGCGGGCTCCTCGTCGTCCGTCTTGAGCAGGTACATCGTCTCCATGCTCACGACGTAGGTCTCCGGGTCCACGAGCTGCGAGTCCTGCCCACCAGGCTGTATCCCAAATATGCATACATTAGCCGAGAGACTCTTTCTTCAGTATGCCCCCTGCCAAATCAGCCAGCGAGCCCTTACCAGTACGGTGCCAGAACCCCACGTCGCCGCCCACGACCCGCCGGAGAACGAGATCCAGTTCCTCATGCCGCCGGAGGGGACTACCCCCACGGCGACCTTGGGATTCAGCTCGACGGACATGCGGAAGTCGTAGCTGAGTCCCGGGGACGGAAGCGTCAGTTCTGGGTGCGGGATTTGGGACCGTAGGGTCGGAGTGGCCGGGGCGGTGTTGCCGGAGCTAAGTGTGATCAGTCATTGCATCTGGAACATGATGGGCACGGTTGCTTTACCCTTCTGTGGTAGCTGGCTTCGAGCTCGTGTCTTCCATGGCTAGGTAGGTAGGCAGTCGATTGACCGAAGTGAGGGGAGAAGATGTATGGAACAACGATGCCTCCGAACCGGACCCAGCAATTCCTCACCGTCGCTCGACTGAGGTGGGCTGATTCAGACCGGCGCCAGATATCGAGCCATGACGCGAACGACTCGCCCGCAGCGAACATGCCGAAAGCGGCCCCATCAGCCCAGCAGCTAGAGACGCACGATTCCGGTAAACGGTGTCCATCAAGAACCTCGGCACATCGAAGAATTTCACACCATTGCACCAGCGCGCATCGCACCGAGACCCGTAGCGGGCCCTGATCGGGGTCACATCGCGCGACGCGGGCTTGGGGGAGTTGGGGAAGGAGGTTGGAGATACATTGCCTTCGCGACCTTTTCTTAGGGAGAGGGTATTGTAATAATGGCTGCGCTGCGAGGTGGTGGGATGGGGATATATATGATAGTGTCGCGACCCTCTGCCCTTCAAGCAATGAAGACTTACTGATCTTTCTCGATCCCAGCTCGCAACCTACGTTGAAGATGTCGGCCTCATCTTGTTGAGCCACTTGCTTTTCTTCCTGTAGCGAGTAGACGTAACACCGGGGTACTCTACCACCTCGTGATACCCAGGTTGGAGTCGATCCTGTCCAGACGTTCCCTCCCGCAATTGGTGCGTGGCCTACAAGATGCATCTTCAGTCTATTGCACTTTAACTAAATGACCAGGTATTACAGGACAAATACTCGGTCTCGATCCGTGGGGAGCCCATGTTCATCTTCTCGGGCGAATCTCCGCCCATGACGTCTTCCTAGCCCAACACGCCCTTCTTCGTCGCCCGAATTCCAGGGCGGGTCTGGTACGGGATTTGGGACCGTCAACGGGGACGAGTGCAGCGCGTTAGTAAACGAGGAAGCCGTACGCGCGCTCTGGAAGAACCAATTGCAGCTTCGCGATCAAGATCTTCAAAGTTTATACGGTAGATGATCCCGACAGTCTGCCCATGACCTACTTGGCATCTAGGACCCGATTTAGGCCCCTTCGAAGACTTACAGAGGAACCAACTGGGGCAATCCCGGGTATATGACGGCGACACTTCATACGAATATGGCGCAACGAATAAGGAAAACCGCGTCATCTGGCGGGAGAAGTGCTCAGAGGAGAAGCTGAAATTTAACATCTTAAAGTCTCATCGGCATATCCAACAGCGCTCCCTAGCAACGCATCGAACGGCTCGTACGTGTCGACGGACCAGATCACCACCAAGCCCGCCTTTAGCTCCGACTCACCTACGGTCTGCTATATCATGCGGCACGCCGACTGGAGGTCGCTTAACACGACTACATGCAAGCTCATTGTTCCTATCAGCACCAGTAATGTGACGATCCCTCAGCAGGGCTGCGAGTTGGTGCTTGTACGCCGTGACTCCAAGATCCTCGTCCAAAACTATGATGTTGGAGGAGTAAGCTTGATCTACTGCACAGCGGAGACCTTTACATGGGCTCGAGGGGCATCAGGAAAGAGGACTCTTATCTTATACGGTGAAACAAGTGAGCTTCACCAGTCTGCGATCGACCTTGGAAATTTGATGGCAAATTCTACGGCTACGGATCCGGATGATGCCACAGTGAATACCTGCAATCTGACTGCGAATAAGATATCGGTCAAGTGGCAACTGTCGCCGGAGAGGAACATTCTGACGTTCGGTGATGAGCTGGCGATCCTCATGCACTGGCGCAACGGCGCCTACAACTACTGGGTTACAGAATTGCCAGCGCCCATGTCAATTGCGAACTACTCCTCACTTTCTAAGTCCACGGTCATCGTGAAAGGAGGCCACCTCACCCGCAGCGCAGCCATCGAAGGCGAAATCTTAGCTGGACTGGCGACATCAACAGCACGGCCGACTTCGAACTCATATACATACAAGACAACGGGCCAAGTCAAAACGATCCTCTTCAACGGCGAAGAACTAGCCACAACCGATTCTCCCAGGGGCAGGCTCACAGCACAGCTACCATTCACGCTCCCCAACCTTACACACCCGGACTCCGCATCTCTTGAGTGGAAGTATCGACTCGCTCCCCGAAATCCAGGCCACCTACGACGACTCAGCCCGGACCGCTTGCACCAACTCCACAACCACCAACCCGCAGGCGCTGCTCACGCCGACCTCGCTCTACGCCAGCGACCACGGCTACCACGCTGGCTCACTCATCTATAGGGGTCGCTTCACCGCCACCGGCAGCGAGACGTTGCTGTTCCTTCACATGACTGGGGGCAACGACTTCGGGTACTCGCTCTGGCTACACGCCGCGTTCGAGACATCGTGGGACGGACGGCACGGGCGTCGGCGTCGGCGGCTGGCAGCACAACGAGAACCGTGTGTGTTCCTCTAATACCTTCTGGAAGAGGCCACGAGCCACGTCTTCGCACTGTTTATCGACCACATGTGCCCGGTCCCGGGATGGACGCGATCAAGGCGCCGGTGGGTTTTTGTCATCAAGTACTGGCCCTTTAGTTAACAGCAACATCAACATCACTACACTTGTCCCACATAAGTCTCCGTACGCTAGCCCCAATTCAATCTTCTGACCAAACAAACAACACGACACCCTCATCTTGCAATAAATCATCAAAAAATCAATTTACCATGGGTATCAACGAAATCGGTACCGTTTTGAGCGGCACGTGCCAGCCGAACGGCGAATTTACTTTAAAGGCGCGTACAGGCATTATGGCGGGGCGCACAGAGGGCCGCAGTCGTAGGGATGTCGCACGCGCCTACGGCACAGAACGCGTCGAAACCATCTCTGAGATTTGCTCATGCGCTAATACCACCAAAACCACGCGCATTGCACGAAAGATGGGAGCTCTGAGGCTTCTTTCGCATGGGAAAGAACGCCATCTAGTTGATTTGGTTCGGAGGTTCCCTCGTCTCTCATGGGAGGCGCTCAAAGCCAAAGCACGCGTCACCTGCCACACAGAGACCATCGTGAGGGCTCTCCGCCGCTACGGCCTCAAGAAATGGCGCGCGACAAAGCGAATCTCTCTCACAGAGGATGACGCCACGAAACGGCTTACTTGGGCGCAGGAATACCGCACACAGCGCGCTCAAAATGAGCTAATAATGGCCCTCTTCTCTGACAAATATACCATCCAAAATGATCCCGATAGACCTGGCGAATGGGTCATCCGCCTCTCTAAAGAACGTTACCGCAAGGATCTCGTGAATCCATAGAGCCACGGGAGAGCCCGTATTTTGATAATAATTTGGGGTCTGATGTGGTTACACAATGACAAAAATGGCCTAGGCAAACTGGTCTTTTGTGAAGGAGATCCGGATGCACCACGCAGAGGAGTGTCTGCCAGGCGCTATCAACAGGTCCTAAAGGAAGGCCTGCTTCCGTTTTATAAGGCAGGGGACCCTTTTCAGCAAGATAATACTCCTGTGCATATCAAAGGAGGCTCGCCGGAGTGGTTAGAGGAGCACGGGATCTGGACTGACGACTGGCCTCGTCACAGCCCCGATTTGAACCCCATTAAGCATATTTAGGCAGCTCTAAAGAAGAACATAAGGGAAATAGAGCCTCGTTTTCAAGACTTAAAGGACAATATCGCTCACTAGGCGTGAGCTAGAGAGATAATCCAAGTTGCATGGTCAGAGTTAGATCCCGACCTCCCGAAGAAGCTTATCAAATCTCTCCCCGATCGGATCGCGGCAGTGATTTGGGTGCGCGGCTAGTACAACCACTATTAAACCGCTATCGAATACATATTTTGTTATAATTTTCGGCCTGGTGATGCCTTCGCAATTGAGCAGTGAATGTGGTGGTGATGGTGTGTGGAGGGCGCCGTACGGAGACTTGTGTGGGGTTAGTGTAACAGTAACAGCCATAGTACTGTACGACCACCCGCTATTCGCGGAGCGCTAGGGGGTACCACCAGCCCGAACCACCCGGCGCGGAATAGGCGGTCGCGAATCCGATCGCGAATCCGATCGTGGACTTGTCTTCTACTTTTTTACTCCATGTCCTCCCTTTTGGGAACCTTGTGGTAGACTATCCGCATGTGTAGTAATGAAGAAGGCCGGGCGGAGGGCATGCTTCTTTACGTTTGATTGTAAGAGTAACAGCGACACAATAAGCAAGACTGCTAACCATTGTGTGCTATCTAGTCGCAAATAAAGGCCCGCAGACTAAATTCCCTATCCTTGGGAGCATTCTTAACTCCGAGAGCCTCAAAACCGTGGCGCTGACCCTGTAGTCACTGGACGACGCGGATGCGAAGCTCGACGGCCTGATGCCGGAGCCCGAGATCTGCTACTGTATTATTAAGATAATAATAGCATCATAATGCCTAATATAGTTATATGGTTGACGCGTAGGTCCTTTAGATGACACACTCGTGGTTAGCATACCTGTAGAGATAAATACAACCTGCAACGATTTTCGCAAAACCTTGACAAGCCTTGTTCTGCTCTTGCTAGGCGGGCTGGGGCGAAAACCACGGTTTCTTGTATCTGGACTAGAGCGGCCGGCAGAAAATACCCTTTATCCTCCTTCCTCATTCCAAATTGAGGTGGCGCCGTACGCGACCCCTATTCGACGAAAATATCGAAACTTCAGTGTCGTCAAAGTGCGCGCACGCCAACTCTAGCCCGTATTTCAGCATCAAGACGACAGGATCTGGGATCTGTGCCCACGGATGAGAAGCACGTGTGCTTTGGCAATCTGACTGAGACATGCTTCCTTACCGACATGTGACGGTGGTATGCCTGGGCTGACATGACTGCAATGTAGTGAGAAATGGCGCAGATGGTTCGTCGGAAAAGTTTTTCTTGCTTCCAAAGGATCTGACTCGAGATGACGATTTGTGACACCCATTGTCGACACGGAAGTAAGCAGCGTACAATAAAGGCACTGCGTTTTTTCCAGCTTTCAGGTCGTGGGGGCACAGTGTTACGCTGACAGTGGTGCAAAAGTTCCGTACTGCAGGTAATACGTAAGCATTGGATCTCGAGCCAAGGAGGAGTCATTCTCGGACACGGGCCAGAGCTGACAACTTGCACACATGGACGACTCATAGGAGAAAAATCTCAAATCAGCCCAGCAGGATTTGTGAAACAGCAAGTCCACGATGCACGCTTTGCGGTGTTCTTGCTGACTGCAGGTAAGTCAACATCCCGTCGTTTTGGGGACTCAGGCGCCCCCAGCCGTGTCTTCTCGTAGGTAGTCGATGGTAAGGCGGGATCGTGCCATTTTAGGGAGTGCAACCCTACATTGCAGAATCAGATTACAGATGACCCTTTCTCGTGTAACATCCGATGCAAGTGATATCAGCCTTGCACGGAGATGCAGGTCGAGCGCTGCCGGTTATATGCTCTGCCGCCGGGCCCTGGCAAGGCTGTCCGCGCCGCATGACGACATGAGCTGGAGACCTGTCGCTGCCCCCAACATGACCGTGGCGCCCCCTCGAGGAAGCCAAGACGAACGATTGGCGTTTACGACGGGGCCGGGCCGCGGCAGCGTAAACGAAGGAGCGAAGGACTCGAGTATGATAGGCGACGAGAATGGATTCTGCCCGCCATGCCGCTCACCGGTGCGGGATGTGCTTATGTGGTGTGGAGGCCCGCCCGTTGGAGGCGGCCTCCCCTGCGGAAGATACACATGTTCCTGCAGGTGGACTGGCTCTCATATTCGTCTGTGGTGCACCGAGTTATCCGGCTTACCTCTAACCTCGGTGATCATGGCAGATGCCCAGGGATACCTGCAACGTCTCGCGTTAACCTTTCCAGAGCGCTATAAAGACAATGACGGGCGAAAAGCTAAAAGGAGCCCGACGTTAGGTAGGCGTTTGGCTGGGACGCGGAGGTGCCCGTTGTACGTTGCAGTGACATTGTGTGACCACCGCATGTGACCCTCGAGTGATATCTTTTGAGACCGAATTGATTCAAACCAATGAAATCACCAGACCGGGGGTTTCCTAAAGAGGAAGTCTCAAACCCCTCGATCGCTGCACAAGGATCTGGTCTGACTGATCGAGGCGGACAACTAACTTCACGAGACTGCACGTCCGCCGAGCAGAGCGCAGTCCCAGTACAACTGAGCCCCAGAGGTATACTTGGGGGCTGGTATATCTGCCTGGGCAAGACGGCGCAGCCACGCGGGAATCCAGGGCCTGGGGACACGGCGTCGCTCAATCGCGGTGTCTTGATACATACCATGTGGGCGCCCATGCTGTGGTGTCTGCGGTTCCTCGACAGCTCGGTGTTTTCGGGTACAAGGCACTTCGTATCAGATGACGTCGTGCACCAATAGGCCGGTGTGACGGGTCATACATCCATAGAAGCTCTGCATATCGGTGAGGAAGCCGGCCAGGAAGGCGGGGAAGCCAGCAGAAAGCTCGACAAGATGACCCGATGCAATCCTTCTGGTGAAGCTGCCGAGATGCTGTCTGACCTGCAACTTGCAGAGGATGGCTAACGACACGTGACCAGAGGCCGTTCTCGACAACCGCTGGCCTCTTGTCTCCCTCTGAGCACCTATTAGGCAGTGGTCGGGTACACGTACCCGGCACGCCATCCCTTGTTACCTTGACCAATGGCGGACAACCACGTCCGGGCAGAGCGCCGTGACGAACAGTCACACGACCTGGCGCCCCCGCAAGGGGCAGATCAGACGGTCAGACATGAGGAGAAAGCGTCCAGGTCAATCAGATGGAGAAGCGAGACTTCGCATCGCGATTGGAGACTGCTTCAACAGATAGTCCATCCTGGCGACCTTGCAACCTAGCAAGCCTGGTTCTAGCCGCGCTGGTTTGCCGAATTGCCTCGTGATGACGCCCTGGAAGCTTTCCGTTTGGCCAGTCAGCCAACAAGACACTTACCGATTGCCCTCAGGCATGGCGCAACGGGCAAGGCGCCATTATGTTGACACAGGCACCCTTCCCCCAAATCTGTTCCGCCGCCCAGGTACCTGTGATGAGCGGTGCACAGCATGGCAGGTACGAAGCTTGGAGTTAACGTCTGTGTCGGCCATAAACCCGGAGAGCCCAGGGCGGTTCGGGTAAGGTTCAAGACTCGATGCCGTCCTGGCTGTCCGGGACGCTGTGCTTAGGTTGTGGAAGTTGCACGAGCCGTTCTCTAACAGTGCGTGCCTATGAGAGACAGGGTCTCGGACGGTAATCAAGTACCGGAGGTCGTGGTCCTACCGTTGCTGTCGGCGTCAAGTGATCCAGAGGTTGAAGCGAGAATGTCCAGGGATGTGAATGCCAGAGTTGACACTTGCGTACAGCTATCCCCGGGCTTCGATACACAAGTGGTATTTTATACTCTTTTCCAGGTGGGAAGTGACCGTCTACTTCTTCATCCGGCAGCTATGAAGAGCCGAGGGCTTGGAAGAAGGTTGTATTTCCATCTTCCCTGAGCAGGGCCGAGACTTCTAGAACACTTCACCATCCCAGCAGAGGCAGACTGTCTCCGCCGAAAACGTGGGGAACGGACAGGCTGACCCCATGCGAAACCTGCACCGGGCACGAGGGACTATCGATGTCGGAATTTCCGAATAGAGTGATGGCAGACTATTCCCGGGTACTGCCTGACTCTGTTCCCGAGCAGCTACCGAGGTGCTTCCCAGCCGGTGACACGTGGGCGGCCGGTGACCAGGGCAGGGGAGTCGATGCCCACATGTACATAATGCTGGGTACAGGCAGGCGGCAGACAAGAAAACACACTTGTGATCGAACTCGCTAACTTCTGACGCCGGGCAAGCCTCAAGGCAGATAAGAGAAGGGAATGTGAGAATAAAATCACGAATGCCTTCCAAATAGGAAAGGTGTTTGTTGGGTCTGGGGTTATACCAAACTCAGCAAAGTCAGATTGCATCCGGTGATGAGTAGAGCCCGAGTCGTCGACTACCAACGACGGCCTTATCTGCGGTGTCTAACCCAAGCCAGAGTATCACCTCGCATTGGCCCGGATTCCGCGAGGCTGGTCTGCCATTAGACCGTGCGTTCCTGCTGATCACAGTCTAGGAGGGCCAGGGCATGCATGCCACTCACCTCTAATCTGCACAAGGTCTGACCGGGTATTCCGTCTCGCCAGTCCGTCGGTGACGGGGCACGGGGCGCGGGGGTCACAGGACGAGGAGGAAGGTTTAGGACGGGCAGCAGCTTTGTAGATATCGTAGTTGTGATCTTATGCCGTGATCAGCACAGGTAATAGCCATTGGCGAGTTGGTCAATACACCTCAAGGAACGACTGGAAAGGAAAGGCGAAGCGATAGGAAATCTCTTCTGTGCAGGTGGCCAAGATATGGGAGTTCAGAGTTTTGAAGATGGACCTGGGTATGATTCAGGGCTGAGCCTCAATTGGATTTTGGGATGTGCCAAGAAGGGCGCTTGCTGGAAGGGGGTCCACTGCGAATCACTGCGAATTTCTAGATCCCAGCGAACCATGTCCACTGTAACCGCCCTTCGAGCTTCAACAGCGGTCAGCGGTCAGCTGTCAGCGCAAGACCACTCGATGACCTGGACCACGACGGCACCTGCCGCATACTACAGGGCATTTAGTGGTCCTCACAGCCCCGGTAGGCCTGAAAAGGAGGCCAGAAGAGTGGTGCCTTGCACCCCTACGTTATGTACCTAAGTTGCAAGCACACAGCCAAAATTTTCAAGCTTCCATGTGAAATCACCTGCACCTGCAGTCATTGACTCGGGCAGTCATCGGTCATCCATCGACACTCGCCTCCTCCCGTCGTCGCCCATTGCCCATTGCCCGTCACACCTCCGTCTCCAAATCGTCAAAAGTAAGGTACCTCGACTACAAACCCCAAAGCCGGTCGCTTGTGTCGCGGGCCCTGTCTTCAAGTTCCAACCAGGTACTTGACATCTCGGCATCTCAACGACTGGGGGCACATGACCACAATCCACCTGCGAGAGTGGCACTGCTTCTGGACCGTGGGTATTACGATATTACCGACTGCCTGATCTAATATTAGTTCCCATCTGCCTCAAGTCACCACTTTGCTTCTTGGATCCCGAGCCCTCCTCAAAGCCTCTCTCGCTTTATTTACTTCTGTCTCGGGTCTAGGGCCGATCACTCTTTTGTCCACTTGAGCGCGTGCCTGGGTACCTGCGCACAGTCGTGCTCCGGCTTTGACCGTCTCAACCCTCACGCTCGTTCAGTTCAAACCGACCTGCATCACCGTGCATCACCGTGCATGCAAATCCTCAGCCTCCAGAGCTGTCGTTGATGTGTCACATCGACAAACAAAACAGATGATCGAACCCCGCCGCTCCCTTTCTGCCTCAACCTTCCGGCCGCCAGGGTCACGGCGCTTCTGCTGAACACCCTACCGACGAGCTGCGGTCTGAGGGCAAAGTCGTGGCTCTAACCTACCTTAGTCTACGCATTAGGCTAAACCTGTTGTTGCGGAGCGGTATCACTCTGGACGAGCTGAGTGGCTGGCATGGTGTAGCTCCGCAGAGCACTTGCGACATCTCCCACAGTTGTACAGCCGGTGAGCATCGGATCGACTCACAGGTTTCGACACACCCGCTTGTCAGCTATGATTCGTAGAGCTTTGTTGAGCCAAAATCCAGAACTCCTCGAGCCAGTCAGCATCATCAGAAGCTCACAGGCAAAGTTCGTACATGGTTAACAGAGTCCGCCACCACGAGCCAGCCGCCTTTGTTCGACATGGCGGATATGATACTGCCCAAGGGCATTGTCTTCAACAAGGAGTCGGTCTATCAAGAGATAGCAAAGTTCGACGTTGTTCCCACAGATCATATACTGAAGGCCTGTCATGGTATGGCAAACCGCTACTACCACTGTGCCATGTGTAAATATGCTGATCTTGCGACAGTGTTTTCCATAACATCGCGGGAGCTATTCGATCCAACCGCAAGACGGTTGGAGAACTTCTGGACACGCGTCCTCGGTGGCGACAGACGCCACCTTCCTGGCACAGTCATTGCACGATTATTCAGAGATATATCCGAAGAACCCCCTTTCGTCAAGCTACGAGGGCCACCAAACAGATACGAGCCTGTATGTTTTGCAGGACTGCATCACCAAAGTTTACTGACCGAAGTCTACTAGCCATCTCCTAAATCACAAGCCAGTGAGACTCGGAAAGTCCAGGCCATCCTTGAGGAATCCACAGTCAGACCGGAGGAGGTGAGATCGAAAGGGAAGGGAAGGGGCAAGGGCAAGGGGAAGGGGAAGGGGAAAATGGTACCGCCATCGCCCTCATCATCGAAAGTACCGCATCCTATTCTGAAGAAGCCTAGGGGGCCCTCAGCTTCTGGACCTCGGCCTACAGCTCGATTCGTATCTCCCTCAGGATCAGATGCAGAAGATGACGATGCGCGCGAAAGCGAGGTTGCCTCTTCTGACAGCACAGCTGTGACCCCGAGCATCGATTCGAATGCAACGGTTAAGGAGGAGAAGAAGAAGCCTCCCAACACTACGCCGAAGAAGAAGACGACCTCGTTCATGGCCTCCACATCGTCGAGGCGTAGACCGGCCATGCCTCGACGCCCAAGTTCACAGTCTACTATCACTAGCACGACTAGTGGGCCTGAGGTTGGTCCAAAAGAGGAAGACTATTCGCAGGCAGCTCCCTCGACTATGTCAGAAACGTCGGGGAAAGGATCACGAGCCGCAACGATCGAACAGGAAGGCAAAGAGCGATTGACTGCTAAAGCAGCCGGAAAACGTCCAGATAGGCGATCATCAGCCGATAAAGTTATACCCTTGAGGCCCAGTGGCCCACAAACGGGAAACCAAGAAGACAGACCTGTTACGGTGCAAGAGGAGGCAAAGCGGCCAACGACCCCCTCAAAGAGTAAAGGGAAGGCTCCGGCAACTGCAAGTGGCATCGCTCATGATGTCTCCGAACGGCCACGCGTCGACATCACCTCTCCCATGCACCGATCTAGATCGGGGATCAACTCTCCACGGCCTGGGTCAAGAGACTTGAACCGTAGTCGGGTCACAACGCCGCAAAGCTTGATATCACCAAGTACGGCTACGATTTCGAATGCCACAGCTCAGGGAACCATCATTGAATTTGATGAAAATGCGCCCGCGAAAGAGGCAGTAACAGGTGTGATGCGCGAGCTAGAGGACAATCCGAGACCACAGCAGAGTACGCCAGCTGTGTCCGGGACGTCTGAACGCAACACCCGATTCACTCCTACGCAGCCGAATCCCACACCGGACGTGCCACTAGGCCGATCCAAGAGCCAGCTGACTCTACTTCTCGAGCGTCAGAACGAGAAAAAACCTCGGCGGTAAACGATAATACTTGTACATCAATTCGGATACGTTTCTCAGTCACGACCCTTGTCACACTGCGGTCGTATCATATACATATAGGCTTCAGGGGACACGGCAAATTTTTGAACGGCGTCAGAACGGAGTCAATTGCGATGAGGGAAAGCTGGAGAAGCCAGACATCAAACGTGTATATTTGTATTGCATTGCACTGGCGTCCTCGGAGCACAGGCATTTCAGGTACTTCGACTGGCATCATCATGTCGACCGGGCACATAGGTGTAAGATGTGGTCTGGTATAGATGTCCGAGATACAGTAGCTGCGAAGACCCCTAGAACTCCATTTTTGTGTAATGATGTAATTCTAAGAACGGTACTCCAAATCTCATTTGCCACCACAGCGGTGTGTCGTGTATCGTGCCCCTTTCTTTGCTTATTATCAGCGGGATGCTGGCATTCTCGCCATCGCCGCCCCTGCAGCTCTAGCATGAACCCAAGACAATCAATCGCTGTCCAGGGCATGTCCGGGCGTGAGCCGGGTCAGGAGATCATCCTCAAGCAGACCTGATCGACGAAGCAAGCACCTGTGGGCCGGTGGTACGCCATGGGAGAGCCGCTGCAAACCGAAAAAGACGGAAGCATAGAACGACAACAGAGCACGGGGGACTGTTCATCCAAGGTTACCTGACGAGGCACGTGGGTATCTAGTCATTTGTTACGGAAGCAGGACGCGACGTCCAGAAAGCGCTTCTGTGCCCGTCGAAGGCATCACAGGGCGGTGGCGGGCTCCGGCCCCTTTCAGGGTCCAGCTTCACCGACGAGGAACCCCAGATCGATCCCCACGAGCCCGCAGAAGCCACACCTCTGGCCAGCCCAGGATGTCCCTGTCTCCCAGTCACCGACATTGCCCAGGAACCGGGTTCGCGTTCCTCGGAATATGCCACGCGAGGCAGCGGGCTGGCACTGGGGAAAGCAAAAACACGATTTCATTTCACAAGAAGGGCTTTTATTGCCAAGTCACACATGCATATCGACATAGGTACTTACTAAAATCGCCGCGCCACCAGGAACCCCCCAATCCGATCCGGCGGCACGACCAGAGACGCGCTCACATGGATGCATCCCGCGCGGGAACGCCACCAACGTGCTCGATGAAATCCCACATCTCGTGACGCCCGTTAATGTGTTTCACCTCCAGCTTCTAGAACCCGCCGATCGATTAGAACCCCCACAGGCCACAGGCCAAGACCCGCGCGACCCCCACGCTGCCGCTACCCGGATCTATTCCGCAGTTCCCGTCGCACCGAGCGGCACCATCCACGGGAGTCTAAAATGTGCATGTCCATATTAAAGGGGTCGTGGGAATAGCTGAAGGCAATAAAAGGAGCGATTACATACTTGCCATTGCTTCAGAAGAGATGAAGAAATGAACGAAACAATCTTCGAACCCCTACAGCAGCCCTGTAGATCCTACCACGTCGTGTTCCTGCCCTGCCTGTCACAGAACTCCCGACCTCTCCTCACATCTCGCAAATCCCGGCTGGATCTCACTGCCCGGGAATGGACTTCCACTGACGACTACTACATAAGCCAATGGGCTGAAAGAGCGGTTGGTTCTTTCGGACCGTTCCAGGGGCCCGCTTCGACCTCAGATCCCGTGATGTAGTCAGGGACTCAAGCAGCGGCCAGGCCCGGCAGCCCGGATCGCGGCGCGGTAGTATTAGCCAGTGCGTATCGTGCTTTGAGCCCTTGGTGGCCATGAAGGAGCTGCCTGATTTAGTCACATGGCATTCGGTGTGCCCTAGCCACGTTGGCCGCAGACAGCGGAAATGGTACGAACACTGCCGTGATAATGAATATTTGGGCCATTACTATGTCTGCCCATTGATCTGTAGGTATTGATATGGGGCAGCTTGTCTACCAGGACATACGAGAAGCTATTAGCTAGAGTTAGGGAACATGTGTCTATAATGGCGAAGTTCGATGAAGGACGAGCCTACATAAGCTCGTCGCACTCGCACTGGAGTCAATGATTCGCAGCTATACTATATCGTCTACCCACCGCTAGCTAAGGTGGCTGTGCTGGTACATGAGCTTCCACCCAGCTAAGAAACCCTCAATGCCCTGGATTATATAGCTCCTCTAGATGTGTACCTGTTGGATTCTGGGCTACGTTAGCCCATCCATAGTCATCCTTCAGGATCACCATCCCCATCCGTGACTCTGTCACATACGTGGCCACATAAGGCCACGTATCCTTTCCTTTAGTATCTTGGATAAATAGGGCCACTCTGGCCACTCCAGAGTAGCTGGAATTCCTCTCCTTAATAGAACACTTTGAAATCTCACAGTACCTCATGTGGCAGTAGGACCAGCCTTTGTCATTTTCAGAGAAACACTGAATGACTTTCTCGGTTTAAATATTCCCGTCCACCTCTTGGACCATTCAAAGTCAAACTTGACGATTTCGCTGCCCTTTCCTCCATTCGCGGTGCGCATTGCTGTTAAGTACGCGGATCGGAGGATGATTATCCAGTCACGCTTAGACATCTCGGGTGCGTCAGCGCGCGAGGATAGCGTGGCAGTGAGGGTTACAGCATCTGGGCCTAGAGTTACACCATAGTCCTCCGAAGTCTCATCGCTGACAGAGAACTCCCGTTCTTTCATACGGGCCGCCTTGTCGCCCAATCTTTTCAGTGCCGCGCGGACCTTGTCATTATCATAATCTGGGAGTTCCTCCTTATCAACTGGTTGACAACCAGCCGTTGTGATTTTGAGACCGCTATCCAATTTCAGTGTGCCCGTCTTCTCGAATTCTTCGTGCCTCTTCGCTAGATGGTCCGCCGCGAGGTCGACATCAGCTCTAGTGGCCAGAGCAGCTGTCGCCCTCTTTGACCACAATGGCTGGTCTTGGTCCATCACTGTAAGTTGAACTCTGAATACCCCGTCCTTGTTAAAAGGCCAACCATATAAGGGAGTAAATAATATGTTGTTCTACAGAAACGTACAGTACTAATTAGGCGCGGAGGCTATATATATATAAACGAATTGTCCTTTTGTTTACAAGATGCTTTTTAATAATACTTCTTTTTTAAAACCTTATTTAACCGTAAATAAGGCAATTTAAATGTCCAAATTAGTATTATTATTACTCTTTTTAACATTTTCGCTTAATTCGTTTAAACTATTATTATTTAAATTTCATTTATTCTTTATTTATTTTCATGTTAATCTTTTTACTTGAAGGCTTTTTTTATATAATATTATTTTAAAAAGTTTAAATTATCTTTTCTTTTTTAATAAAATTCGTAAATGATTTAATGATAACTGCAAAGATTAGGCGCAAACTATTACAATATTATCCTATGTTACTACTTAATTTGATACTAAAGTGATATTCTAATTTATATAGTTGTTAATAACCTTATTAAATATATACTTTTAAAAAAATATGTTTATTTAAACGATAATAAGGCCTTTTTAAATGCTTTAAATATCTTTATTGATTTTAACTTACTTTTTTATTTAAAAATTTTGACTGGTTACAATCACGAGTAATAAAAATTTTTTTACCGTTAAATTTCCCGTTAAGCTTAGAAACATACGCTTATTTACACGTTTATAATACTATAAACGAACTAAGCTATTTATTATTTAGCTTTTTTTAAGGTTGTTATTTAATAGTATTTTTTCAACTTGATTAGAAATTAAATTTACTTTCTTATGTATAAAGGCGTCGCCTTTTTTAACGTTCGCATATTACTTGTAGTTTTTTTATATTCGTATCATATTATAGCAAATTTTATCAAAAAAACCCTTTATCATTATAATATGTTTATTAGCTTCATCTTATTTTAATGACTCGTTTTTAACAAGTTTGGTAGTTTTAATAAAAATACCTCGATATTTAATCCTAAATTATAATTATAGTTAATCAGAACCGGTAAAAACTTCGTAATATTAAGAATAACGTATTAAAGTAAATTTTATAAGAAGTAAATAATTTGTTTATTCGTTTTAATCGAATAAAATATAAATACGTCAATGTTACTTTAATATAGCGTTTATAATCTCCGTCTAACTATTAATCGAAAAATAATATACAAGTAAAGGTTTAAGCTTAAAACTATAAAACTGTTGAAACAGGATTGACCGATCAATCATAATACTCGAGTATGGGTCAAAGTCATGGTGTTACTGATGGGTTTGGATTGGGAGGGCTAGCTGGACCTGAAGGTCTGGCTAAGTGACCTCGCAACCCGGTATTCAATCTCTTATCTAATCATATATGTGGGTCTTGGTATAGATGGTTTGCAGGCTGAAATCGCATGGATCTAATAAAAACAAATTATAACCTATTATTTAAAATAATAAATTCAAAAACGTTATAGAGTAGAAACAGCTTATAAATAAACATATTTTTTATTGTATAAACGTTAGTTTATTAATCAATATAAGATAACTCATTTTTATTAACCAATCGATTATTACAAATATATACTTATAAACGATTTCGTGCCGCATATATTTGAATAACTTGATAATATAATCTATTAAAATATTAAAATAAGGTTTATAAAATATTATTAAAATACATAGAAAGTTTTAATTTTTTTTTAAACTTCTTCACCTTTTTATAAGTATAATAAACTTCAACGAAGCCTTAGATTTATTTATAAATATATTAAGATAACGTAGCTGACAAGCGAGTTGACATTACAAGCAAGTTGGCACTCGTCATGAACTTTCCAACCAATACGATTCAAACCATCATATCTCCACCAACAACAATGGCACCGCGTTATAACGAATCAGACTTGCAGCTAGCTGTTCAAGCTAAACGACGTGACCCTCATATTCCTATATTTCAACTTGCAAAACTCTTCAACGTCCCTCGTTCCACTTTGAGCAATAGAGTCAAAGGAATGCCATCACGACGCGACAGCATGCCCAATACTTTGAAACTTATGGTTTCCGAAGAGAATGCCATTTGTTCCTTCATTCTCGACCTGGATGCGCGAGCATTTCCGCCCCGGTACAGTTATATTGAAGATATGGCGAATCAATTATTGGCGGCGCGTGGGGCTGGACGTGTTGGAAAGAACTGGACGCGGAACTTCATCAAACGTACACCAGGCCTCCGGACGCGTTTTTATCGGAAGATAGACTACCAGAGGGTCTTGAACGAGGATCCAGACGCGTATCGCGCGTGGTTTTGCCAAGTTGCAGCGGCAGTCGCGAAACATGGTATCCAAGACGCGGATATTTATAACTTCGACGAGACTGGGTTTATGATGGGCATTATTGGGTCCGGCATGGTCGTTACAAGCGCCAAAAGACGTGGCAGGCCTAGACAAGCTCAGCAAGGCAACAGGGAATGGTCTACAGCAATCTCTGCTGTTAATGCTGATGGTTGGGTGGTCCCGCCGTTCATCATTCTACAGGGCAAAACCCACCTCGCGTCATGGTATCGCGACACAATATTACCACGCGATTAGAAAGTGGCTGTGTCCGACAACGGGTGGACCACGAATGAGATTGGTTTGGAATGGATTCAGCATTTCGACAAGTATACCAGACCGCGTATGACTGCCGGTAAACGCCTCCTCATCCTAGATGGTCACGAAAGCCACCATTCCCAGGTCTTTGAGGATTATTGTCAGAACAACGGCATTATTACCCTTTGTATGCCTGCCCACTCGTCACACAGGCTCCAGCCTCTAGATGTCGGCTGTTTTAGCCCGCTCAAACAAGCTTACGGTCGCATGATTGAGGATCTCATCCGGCGTCATATAACCCACGTTTCAAAGGAGGACTTCCTTGCAGCATTTTGTGAAGCACACAACGCTGCTATGACGCCAGGAAACATTCGAGCAGGTTTCAGTGCCACTGGGCTTGTTCCTTTTGACCCAGAAAGTGTCATTTCAAAGCTGGATGCTGTCGCTGTCATACGAACACCGTCGCCAGACCCCAATCTGCCACCCATTACTTGGACTTCGAAGACGCTTACCACCATTAACGAAGCGGTAAACCAATCGGTTTATATCCAAAACCGAGTCAGAAACCACCAGGGAAGCTCACTTACATCAATAGTTGATGCGTTGAGCTCGTTTTTGAAGGCTACATACGGTCTTATGCATAAGGTTGCTTTGGTTGATTCCCGGGTCCGCGAACTAGAAGAGGCCAATCACCTATTAAGTAAATGCCAGAGAACAAAAAACAAACGTCTAGTGAAAGGAGGAGTACTTTCCGTTAAAGATGCAATAGATCTTCAGGCTGCAAAGGATGGTACTGAGCTGGCAAAACAGGAAATGAATGAAAGTAGTCGTCGTCCGAGGCGGGCGGCAGCGCGTGGGCGACAGTGTGGCATTTGCGGCAATACTGGCCATAATGCGCGAACTTGTACAATAGAGATAGAAACCTCTGAGGAAGAGGAATCCGATTGATTGAATTGAACTGAATGCGTTGTGGTGAAGTTATTTGACATGGCAGTTGGAGAGTTCATGACGAGTGCCAACTCGCTTGTAATGTCAACTCGCTTGTCAGCTACGTTATTAATAATCCTGTTGAATTAAGATTACCGTTTTAACTTCGTTTAAATAACTATTAATAAAAAATACGTATATATAATATCTGATTTAAAAACGGAAATAAATGTCTTTAAAAATAAATAGTTTATTATTATTAAAACACGGCCGTATCGTAATTCGTAATCGTTCATAAGTACGCGTATAAATCGCTTTACAATTTTTAATTATAACTTTCAAATTAATAAAGTTGTTATTACTTTTTTCCCTATTAAATTCATATTATACGTTGTATTAATAAAGTCGTCGATGTTTTTAAACATATTTATTACGTAAAATCGGTTATTACCTATTGAAGCAAGCAAGTATAGGGGTCAACCATGTTGTTGTGCGTGTGTTGGTTGTCTAGCTAGCTAGGTGAGGGCTGCCACTATATATGGTGGCAGTCTCTCCTTATCTTATCTATCTAGCCGCCACCTGATTGGCCAGGGCACCCACTTACAGTGTGTCTTCCTAGTGACGTGTGTCACCTATATTTTAAAATATGGGTAAATTCAAAAAGTCGTTTATTATCTTACTGTTTTATAAAGATTAATGATATTAAGCTTTAAAGTTAAAGTGTTCTTTAATATTGAATGAAAATCATTTAATTGAACCGACTGCTTATTATTTTAATACATAATTTAAGAATTGAATTAATTAAAAAACTTCGCTTGTTAATGTGACGAGCCGTCTAACCTATAAGGCTAAAGGGTTCTATATCTGTATACCGTTGCTCCGATTTCTCCACTGGTCGGCACCCCACTCACTGGTCAACCTGTTTCTAATCGTCTCTTCTGGGCCTGTTATTAGGCCGCACTGTTTGTTAGTTCGTAACACAGTAGCAGTGCGAGAATAGCGGTAAATTTTTACTTATCGAATATTTATAAAAATTAGAATAATTCGGTTTTATAAAGGTTTTTTTAAAAAATTGGGTTTTTTGATTAGCTTAAAAAAGCGTATGAATTTTATAATATATTTAATAATATTAGCAAGAACATAAATAAGTCTAAGTATAAAATCTTAGCTTTTAACGGGTTTTTTTTTCCAAAGATTTCGTTTCTTTTTCAATAAACTTCAGTTTAAATAATAAAGTAAAGGTCGAAAGTTATAAAAAAAAGATAAATAACGAGCTATGGTTTACGGTAATTGGTGATTTTTAGAAAAAATTGACCGGGAAAATTTAATAAATAAGTAGATTATTACCGCTTTTTAATAGAAAATGTTATACGGGTAATAAAAACCCGTATCTAAAATTAAAAAAAAAAGGATAACGATAAAAGTAAAGGTAAAAATAATGATTCAAAGTAATAAGGTTGTTAATATTAATATTAGCATTAATACTTATTATAAGCTTTAACTTCGGCGTTATCAAAAGACTTTATAAACTTTAACGTTATTAGATTGCGACGGTTATTAGCGACGAAAAGGTAAAATCGGATACATTAAAGCCTTTATTTATATTATAAGAAATCGAGGTATAAAAATGAGAATTACTTAAAACACCTCGGTTGTCGTAATTAAAACCGTTTAAAAAACGGCTTTAATTTAAGAAGATTAAGCTTTACGCTTATTGACGGTAATAATAACCTTTTCAAACATCTTTATTAACAGGATTACGCGTAAGATTTCCGGTTTTAAAATTTTACTTAAAAATGAATACGGATCATTAGCTTAGCTTTATAAGCTTTTTTTAATACCTTAAATTGACAAGCTTTTTCAAAACTTTTTTTAAGTATGAGGTTTATAGCAAAAGTAATTAACTATTTAAAAAGTAGAAAGGGTAAGATTTTTAAAAAGGCGTTTTTCAAACTTTAATTACGAAGATGTTTTAAATATAGATATATTATATTTGAAGTTGGTAAATATTAGCGATTATTATCTTTCTTACGGGCGATTGTTTATTAAAGCGGCTGCGGTAAAATTGATTCTATTATTTTATTAAATTTGGGGTATATTTCTTTACATATAAATGAAACCTTTACGAGAGATTATAAGTTCGATATTCTACGGTTATTAAGATTAAAATAACGATTATGTATTAACGCCAAACGAAAAGGCAATATTATTAAATTTATTACTACAATAATAAAAGTATAACTTAGCTGACAAGCGAGTTGGCATTACAAGCGAGTTAGCACTCGCCATGAACTCTCTAACTGTCAAATGAAATAACTTCACCACAACGTATTCAATTCAATTCAATCAATTCGATTTCTTTTCTTGAAAGGTTTATATCTCTATTGTACAAGTTTGCGCATTATGGCCAGTGTTACCGTAAACGCCACACCGTCACTCACGCGCTGTCGTCCTCCTTGGATGACGACTACCTTCACCTATTTCCTGTCTTACCAGCTCAGTACCATCCTTTATAACCTGAAGACCTATTACATCTTTAATAGAAAGTATTTCTCCTTTTATCAGACATTTATTTTTTATTTTCTGGCATTTATTTATTACGTGATTAGCCTCTTCTAACTCACGGACCCAGAAATCAACCAAAATAACCTTGTGTATAAGACCGTATGTAGCCTTCAAAAACGAGCTCAACGCATCAACTATTGATGTAAGTGAGCTTCCCTGGTGGTTTCTGACTCGGTTTTGGATATAAACCGATTGGTTTACCGCTTCGTTAATGGTGGTAAGCGTCTTCGAAGTCCAAGTAATGGGTGGCAGATTGGGGTCTGGCGACGGTGTTCGTATGACAGCGACAGCATCCAGCTTTAAAATGACACTTTCTTGGTCAAAAAGAACAAGGCCAGTGACACTAAAACCTGTTCGGATGTTTCCTGGTGTCATTACAGCATTGTGTGCTTCACAAAACGCTGTAAAGAAGTCCTCCTTTAAAACATGTGTTATATGACGCCGGATGAGATATTTAATTGAGCAACCATAAGCTCGTTTGAGTGGGCTAAAATAACTACATCTAAAGGCTGGAGCATATGTGAGGAGTGGGCAGGTATACAAAGAGTAATAATGTGGATCCAGTGCATGGACCCATATGGAGTATTCTGGAACCCACCAGATATGTTAGAGGTTACCTAATGAAGGCTGCCTGGCAACCCTTTATTGCCCCAGGTACCTCACTACTATAATTTAGGTATTTAGATACATCTCGGATAGAATCCTGTTCATCCGACCTTTTAATCAAGCACCACCCAGACCACTGATAGATTACAACAAGACTTGTGATTTGTCAGCATCTGGGAAAGCTACCAAAAGGTACAATAATTCCATTGTTCTGGCAATAATTCTAAAAAACCTGGGAATGATGGCTTTGGTGACCATCTAAGATGAGGAGGCGTTTACCGGCAGTTATACACGGTCTGTATACTTGTTAAAATACTGAATCCATTTCAAACCAAGCTCATTTATAGTCCATCTGTTGTCAGACACGGCCACCTTCCAATCGCGTGGTAATGTCGTGTTGCGATACCATGATGCGAGGTGGGTTTTGCCCTATAGAATGATGAATGGTATCACGGCGAGCGTACTGAGGAGCTGGGACATGGCCGGCAGCAAGCAGCTATTACTCTATTGACGAGAATATCAAGACTAGAGAGGAAAGGAAGAGAGAGAGAGATAGGTACAGCGGGAGGTTGCCCCTTTAAGAGGATCCTCTGGTCAGATCCTTCCCCTATTGGGAAGTATCGGCTTGTCATGTGAGAAGGTCTGTGCAGGCCGTCACATATACTAGTTAAAATAGACTACGAGATTTATGATAAAAAGCCACTTACAATTATTACGTTGTTTGAAGAATAGCGCTACAAGTTTTGAAGATTTAATAAACCATTTAAAATTATTACAAATTATGAAAGCTTATAATATTTTATAAATATTACAATTTTGACGTAAAAAGTGGCTTAACTGTTACGAACCAACAAACAGTGCGGCCTGATAGCAGGCCCAGAAGAGACGATTGGAAACAGGTTGACCAGTAAGTGGGGTGCTGATCAGTGGAGAGATCGGAGCAACGGAGCGACGGTACACAGATCACGTGACCAACAAAACCTGGGTCACATGACTAAGAATTTAGATCACTGGATCACCATGGTGAGCCAGTGAGCAGGATCACCTTGGATCACCGGTGATCCAGGGTGAGCCACCTAATCAGTGAGGGAGAGATTGGATATATAAGGACAGACATTTCCCAACTAGATAGATAGACAGTCTCTACCTCAGTGATCAATCTAAGCATCTTAGCCAACCTTAAGGTGGGAGAAATCTCCTGACGACTCGACTACGCAGTGAACCCAGTTCAGACCAAGCCGCAGTATCTGAGTGTCTTCCAGTTGAAAGAAGCCTCTATCGTCCTTTGTGTTGACTTACCATAGAACATAAACCCTATAGAACCCTTTAGTTTTATAGGTTAGACGGCTCGTCACATACTGGAATGAAAGCATATATAATTTAATATTTTTTTTTTTTGTATTATATATTTTAATCTCTATGTTAATCTTAAAACGTATATTACCTGATTAAGCTTTAAATTTATAGGAACGCTTTTTATCATTCTTTTCGTCTTTATTAAACTTATTAAAGTTAAAAATTAAAGCGAAGCATATAGCTTATTTTTTAAAACTACCGGTATTAATGATTGAGAGCATTATCCGTGAAACTATAAGTGCAGTATGAGCGTGACAGCGTTGTTGTTTTCAGGAAAAGGTCTATCAACTGTTTGTTGGTGGTAGAATATACTTAGATGCTCTATGGGTCCCTGTACGACCCGACAGCGTGGCTGATCCTCATACACCGCTTATATATACAGATGGATACTGCTCACCATAATACTTTGAATGCCTTGCTTAAAGCTATAAGCGAAATTATTAGCACCGCTTTTATAAGTTTTAATACGGCTTTAACTATTTTAAAACTAGCTTTAAAAGTTTGAATTTAACGAGTCATTTATAGTAACTTATGTTTAAAATTAAGCGACCTTTTATCTTTAAATACGAAAAGCGTCCTTTAAAGTATTGGAAATTGACAACGCGTAATTATTAACGCTTTAATTATTAATGAAAGCATTATAAAAAGGACGAAAATCTTCATTATAACCGTTTTATGAACACGTTTAATAAACTGTAATTTAAACGTTCTTTAAATAAAAACTCGATACTTCATAACTCGTTATTATTAACATCAAACTTACCGTTTATAAAAAACATTAAAAAGAAAATAAAGCAAGGGTTAAAGTTAAAGTTAAAGTTAAAGTTTAAGTTAAACTAAATGTTAACATTATTTATATTATTTAAAAAAAAGAAAAAAGGGTTATAATACCATTTTTCCACGGTTTTGTCGTATATTTTAACATTGAGTTTTATATTAATAACGTTAACACAGCTTATTTTAAAGTAAGCATTATTTTCTTTAGTTTTTTGAAGATCTAAAATGTTAAAAAGGTTAATAAATGTAAAGCGAAAAGCTTAATTAACTGTAATCAATTAGGCTTAAACAATATTTTATATAAATAAAGATATTTAAGATTAAACTTAAAAACTAAAAGTAATGAATAAAGAATTAAAAAAGCTTACATAATAATAAAACCGAAATTAAAAAATGTAAAATAATAGAACTGGTAATTAAAATAATAATTAAAGCAATGATTATAAAGTTATTTATTAACGGTAAAACAAACTGTTCAAAAGCTAACCATATAAGGAGGTAAATAATATATTGTTTTGCAGAGAGGTATAGTACTAATTAGGTGCGGAAGCCATGTATATGCAAGTACAAGAATTGTCTCTTTGTTCACGGGATGCTTCCTGACAGTCCTTTCCATCCCTGGCCCATATGAAATTACAATCAACGAAGCTGATATCAGATGCGTGGCGCCTTGTTTCGTACAAGGCGCCGAAGATGGCTGACCAGTCATCCCCAGACAACTCGGGTCTTTCACCGTGCTTTACCGTGAGAGTGAAAATTGCATCCGACTTCGTTTCCTCGAGAGTGAAAGCACCAGCTGCCACTTTAGCGGCATTGTAGGCCATTTCATTCAGTGTCATGAGTATATCATCAATTCCTCTGTCATAATCATGGAATTTCTGGGTGGTCCACAAGCCACTCGCTTCGAGTTTGTAGCGGCTGTCCGAATCCAGTGTGTCCCCGTCCTTGAGTGGCTCGAAATAATTGATGTCTCCCCTTCTCGCTAGAGAGTTCGCCGCGAGGTCGACATCAGCTCTATTGGCCAGCGCAGGATAAACTTTATCAACTTGAAGTACAACCCTAAATTTCTTGGACACTTTGGATAACCGGGACCAGGACAACGTGAATCCTTCGTACCATTTGAAATCGCACAGAACTTGGTAGCTGCCACTATCATCATTTGCCTTGAGCATCGTGGAGTACATGGCGTTTCCGGCGCAGACATTTCGGGTATTTCACTGGGACCGGGTACCTGGACAGTGATAGATACACCCGAAGTCCTTTTTGTAGATTTGAATGTGTTCGTGGAACCGGTATGGAGCGAAGCGGCCGCCGCATCTTCGCTCAAGCTGCGCAGTGTGCGGTCCTCGGCTGTATCGTGAACTGGGAACATACCTCCGCTGGCCCACAGATAATCTAATGTGAGTTTGATGCTGGTTTTCAGTTCTTGGTCGGCCTTGAATTCCAGCGTGTCCCCATTGCCGAAAGGAAGTCCAGAGTATATTCCCCCCCTTTTCGTCAAATGGCCCGCCGAGAGATCGACATCACCGGTTTGGCGCTCGACGATCTTCGTATCGGAGCCAGCAATGGGTTCCGTCGTTCCTCGTACCTCAACGGCTGGGGCGTGGTCCGGGGCCGCGACTCTAGTGACCAGAGCAGCTGTCGCCTCGGCCTTTGACATTCTGAGAACAGAGAATGGAAACCATTTGTGTCCATTGAACGACCATTTAAAATCAAACGAGATGAGGTCGCTGCCATCATTATCATTGGCACTGCGCATTGTTGAGTACAAAGCGTTAAAGATGATTGTCCACCCATGCGCAGATATATCGGGTCTTTTACCGCCCATTTGTAGCGTGATAGTGAGAGTTACAGCATGATGACCCGAAGTCTCACGCCTGAGAGTCGGGACTTGATCATTCGGAGTCTTTTGCTTGAGAGTGGGCGCCTCTTCGCCCATCTTGTCCAGTGCCTGGCGGACACCAACATTATCATGATCTGGGAATTTATCTTTGTGGAGGTAATGACCCGCCGCAATAAGTTTGGTGCCGCTCGCCAGTTCCAGCGTGTCTCCGTCTTCGATTGGGAACCGATAAAATATTATTGCCTTATCGCCAAATGGTCCGTCGCGAGGGAGATTGACATCAGCTCCGATCCGACGCTCGACGATGTTCGTATCGGAGCGAGCAACGGTTTCGGTCGTGGCTCGTACTTCCTTGGAAACGGCTTCGGCGTGATCCGGGGCCGCGACTCTCCCAAGCGTCGTGCCGACGAGAGCAAGAAGGGCAAGGTTGAAGATCTGCATTGCGGAAGGCGTTGGATAGGTTCGAATTTCGAAGTGAAACGGGGAAAACGGTAGAAGATGTAGTAGAGCTGATGATGTGTCCCGTGATGCTTAAGAAGTCTTGATAGTTGGTTGTTTGATGGGCATGTTCTGGACGGACGAGTAGAAGGAACCTTTGTCTCATATAAACCTTCAAGTATGTCACTCATTCATTAACCATTGACCCTTCGGATTCCCCGGTGCCCTTCGTCATGAGTGGTAATTTGAAGGAATCAGGCCAGAATTATCAAACGCATCACATTCTTATCCTCTGACGAGGATGGAAACGGCGCAGGCCGCGGCCGCCATCTTCGCCTCCATCCTCTTCGGCATTATGGGTCCATCACTGCCACTCTCAGCCGAAGGCATAGGCCCCGGCTCCATACCGACCAGTCCCGCCACACTCCCGCGCCAGCTCAAGACTGGACTGGGCTGGCCCTCGGCTCCACCTCCGCCACCTGCACCACCATCGCCGCTTCCTCCTGTGATGCCCTTCGGTGACAGGCAACAGCTCCTACTCCTGTGCGACCGCCTATGCCGGCTGCTAATGCGGGTGTGCAGGCTGGAGCCGCGAGACCGGCGGCGCTGTTGGGAGATATTCAGTTGAGTTGAACATATCCTTGTACATACCGGTAGAACTGAGATGCAAGAGAAGAGAAATGCCATGATGTCAAGCTCCATAGTAGTGCTCAAGCCGGATTTCGATATGCTTTTGCTGTTTAATGGCAGGCTTTTACTTGGCCTGCTTGATTACCTACATAGAGAAGACTACGATGTAACTCTTGCAAGTTGTTCCTGGTATTCTCTTAAACTTGGCGCCAAGGCTGTTGATTTTCCGATGAAATCCCGACCTTACGCCGCCCAGCCTCGGCCGCTTCCCCTTTTCCAAGCGACGGGAGCGCCCGCAATTTATCATTGGAACGGTTGCTGGCTGCCATTCTCCTGCCTGAACAGTCACCTCCCTCCGCGAAGTGGGAAGAAGTCGTCCCCCCGCATCCCGTCAGGAGTCGTTGCGTAGCATCGCGGGGACCTGCATTAGGTATGCAGGTATGCAAGCCGCGTGTTCGCCACGCAAACGAGAAATCCACTACCCCATAATTCCCAGGATCACTGCCGGAATGTGGGAGGCGCGTTGGCAAAACACCGCGTGTGGTTGGATGAGTCGATAAACAACCCTCCCCCAGATCGATATGATGCCCTGGGTTATTAATCTATCCGGGGCCTCGACGGTGGAGGCTCTGCGAGAAAGAGGCAGGCCGTGCCAAGAGCATGATGAGGCTTTGCTTGGCAGGACCGTGAGGCAGATCCACCAGTCATGGGCTGTGGAATACAAATGGCGCCTAGGTACTCTGCTGCTTCACTCGAATAGTGATGGGCCAACCATCAACTTCGTTCTTTGACTCTCATTCTTCTGTTTGCTGTATACCTCGTTCAAGATGGTTGCTATCAAGTCTCTAGCCGCTGCCATGGCGCTCCTCCCTCTGGCTCTTGCTCACCCGGGCGAGAATAAGGAGGCTATCAAGCGAGAGATGGGTCTGCGCAATGTAGCCCACGCCCATGCTTCGAGAGCTCTGTCCAAGTGCCAGGATTCAGCGTCGTCCTTGGAAATGAAGAAACGCAGCGCTGCTCGCCGCGCCGAGAAGGTCAAGAGTCTTCGTGCCAAGCGGGGTCTTACAAGCGGTATGTCCCTCTATGCTCGGACCATTGAACCCTCAACTGATCCATGACTTAGAACCATTGAGCCACCAAAAGAGGGATCTCACGGAGCTCGGGTACTACGCCGGCATCTCGCACAACTCCACGGCAGGCTACACCCTCGACACGCCCGAGACCACCATCTTCGGCTCCAACAACACCTGCGCCCTGGTCCCCGAGACGACCATCGGGCCCTACTACGTGACCGGCGAGTACATCCGCTCCGACATCACCGAGGGCCAAGCCGGAGTACCGCTACACCTCGAGATGCAGTTCGTGGACATGAACACCTGCGCCCCCGTCCCCCAACTCCTCGCCGACGTCTGGCACTGCAACGCGACGGGCGTGTATTCCGGCATCGGGACGGACGAGGGCGAGGGCGGCCTGAACAGCACGTTCCTGCGGGGCGTGCAGACCTCTGACGCCGACGGCACGGTGGCCTTCGACACGCTGTTCCCGGGCCACTACAACGCCCGCGTCACGCACTTCCACCTCGTTGTACAGACCAACGGCACCTACCAGGCCAACAACACCTACACGGGTGGGGACACGTTACACGTCGGTCAGCTGTACTTCGACGACAGCCTCGTCAAGGCCGTCGAGGCTACCTACCCGTATTACACTAACACCATCGCGTACACCACGTGGGAAGATGACGGCTGGATGCTCGAGGAGGCGACGGCGCAGTATGATCCGTTTGTGGAGTATGTGCAGCTCAGTGAGGACTTGGCGGATGGGTTATTGGGTTGGATTACGGTTGCCGTTAATTTGAGCAGTAATCACACGGCGAACTTGACGGCGGCTGCCCATCTCTACAAGGATGGGGGAGTGGCGGTTAATGGGTCGAGTAAGGGGCTGCCGCCTAGCAACCCTAATGCGCCTATGCCCTCTATGTAGGTGGCGAGCGGACGAGGGGATTCTTGTAGATAGGTAGCTTGGAATGAATTTTTGCATGCATGACTGGCTGTGTTCGATTGTGCTCAGTCACGCGTGCCGCTCGGCGATCACGTTGGTGATGCAGAGGAATCTAGTGCCGAGGCCGCTTGCCGCATGGCACTCCTAGGGTAAGCCATCCCGACTATAGGACAGAGAAGTCCTGTTTGAGCAGCTTTGCAGCGGTTACTGGAATGATTGAGAACTCAGCAAGCACAAGTTGGGTGTGATCAAGGCCACTGGTAAATCATGCTCAAATAATTAATAGAAGCGACAAGACGATAAGTAAAGAAATAAAAAATAATATAAAAAGAAGTCTGAGTAATTCAAACACTCGGAAGTGCTATCAAGACATTTGACTTTACAAAAAGAGTGAGTCTGTATGCCAGAAGAGGCCGTGAGGATCAATGCTGTTAGCCTCACATGGATGCATGAACTTCGATGCTTAGGTAGCGGTGCTGAGACCCGCTACAGACTCAACCCCACTCACTAAAGCCCCGCGAGGCTGCGACTGTTCTCAAATATTTCCAAGCTCTAAACCTCCATCCCGACCACCATGTCATGACATAACGACTCGATCTCGCCCTCACAACGCCTCACAACGCCTCACAGCACCCAATACGAGCCGGAATAACACCATGGCTACTACACAAAGCCCCCTGACGCTCTCGAGCGCCACCTTCGCCAAACTCTCCCCACACCCTTACCTCCTCGCCAACCTTCAGCCCCCGGACGCATCCACGCCCTCCTCGCGCACCAACGGCCGGCAGCCGCGCCAGGCCCGCCAGCCCAACATCAACACTTCCTCACTCTCGCACGCACACGGCAGCGCGGTAGTCCGGACAGGCGACACGACGGTTATTTGCGGCGTACGCGGCGAGACGCTGCTCACAACCGATATACCCAACTACCGCGCGCCAGATGTCGTCAACCCTACCAAATCCGACGCCGTGGCAGAAGCAGACGAGCTGCGGGACTACGACCTCCTGGTGCCGAACATCGAGCTCGCCACGGGATGCGCGCCGAACTTCCTGCCCGGCGTGCCGCCCACGACGCTTGCGCAGACGCTGAGCACGCGCCTGTACTCGCTGCTGCACAGCTCGGGGCTTGTCGACGTGGAGGATCTGCGCATATACCACGATCGGCCGGAGAAGCAAGTCCCACGGCATGGCGACAAGATGGAGGAAGTTGATGCCGACGAAGAGGAGGAAGACACGGCCGAGGTCAAGGCCTACTGGGTGCTCTACATCGACGTGCTCTTCGTTTCCTTCGACGGCAACCCCTTCGACGCCGCCTGGGCCGCCGTGCTCGCCGCGCTGCGCGACACAAAACTTCCCCCCGCGGTTTGGGATCCGGACCACGAGATGGTGCTCTGTTCGCGGAAGGCGCCCTCCTCGCTGAATATAAGGGGTATGCCCGTCGCATGCACGGCGGCCGTGTTCACCGCCAAGGAGAAGCAGCAACGCAAAGGGGAGCAAGGTCAATATTGGATTCTGGTGGACCCGGATCGGTTCGAGGAGAGCCTCTGCGACGAGGCGCTGACGGTGGTGGTGGATCGGACGCTGGGCGAGACGAAGGTACTGGGCATCTCGAAGAGCGGAGGCACGACGGTTGGGCCGCAGCTGATGTGGAAGTATGTCACGGTGGCTGAGGAGAGATGGCAGGAGTTCAAAAGTGCCCTATGAATGGAGCAGATGAATGATGATACCCAATTCTCACATGGTCACGGGCCCCTTTCAGCGAGTGACCTTTGACGACTCGTCCGGCGATCTCGAAAGTTCTGGTTGACATGTAGGTCCGGACTCGACCCCTTGAATACAAATGTTCATGCCGGAAAACACTCACTGTTCTAGTCGCCGTACTCTATCTCCCATAATTCACGGCGAATAAAGCACCACATCGCAATAGGAAGGAGCAAAATCACTTGGCCGCAAAAACAAGTCTACAAAGTGTATGGAAGCAACGCAAGGAGCAATTCTCCTTTACCTAACACAGTCAGCCTAGAAGGACTGGACCACTTGCAGACTGGACACAATCTGCATGACGTCTCCATCCCCTGTACTTCTGGAACTCCTTGAAACCTTCGACTTACTTGAATCTGTCGGACTCCTTGGACGCCACAACTCCAAGGCAAGTCTGCAAGTCTGAACCCCTTTCTGACCTAGGCCGGATAATCACATGTCAGAGTAAGCTCATCCTGTCTACAATACCTACTGAGGCATTGCTGTTTCGCAAATTTACGTCAGTCAGGGACCTTATGGTCATTTTCCGGTTATTGCCTGTCGAAGGAGTGAATAATGTTGGCCGCGCCTTCTCTCCTCTGTCCAGTACCTCCACGTGATCCTCTCGCAGCTACTGAGATCATGTGTTCGTGCCAACTTAGACCCTTGCGTTCCTGCTTCGAGCATGCCAATGCCATTGCGCTGAGATTGCATGACATTTCATTACCTTTAACTGACGACAGGTGGGCCAAGTGAGATGCCTTTAGGAACATTGAGGCAGGCACCGCAAGGGCAAGGCAAGGGGGCCTCTCGGCAAGAAACACACTTCGATCGGGCAGGAGCCGTCTCCCCATCCCCAACCTACATGTACCATCTTAACTCCGCAAGTGACACGGCCACGGCCACTTGTGCCGACGACACTTGATCATCTTCACACAATCCAGGTATTAATTTTGGAAGCTGCTCGATTGATAGGCATTTCTACCGACTCTACATCATTTCCCACTCTCCATCGCTCCACGATCACGTCGTCAAGCCTCACGCCCACGAAACGATGGCCACCCCCACAAGCCAGATACTCGAACAGGATCCGGAGGCGAATCCTACTTAGGAACGAATTTGTCACACTCTTGATCGGCAGCTTCTCTGGCCGACAGACTGTCCTGACGTCCGAAATGCGGTATACAACGAGCTCAAGCCCTTCTTCCCAAACCACGCCGTGCGGCCGTGCAGCGACTCGGAGCTGCGTACGTGGGCAAGCTTTCTTCGCAGCCCACACTCTGTTGAGAATTCGGCCCTACAGTCATCCTTACCCCTGGTTCCTATCGAGACTTTACCACCTGGTGAATATAGCGGATTTTACGTCAGGGAATGGAACATTGACCGCCAAGATTTCAACCGTCTCAAGGAGTACCTTCGAGAACATGACCAATCCTTCATAGAGTTGGAACACTGGGAACCTCACGTCCTCGCTCAGGGCCATATAGTCGTTCGCTTCGTTGCGTCTGGAACGTACCGTCTAGTCGTTCGCTCCTGCGGGGACAGAACTTACAGCGACTCCGTCATTATCCCTGACAAGGATCTGAAAACCTTCGTTGGCGTCTATCATGAGTTCTTGGAGGGTCTCAAAATCGTTTCGCCCAGAGTGGCCAAGGAGGTGAAAGTCTGCTTCCTCGATGGTGTAAATCACTTCCCGAGTAATCGGAAGATGTTCCACTATCTTTATTCAGCCTTACTTGAGCTGTTCGACACGCAGTTCTTGCTCAACCGTCACATATCGTTTCCACCGAAGGAATTCTTCAATCGCCACGCCCAATTCTGTCACGATCAAGCACCTGAATTTTTCGACCGAACGGCTCGCAATAAGATGACCTGCTCCACTCAAACTGCGAATACTTTGCGAAGTTTTTTCATCGATGTCTTGGTCTGGGCTTGGGACAATACGGTCCACGACACGATAAAGCTGGAGCTATCCACGATAATGATACGCATGAACGACGCGACTCCATTGAGGTTTCAGGGGAGGACTCTCACGGTGCTTTTCGGAGCACAGATGGACCCTGACGATCGTGCAGCGAAATTGAGTTTCCATAAAGGCAATTCCCCGGCGAGTATGCTGACGAGGTGGGTGCTTGAGGGTTTTCAAGAGTGTGAAGGGCTGGAGGCACCACCTGACGAGGTGAGTTTGCAGGTGAGTTTGCTGGACCCGATACGCATAAGCACCTGGCCGTTGCCGTTATTCTGGCGGCAAGCGATCGACGCAACTGTCATTTTATTGACAATACCCCCGCAAACTATTGTTTCTCTCGCCGCCTCCACCCGCCCAATTGACTCACACGCACGGCATAGAGACATGCTGATTTGCGAATGTCGTTTAGCTATTTCCATACTACTGTTTCGCACCGTGGCCCGAGCGTTACTTTCCCAATGAAGCAAAAGTGAGCAGGTCTTTTTACACTGTAATCTTTCGTCTGAGCACTAACTCCAGCAGGAATTCCTGAAGCGATATCTCAACACTGTTCTGCCCTTTATCTGCCTGACAATGGGGAAGCGAATGGCAGATATCATCAGAAAACTACCTCTCAGAGAACTCCAGGCCTTCACCAATAGAGGTTTTTTGAACGCCATCGGCGAGGCACGGATGATGTGTTGTGGCGGTCTCCATTTTATCCACATTCCTTTATTGGACCCAGAACGGATCAGATACGGAGGTTACGATGATAGCCCGGCGTTCTTGAACCTTTGGAAGATCTCATGGGTCAATATCTACATCGTGGGAGACATCGTGATGAAATCACTGGAGAAACACCACCACCACATATCAGACGATCACAAATGCATGTGGTGGGACGAAGTCGATAAAGAAGTAAACGAGTTTTACCATACAGGCGCCGGCTCTTTTTTAGGCCGTTCACTGAAATCAGCTCAGCGTGATTATATGGACTACTGCAAAAAGCACCCGTCGCTGATGGAACTGGAGGACTCGGACCAGGGGCAGGGGCACAGGGGAGAGGGAGGCCGTTTGCCGACTCCCGTGAGCGACGCAGGTTCTGAGAATTTGGTTGACGAGGGATAGTCGAGCATGACCGACCGTCGACTAGGAGCCACTGGTCACCGGACTTGTTGCTGCTGGCGGTAGACCGAGACTGTGGGTTGATAGGGGTTGATGGAAGTAGCGCAGCCTTTCGTCAGAGGATAACTTACCAAGGTATAATAATACATCAGCGTTTCAGAAATGAGAGATAGGCAGTGAGATCAGCAGAGACTCTTCAGTGATTCAATTGGGTTGCTCTAGAGTGACCTAGTTGATAGCTGGCAAGTTTGCATCCCTTTCATTGTCGAGCTGCTGCCACGGCCTTCGTCTTTGACTGCACACGCTTCCCATTAATCCACTTCACTATAGTAGCAACTACCACGGATGGCCTCGTGCATCGATCGTAATGGCTCCTCATTGTCTATAACATTTATGTCTTGAAGCCACTCGTCCGAGCAACATCGACAGAAATAGGGTTGTATTCGAAATATGCCTGTCAATTGGCACACGTTCCTCAATCAAGGAAGGGATAATTGAAGTATACTGGGCATAGATGGGTTTGCGGTCAAACTACAGATAGTTACATCAAAGATTGTTCACTTTAACAGACCCATTGGGCTGTGCGATGCCGTCGTGTTGCAGTGGGGTTGGTGGTTGGAAAAGGGGAAGCTCTTCACATCAGGCGTAAGCACGTGATCCAACCTGGTACCTGGGGCAGAACCCGTGTACGTACCGTTGTGTTGAGCACCTGAATTATGCCTTCTAGTCTGTGGTTGATGCATTGTGGTTCCGGCATTAACGCCGCCCTGCTCGATGTACAGCTGAGAGTTGAAAGGAATTGGTTGACGTTGAGTTGAAAGTGACATATGTGCCCCCTTAAACGCATGGACTTATGTTAACAACTAGTCTGCGCCCCTTCATTTCGTGGACAGAATGGTGTGCGTGGACAGAATATTGTGCGCGCCCCTTAGACGCGTGAGCAGAATGGGCTGTGCACCCCTTGATCGCATGGATAGAGTGGCCTGCGCGCCCCTTAACCGCATGAGCAGGTCTTGGAGTCTGAACAGAGAAAACTTCTCTTCTTGGCCTCGCATTTCATCCCATCTACCACATCCGCAACCCTCAATGGAAGCAAGCTCGCGTCTTCCGCAAAGCTTCCAATCTTCATACCCAAGCCTCCACTATCTTTCTCAAAACCCTGGTCAAGACTGCTACATCCTCTCAGGTAACTATCATCTGCATTAGCCCCGACTTGCGAGCGTCTCAATGGCTGACTCCACATGTACCAGGACAGCAGCGATGTCTCCAGGAGGGCTCCTCAAGGGACCTGCGTGGCTGATGCCCATGAAGGGAGCGGATAACAGAGTGGGCAAGTTCATGAACGGGAACGAGCTGGCCAACAGAGCATGGGACCAGATATTCAGTAATCTGTCCACTAAGCACAAGGAGTTCCCGGCCATGGAAGATGGAGACACCCTGCTCTCCATCCGTCGGAAGCTTCGATGTCTGCTACCAGAGGGCGAGGCAGGAACGTACCTGCCAAATCAGTTGCGAATATGGGCAGCGTTTCTGGACCAGCCCATGTGCGTCCCTGACGAAGACCTGGCGGAGATTCTTACGCTGGAACGTTGCCAATACCCCCCTCTTCTCAGACACGTTAGAGACAAGCACTCACAAGTCTTCTACATTACCTCATGGACCATCACCCTAGAAGAGCTGAAGCGACTTGTCCAACACCTCCAGAAGGAAGAGAAGACCTTCCGGGAGCTGAAGCGATGGCTAGTAGTGGCCAAGACTAACGGGTTACAAGCTCGAGACACCCTCACGATCCGCTACATTGGTTCTTGTGAGCTTCTAGAGTGGCCCTTGGGTCCCCTGACCAAGCCATACGACGAGTTCGCAAAGCCCTACTCCGGAGTGTTCGCCGAGTTCCTCTCGGCCGTCAAGGTAGCATTCCCAGCCGTCGCCGCGACAGCTCGGATGCACCTGCTACGGGACATCGTCGCATCGCCACATGAAGACAATGAGCTCATTCTTCAGGTCCTGCTTGAGTTCTTCCGCTCCAAGACCCTCGTCAATCGATGGCCAGTGGAGAATTTCCGGGAGAACCACGAAGAGGACTGCGCCGTCGGCGAACTGGGCACCTCTTTTCACGAGAACATGATCAAGCACGGAGCCGTGTGTCCCGACAAGTACACTGGAGCCCTGCGAGCGCACTTCAAGAACGTGATGAACTACGTCAACGCGAACCCAGCCGAGACGGGCACCATTAGCAAGCAGCTCGCATTCACCCCTGGACTGTGCACGACCCTCCTGGACCAGTCCGTACCGATCTTGTTCCAGGGTAAGAAGGCCATGATGGTACTCGCAGGCAAAGGTATGCACCTCAACGACTACATAAACGCCCGGTCCTTCTTCAGGGGCGCCAACAAGGACTCGCATGCCATGAGCAAGCTGGTCGACTACGTAGCCCGTCTTGAAGGCATGGCCACACCCCGTCCCGGGTTCTTCAGCTACTACTGCCTAGCACCATGGCCCAAGCACGACGACGACCTCGAGCAAGCGACCGTACGTCCCCAATGACCCAACCCTCTCCCCGACCCCTAACGTTACCGTCCAGTCACAGTACCAGTTACTAACCAACAGGGCACGGGCACAGATTTTCCTAGGCGAGTACCTCGGCATAGTGCAGCCCCTGATCCTAGTGACCTTCGGCAAGACAATGGCCTCACTCATAGTCCGCGACAGCGACAGCGACAACCGCAGCTCAGCGGCCACCCTCACAACATCCGACTTCCTCTCCCTAGTCGGCCGCCCCGCGGCCCGGTCCTGGGACACCAGCCACTTCATCCACATCCCGCTGCCCTCACCCAACGCGGCCCGATACCACGAAACACACACCACAACCAGCCTGGCCATCTTCATGGAGATCGCGTTCGTCGTCGCGGTCATGACGGCCGACATCGCGATGGATGTCCTGAGCACTAGCAGTAGCAACCACGACGTCGACGGGGAGGACACTGACGACGCTGACGACGACCTGCATAGTAAGCGGGTGCGCAATATGCTTCTCCGGCGCATCGTGGAGGAGCTGCGGCACGAGGTGTGGCGGACTATGCGGGATCCGTTTGATACGGCGTTGGAGTGCGTGAGGCAGTTGGTATTGGCTGATCCTCTGTTGATACCCTGAAGTCAAGCACTCAACGCGTCGGCTCCGTGACTAGGGGCATTCAACCGCCTGACATCGAGTTTCGACTCGGGAATGCAGAAGAAAAAATTACAATACTGGGGATGGTGGACTTGGGGGTATGTTGTCAAGCTGGAAGGGTAGATCAAGGAGGATATTGCACCGGGCCGCCTCCCTCAGGAGCAGCTGCAACAAGGGTAATGCAATTCATCGCCTGCCATTGACAAACAAAAAATGGTACTCGATGCAATAGTCAGTTTCTTGTAGATAGGCTAGCAGCAACTCCTATCGTCTTCCTTATCGTCGTCAACGGCGGTGGTGGAACTATATCTTGTGTTCCCTCCCGCACTGGTGGTTGATGATCATATAGCGCCTATCCACGTCCCAACACCCGCAAAGATGGCGTGTTACCTATATAGGCGGCCCAATGCTTACACCATTGTTTTCTGGACGGGTGGTGTACGGAGACTTATGAGGGTTCAGTGTAGCACCCGAAGACAGTCTCTCCCCTACCTATTCATCGCCCTCATTCGTTCAATCCAGGCCCAATCCAGGCCCAATCCAGGTACGGCCAGCGCTCACGGAGATCAAGTAGTGACGGGTCGTAGAATAAGCACACTGGTATGAGAACTCGGATTTCTAATTTTATTTCTTCACGCTTCTTTTAATCACCCTATTGTCTGACACTGGTCGGGTATGGGGTGTACGAATACTTTTGGGGCCTCAGTGTAAAATGCCGCTCATTCCTGCTCGTGGTACCTTTTTTTCTCCTGCTCCGCCGAATATACTCTGCAGTCGTCGCAAAGAGGGCATAGCCCACCTGTTGCGTAGCTGCGAAACATCCACTCAGGAAGCATCCTTCCACAGTACCGTCAGGGCCCCCTTTTGCCATCCGCGCCGCGAGTATTGGATATTCTAGCCTCTCTTAAGCGCCGTTGATAAACCTCGCGACAATCCCTGCAGCATATGAGTCCTTTGCCGTACGACCCGTAGATGTGTGCATACATGGGTGCGTAAGTCTTGAGGTCAACCCTGGAAAGCCTATTTCCGCAAAAGCAATCGAAGTCGAGCGCGGTGGACACATAAGCAAGTCCTTCTGGATTTACCTTTAGCGAAGCGAGAGGCGCGATCTTCCGGTATTGGGTGCTGCCCGAGGCAGCGGCACCTGACGCTGGTATCTTGTGGCGGCGCCCGCCGTGCTCCCGAGAATGTTCCTCTTCGCCGTAGGAGTCGGAGGAGTCGAGATCCACATATTGTCGAGGGCGACTTTGCACCCGTTGTCGAGCGTGAGGATCTAGTTCCCGATATCCCGTGTCTCTCTCCAGGATGTGCCGTGCCGACTGAGACGGTCCAGAACCAGGTGCAGATTGTGAAGGGCCAGAGCCAGAGCCACCTGCAGGTTCGGACTGAGAGGGTTCAGAGCCGGGTGCAGACCGTGAAGGACCAGAGCCAGAGCCGTAGCTCGGGGTCGGGGCACCGTGCTCCAGGGTCCACATACGTACGCGCTCTTGCTCGATCTCTTCTTTGGTCCGCTTGTGCCGAAGACGCACTCCAAACCGTTTACGGATGGTGCTTTGCTTCGCGTATAAGATGTTCTGAGTGCCGGTAAGTCTTACCTTCCGCTCATTGGGATCTTTTATTTGTTCCGCTTCCCTGAATCGTGGAGCATACTTGACTACGACTTCGTGTAGAGCCTCATTTAGTTCCGCCCTCTGCAAAGGAGTAAGATGACTATATGGGTCATTGCCACCTGATGCCTGAGTTGCTGTTGGTAGACGACTCGGCTGACTTGGTGTCCCACCTGCAGATGCGGACTGAAGGGGTCCAAAGCCGGGTGCAGACTGTGAAGGACCAGAGCCAGAGCCAGGTGCCGACTGAGATGGTCCAGAGCCACGTGCAGTTACCGTGTCTCTCACCGCGTCGTACACCGTACCCGAGCCGCCCGAGTTTGTCCGGGTCGAATGTTGTGCTGTTATCGGGGACCGCGGAGGTAGCATAGAATCTCGTTCAAAGCTCACCGGGAATGACAGTGGTGCGAGTTTGTAAGGAAAGTCGAGGGAAGTCTTGAGTAGTGGTGGCTGAACATCTTGATACCCTTGTTGCCATGGTGTGTTTGCAACCGACCCCTGAGAGTAAGACTCGCGAGTATGTGGTCGTGGGTGAGTTGGTTGAACATCTTGATACCCTTGTTGCCCTGATGTGGTTGCAGCCGACCCCTGGGAGTAAGACTCTGGAGTATGTGATCGTGGGTAAGTTGGCTGAACAGATGAAGACCTTTGTTGCCCTGACGTAGTTGCAGCCGACCCCTGGGAGTAAGACTCGGAAGTATATTGTCCTGGGTAACTTGGTAGAGATTTTCGAGACCCTTGTTGCCCTGAAGTGGTTACAGCCGACCCCTGGGAGTAAGACTCGGAAGTATGTGGTCGTGGTGGCTGATTTATTGGAGTAAATCGAGACCCTTTTTGCTCTGACGTGGTTGCAGCCGACCCTTGATTCCATGGTTCAGACCGGGTCTGTTTGTGGCCCTTTATAAAACTCCCACCATTTCCTGACGCCATCGAAAAGGTCTATCGACGGGGATTGAGACTCAGATCTTCGCGGTGAAAGTGGTCCCGAAGCTGTGGCGAATACGAGCAACTGTCCACGTCTGGAGATGTTGACTGAATCTATTGGTGATGATACAGATGATACTGTCTGTTGTTCGAATATGAGTATTTCGACCGGGTGGATGTTAGTGAGAGGAGATCAGACGAGAACAAATGGTGGTTCACGGGGACCCCAAGCACAGATCACAACATACCTAGAAAAGGGAAACCACCACCCACTGGCCCACCGAACCTTGGAAGCAGCGACATACCACGAGCCAACGGAGTTGTTGCTCACCGCTGCCGCGGGATATCTCTGGTCGTCATCCGATGAGAGAAGCCACGATGTATGTGAGGTAAGAGCAAGCACACACCGTGAACCGCTTGCCGCGTCCATCGTCCTTAAGACTTTAGTGGCCGAAGCTGCTTCGCAGGTACCCTCAGACGTTAAACACGGCAATCCAATCCTTAGAAGAAGGACCACACAATTGTGGCTAGGGGGTAAAATAGACTGGGCAGGAAACTGCACACCACTTTCCGAATACATTCCCATAATTTCTTGCCCAAGCCGTGAGCTGCTTACTTTCGGCAGAGCATGTAGTATGGCAGTAGAAATGGACATAGGGCGACATGGGAGCCGGAGCAAAAGCAAGCGCTTGTAGGAGTCGAACCTACTCCCGTACATATGTCCATGTGTATTTACCGTGCCGTACCTGCAGTAAGATCAGTCCGATGCATCGGCATCCGACACAAACTTCGCAATGCCCAGTAGATCATATCCATGTTCTCCGTTCGACGGCGTTGGGGTGAAAATCAATAAATCATCAACATTCTCCTTCGACCTCATGTGCTGAGCTTGGTGTCATGAAACTCATAGATAGCTGACAAAACGCAAACACCTTCCCCCAACACCTGATTCAACGTCAACGTGAACCCACTCGTCCGCATCCCCCTGACTACCGAGCAACCCCAACCACACCCTCGAAGTGTACGCCCTTATCGTACACTTGGTTGAATCCGATTGCGACCTCCTCGTGCGTGAGGGTCTGTCCACTGCCCATGACATGGCGGCGATGCCAGGGCCCAACGAACATGCCGGCGGGATCGACACTCTCGCGGACCTTGCGCCACTTCTGCATGTTGGCACCGTACATGCGCTCGAGCTCCGCCCCGTCGGTCTCGAAGTTCTTCGCCCAGTGCGGCCGTCCGCCTAGGTCGCGCATCAGCCACTCGAAGCCCTCGTAGTAGCGAGCCCGACACGGCGGGTCGTTGTAATAGGGCCTGTAGAGCGTGGCGTTGAGGTACAGAGTCGGGCCGTCGTCCATCGTGGGATCGAGATACGGCCTGCTGCCCGTCCGCTGGGACTCGAGGTGCGGCGCCGATGTGTCAGAGACGCGCACCTCGACAGGAGCGTGCACCCACAGTGCCTTGGCCGAGAAGGGGATGTTGTGCGGCACATAGTCCGGATCGTCGGGTGAGAGCTGGTTGAGCCAGCTGCTGAGGCGTCGCAGGGCCTCGGGGCCCTTGTGCAGTGGGATGGCCCACTCGTTGACGTACTGCGAATACAGGCAGTTCATCAGCAGGGCCTTGCGGCTAGGCTGGACGGCTTCAGTGGTGGTGCCGTTCCTGAAGCCGTATTGCATGCCAAAGACGAACCACTCGACCCACGGGAGTATGCGCGGGACTTTCTGTGCCAGATATAGCAGGTTGTGGTAGATGTAGTATCCCAGTGCGCCGTCGTAGTAGGATGTAGGGGGGTCAGCTAGCGGTTCGGAGGTCTGCTGCGCCGACCATACCACAGCCCTACGGGTATAGGGGTACCACCACACTCTGACGAACTCGGCGTGGGTCCATAGGTCCTTGTTCCAAGCTTTAAGCATCTTGACATCAGCATCGATGACTTGCTTCCATCGCAGCGTGAACTCCGGCACGGTCCGGAAGGTGATCTCGGAGATGATGCCAAGTGCGCCCAGGGACAGGAGAGCGGCGCGAAACAGCTCTTGGTTCTGGCTAGGGGAACACACATGCGTTCTACCGTCGGCAATAATAATACGAAGGGACAGAATGTTCTCAGACATGAGACCGTGGCGGAGACTGGATCCGTGGGTGCCGGTAGAGATGGCTCCAGCAATGGATTGCTGGTTGATGCTTCCAAGGTTGGGCATAGCAAGACCGTACTTCTCGAGGCTCTGGCAGAGTTGGAACAAACGTATGCCCGACTGCATGACCACAACGCCGGTCGGTCTGTCGACAGAGAGGATGGCATTGAAGTCATCGAGGTTCACGAGCCATGACGAGGTGCAGGTCATGGAGCTAGGCGAATGGCCGCACCCCGTGATGGTGATGCGACGCCGACATGCGCGGGCGAGCTTGATGATCTTCTCGATCTCATCGCTGGTCTGGGGCCGGATATAGAGCTCGGGCCGAGACAGGAAGGTCTTTGCCCAGGTGCTATGGACGTGATTGGGCACGGCACGGAAAGGAATGGCGTCGCCCTCGAGCTTGGCCACCTCGGCTTCGACGAGAGGATCCATCACAAACAGACCCACAGAGTGATAATTTCCCAGTCAGTTCGGTAAGCTACGCCTAGAAGCAGGTAAGCTGCAAGGCTTGTTCGAGAAAACGGGTAACGTTATGTATGAAGCAGAAGGATGTCTGCCGTTTGTTTGAAATCCAGGGTCTTTAATTGAGTGGGGCTGAATTAAAATCGACTGCGTCAACTATGGCATCACAGCTGTTTGCAATTTTCAATGCCGTTCCGATGCATCACTCACCGCCTCTGATGTGAGGTGCATTATGGATTGTACGGGTTCACAGTTGGGCAAGCAACAGAAGGAAAAGCTCGCCGAGAGATGCAGGTGGTGTAGGCACCCGTGATGATCGGTCCTCTAGACTTTTCAGGTGGCCTCTTGGCATGATGGGGACATTCCAACTCCATTCCGTCACTTTATGGGATTTTGATTGGCTCAGGGTATTACAACAACCCCACCTGGAACTGCCTCTCAGGCTGATCTGATAAGATAACGATAAGTACCTGCAACTTAGTGCGGCCCATCCCGACGTCGCTCCATCAGACATTCGACTCCTTTGCACCAACTGTACAAGCTGTTGCCTCGAGATTTCGCACCGGCGGCAATGGATATTCTTGATGGATTTCTTCATGTATCATCTGGTGGCTTGCTTTGCATCCTTGTATGGTCAGAAAAACCACCAAACGACAGGAGAGCTTGAGCTTCTGATACACGATTCAGTCAGCAGATATGCTTAGGTAATCGATATAATCCACGTCGGCTCTACCCCATTTCATTACGAGCTCGACGAAGTGAGTCAATATCGATTGGGTAATGCTGGTTCTCTTTCGTGACTGGAATAGTTGTCCTCAAGCTCGCAGAGATGATAGTCTCAATGCCGGAGGTATCAGGCCTTTGTGCGCATGCCACCACGAGTCTTCGGGACTACCGACTTCTCTCGAAGTGAGTCGGTATAATACTACTTGGAAACTACGTCTGCAATCCATGGGTGAAAGAAAATGAATTTCAAACTTCTTTCCAGCGCTTTCCAGTTGAAGTAGGACAACCAAGCACGGTTTCCTTTCACTTGGGACTTCTGGAGTGCCAACGCACCTGGTGTTACCTAGGTACTCTCCCGAGGGACGATCAAAGAGACAGCCTTTGAAGGCTATCGAAGGGTACTCGGATTCCTTTATATTCTTTCGTATATGCAGAGACTCAGACATGCCTGCATGGATTCTGCGCCCTGGGGCGGGAACATGATCTTAAACTAGTGGCCAACTTCAAAGCTGTGTGAAAAGCGGCAGGCTAAGTTTTGTATCACTATACCTAAAAGCCACGTTCCAGGCCTATACCAAATGCACTGATCGGTTTTCGATATAGGTATTTATTGAAAATCAGATCTACCAAGCCTTCCTATTCCCTCGGGTGTTCTCTGTCATGTTCTCAAGGTGATGAAGAGCATGTTGGTGGACTCGTCGCATAGAGTCCATGAAAGATGACCGCATCCCATGGTCCATGTCCCTGGCCTTTTCGCCTGAAAAGAACAGTCAACTATATGTATGTTGCTACAGTTCCTGCAAGATACTTAGTATACACCTTGCCCCTCATCAGGGAACAAGGAGCCCCTTTCCGGCTCACTCGGTGAGGAGTCCAGGAATAAGTAGACGCACCGCAGTTCAAAAGTATATAGATGTGCGGTAACGGCCATTATATGTAATGGGGGGGCGGGTGGCCGGGTGGGCTACCTGACACTTGCAAGTTAATCTGTCTGACACCTGGTAAAGGTGCATCGATTTGTGGCCAAATGGCCTTGTGTTGGAATGGGTGGGTGTTTATGCGCATGATGGGTACCAAGTTCAGAAGCACTGGCCGCCAGGCACTTCACCGGGTGGAATAGCAGGCAAGCACCACTGCATTTCTGCAGTCCAGCGCCTTCCTCAACGCGAGCACAACCTCGCGTTTTGAGATCTGATCCTCAGGCCCAACTCTGCCACCCCTCCACCTGTTTCACAACCTCATTTCTCAGCCCTAGGTTCCCCCTCCCCGCCGCCATCCTCCCTCAGCATCAGTACAACCTCGACAACTTGCACCTCAGATCAGGAACACCCCGACTCTGCCCGTGGGGGAACGTCATTCTCGTCATTTCTATCGTCTCTACCTCGCTGCTGTCACATGTAACGCATCCGACGCGTGTTTGACGCGTCGGCCGGTCCTTCGCCATGTTTTACAGCCATGAAAGTACGTGTGGCTTCCACCCCAGCTGCCTCTATCGTCGCTAACCATGAAATCGCAGTCCTGACGAGCCATCAGTATGGCGTCGCAACCATCTGGTACGTACTCGAACCCCTTGGTGCCCTCATCCGCGTCATTACCGCTCCTTGGCGTGTAGCGAGACTCTGACGTTGCGGGACAGGCTCGTCGCCACCGTCGGAAACAGGGGCGGCACCAAAAAGGTCACCCGAAAGGCCATCCAGGAGGTCGATGTGCAGAAAGCTTGCGGAAAGATCCTCGAGCCAGGAGCACCTATCGCGCTGCGACTGCAGGGCAACCTCCTCTATGGCGTTTCGCGGGTCTACAACCAGCAATGCTCGTATATGCTTACTGATGCGGAGAAGATTCGGCATCACATGAACATGTTCTTCAAGCAGTTTGGTGGTAACCATATTGACCCAGAGGCGGGGCAGGCAAGGTAACGTACCCCAGTGAATGTTTGATCCCATCGTGGGTTGGAGATGTGGAACGCTCGGATTTGAGACTAACTCGTTGAAAGGCCCGAGAACCTCCTGATAGGCAATGATCCCGACTTCATACCCGACATGCAACTTCCCAGATTCGACCTCGATGCTCTTGTGGCAAGCCAAGGAACCCAGAAAACATCTTCTCAGATGTCGCCACTCCAGGACTCTTTCCTTCCAGGCTCTACCAGCCCTGGACGAGCCTTTGATTTTCAGCTCGACCTTGGCCATTCGGATTCATCTGGTCCTCGAGGTTCACCTTTCGGTCTTCAAGGTCTTTCATCTGCACAAAAACCCGACGACGAACCCATGCTTTTCACCCAAGAGGACGAGTACGACGCCGCCGGAGGCGATTGGGGATTAATGATAGACGAACATGGAAATGTCATCGAAGCGGACGATCCAGTCGTGGTCCAAGACGAGCCCGAGCTCCCTCCCTTGCCGCACATGGAAGGAGAAGAACACCCACAAGCAAACGTTCAGCACCACGAGGAGCAACCCATACTCGACGAACAAGGCCAACCCATACTCGACGAACAAGGCGATATCATTATGATGGAGGAAGAACCACTACCGGAAGTCGAAGCATTTCCTGAAGCTCGTGAGCCCCTTGAAGAAGACGCGCCCCAAGTTCCCCCTGCGCAAGCACGACGAAAGCGGAAGGCACGCACGATTCAGGCCGACCAAGCGACCGAGATACCGAGAGACGTTCTGCGAGGGTGGCAGGATAATTACATCGATAACTGCGCTATCAAACCACTTCGCTCGGTTGCACCCGCCCACGTCAAGAAAACAGCAATGCTTCTGACGTTCGGCCGCGGCATCGGCAATATTGGGCAGAGAATTGGGCAGGATATCGGCATCCCTGGAGCATCACACCCCCTCTTCGCGATGTATTCCGGTGATTCGCTGTTCACCGCCATCACGGGAATGGACATCCCTGAAAAGCCCCGTGGCAGACGTCGATCTGCATCCGAAGCCATCGGGGATGACGAGGAACAGGAGGAGCGACGCGTCAGACCGCGACTCGGGGTGGATGAAATCGAGCAGCAGGCATTGAATGCTGCAGATGAGCACATAATTGACAACGACCCCTTTGCCGCCGAAAACGCTATGGAAGTAGGGCGAGAGGAGGAGCGGGCCATGTCAGAACAACACTCATCTGTCATGCCGATGCCGTGGAATCGAGGTTCCTCCCTAGCGCCTGGTTCTTCAATTCGCAAACCCGGATCCGCGCAGAAAGGACGCGATATCTCGAGCCCCCTCGGCAACCGCGGCAGTGCCCAAGACATCGTGCGCTACAGCGACGACGCGCCTATGGGCTTTGGCGGGGAAGACGATTTCGCACTCGGCGGCTTCGGATCACAAGACTCCTCCTTCGACGGCATGGCAGTGCCCGAGGTAAACGAGCTGCAGACCAAAGCCGGCGAGGACAACGTAGCCGAGCAGAACGAGCGCCTGCGCGCCACGCTCGACAACGAGGGTCACAACTTCCTCGGCTTCATCGAGGACGCGGTCCGCGATAACGGCGAGCGCCGCCAGGACGACGATTTCGACATCAATCGCAAGTGGGTGGCATTCGACGACCTGTTCGTGCCGTGCGACACGCCCCGCGCCATGGCCGCCCAGGCTTTCTACCACACGCTGTGCCTCACCACAAAGGCCAAGTTGTACGTCGAGCAGTACGACGGCGAGCGCCATGACGAGCCTTTCGGTCCCATTTTTATCGGGTCGAAGATCTCTGGTGGTGCTTAGGTACTAGATTGGTGGCTTCGATGGGTTCGGACAGACATCTTGCTTGGGAACTAAGCTGTTCGAAGACCGCGTCTGGGACTCGTACAGGTCCTGTCTCGGCATCACGAAACAACCATATGGATACCTAAACACTACTATGAAGGAGAGCACGCATGGAATGATCAGTGCTTTACTCGGTGGATGGTGGAGTTTGAGTATGGGATAAGCATTCACATCTGGAGGCATTTGCTTTGTCCATACATGGAGATGAAGCTTCGTAGATAGGCGCCAGGAGGCGTTTGCTCTCTAAGTACATATGCTCTGCACATAGGTGTCAGCTAGCTGGATGAGAACAACATCGTCGACCAATGAACAAAAAGGGGTTACAAAAAGGGATTATGAACAAGTGACTGAGGCAATAATGAAGTGACATTCGTTTCCATTCATTACTAAATCATTGCCTACGTGAGGCATCCCGCAGAGCGAGCTCATTGTCTTCGGCTAATCGTAGACATCATCATTATCATCGCCCACGCCCTCGCGATCCTGAAAGACCATGTACTCGGTGTCATCCGAGTCGGCGTCATCTCCCATGATCAGCGACCAGGCGTCTTTTACGGCATCCAGGCCCGTATCATCCAGAGCTAGACTGAGAGACGGTGACGGGAATTTGAAGGTAGACGACTTGCCACGGGTTGTACGCAGAGACTCGCGGGTGCTGAGTGATTGCTCGTATTGGAGCTTGTACAGACAAGTCGCAGGTTCTGCCGAGCCAGCAGCTACAGCTTTCAACAGTGCGTCTAGGGCCGCTGCAAGTCTCTGGGTTGCCTGCGGTGTGGATAGTGTCGTAAGGTAAATGGCGCCTATACCAAGTGGTTGCTTGGTTAGCTGAGATTCCTATCACGGAGAGATACAGTGACGGTACGAGGATGGTTGGTGCAATCAGTTTGTCAGAGGTTGTTTTCGTCAAAGCGAAGCTCAGACAATGTAGATAAGTATTCATAGGTTGAATCATCATAACACCATGAACAAGTAGGAAATAAGTAGACAAAACTTACTCTGGCCTGCGGGACATTCACCCGTCTCGCTCGAGTGTACGAATGCGTAGATTGGTACATCTAGGTTGAACTCCACGATTCCTGGAAGCGAACCGGATGGAAATGCAATGACGGCCACTGCTGGTGTTGGTGCGCCCTCCACTATTATTTCGAATAATGATGGCAAGGGCGAGTCGACTACAGCGACGAGGCGAGTGATGGTTGTTGAATCAGCGGCAGCTTCTTGCTGTGATGTGACCAAATTTGTCGCTCGCACCGATATCCCATTGGAGAGGTTGAGTGAAATCTCATTGACGTCCGCGATTGTGTCGTTGACATTCATTCGTGTGTCAAGCATGTAGATACCGCCTCCTACTGCCCCAGCGCGGCAAGCCACCTGTGCGACCTCCGAGGTGCCACCCCATTTGGGATACACAGCGCAGAAGCCAGGCCCAAATAGACCCATTGAAGTAAGATGTCGATTGATGGTGGCCAAACCATCCTTGACCGTCACATGCCCATCCAATGTCAGCGTAAGAGCGAGAACGTACTTCCGTAAGTTCGCGTCAAGCTTGAACTCGGTGTCCAGGAACTCGGCGAGCCGCTCTTCTGCAAGCTCATGCCACACAGGTCTCTGCTCTTCAGAGTCGTAGTCGAGTACGAACTTGAGAAATTTAATGAGCGATCGCTTGGATCTTGCCGGTATTGACCGCGTCGCAAACACATCCTCGCGGCTACTCGGTATGCGAGAAAGCTTGGCTTGGGAGTCGCTGGCCGACGCATCATAGACGAAGAATGATCCGACTGCCAGAAACTCGACCTGTCGGTAGGCCCGAGACGAGACGAGCTGTGCCAGCAGCTTTGACCGTGTGTGTATGATCTGGGGTGCCAACGGCAACGAATATGCTCTCGGGAAGGACAGACCACGAGCCGCTGCATCCGGATGTTTCCATACGCTGGCATTTATGAAAAGGCTCGACTTGTCGGCTGTTGTCTTTTCGCTTCCTAACGGCTTCTCCCCATGTGATGTACCCTCGCCTTCAGAGCCTGTACTCGAGGCTTTGGGTTCTTCGGCGGCATTGCCACTATCGAGGCCACCATGTCCAGCCGCTGGCGCCACCGCCGTCGCATTCTCGGCGTGAGCGGCAGCCCAGGTCTCTGCCTCCTGCAGACTGAAGGCAGCTTCGTGCTCGCCATAGTAGTCATTGGGGTCGAGATGGAGGACGCGTTTGTTGGACCGCGACAGGGCTCTTCAAAGAGGAAGCACGCTAGGTCAGTCAGATCGAGCTTTTCGACACTGGTGTTCCGAGAGGGAAATGCTTACAGAGCCAACAGAGACTGCTGCAGACCTGTGCCACAGATCACTGCGTCCCATGTCTCTTCGCCCAAGGAGTCCATCGTGGAAAAGTTTTGCTTTCTGGTGCAGGACTGGGCGGAGAAGTTGATCAAATGGAGCTTCCATTGCCCTTAGGTGGGCCCAAATGAAAGCTAGAGCGGGCCGAACTCGAGCCGATCCGCTAGTGAGCGCACAGACCAACTATCGTCCGACACTGCCCGCTGCACCTAAAAATTGCATGCTGAGAGAGGCTTTTCTTCCTTTCTTCTTTACAAAATCACCACTCGACAAGATCCAGTGTTCCGCTGCATCCAATTTCCACAGCAATACCGGTAACCTGAGTATCCTTTCAGTAGGCTGCTCCTTTAGTCGAGTGGCAGAACAAATCGTCGTCCCGTATCTACTGTCTTGGATTCTCAATCTGATAGGATGGTTCGAAGGGTTGATACATTTCTTGTCCCTCGATGGGTCTTCTATCATTTGGAACGATCCATGAACATCTCTCGACAGTCTCATACCTTGTCTCAAGGAGGTTCTGGCTCATGATATTGAGCGAAGCGATCCCACATGCAGCCTATGAAGTGTGGGAGAGTACCAGCGCCTCATGGCTAGTACTAAGACAGATCGTGAATATATGCTGAGCCATATATTACACCTGGCACCGTCTGACGAGAGACGCTTGGAGGTCGAGGGCACCATGGTTTGAAGTGATCTTTGAATGATAAGAGTCCCAAGGGTTGGTTTTCAGGCTGGGTGCCCATGTGCAGCCTTTGATGTGACTTCTCATTCATTCACAGGATCCAAAGACAAGCTCCTTGGAGTGACTGCTTCTGTGTAGGTCCCCTATCGACGATGAAGATAGCTGTGATTTTGCAGCCTGACACCAGCCACACTTTCATGGATCAAGTTGGTGACCATGGTGCCCCCAGTCGTCCTAGCAACATGATATCTGGGTCCCTGGATATTACTCCTATGAGTACCACTGAGGGACGGGTCTTGTGCATGAGAACGGTCTAGACGATGTTACACACCGTGGCCGGTCAATGATCACCAGGGGCGTAGGACAAGCAGCAGATCGCTAGCCTGCCTCTGGCCATTCATAATCACTGCGTAGCAACCGGCCGCATGTAGACCGGCGAACAAACGGCCAATCGTGAAAGTGCAGACTGAGTTGCAGTCACAGGTTTGAAGTTAGGAAACATCCAAACACTTATCCAATGAAGGACATCGATGGGCTCGGATGCCAAGTGCCCTCAGGCTGGGTGACGGTTCCAGATTTCTAGAAATATTCCTGAAACACTTCGTGAGATGGAGGCGGAATGTGACGCTTCATGCCCTCCAGGGCTGTTGTTGAATGGGAGCCGGAGATAGACACCGGAAGATCTCCAGTGGGGCAGAGACGCACAGGGCATCTGACCCACCAAGAAGAGAGATGATCAATCTCTGCACGCAGAGCAGAACAATCAATAGAATCGCTGTTGCCGACATGTCGGAGAATATCCACTATCAGAATTCCGGGGCCCGCGGGACAGGGACGAGACAGCTCAACGGCGATGGCCCGTCGATGTCGATGTCGATCGTTTTGCCAGTTGACGGTTGGCGACAGCAGACCTGCACGTTCCCGCGTCAATCACCGTGACTGGACCCCAATGATTGATTGCGTGCAGCGGCCCAGATGAGACTCAGCCTGACGGGACAGTTGGAGAGAGCCCAACTGCTTCAAACCCGGTGATGCAGGCTGGAGACTCGGCTTTGTTGGTGGAGGATGGTATCGTAGCAGTGATCTCCTACAAATACCTTTTTAACGGGCAGGAAGTGGTCCCTGTGAGGCTATGCCCCTGCCATCTCAACGTTCAAAGAGAAATGATGGAAGCCAAGCGTTCAGGCGGAAACGCATGCGCGAAGATCAAGGAAAACGGGATGTGCATCGTTGCAGGGCTATAATCATGAGTTTCTTCAGTCAGCACGTGTATCGGAACTTCGCAGACGTTCGCGGTACCTACTTATGAAATCTTGGTTATTTTCTTCTTCTCTTTTCTTCTGACTCACCGGAGCCTCAGGCCGCTGCGAGAGTCTGCCAAGGTGTACAGACACACCGGTCCTGCCGGGCTTGACCGTGCTGCGAACTGCGTAAAGAGAAAGTTGATGAGGAACCAATGGGTTCAATGTTACACTACAGCCTCGCTGGGGTTTTAATCGGCTTCTTCTGTGTACAGCATGCCTTTTTACTGTATATACAAGACGACTGGTTCTCCGAAACAAGTCAAATTGCAAGCAGGTCACTTACCGTCCGCACAAAGGTGCCGTGCAAGCACTAAAGCCATCTACTGATCGGATAGTACCCTCGAAATCACAACGTAAGAGAGATCGACGGGTCAGCGGTGCTCCGATTTGTCATTGGCTGGAATATCTAAGCAGCGTTGGACATCGTACTCGTCAGGGGCGACTGTGAGCCAGAGAGGGTATCTCGAGATATTTGATTGAAAAGTAGGTAGTCTAGGTAAGTAGCTAAGAGTCCCCACGTCCTTTCCATTGGCGATACAAGCTACATTGTCCACTAATTCGAGATGTAGGTTCCGTTTGGGAACTGCAGGATTGATGTTAGCCAAGTGCATGCGCAGTCACGAAACAATGCGCGTAGCGAGAAGATGTGAAGGAGTCCACTTACCGCACACTGATAGTACAACGCGCAAGACCCGTTCAGATAGCTCGGCTCGGGGCCAGCATCGTTCAGAAGCAAGGCGGCGACACCGTGCGGAGGCAAGTCGAACGTCATGTTGCTGGAGCCGGCTGATCAGCAAAGGTAGAATGTCAGTCACTACATCTTTGTGGATACTCACCGAACCGCGATGCCTGTCTCCTTGTGCTGCCACATATCATACACGCTGTACTGCCTGCCGGCCTGTATCGCCCAGCTTTCGGTCAGGTTGAACTTCATTGTTGCATTCGTATCTTGGCTGTTCAGGATCATGAAGACGACGCCGTAGCTTGAGTTTCCAGACCAGTACTCGGCGGGATGGTTTGGGTCGCTAACGTAGTCGGCACCAACACCCCAGCGGAACGGACTGATAGACTCGCCAGAGTTCGGGTCCTGGTTGATCTTGATCAGATCTAGGTTGCCGAGGATCTCAAAGGTCTCGTCGGTGGCGTTTGACAGATCGGTACCAATGATCAATGGCGATTTCATCAATGCCCAGGCGGTGAAATGGCTCTTTGACTCTTCGTACGTCAGATTGCCAGGTGGTGATCCTTGTCCGGTGTTGCCGACTTCCAAGATGTCCATGTCATTGTGGCCGTAGAAGTCGGAAGACCAGTATTGGAACGAGACCTGGTCGATGATGGCGGCGATCGCTGACCAGTAAGGCTTGATGTCGCCATCGATACGCCAGGATTGCGAGAGCTTCTTGCCCCAGACCCATGGTTGGTTCCTGAGAAACCAATGAGTATAGGCATTGACTTCGAGAAACGGGATGCTCATGTATACTCACCAGCCCCACTCGCACAAAGAGAACAGGAACGGAGATTCTCCAGTCTTGGCAGCGAACTGAGCAATCGCGTCTGCCATGCGCGTATATCGGCCATATTCGCCCTTTTGGGTGATGTTGTCGGACGGGATATCTGAGACAACTCGTCAGAAAGTGCCCCAGTGTCATCCCCACGAGTCGGATGATACTTACAGCAGTTGTCGTACTTCAGGTACGACATGCCCCAAGAGTGCCACGTCTGCACGCGGAATGTCAGAACCAAGACAATGTAGTGAAGACGACGGACCAGCCTACCTCCAGATCCTGAAGCTCTCGTCCGTACGAGCCCGGGTACCCAGCACATGTCTCGTACCCATTGTCACCATAAGCGGCAAGCTTGATACCAAGCTCGTTGACTTGTTTCGAGAACGCCGGGATACCACTGGGGAACTTGCTAGGATCAGCGACCATTGAGCCGTTGGCACTGCGGTTCCTCAGAGCGTAGCAGTCGTCCAGGATCAAGATGTTGTAGCCTGCATCAACTAGTCCACGCTGCTGCATCGCCATCGCTTGACCGAGCACACTCGTTGCAGTGTAGTCGCAAGAGAAGGCGTTGAACGTATCATATCCCATGGCAGGGAGGCGGCCAACTCCATTGTCCAAGGCGTTGGCCCACGTCAGCAGTGCAGCCAGAACAGAGAGAGACTTCATGGCGGCCATCGTGAAGGTTGTCGATCGAGGTTGCAGTGGATGCCGGGTCGAGGTTCCATCACTGGAAGATGCCTCTCATATGTAGGAGCATGGCGGCTCTGGTATCTCGCCTTTCGTCCGGCGAACCGGATTCCATACCTGGCATGGCGATGCACCTGCATTTAGCCTATATGTGCCGTTCGCTCTGGGCCGTTCTGCTGGAGAAACCTTGTATACTACAGGTAATAATAAGTAGATATATGTGTACATACAGGAACGAGAGGAATTATTTCGCCCCTCGATCTGTGGGGTAATCATTGGGGAAATCTCCTCATTGAGGAGTCTCCCCGTCTCCTCACATACAAACGAGGTTCACGGCGTCATCAATCGTTGACGGCTTGATGTAAACCCTGTAAGTCGCTCTCACGCTTGATTTTGATGCTTCCTCTGTGCGGTTGGAGATGAAGACGACGAGCCGGAAACGAACTGAGATGTTTTTTTTACGTGACGATGCACTTCTCTTGAGCGCCTCGTGTCTTGGGCCTGGGTCTTAGATAGCAAAGACGAAGGATTGGCGCGATGGCCATGACACGATGAATAGTCACGAGACCGAGGCCGTCCATTCGCGTGGGCCGTGGCCTGGCTTGCCGGTCTACCGCTAATTGAATCCGGGCGAGGGGAGGATTGAGGATTGAGGATTGGGATAGGTACTTGACCGAAATCACCGAGCCTGGCAGGTGGCTGGTAAAGACGGAAGATTGTCTCTTCGTGTGATGTGAGTGAGACGGGAACAGAGGTAGACAGGGGAAGCACTTTAGCCCGCTGACTTGGAAAGACAGACTTGCACTGTGATGTGTCACATAACCTGATAGACGAGTACAGTGTGTTTGATTTTCGTCACTGTGTATCGAGGTGCACAGACCCTCGCTGGATACGACGAATCCTGGGAAACCTAGAAGGCAGAAGCTGCCGCCAAAACAACCGTATTGCTCACCGAGCAAGTTAGACTTGCGAGGATGACGATAACGACGGACTGACGAGTTAGGTTGTGTATGATAACACGAAGCTGGGAATATTCTTACCATTTGATTTGCCAGACAATGACGACATGAAGTGGTCGTCGGTCTCTGCTTGTCCCATCATGCATGCGTGGATTAAGCAGCCACCACCATCGCATCGTCGGCACGGTTCCGATATGCTGGGTCTGCAGGTGGCTTCAAGGTTGTTGGTTCTTGGTTGTTGGGTCTCTGCTGCTGTGAAATCCCTGGACTGTTGGACATCTGCGATTATGTCCAGCTGAGAGCAGCAACTTCATGTTGTACTACTTCAACTCCCCGCACAAGACGGTGTCACGGACAACTCGAAGCGAACTTTTGAACGTATGAGCATCGTCATCCATGCTGCCGCTTGTCACCCGACTACGTCGCTAGCTTGTCACTTAAGTAGGCCATGAGGGCCATAACGGTTAACCACCTGCATCTGTCCCGGCTCCGAGCTGCTATCCATTCCAGAGACTCTCATTGAGTTGCATACGACGTACATAAATACATTAATTGATCCAACAACTTGGTCAGGTCCCCTGCTCGCTATCCCCCCAATCTCCCGCCCCATCAATGATCCTCACCCGAGGCCCGGGCAGCAGCCTGCTTCGCCCCGTATCGTATCGTTCTTGGCACTTGCCTCCATTGGGACGGGAGCTGTGAGGTAGCGCTACTTCGCAACCCCTGCACGGTACCTCCCGCACCACGCCTGCTACCAGTAGATCTTCGACGTCGCTCTGAAGCCCTTTTGGGCCGTGCAGGTAGAAGTACCTTTTAGATCGGGTAGCGAGTCGTGACCACCTCATGGTTACGAGGTTACGACGATTCCTTCGCCAGCATCTAGGCCTATCATTCGCCCATTCGCCGCCAGTCGGGCCAACCAGGGCCAACTCCTCAGTGGCTCCTCCACACCACCGCCGGCCGGGACAGGGAACACACAGGGAACACAGGGAAGCTGGCTCTGGCGCTCTGCTCCTCCATACATCTAATCCATCCCTCTGCGCCTCGCATCTGATCTATCTCCATCTTTTCCACCTCACTCTCGCAATTGCATGTTGAGAAGAGGTCGATAGAGAGACTAGCAGTTCCCGACTCTCTGGCGTCCCGAGCACGACTCAACCGCCTGCTATTTCGTAAAGCTAGCAGCGCCACGCCGATTGATTTCCTCGATACCCATACCGCCATACCGCGACTGCGTGCTACCTACCTACTCTCTCTTGTCTTGGGTTCTACGACATAGTCTTACAACCAATCCAACACAGCTCGCGAACAACACAGCATCGCCAGCAGAGCCTGCGCCTTGCCTATCGCCTATCAACTTTGCTCATTTGCCTATCATCACCGTCCTGTCTCAACTGTCCATCGCACACGAACGGGTCACCGCAGTCTCTGGACCTTTTGGTCCCCAGCCGTCAAGCTGGATTCGTAAGTACGGCCATGCTTCCAGAGTCTATTATTATCATCGCTTCTTAATGTAGTGTGTTGCTTGCTATTATCCCAAGTTTCCTAATTCCTTCGGAGACATGGTCCTCCGCATTGCTATTCCCAGTCCTTCAGACGATAGAGGTACTTTCCACTAACCATGGCGCGATTCAGCTTCGTCCACATTGCCGCCTGGTCGCAGCACCGGAGCCCAAGTCCAAGTCCAAGCACCTCTTCGCAGCGCACCTTGGGCCACCTCCGATCGTTGTCCACCATGTCCCAGTCTGCCGCCTCAGTTCGCTCCAGGTCACCAGCTAAATCCCACTCCTCGTCTAACATAACCGAGATCATGGGGCGGCCTGACTCGACCTCCCTTTCACCAACTTTGCCGAGAAGAATACCTTCCTCGCACTCGCTGATGGAAGACGCGGATCATAACACGATTCTTGACCCCAGGATACGAGCCATGAGCCCTGCAAACGGTGATGACATGGCCGAGCCCTCCCACCACCCGGATCTGGATCAAGAGGTGGCAACTTTAAGCACTAAACTTATCAATGCCATAAACCACCAGACCAACCTCGACGACACGCTTTCCGCGACACGACACGATCTCGACACCTCCCGGGACCGAGTGGCAGAGCTAGAGGCCTTGGTCGCGCGCCAACAAGAGCTCCTGGCAGGAGATGTGTGGGTCAAGCGCAAGAGCGCTGAGCTCGAGAAGAGCAAGCTCCTTGCCCGCATTGTCGAGGAAAAGAGGCTTCGCGTGGAGGTTGAGAAGGACAAGAAGAAGATTGAGCAGGAGCTAGAAACCTTGACCGTGTCGCTCTTCGAGGAGGCAAACAACATGGTCATCACGGCCAAAAATGACGCCAAGAAAGAACAGGATGTGCTTCATCGCAGAAACGATCAGCTCAAGGCGCAACTAGCCGACACAGAGGGTCTTCTGAAATTCCAACAGGATCAATTAGCGGAACTCAAGATTGTTATGGAGCAGATATCAGCCGATCGCGACGACCGCAGCGGCACTGCACCCTCATCCCCTGGATTTAGCAAGTTCGACTCGAGAGACGATGATACTCAACTTTCCGAAGGTGGTTCACAACCTGGAATCGTGGAAGCACACACACCTACATACCCGACCAATCTCCCTCATCTTCTTCAACCTGTGCTGCGAACCGATCTATCTTCTTACGATGACTTCGTTACTCTCGTCAAGATATCCAAGAGAGTGTTATCGAGCCGAGCTTCGTCGGGGTCGTACAACGGGTTGAATCCCATCCTCGGCCTAACTGGAAGCAGCGCAGCCTCAGCGCCATCAAATGCATCGACGACATCGTTCTCTACGGCCGGAACTCCAGTATCGACAAACGTGTCTCCTCAGACACCAAACACTCCTGCTTCGATCATGAGCACTGGTTCCGCCACCAACTCTGCTCCGCTACCTCCATTGAAGGAAACGAAATTCTACAAGCGCGCTCTAGCGGAGGACATCGAACCAACGCTGCGCCTTGATATCGCCCCAGGCCTTTCTTGGCTGGCCCGTCGCTCTGTGATCAGTGCCATGACTGAAGGCACGCTTGTGGTGGAGCCCGTGCCAACTAACAGTCCATTTGCATCTATCAGCAAACCACAGACCTATCCGTGTTCGCTGTGTGGTGAAGCGCGGAAAGACCCAACACACTTACGCAACCACCGATTTCGCACGAGCGAGTCGGAGTCCGCCCAACGCTATCCACTTTGCAATTATTGCCTGACTCGTGTGCGCTCCACCTGCGATTTCCTCGGGTTCCTACGCATGGTGAAGGATGGACACTGGCGCGCTGACGATGCCGACGCCGAGCGGGCCGCGTGGGAAGAGAGTGTCAGGCTCCGAGACCAGATGTTTTGGAGTCGCATCGGAGGGGGTTTTGTCCCCGCACATCACAACCACCACCAAGCCGGCAGCGTCGGTGACAAGAGTGCCCGACACAGCCATGAAGCAGGCAGATCTTCCCTCGAGGCAAGTAAAGGGACAGAATCTTCGGGACAATCCAGCAAATCTAGCGAGTCCGAAATGACCCTCCAACAAAGCGAGGTCCCCAAAGATATTACCCCATCGCAACAAACTGGCAGTATGCCTATTGAGGAAACAACTGCCACTGTGGCAGCTGGGTCATATGCTACCCTTGACGCGATGGACGCGACTCAATCAGTTGAGAAAACTACCGCAGAGCAGACGAAGAACCGCGACAGGCTCTCGATAACAATCCCCGGCGCTTTCGACGATGAGACAACATATTAAAACTCAACACATTAATACCCCACTTGTTCACCGGCACAAAAGTTCATTCACTAGACTTTGCATTGCTTCGCGCGTCTCTATTACTACCGGCGGACTTTAGACCCTTGTGTATAATACCTATTTCTTATTAGATTCTTCTCAGCACGCGGCCATCCGCAAGTCGGGATCGTATTTGGCATTGGAGCATCCCGGGAGGAAAGGCGTTTATCGGAATATGGAGCTTGTCTTATCATACAAGCGGTAGACGATTTGCTTGCCGGGATCTGGGTCAGGGTCGGGGCTTTGGATTGGCTTTGGGACTGAGAGGCCTTTTGGGAATGGATGGGATGGGTGGGATGGGTGCATTTCGGGCTGTACCGCCTTGGCTGGCAACGTCAATGAGTGTGGTGTGGGAACGGCTGGCATGGGGTTCGAGGGCCCGAGGCGCACACGTCCAGAGTAGCAATGCAATGACGCGCTCCTTTGTGATGATGGCACATTAAGTGGTCTTCTCTCTGCTGTGATAAACCGTGTTCATTTGCGAAGCCCCAGTGATTTGGATCTTTGGGACTATGAGCATGGTGTCATCGTCCAGTTGATGGCGCGGACTGGCTTGGGTACTCTGAGGACCGACTTGAACTTCACCAAATGGCTATCTTATGACGACAATCTCCGTCTACCTACAGCACCGCGTACCTATGAAGTATGCCTCCACACAGCTCAGGGTGTTTAACTCGACACAGGCTGGGTGCATTCACTTGACGCAACCGCCTACAGCTGGGAGTATTGCACTTTTCAGGGCCCAGTTGATGGGATATGGCGAATTCGAAGGTCATTGTCATGGGGGGAAATGCCAAGACGTGGCCCCTATTCTTCGAGGAGCGTGGAGACGGCTGTTCACTCCCCCCTTGCGCCTCATCCTCTGTATATGGTGCCTGCGGGGAATCACTTCTATGTACGTGATTATCACGACTCGCAAAAACATAGTTTGAACCTTTTTCAATGATAAAATGTGGACAGGTCACAGAGCAACTGCTAGTACAGGGTCCAGAATTCCCCTGCGTTCACCCAAACCCTGTTGGCCCATGAAGCTCAGGACCCTGTGAAGACGATGTATAAGCCCCCTCTCCCTATCCTGAGAATCGTACCTCCCCTCCGGCAACTCAGATATACTTTATGTACAGGTAAGTAGTCATTCCGCGGCCCCAGTACTCCACAAGCACGACCGAGCAGCACTGTAGGAAAGGTGGCAAGTGGCGACTAACAAGTATTAGAATCTTCTGACTCATACCTGGAACAAAACATGCAGAGCTTTACGATAAAGCAGCCACACTGTAACTAAACCTTAACCCAGCCCCTATCAGTCGCTCACAAATGGTCAGCCGTGCAAGGCATATATAGTATTCTAGCGTGTTAATCTGCTAGCCGGTTTGGTATGGCCTAGCGGAGTATTCTTACACATTATCCTTAATGGAAGGCACAGCGGTTGGATGCCTTATCCATTTATCTTCCAGCCGTCCATTCAATCATAAATGCTCGATCTAACTCACATAGGAAGACTCACTCTAGCAAAGTTCACCAAGCAGCCACACTGCAAACCTTATAGCCCAGCCCCCTATTCCACCCACAACGGTACAGGACATACATATACGAGTTTATCAGGTTAGTCTGGTAGCCGGGTTGGTACGGCCTAGCGAATAGCAGAGTATTCTTTATTCTATATCCTTAGGCACAGCGGTTCGATTTCTCTAGCGGCTGAAATATTCTTTTTACAAGCTCTTCCTCTCACCTCTCTTTTTTCTGCCACCACCGTTGCACCGTCCCATTATGGTGTGCGCTCAAGCAACGACGGGCTCGATCGACTGCGGGTAGAAGAACAACTCCCCAGGATCATACAGGGCCTTCAGCCGCTGCAGCTCCGGCAGATTCTCGCCGTAGTACAGGCGCTGCGCCGCCCCGCGGTCCAGGCTCGTGTCGGCGTAGTTGATGTACATGCCCCAGTCGGCGCCATCATCGGGCAGCTGCGCCGTGGTGGCCGCGACCCAGCCGTCGAGCAGCGCGAAGCCTGTGGTCGGGTACGTGCCGCTGTAGACGCGGTCGTAGAACTGGATCATGTACAGCTTGTCGCGGTGCGCGTAGGCACTCGCGTTGTTGGGGTTTAGTGAAATGGCGCTGTGGGCGCCGCCGTGCATGTCCATCTGGAACCACCATGACCGTGTTGTTGTTTGGCTGGCGTTGTTGTACCAGTAATCGACGAAGGCCTGTGCGGTGGTGCCGTTTAGGCCCTTGAGGACTAGGCTTTTGGCGTAGAAGTTCTCTTGCTGGGGTATTCGTCAGTATTACTTCTTAATTCTTTCTTCTTACCTCGGCCAAGGGACAGATAGGAGGTCAGATAGGGGGTCAGATAGGGGAATAGGGGCACTCACGGCGCTGGGCGTGGTCTGGTCGATATTATTCGTGTAGGCATAATGCGTCACGGCGTCGATCCACGACCCGTTACCCATCGACGTGATCCCACCCGACGGCGCCGCCGTCTCCATCAACGGCGCCAGCGCAGCGCGCATGTCGGCCTCGGAGCCATGATACAAGCCCTCGATGCTCGCGCCGCCATAACCATAAGCCGAGACGCGAAAATTGACCTCGGCCGGCATCTCATCGCGCGCATACGCCTCCAGCGCCTCGAGCCCGGCCACCGCCGTCGATTGGGTCCAGCCCAGACTCGCGCCGAACCAGGTCAGCTCGGGCGGCGGGACGAACGTCTGCAGCCGATACGAGGCGACGATGCCGAAGTTGGACCCCGCGCCCTTGAGCGCCCAGAGGAGGTCGGCGTTTTGCGTCGGGGAGGCTTCGACGGCGCTGCCGTTGGCGAGAACGATTGTTGCGCTGAGGATTGCGTCGAGGGCTAGGCCGTGCGTGTGCGAGCTGAAGCCGAAGCCGCCGTGGAGAAAGTGGCCGGATATGCCTACGCTATTTTCCTTTCAATGTTAGCCTAGCGGATGGCAGACGGATTACCTATACCCCCTATCTGAATCTGAAAGGAAGTGAATGCGATAGGTTAGATAAACGGCTTGATATGACTGACCCAGCACAAGTCCCATGCGCAACACCCCGCCCATAGTCCTCCCACAGCACACTCGCCAAGTGCCCCAGCCGCGCACCGGGCTGCACGACCGCCACGCCCGTATCTTCGGACTCCAACGTGACGTCGTACATGCGGTCCAGCTCCACAACTAAATGCCCGTCCTCGCCGCCGAGGCCCAGCGAGGCGTAGCTGTGGCCGCCGGATTTGGGGGTGACTTTGACGCCGGCCGTGACGCCGCACAGCACGGCGGCCTGGATGTGCTCGATGGTTGTTGTGACGGCGATGGTGGCGGGTGTGTAGGGAACGCGCGTGTTGAAGGGGGCGGCGTCGCGCGCCCAGTCTGTGCCGGAAACTGTGTCGACAGGGACGCCCGAGTCGTTCAGGCAGGCTTCGAGGTCGGCTTGGGTGTATGCGGTGGCGGCCAGACCGAGGATCAGGGGTATGGGGGAGCGCATCTTGGCTTGGAAGCGTGAGGAAAGCAAGGTAGATAGGTAGCGACTGACGGTGTTCTTCTGGCTACATGGTTAGAAGCTGGAGGTGTGATGCCCCTTCAAGAGAGATCGATCCGGCGAGCCTTGTTATTGAATACTTTCGAGCTGGCTTTTAGGTCGCATACTGGTTCCAAGCATTTGAAGCCTTGTTCATTGGCGGGATAGGCTCCGGCTAGCAGACAGAAGCAATATACGTCTTCGTCTTCATCCGACTTGGCGCATTGCGAGGTATATGTCTTCCCTCTGATTTGGTGCATTGCGACCTGCGGGCCGGGATCCCTCGATAGATTGCTTCCAGTCAAACTCACTTCTTGGGAGTTGCATCGAGGATGAGGTGGAAAGCAGACTTCAGATGTAGGTAGAGGCACTCGTCGCATGAAAGGGAGTACGATGGTGATCAAAGATATATAGATATGTAAGGCTCACGGCGGGGATGGACGAGAGAGCATATCGGAGAATGTTGGTGAACAAGTTAGTCTCTTTGTAACCCGGTATGCAGAACCACGGAACTGACCAAGGGCGGTTCAAGTTTCAATGGTATAGGAAACATGTCGTTTCACGCCCACACTTCTCCTTTAGCCGGTCCGGCCAGGTCGGCTTCGGCTTGCGGATGCTCAGCATCTCGGATGCAGAGCCTCCTTTCGGCATTTGGGAGATACCAGGAGAAAGGGTCGCTTATGGGCTTCGTATTTCCCCGACTCTGCTGATATATGACTGAAGTACATGTTTTGTAGGTTTCTGTTTGGATTTTCTCCATCAGAGTTTCATTCCTTGAGGCAGTAATCGGTCTATATCAGAAGCACCATACCGTACCGTACCACTCCCCGCTTTGGGTTCTGCTTACGATGATCTCATTTACCAACTGATCTTCGACATGATTACCGTGGGCAGGTGAACCTCCACCGGCGGCCACCGGCGGCCACGAGGCAAGTGTTGTTATGGAGTGACATTCAGTTAGCCTCAAGCCCCTTGGAGCGTGACAGATGGAGCTGGAGTGACATGACGAGTATAATCTAGTTGGGCCAGTTGGTTAGTTAAAGTAGAACTGGAAAAGGGCGAGCATTGCGAGTGCATTCAGAGGAGCGTGTGGTATTCGGATACTCCCATCTTTACACAGATCCCCGTGATGTCTTCAAAGGACTACTCGCGTCAAGCTCCGAAGATACTAACCTATGGCTTCCGATTCACCGTCTACCCGCCGCGACCTCCATCAGCCTCCGCAACACCTCATCATCAGCCGGGTAGTCACTCCCCTAATCCCATCCTCAGCCGGCAGCAGCACCGCGTCGTCTATCTCCTTGTACCGCCCGCGCTCGACGTACACCAGCTGCCCGTGCCTCGCGCCGTCCGCCATCAGCAGCGCCGCCGCGCGCGCGACGGCGGCCGCGGGCTGGAGCTCCACTTCGATGCGCTGCATCATCCCCTTCAGGTCCGGCAGCACGCCGCTGTCGGTCCAGGTCGGCGCCAGCGTGTTGACGCGGATCGGGGGGAGGTTCCCCGCCGCTGCGGCGAGGAGGGGTACGAGGCCCCGGCCGAGGCTCAGGATGCCGCCTTTGGCTGTGACTGTGGGCGCGCATTGTAAGTTGTGATTCGCCACTTTCGGGGTAGAGAGTGTGTGTTTGTTCGATGAAAGGTAGATCTGGGGCGTGACCTTGTACTCACCGTAGTCCACGGCCCGGAGACGCCCCAGGGGCGTGCTGGAGCCGTTAATAACGATACTGCCGCCCTCGAGCTGTTGGCGCATGTGGCACATGGCAAGCGTAGCCGTTTTCACGGCCCCTTTCAAGCTGACATCCAGTAGTGCGTGCGTGGGCTCTTTGAGGTCGCCGTTCTCGTCCAAGTCGGTGGCTAGGTAGTTCGCCTGGGGACCGGTGCCGGCGTTGGCGAACACATGGTCAATGCGGCCGTGGAGGTCTTTAGCCTGGTTGAACAGGGCGATCAAGTCAACCCAGATGGTTACATCTGTTTTCTGGAACGTGAAGGTAGCGGAGGGAGTGCTTGGGGGCTCGTCTGGTGGGTTGAGGTCGCCACTGATAACTGACGCGCCTAGGGAGAGGAAGAGTTCCACGGCGGCTAGGCCGATGCCTGATGAGCCTCCTATGGTAAGAGAGTACCACCGGTAAGTTACCGTTTCGGGTGGCATTTAACGGACTGTTCGTCTCGTCTAAGGCCAAATGGTCTTACCTGTGACGATTACAACCTTCCCCTTGAGGCCCGTCAACTCCTCCTCTTTGATCAAGAACTCGGCCATGATATTGACGTACGAAGGTCGTCGGAAGCCCGGATCAAAGAGGGAGCATAAGTCGGTTGTTTTCTAAGCAACGATGAGTTGATATTGCTTAAGAGCGCTACTTGATGGAAACAGGAAAGGGGGAAGGGTGTTAGGGTTACATTGAAATGGAGACATGAATAAGTGACCAAGCGGGGTATGGTCAACCCTAAAGCGGCACTTCAAGGTACCAATCCTGTCTCTCTTTTCCGTATCCCCTACGAAACATGGAGCTTTCGTTCGTTGTGTCTCGTTACGATGTTCAAGTGGCCCTTTACCCTCGCCCTCCTCGTCCTACTCATACAGACGGCGGTAGCTACGCAGAGAGTGCGCAATATGTCCAACCCGCATGTCTCAGGCCCCGGCACCAATACAACCGTGGGTTTGGGTTCCTGAAGGGCTATTTATGCTGAATTTGCAGTTTACCACTCAGAGGTGCTTGGCTAATACATGATTGGTGCAAAAGTGCAACGCTCTTGAGATCGCCGGTCTGAAGGTCTATCGTCCCAACACTGTCAAGTACCAAGAGCGAGAGGCAGACTACTATTCGGCATCCGCTCGCATGAGCCCTACATGCATTGTTTAACCTTCTACTACCAAAGAGGTCGCCCTTGCCGTCAAGACGTTGAGATACGACACTACGTCCAACTGGGCCGTCCGTGGTGGTGGTTACACGCAAGGTCCCGAATAACTCAACGGATATCCACGGTGGATTGATATGGACGTAGATATCTATACCAATTTAATTTACGAGTATTTTTATAGCTTCGGTAATTAATTTAACGACGAGGTTATTATAGGTTGATATTAACGTAGATATCGTAGGTTTATAATAGATTATTATTCTAATATTAATATTTATATAGTAGTTCAATAATTACAATATTAAATAGTTAGAAAGTTAATATAGCTAGTAAATAATGTTGTTTTAAAATAAATAATAATTTGCTAATAGTTTAATTATTTTAAGGTATAATTCAATAAATCAGATTACGAGATTTTTTATAAAAATTTAATTATTTTAGTTTAAGTAATAATTTCATTAACGCGTTAAAATGTTAATAAATTTATCTACGTACAAAATTACGATAGTTTATATAGTTTCTAAATATAAAGATTTTTAAGTTAAATTATTATATATTGAAGCGTAAATTTCTTTTATAATTTTATTATTATTAATCGAATGTTTTTATTGAATTAAATTTGTAAGATTTACGACGTTTTATTATTGGTAAGTTTATTAGTTTTAAGCTTAATATGTTTTTATAGCTAGTAATATAGGCTTTTTAAAATTAATAGCTTTATCGTTATTTATTATTATTATTATTATTATTATTTACTTAGGTAAATTAGATTTATTTTAATGAAATAATGGCTTTTAACTAGTGAAACGGCTTTTTTAATTGAAACCGGTTTAATATATCTTAAATATTTTATAAACGCGTAGGAGTAATTCATTGGTAATACGTTAAGTGTTTGTTTAAGTATTACTGGATTATTTAATTTTTAAAATATAACTACACGTTTTAATTAAATATAATGTTATTTAACTTTTTACCGAGTTTTGAAGAAAAAAATTTATATTTAATTAAACTTTCAATTGGTCCGAACTTACAATTTTAACTTTAACCGTATATATTTTTAAAGATTTAATATTGATTTTAAGCACCATTTAGAAGGATTTAGTCTATAAATAAGTTTATTACTCGTATATTAAAAATAATACGAAGAAAAAAACCGTGCTTAATTATTAATATATAAAATATTTATTCATATTTATACGTTAAATATAAAATATTACCGCTTTTCAAAAAACCAAATTTAAAGTTTGATTTAAAAACGAGAAGAGAACTTTTAATGAGGTTAAATTTCATTTATTTTTTGTACAATAATATAATTTAAGTATTAATAGATTAAAAGAATAATAACGTAGGTCACAAGCGAGCGGCAATTACAAGCGAACGGCAACTTTTCACCAATCTTCTAACCAACATGTCAAATAACTCGACCACAACGCATTTAATTCAATCTAATCAATCGGATTCTTCTTCTTCAGACGTTTCTATCTCTATTGTACAAGTTCGCGCATTATGGCCAGTGTTGCCGCAAACGCCACAACGTCGCTCACGCGCTGCCGCCCTCCTCGGACGACGACTACCTTCACCCATTTCCTGTCTTGCCAGCTCACCACTATCCTTTACAGCCTGGAGACCTACTGCATCTTTAACGGAAAGTACTCCTCTTTTCACTAGACGTTTGTTTTTTGTCCTCCGGTGTTTACTTAGTAGGTGATTGGCCTCCTCTAGCTCGCGGACCCAGGAATCAACCAAAGCGACCTTATGCATAAGACCGTATGTAACCTTTGAAAACGAGCTCAATGCATCAATTATTGATGTAGGTGAGCTTCCCTAGTGGTTTCTGACTCGATTTCGGATATGAACTGATTGGTTGACCGCTTCGTTGATGGTGGTAGGCGTCTTCGAAGTCCAAGTAGTGGGTGGCAGATTGGGGTCTGGCGACGGTGTTCGTACGACAGCGACAGCATCCAGCTTTGAAATGACACTTTCTGGGTCAAAAGGAACAAGCCCAGTGGCACTGAAACCTGCTCGAATGTTTCCTGGCGTCATAGCAGCGTTATGTGCTTCACAAAACGCTGCAAAGAAGTCCTCCTTCAAAACGTGGGTTATATGACGCCGGATGAGATCCTTAATCATGCGACCGTAAGCTCGTTTGAGCGGGCTAAAACAGCCGACATCTAGAGGCTGGAGCCTGTGTGACGAGTGGGCAGGCATACAAAGGGTGATAATGCCGTTGTTCTGATAATAATCCTCAAAGACCTGGGAATGGTGGCTTTCGTGACCATCTAGGATGAGGAGGCGTTTACCAGCAGTCATACGCGGTCTGGTATACTTGTCGAAATGCTGAATCTATTCCAAACCAATCTCATTCGTGGTCCACCCATTATCGGACACGGCCACCTTCCAATCGCGTGGTAATATTGTGTCGCGATACCATGACGCGAGGTGGGTTTTGCCCTGTAGAATGATGAACAGCGGGACCACCCAACCATCAGCATTGACAGCAGAAATTGCTGTAGACCATTCCCTGTTGCCTTGCTGGGCTTGTCTAGGCCTGCCACGTCTTTCAGCGCTTGTAACGACCATGCCAGACCCAATAATGCCCATCATAAACCCAGTCTCGTCGAAGTTGTAAATATCCGCGTCTTGGATACCATGTTTCGCGACTGCCGCTGCAACTTGGCAAAACCATGCGCGATACGCATCTGGATCCTCGTTCAAGACCCTCTGGTAGTCCATCCTCCAATGAAAACGCGTCCGGAGGCCTGGTGTACGTTTGATGAAGTTCCGCGTCTAGTTCTTTCCAACACGTCCAGCCCCACGCGCCGCCAACAATTGATTCGCCATATTTTCAACATAACTGTACCGGGGCGGAAATGCTCGCGCATCCAGGTCGAGAATGAAGGAACAAATGGCATTCTCTTCGGAAACCATAAGTTTCAAAGTATTGGGCATGCTGTCGCGTCGTGATGGCATTCCTTTGACTCTATTGCTCAAAGTGGAACGAGGGACGTTGAAGAGTTTTGCAAGTTGAAATATAGGAATATGAGGGTCACGTCGTTTAGCTTGAACAGCTAGCTGCAAGTCTGATTCGTTATAACGCGGTGCCATTGTTGTTGGTGGAGATATGATGGTTTGAATCGTATTGGTTGGAAAGTTCATGACGAGTGCCAACTCGCTTGTAATGTTAACTCGCTTGTCAGCTACGTTATAATTAATATAAAAGTAATAATAAAACGCTTTAATTAGATGTTTAGTTTTAAATAGAAGAAAGAAGGATATTGTTACGTTAATTGTTTTTTGATATTTTTATTAGATATATATTTTCTAACATAGATATGAATGATTTCGAAAAATAATATTTAACAAGAAATAATTTAAAACGAATAGTTAAAAGGTTGAACATATTATTATATATAAGTTAATTATCTAACTAGTTAAGTAAAAGCTACACTTATTATATAGTAACAATCCCTTCTTATCTTATTTATTTAACTATAGTTTAATTATTTAAAACGCATACTTATAACAAGTCATTTTAATCACTTATATTAAAATACCAGGCGTAAAAAGGACCTAATTGCTTTTAATTATAATAATAAAGCTATAAAAGTTTAAACTAATTAAAAAGCTTTATTCTTATATAGCCTTATAAATTCGACGACGTATATATATTATTAACATCGTTTAACCGGTATTAAAAGCCGTTAAAAGCCTTTAAAAGGCTCGGAACGTTTAAATTTATACTAAAAATAACCAAGTAAAAAAGCATACCTTTTCCGGCGTTAATTTTTATTAAACAATTTAACCTAGATATTATAACTCGATTATTAAGCTTTAAAAAGGCTCTTTCGTTACTAGCAACCGCCCGTTATACTAGATTTTAATAAGGTCAGAAAGATTTTAAAATATAGTAGCCGTTAGTTAACTTAACTCGTGCGGTAAAAGAATATCGGTAAAGCCACGTTAATTAAGCTTTTAAAACGTTAAAAACGAAATAAATAATAATCTTAACTTAATAAAGTTCTTATAATATTAATAAAAACTACGTTTAAGAGGTTATTAGACATAAAATCGGGCTTCTTATAATTATATGTTCGCGGTAAAAATATATATATATATATTACCTCTAATACTACTAGTAACGCTTAAATTTAAAATATTAACAATGCTTAAAAATAGCTTTCGCACTTTAATTTTAAGACATTTGACTTTTAAATATATAAATAATTAGTTATTAAAAACGAAATAATACTTAAAATAATAATACGCTTATAAAATAAGTAGCTACAATAACTTAATACAAATTTATCGTATAATCTTATCAAAAACATAATATCCTTTTCATTATTATAAAGTAAAGCTTTCTCGTTTAATAATTTCTTATAATATTTTACGGTAAAATAAAGGTTAACGTGCTTTAACGGCTCGAATTAAAGAGGTTATATAACGAAAGTATATAAGAGCGTTACATATAAACGAATCGAAATCGTTTAATTCTAAAAATAATTATGAGACTTAATAATATTTAAATTTTTTAAAAGGTATAAAAAAGTATAAAGGTTTTATTAATATTTAGTAGCTTTATAAAGTAAATAAACGAGCGGAATTAAAAAAATGTAATAATAGCGGCGTTATTAAAACCTTAAAAAAGCAACAAGGCTGTTTATAACGGCGTAAAGCTACCTATTAAAATATATACATTATAAGTACGTATTAAGTATTATAAGTACTTATTAAAGTAAAATTAACACGTTATTAATGACTTAAGTATAGTTTAAATTATTTAATAATAACGATTCGCGTAAAATACGCTAATAAGCGTTCTTAAGTGCTTACCAAGTAATAACCTGCCTAAACATTTTTAAAGTAATATTTAATAAGTAAAGTCTTATTAAAATACTAGCTGTTATTAGTACGGCGCGAAGCTACGTATCGAAATACGCGGTAATACTTATTAAAGTAATAAACGCGATTCTTAGTAAAAAAATCGTCGTTTAACGCGTTGTTAATGTTATTTAAATCGCGTCGATCGACGTAAAAGCTCACGATTAAAGGTATATATCAATATATATAAAGCTTAACCGTTAAAAAGGTTAATTTCAACCTACGGTCTTTAATCGAAGATCGGATAAAAATATTACTATATAAAGCGAATTGTTAAAAGGTTAAATATATTATTATACGTGGATTAATTATCTAGCTAGCTAGGTAAAGACTGCACTTACTTATAATAAGTCCTTTAATAACTTATATTATAATTAATAATTATATTTAAATATAAATTATAGCTGAAAAGGGGGTATTAGGTAAAGTATGTAATATTGTTTATTATAGTAACGTAAACAATCGGCTTATTATTATATTTTATTAGTCATAACAAGAAAAGTTTAATAAATCTTTAAATTTAGAAATCAATGCTTAAAAGTTAAAAGACGTAGTTTCAAATAATATAACGCGTTATTTTTATAATACGTTATAGTTAAACGGTTTATTAAGTTTTATTAGTATATCGAAATATTTCAATAAAAATATAAAGTTAAAAAAAAGTTAAAAACCGTACATAAAGGGGAAATATTAAGAAATTATTTTAGAAATAACGCCTTTATATTATTAAGGAAAAGAACTAGCTAATAGTTATAAAGATAGGGCTAAAAAGGGAAATTTTTATAATAACGAGAATTTCAAAGTTGTTATTAATGATAAATAGGTTATTTTAAATAGGTATTACGGTTATATCGACGAGATTTTTTATTTATTACATTATTGTGAGAAGTCACACAGGGGTCAGGACAGGGGATGTGTTGAATGGGAGCCGGAGATAGACACCGGAAGATCTCCAGTAGAGCAGAGACGCACAGGGCATCTGACCCACCAAGAAGACAGATGATCAATCTCTGCATGCAGAACAAGAACACAATCAATAGAATCAATCAACATCCGTGTATTCAACAGGATGGATCAGGATCGGGTTGGTTCCCTTGTTCGTGTCAGGTCGGTGGTCCAGAAGGGACAAATCGCTATCTAAATAGGTGGCCTAGGGCCCTGACCAACTGTCTCCCAGACAGGTGGCTGTTTGGTTGCCACACAACACCCAATTGCTGCCACCCACCCCACAGTGACGCACGGACCACGTCAAACCACACACCAGAGCCACCACCATATTTGACAGTTGTTATAGGGTTTTTTTAACTTAGTTTAAGAAAAAAATAAAATTATTATTCTAAGTAGATTATTGACGTTAAAAAGATAATTATTTAAGTATAATAAGATTATAAAAATACGGTAATAAATATTTTAAGTTTTTTAAGGAATAATAACAAGTTTTTATAAAACGTTGAAAGTAATTCAAGTTTAAAGCTGTTTAAAATTTCTTTTTAAATAAATTTATATAACGGATATTTTTATAAAGATTAAGAAATATAATTATTGAATTAGTAATTATTAAAAAAGCGATTGTTTAGTTGAAACTTTTATTTAATATTATTATAAAAAGTAATTCAAATATTTATAGTTATTATAAATTAGTTTTAAACTTTTTTATGTTTAGTTTATATTTATGAAGTACAAAAGATTTCTTTGATAAAAAGGTTTAATAATAATAAGTTTAAGGTATAATTTAAATGTTTATTTTATCAGTATATATTTATGACGAGCTGTCTAACCTATAAGGCTAAAGGGTTCTATAGGGTTTATGTTCTGAGGTAAGTCAACATAAAAGACGATAAAGGCTTCTGTCAACTAGAAGACACTCAGATGCTAGGGCTTGGTCTGAACTGGGTTCACTGTGTAGTCGAGTTGTCAGGAGATTTCTCTCACCTTAGGGTTGGCTAAGATGCTTAGATTGATCACTGAGGTAGAGACTGTCTATCTCTCTGGTTGGGAAATGTCTGTCCTTATATATCCAATCTCTCCCTCACTGATTAGGTGGCTCACCCTGGATCACCGGTGATCCAAGGTGATCCAGTGATCCAAATTCTTAGTCACGTGACCCAGGCTCTGCTGGTCGCGTGATCTGTTGCACAATAGAGATAAAAACGCCTGGAAAAAAAAATCCGATTGATTAGATTGAATTAAATGCGTTGTGATCGAGTTATTTGACATGTTGGTTAGAAGGTTGGTAAGAAGTTACCGTTCGCTTGTAATTGCCGCTCGCTTGTCATCTACGTTATTATATAAGGCTGATTACGGGGGTTTTAGATATTTATAAGTATAAATTCCGTTATTAAAAAAAATAAAAAAAAATAAACGAAGTCTTTCAGAACGAGGCGTTGTAAAAAGGTAAAAACTTCGTTTAACTATATAAAATAGTTCGGGAAAAAAACATTTACACGATGGTGTCACCATTGACCTTGGTATGTCAGTCCTTCATCCACTTACCCTACCCAGAAAGAAATTCTCTAACAGTAGACGATCCATCGAACAGGACTGATGAACCACACCAAGTACGACGCCGAGAGACAGATCGCCAGTATAGATGGTGGCGCTTTGTGGAAGAATGTCTACTCAGACCTTGAGCCATACGGGGTGACCGCTCCCGGCGGGCGAACGGCTACCGTTGGGGTGGGCGGGTTCACGCTGGGAGGCGGCAACAACTTCTACAGCGGCAAGGTGGAATTCGCCTGTGATAATGTGGTCAACTATGAGGTGGTCCTCGCCAATGGGTAAGTCGAGGGTCTGGGTACTTCTCATCAAAGACTGGTTATAGTCGGGCTGACTCGGAACTCTCGCCTGCTAGGGATATCGTCGAGGCCAACAGCGAGCAGAACCAGGACCTATGGAAGGCACTTAAGGGTGGCTCATCCAATTTCGGAATGGTAACGCGCTTCGATATGCAGGCTTTCGAAGCCAACGACATCTACGGAGGCCTGGTCACCCACCCCCTCAGCGCGACGGACGAGGTCATTGCCGCCTTCAGCAATTTCGTCGACAATATTGAAAACTACCAAGGTGGCTCTTGCTTCAGCTTCTGGTCATGGGTCGTGGGGTCGGACCAGACAGTCATCAACTCCGCTCTTCACGATACGACTGGGGCTATAGCAGCGCCGGCTTATGCGGAATATGCGGAGATTGAGCCTAGGATCCAGTCTTCGCTTCGTTTGGCCAGCCAACTCAACATGACGGTTGAGCTTGAGTTCCAGAAGGGATTCCAGTAAGTGTCCGCGGACGTCAGCTAACTTATTCATTCACCTTCCCCTGGCAGTTGGCACCCGAGACAACGACTCTGGATCCCACTAACTCGGTCTCCCAGGAACGTCTGGCTCGCCATAACAGTCAAGGACGACCCAACCATACTACATCTTCGAGCAGCACAACGCCTTCATCTCAGCGTGACAGCAGGCAACAGGAGACGACACATTCAGCTTGTACACGGTCTTCCAACCACTCCCCAAGATTCTCTTCGATCACGGCGTCGCACAGGGCGGAAACGTGCTCGGCATGGACCGCCAGGCAGGCAACTGCGTCCTCTTCCAGGTCTTCATGGTCTTCACCGGGGCGTCGCTCGAGCCCGAGGCCCGCCGCCGCATGGTGGCGTATCGCGAGACCGTCAAGGGGCAGAGCGTCAGGACGGGCACCGACGTCGAGTTCGAGTACCTGAACTACGCCGACAAGACCCAGACTCCCCTCGAAACCTATGGCGAGGATAATATCGCGTTTATGCGAGCCGTCGCGGCCAAGTACGACCCTCAGCAGATCCTGCGGGCGCGTATGTCGGGCGGCTTCAAGCTGCCTTGAGTGGATGTCAGTCAGGCTCCATTTGAAAGCACCAGTCTCAGCAAAGCGGATGTTCAGACTTGGGTTTTCGTTTGATGTCGACGCGGTGGCATAGTTGGACCAAGCTCCTAAGTGGTCACATACATCGGGGGTTTTACCAGTGGCTAGTCGAACTGATAGTCGACAGTTGCCGGTCACTTAAGTATACTTGAAACTCAATGTTCAGCCCTCGAAGTTAAATGCCCTGAATGCCTCAAGGTGACCCAGGGGGTAGATGAGACCCATCTGCATTGACGCCTCATGCGTTTGTAACGAACTCTATTCTGCTGCCAGTGATAGATGCATGCTTTTTTCTTAGTCTGAACTGATCCATAATCTTTTCTCCTGTTTTTTCCTTCAAAGAATTTAGATCAGCTCCCGGTGATCAGTGGCAAGTCCGGCACTTCAACAACTGGGAACCCATCCGACATGCGTCATACGCCGCTCCTATCCCGATTCCGACAAAGCAGGGCATCTGGCAAAACCTGTGATTCTAACTCACAATGTCGTCGTCCTCGTCATCAAGCCGTCCAGGCAATGGGTTTGTCTTGCAATTCGACAGCGCATCTGCGAGTATGCTGGACTGCCCCTGAATGGCACCCTCTGCCTCGACAAGCCCTTCCCCGTTAGATACAGGCCGGCCGTCAGGCCATGGTCCGCAAAGCGAGGCGTAATAAGGCTGTTGCTCACATGTCGCGTCTTTCGCGCGGAAACAACAGTGATCGTGTAATCGAAGAACCTCGGTGTGACCACAGAATTATCGCTGCGAAACGACCATCTACTACGCGGACAACATTGCGTCAGCTTACTTTGAAAAAGGGACACTTGTCTTTTGGTACAGTTCGTCATTCATTCAGTCATATCTCCATACGCCGTCGACTTATATACCCCCTGCATTCTTGGCGAAGTACACGTCCCGTAAGAAAAGAATATCTCCATTCCTCCGGCAAGTACGAAGGAACTTCCAGGTTCCCATACCACATCGAGCACACATCACCACTCCTCCCTAACAAGCAGCAACCTCGCCATCTCCGGATTCCTCAGCACGACCTGAGACTCAAACTCATTCGGATGACCTCCAAGTCCCACCCTCACGCCCGGAACCGGCTCCTTCGGCCGCCCCTCCGCATCCAGGACCATCTCAAGCTTGAACACCGCCAAGAGGGTCGCGAGGAACATGTACACACTAGCCAGCGCCAGATGGCTCCCGGGACACCGCCTGCGGCCAAACCCGAAGTTGCCGCTCGGCGGCGGCTCGTCCCGGTCGTACCGGCTGGGATCGAAGACGTGCGGTTCGGCGTAGGTGGCCGGGTCCGTCGACATGGCCGTCGTGTTCGCGAACACCGTGGTGCCGGCCGGGATGCGCTGACCGCGGTACACGTCCTCTCTGAGGGATTTGTGCGGGATCACGAGCGGGTTCAGGGGCAGGCAGCGCAGCGTCTCTTGCATGAAGTTGTTGAGGCGCTTCAGGGCGGGGCGGTCGTCAAAGGTTGGGAGACGGGGAGACTTTCTATTACCAGATAGCAGGAGCTCGTCGAGCTCGGCGGCTACTTGCGCTTGTAGGGCTGGGTACTTGGTTAGGAAGAGCATGCAGCTGAGGATAGTTCCGTAGGTGCTGTTGCCGCCGGCGATGAAGACGGCACAGGTCGCGCCTTTGATGTCGGCTGGTGTCAGGTCTTGGGGCTCGCCGGACTTTAGCGCTGCGCGGTACTTCTCGAGGTGTGTTTTCATGAATGATGTGGATGCGGTGCCAGCGTCGATGGCCTGCATGTTGGATTCCCAGGGTACATTGTGGATTCGTTGGACTATGGCAGAGGTATCTGGGGTCAGTACACTTCTACACCTGTAAGAGGTGAATAGGGGCTATGATATAGTATGATGCCTATTGATCGATACATTACTTCCAGGCTCCATGGTAATACCGTAGGACAAAACGGTAGATAAAAGGGGTTAAACCCCCGGATTTAGTGGAGTAGGGCGAGGAACATACTAGCAGCACGACTCTTCCTCGCATGCCGCAGTGGCGCCGACGGGCAAAGCCACTGGGGCAACCAGCGAGCAGGTGGGAAGATATCAACCAGGGTCGACCCTGCGATTCCCCCATTCGTGGTGGCATCGTTGGCATCAATAGCCATTGCGAAGTATGGCGAGTTTTGGTCACTGACCCCCTGCCCGTAGGCAACTCGGAAGATGATGCTCGTCGTCATGAGAAGTGTGGCTTCCTTCCAGCTTGCTGGGTCAGTGACGAGTGAGCATACCGCCTTCCGCGCTTCGTGAACCTGGATTGACTGGAAGGATTTTATTTTGGACTGCATGAACCTTGATTGGAAAAGCCGTCGGTGTACTTTGAACTGCGGTCCCCAGGGGAGGAATGTCAGGGTCAGGCCCCAGCCCATGCTGTGGGAAGGGTCAGCCGGCTGTTCTTGCTTCTGGGTGCGAGGTTGATGCTTCGGTCTGTCTCTCCGTATCTGGGGGGAGCTGCCTATGCTCGTAATCGGGGCACTCACACCTCGAACAAGGTGAACCGCGGCCGGTCACAGTAGTTTGCGCCTCGAAGATCAAGGAGATCTGTAGCAGCTCGCACGCTGTTTAGGCACACCATGTGCTGACCGAGCACGCTGGTGTAAATAACATCGGACTCTGCAGCTCTTGTTAGGATGAAGCATACTATTGGCTTTTAGTAAATGTCCCAATGCTTACTGTATTCCTTTCCCCACTGTATGTAGTCCTGCTCAGGGTGTTCATCACCCAGCTGGCCGGCATTGCCGATGAGGAACTTGCCAGCCGGCCCAGGAGGCAACGGATGGGTGGGTGCTTTGCGGAACAGACGCCTGTATAAAAGCCAGAGCACGGAGGTGATGACCACGGTCAGGGGCAGCCTCTGGCTGGGATTGAGTGGTAGCCACAACATCTCTTGCTCGAACTCGTTGCAGTCTGTTGATCGAGCGAGTTGCGTGCGACGTCGTCACGGATGAAGGTCCCATGACCGCTCTTATGACTTGAGCCTCAAGGCTTGTATGATGGACAATGCAACGGTGGCAGCTCTCCCGGTAAGCGCGGTTATGGAAAACCCCCACAGAGCATGCCAGCAAAGCGAACCGCCCTTCGATCGCTCATGGTCGTCGTATCGATGCGATGCGCAATCTATTTGCTGCAGCTTCGGCTGGCCGGCACCCCGCTTCGTGGCATGGTTACGCAGCATAGTAATCCTGTTGATGAACGAGGGGAGCGGCTCCGGAGACGGTTCTACTGATCCCGTACGTCTTCCTCAGAGCTATAGTACCGTGGTGGCTCGACTCGCCCTTGATGTTGCGTGGCACCTTCATCAGATACCGGCCTATTGGTTGCCAAGAGGACATGGATAGTCAGGCACTATGTCTGTAAGAAACAGAGTCAGATGTTTTGAAGTGCTGAGCGCACGACATCTTAGATACCTGTCGAGGTGTAGCCATCGAGCTTGGTGTAGTATATACACCACTGGAACATCGCGTACATATCTGGGTTGAGCTGTTAGCATCTAGAGCCAAACTGTCTGAAAATGCTCGCGTGCCAGTCATACTCAAGAATATGATACTCAACCGACCCGTCATATGTGAGCCTGAGCTTCTCGCTCAATTGGTTCTTGTAAGGTTGCTCTTTTACAACTATCGCCATGTTCTCTTGGTGCAAGTAATCGCCATTGTGGACCTTCCTAGTATGATTGAGTCGTCCATGGTGGGTTCATATCGTATCACACACGAGGGAGTCCTCCCGACGAGATCAAGCAGGTCTTTTCTGTCAGACTGTTCACGCAGATCGCCCGAGCAGACCTCGTAGCTCTCAGAAGCTCGATCCAAGAATCGAGCCGGGGGCCGACGTCCTTCACATCCACCCTAACGCGGAACAACAGCGACCCGGGGTATTCGACCGTCCAACGGTATGCTTCTTCCCCAGAGCACTGTCATAGCCTTTCCTGGACTCGGCATGATGAGCGACGATGTTATCTTCCCGAACGTCGACACATTCAACGGTCGCCGATTCTACGACGTCAAGCAACAGATAGGTCAGGGGAACAAGCACCAGTCCGTCTCACCGTCAGACACCGAGGCCAACTTCGGCACGGGACCTCGTGCCTGCCTTGGACGGTTCCTAGTGAGATACGAAATCCCCTGGTCGGTGGATGGAGCGTCATATTACTCGACGAAGCCGGGTGCGGAGGTATACTTTCGGAGAAAGAACAAGGTGCTAGGGGGTTGTGAGGTGTCATATACTCGAGATTCCTTTAGTAAATGGCTAGAGGTCCTTGGGGAACGCATGTTGCAGGCTTATGGAGAACGTGCCATCCACCAGGCGCGTCGAATGCGAGAGGCAAGCCAACACATTTAGAGAACTTCCTGTTATTGAGAGTGGCTTTGGCTTGTGTTACATTGAGTCATGTCAAGTTGTACGGGACTCTGGGCTGTCTGGGCATGCCAAGAGGACAGAACGAGGAGGTTCTACCGTGGCTGACTGGGTTGGTGGAAACGGGGGCCGGGTCAGCTCTGGCTCTGAGAGTCTGGATCGGTTTGGCAGGGATCATCGTCGCTCATCATCGCCCATCGTGGGGGCCCAGACTACGAGAGCCGGGATCTAACGTTTAGTTATTTAGATAGGACCATACCGCCGCCTCTTGTAGTACCTTAACCAGAACATTGACTCGTGTGGCTCTCGTGATAGAGTCAGGACAGTCAGGGTCCAATGATATGGCACTGGCTGGATGCTGATGCTGCCGCGTGGCTGTGACGGCGGGTATGCCATGCACCGGCAAACATAATCTTGGTGGTAGTCTCTGGTAGACGATGATCATTGATGATGATGCGGTAAGGGAGGGGCGGGCAGTGGCATCACAGTCGCATCCTCCCAAACATGTGCATTTTCACCCCCTGCTTTTTCGCTTGGCCCCCGGAGCTCTCCATGCCTGCCTGCGTGCCAGCCCGGCCAGTTGATGATATGTCTGTTTGTCTACCGGCAATTTGCTCCTCCAGTTTTCCCATCATCAGTCCCCCCAGTCCCCTTGCCGGGTCGTCTGTCAACAGCTGTGATGCTTAGGGTCTTGTTCAATCTCCACCATCAATCCCACGATTAAGTTAGTCATTACAACAGATGTCGTCTTGCCGGCAGTCGCTTGACCCTGTGCAATCATTGGATAGAGAATAGCGTTGCGACAAAGGACGCAAGCATACTGCCGCGACCCGTGGCAGTCGTGGGAGCTTCGCGGCAATATCTGGAGCTGCCTGCCCGCTGCCGTGCGACGACTCACGAAAACCCACCACCGAGACCAAGACCAAGACGGACCAAGACCAAGACAGACCCGAGACAGTCTCCGCCCTCCTCCACCTTCAGTCGTGACCATGTCGCCAGCTCCGGAGAGGCTCCAGTCTTCCTCCATGTCTGCTCCACCCGATGCCTCCGCCAGTCCGGCTGCTTCTGGCGCGCCGCCTGTGAAACGCCGTGCCCCAATTGCCTGCCGGAGGTGAGCTCTCAGCTGAAACATCACCACCCTTCCAACACTGGCGGCAATACTCTCCTAACAACTAACAATACTAGATGCCGGCGAATGCGCAGCAAGTGTCTCCACGACAAAGAACCGCCCTGCAGGTCTTGTAGGGAGGCCAACGTGCCTGAAGAATGGTGATTATAATCCTGTCCTTGGCTTCAATGTTTGCTGGCTTGGCCGTGTGCTTACGTCGCCCCGCAGCGTCTTTCCCAGCCGAGGAGACTCGGACGCGGACCGCCTGTTTCGACATCCTCGCCAAAGGGCAGATAGGAGATCCAGAGGTGAGATTATCAAGGTCAAGAGCGAGGCACCAGTCTCGCCAGGCTTTGTCCACAATGCGCTCTCCAACGCCGAGCCCCCCAAGCTGGCCGACGAGTGGGATCTGCTCCCGAGCCTCGACATAGTCATCGACGGCATCGACACCTTCACCCGCCACTTCTATCAACTAGGCTTCATCCATAAAAAGATGTTCATGCAAACGCTGAGAGAGACTCCAGAGACTCTTAGCGTCTTCTTGCTCTTAAGCATGCTGTGCATTGCCGCGAGGTTCAACGATAGTTTCATCAAGATGTATGGCGACGGACTCCAGGCCGTCACGGAGCTCATGCAGAATGCCCAGCGGATGGCCCTCAAGGAACTTTACCTGGAGCCGACGCTCGAGAGATGTCAGGCTTTCTATATACTAAGCATAGCGGAACAGGGAAGTGGAAAGTCAAATACGAGCTATGTAAGGTCATACCGCCCCGGCTCCTCGGCACATCGGCTCACCTCGCATAGATCAGCTCCGGCATAGCATTCAGAATGGCAGCGCTCATGCGACTCCATCGAGAAGAGGCGTATAGCCCCATTACGGCGGATTCGCCTATCGCGCACAGGATACGGGCCGAGTCTGCTAGACGCACTTTTGTAAGTGAACAATCAGATCATCATCTTGACCAGTAGCGCCCCTTTCCCTTACGTCTTGCAATTTGACGTCACCGGCTATTCTGCTGGCATATATATAGCTTTTGAGGCTGACATGCTTCTACAAACGCGCAGTGGATGTTGCACAGTAAGTAAAAACATCAACACGACAGACGTAAGGCCTCGCTGATCGAATCCAGGCCAGGACAACCTGCATTCTGGCCCCTATAAACCAGTTTCAATAGCTGCCAGTGACATAACCGCTCTTCTCCCGTCTGACGAAGCCGACTTCGAAGCCGGGCGGATTCCGGCCCAGCGCGCAGCCCTCGAAGGGACACCGCCGGCCATTCAAGATCCCAATCTAGTCTCCCTCAAGCCGAGGCCCCTGTTCGCATCTCTAATGCAAGTACACAACTTCTGGGGGGTAATAGCGCGACGCATTCTCTGCAATGAGAAGGACTGGCAGCCGAATGATGAAGATAGCGACTTTGCGAAGCTGGACCGCCGACTCAACGACTGGGAGAGGAATCTTCCGTCTGAACATGCTTTCGGCAAGATCCTCCTGGGCGGCTATAGACATTACGCGGAGGACCTGGTAAGTCTATCTGTCGTCGTCGGTCGAGATGAGGTTTTCTGACTGACCCGCCAGGCCTATCTGAGTTGCACTGGGACTCTTCGACTTTGTCACATTGTCTTGCGCAAGGCTTATCTGGACGAGTACGTGTCCTACTCATCGCACTCCGGCCTTCGTTGACACTTTGGTCTAGGATGATTCGACACGCCCACCGCAATCCCGCAGACCCTGAGGCCAAGTTCTATCAGAATATGGCGGCCGACCTCTTCTGCAATGTCAGATTGCTGCATGAGCAGCTCGATGCTCATTTTGAAGACGGCACTCCCGTCGAAAGTCTGGGTTCACAGATGGCAGTGAGTAGCCTACTTCGGTCGCATGAACCTCGAATCCCAGCTGACATATCCCAGGCATTCGTTACGTACAGCTGTGGCTTGTTGGCGTCGTACCTGTGCAAGTTCCCTCAATGTAGGTTCCCCTTTCACGTCCATGACATTGACTTGATAGCACTGACCACGTTAACGTAGTGGATGCCCAACACGTCGGCAACAACTTGCAAGCGGCTCAGGCCGAAGGCCGGATGATGTACTTGCGCAGTCTGGGAATATTACGAGCATACCAGCACATATGGCCCCTGGCCGAGACGTGGTGCAACGGCCTAGAGAAGTGGTTCAAAGATTCGAACCCAAAGCGGATATCATTCCAGGCCGGCACCATGACCGACGGCGTAAGCAGATCCAGAGCTCTCTCACTCACTTTACACACCGACTGCAGAACCAACTGACTGTGTATTCAGAAGGAACCTCAGCCGTATGCTCTAGGTGCTATGCACCCCCGGGTAACCACGCCCGCATGTCACACCGCGGGCGTCAACAAGAAGTTCCACACGGCGCGCTCCAAAACGCAGCAACGCTCGACGGCCGAGAAGGCCGAGGCTCCGCGACTCGCGCCGCTGCAGAACACGCAGTCCAACTACGTCGAGCCCGTCTGTCTGCCACCCCTGTCGCAGGCGCAATACGCGGCGCATAACCCGCAGCCGCAGCCGCAGCCGACGCCGTCTCAAGCCCAACCTCGCGCTCGATCCCAAGCCCAAAACCATACTCGGTCCCAATCCCAATCCCAATCCCAAGCCCAAGCCCAAGCCCAAGCACAAGCACACCCACCACAGCAACCGCAACCTCAACCGCAGCAATCACAACAGCACTACCAGCCACAGCAGCCTCAGACCGTCTACCCCAACTCAGGCCTCGAGATGCTGATCGAGGCCTCGGCGCATCAGACGCCGCCGGCCGCCATGGACGCCTACAACCCGCACGCGTTCTACGTGGACCAGGGTGCAGCGGCCGAGTACGCGCTCAACGACGGCTTTGATAGTAATCTGCAGGTGCTGGTCGACGGTGGCGCGCAGTGGACGGCGACGGATGCCACGACGGCGATTTATAGTCCTTATGGGTACGGTAATATATGTGGCTGATTAGGGGTAGGTATGTGTAAATGGCTGGAGACTTGGGCAGTTCGGCGGAACGGAAATCAAGAAGATGCATATGACCTGACGCTTCCATGAGAATGGTTTTATATATAGCGAGATTTATTGTTTCTTGTTTTATAGTCTGTGGTTTGCGGTATACCTATATAACCATATTTTGCTACCTGTCTACATACAAGTATATCATCATGTCTCTTATTGACCTTGCGGTGAACTCGGCGATACAACGCTTGATTGAAGATGCGGCATGAGATTCCGACATGTCTTTCGGGGCTTATTAGACGTTAACCGCAACACATATCATACTGAGAAAGTAGCGCGGTCTTTTGGTACTTACGAGAACGAGAAATTTCATCAGGACAGCTTCCCTCCCCTAGTTTCTCACAACAGCAATGAGGCCGGTGCGCCGACCGAGTTGGACTGCGCTTTTAGACTGAGGAGTGTGTGATGGAGTCGGTTGCTTCAGGGTATGACTTAAAACACAGATACGTGACTGGCTGGTAAGTCTTTATATGAAGAAAAAAAGATCTAGCTGGCAGAGGATTCCAGTTGCAAGGAGGTCTGCGCAATGCTTTTGATCTTATATCAGAGAACGTATTTTGTCATTACTAGGTACACGACGAATGAAGACGGGAAAATATTGGCATAGACTCGTTACCGTCTCCCCTCAAGTGGCCGGCTGACAGTAGGGTCAAGGTATATCAAATCCCATGAAGGCGCTTTTGGATCCCCGTTCCCCTGTATCGCAAAGCCCGGTAAGGTAAGTGAGTGACAGTGACATCGGTGGCTCTCATTGGCATGTCGCACATCAGGCGTCACACACACCACGCATGGCAATTAACGGCGTGGACTAATGGGATTTTCCCCCGAGCTGCCCGGCGGTGATGTTGATGTCCCGTCTGACCAGCCATTGATGCAGGTCGATGCCCTCTAGTTACTCCTCGGTACTCAGGTAATGCTTCGCAGTTGTGCGTCTCGCTCTCGCTCCCTCCCCGCACAACTTAGTATCACCTGCATCATGCAGTGAGCATGCGCTTACGTCTTGCACCATCATCACGTTCTGCCGCCCCTGGATTCGAGGTTCCGATATAGGGGTCCCCGCCTCCTTGAGCCATTCAAGCGGACTTACAGCGCACAATGGCAATGTACTGGACGTGTTAGCACGGAGGAGCCGCTCCACCCCGAGGTCTGAAGCCGAAAAACTTCGGCGCATGTGGCATGTGGGACTAGCCGCTTTTCTAGTTCTTCGGAGGGCGTGTCTTGGCAACGGGTTGATATATTTTGTTGATCGTTTGTAAAGGTTGTCTGACTCACAACCTCTGACTCAATAATAAGAATTTCAACCTGAAGAGACCCTGACTGAACTGCTATTACTCCAGTGTATGTTTGTGGAAGATAAGTTTACAGACCGGCCTGGATTGCTTCATTCCCTGGGATACTGCAAAGCCACGTTTGCCCCTCACTGAACCAACGCACAACCCCTCCATTGCTGCCAAACCCTTTTTTGCCCCGCGTTGAGTCAACCTCGTCAACCTGCCTGCGCACATCCCGAGCGTGTTCCCACGATGCCGATGTAAGTTTTGTGGCCATAACTCCATGCACAAACACCCAATGGCTGGTAGAACCCAGTATTTGGAAATAAACCATCTAACACCCGAGTTCCCTATGTCAGGCTCAAGGATCCGTCCAAAAAGTACAACAGGTTTACCCCATTGAACCTCCCGAACCGTCAATGGCCGTCTAGAACCATCGACAAGCCGCCGCGATGGCTGGCTACCGACCTTAGAGATGGCAACCAGAGCTTGGTCGACCCAATGGTCCGTGCACGCTGTTCCCCAACCCTCTCGAGCGTGGGCTGACATGAATTGCGACAGAACGGCGAGGAGAAATGGAGATACTTCAAGATGCTGGTCGAGCTGGGATACAAGGAGATTGAGGTCTCCTTCCCCTCGGCGTCGCAAACCGACTTCGACTTCACGCGACGCCTAGTCGAGACCCCAGGCGTTGTGCCCGACGATGTTTGGCTGCAAGTCCTTGCGCCCTGCCGAGAAGACCTCATCCGCCGTACCGTCGACTCCCTCAAGGGCGCCAAGAAGGCCCTCCTGCACATCTACCTTGCCACGAGCGAATGCTTCCGGCGCGTTGTGTTCGGTTTCACAGAGGAAGAAACCATCGAGCGTGCAGTAGCATGCGCCAAGTACGCCCGCTCCATCACCAAGGACGACCCCGACCAGGCTGGTACGGAATGGGCCTTCGAGTTCAGCCCCGAGTGTTTCTCAGACAGCAGCCCTGAATTCGTCATTCAGGTCTGTGAAGCTGTCAAAGCCGCCTGGGAACCCACAGTCGAGAACCCCATTATCTTCAACCTGCCTGCGACCGTCGAGATGGCCACGCCGAACGTCTACGCCGACCAGATCGAATACTTCTGTACAAACATCAGCGAGCGGGAGAAGATTTGCGTCTCCCTCCACCCGCATAATGACCGTGGCTGTGCTGTTGCGGCCGCCGAGCTTGCTCAGATGGCAGGCGCCGACCGGGTAGAAGGATGTCTATTTGGTAACGGTGAGCGGACTGGCAATGTTGATCTGGTTACTTTGGCTCTGAATCTCTACACTCAGGGTATCCATCCCAACATCGACTTCTCTGATCTCAACCGCGTCATCGACACTGTCGAGGTTTGCAACAAGATTCCCATCCATCCTCGAGCTCCATACGGCGGATCCCTTGTCGTATGTGCGTTCAGTGGTTCCCACCAGGATGCCATCAAAAAGGGGTTCGTGAACCGGGAAAGGGAAGGCAAAGCCTACGAGGACACGTGGCAGATGCCGTATCTGCCTCTGGACCCCCAAGATATCGGTCGTACATACGAGGCTATCATTCGCGTCAACTCACAAAGTGGCAAGGGAGGTGCCGCTTGGATCATCCTTCGCAAACTCGAGCTTGATCTACCTCGGGGCCTGCAAATCGCCTTCAGCAAGGTGGTACAGAAGAAGGCAGACGAGCTCGGGAGAGAGCTCTTGTCAGCCGAGATTACCGATCTGTTTGAGCAGACGTACTTCCTGCGCGATCACCCGCGTTTCAACATTGTCGACTATTCAATCTCGGTCGACCGGTCGACATCACCTGTTCCGCCCGAACCAGGCAAGACTCAGGATACTAAGAACCTGGGACGTGTCTTCAAGGGTGTCGTGGCCATCGATGGAAAAGAGTATCAGTTGGAGGGTCGCGGTAACGGTCCCATCTCCTCTTTAGCTAATGCCTTGAAGGGAGTGGGCATCGACCTCGATGTCGCCGACTATAAGGAGCATGCCATCGGAGGCGGACGGGAAGTGAAGGCGGCCACGTATATTGAGTGCACATCTGGCTCGGCGCAGAAGGTATGGGGTATAGGCATTCATGAGGACGTGGTCCAGAGCTCCTTGATCGCTCTTCTGGGTGCAGCGAGCAACGTAAGTCCCCGCCCTGATCTTCCCTAATGGCTTAGCAGTCTTGACGATGTTATGCGCAGTTCGTTCTCAGCAGACCTGGCAGCCCGATCCTGTCGAAACACGCGCCGAAACGATCCCTCGATCAGGAGCTGGATATAAACGGAAGTGGTATGAAGGTGCCGAGTGCTACCAACGGGCCTACCAAGTCTCAAGATGAAGTATCTGAGACGGTCAAGGTGCTGGAAGCGAAGGCCAACGGCATGTAAATGCGAGCGATGGATGAGCAGGAAAAGCTGCGCCCGGGCCGGGATAGGGGACAGAAAGTCGCTCATTAACCCAACCACAGCCACCCACCGTTACAAGGCGTATATGGCTCCGCTACTTCGCTATCGCATATTCAGGCATGGTAGGTCGTAGTAGGTTGGTGCATTCATGGCCAAGCATCTGGAGCATGTGGGGGGCTATCATCGTTATTTGGCACCTTTACACAATTGCAACCGAGCATGTTTATTACAAAGACAAAATTCTTGTTGAATGGAACATATCCCTTGGGCATGTCTCGCCACTACATGTGTTCATTGTATTGGCGGTCTTTATGTATATTTTTTATGAATATTGTAGAAGAGCGGATGAGATGAGATCTGTGCTTGCAACATTCTCAGTTGTGATTAAGGTGCCGCGAGCGGAGGGTTTCGAGCACCTGCTCCCGCAAACATCCCATGGAATTTACAAGTGGTCATAACTTTGCCCCACTGAGCCGCCGCCTAGCGCCCTATGCCAAGTCCCACTAATGGCCGTTGACAGAATGATTTGCAGCGGACTCAGCGGGGAATCGCGGTCATTTGATGGAATGTAATGCTAATGCTTGTGCAAATAATTATCTCGATCCCTTTGCCGCCTTCACCTCTCACCGTAGATTGTGTCCACACCTCATATTCTCGATCAACAGCCAAAGTCAATACACGCCGTTGACAGGAGCATATTCACCTACCTGCGGCTCACGGGAATCAAGGAAATCAGGACAGCACCGTCGAGAGAAGAAACTTTACCCCTCAATCTCGAGTGCATCTTTGACTTTCCAACGGTCCGTCAAGATTTATCAGTGCAGCTCACGGTGTTGCTGTGCTCCTGCTGCACCCCCGCATTGCTTGTGATTGTCAACAAAAATAAAAAGGGACCCGCTCGCATCTCGCCCGCCTACCGCCTACCACCTACCGCCTAGCAGCGCCTGCGCAGGAGACCCTACCCGTGGACCGATCTGACGGCCCTGAACCTGCTACCGGCGCAGACTCCAAACTATCCACCGACGACTTCTCTGCAATTCTGCATTTCTGCATTTCTGCACCATTCTATTCTCCTTTTCGATCCCTTTCTTCCACCATCGGACAATCGTCTGCGGTATCTTGGTCCATCCTCCATAAATTCAGAGGCGACCATTCTTTCACTCCTTCTTCCACCCGTCAACAGTCACGCTTCTGGCAGACCACCTCCGTGCTCCTCTCCCCCTTCCAAACCCACAGGCCCGCCATCGACAAAATCCGCCATCCTGGATCCTCCACAAACTTGAGGAACAGCCAGTTGAGTCGACAATATGGCTGAAAACGGTGATATCAACGCTGTCCTCAGCAACTCGCTGTCTCCGGGTGAGTCGCCAAACACCGTCCCCCACCTCTGCAGCTGCAACATTCTCCTGATTTCACGTGCTGACCCTTCCCCCTCCCTCAGACGCGGCTACGCGCAATGGCGCCGAGCAACAACTATCCCAAGCCGCCCAGAACAATTTCGTAAGTCCCATCGCACCGTCTGTCGCATTCGCGACCCTTTACTGTAGCTGATTTTCCTCTCCTTGCTATAGTCCCTTTACTTGGCCACCCTGGTCCAGGCCTTGGCCGACGAGAACTCCGAAGGCAATATCCGAGTCGCAGCCGGTCTCGCCCTGAAGAACGCTTTCAGTGCCCGCGAGTATGCACGACAGCACGAACTACAAGCCAAATGGTTGCAGCAGACAGATCAGGAGACCAAGACCCGCGTCAAGGAGCTCGTGCTCCAGACCCTGTCGTCCAACAACGCACAAGCTGGCAACGCCGCCGCCCAGGTCATTGCCGCCATCGCTATCATCGAGCTTCCCAGAGACCAGTGGACCGACCTGCTCGGGGTCTTGGTGCAAAACGTTAGCAGCGGAGCGCCTCACCAAAAGCAGGCTTCCCTGACGTGTATCGGTTACATTTGCGAAAGCCAGGATGCCGAACTGCGAACTGCCCTGATCACCCACTCCAACGCCATTCTGACTGCTGTCGTGCAAGGCGCTCGCAAGGAGGAGACCAACGGCGAAGTCCGTCTCTCTGCGATCTCCGCGCTCGGCGACTCTCTGGAGTTTGTGGGCAACAACTTCAAGCATGAAGGCGAGAGAAACTACATTATGCAGGTCGTTTGCGAGGCTACACAGGCTGAGGACTCGCGGATACAGCAAGGTGCCTTTGGCTGTCTCAACCGCATCATGGCTCTCTACTACGAGAATATGCGCTTCTATATGGAGAAGGCCCTCTTCGGTCTCACGATTCTAGGCATGAAGAATGAGGATGAGGATGTCGCGAAACTCGCTGTGGAATTCTGGAGCACTGTATGCGAGGAGGAGATCAACATCGAGGAGGACAACGCTCAGGTATGTTGTCATTGAGAAGTGGATGAAGAGGAAACTCGACTAACGGTGCTTCGCGACAGGTCGACAGTTCCGATCAGATGCGGCCCTTTTACAACTTTGCGCGTGTTGCGACGGGTGAGGTGGTGCCCACTCTCTTAACGCTTCTCACCAAGCAAGATGAGGATGCCACAGACGACGAGTATAACACTGCTCGCGCCGCATACCAATGTCTCCAGCTCTACTCACAGGCTGTGGGACCCAACATCATTCCACCCGTTATCCAGTTCGTCGAGGCACACCTTCGATCTGAGGATTGGCATTATAGGGAGGCTGCGGTGGCTGCGTTCGGTGCTATCATGGAGGGACCCGACGAGAAGGTCTTGGAGCCCATCGTGAAGCAGGCCCTGCCTATCCTGATCAGCATGATGGAAGACAGCCATACGATGGTCAAGGACTCGACAGCCTACGCTCTGGGCCGGATCACCGAGGCCTGCTCGGAGGCCATTGATCCAAACACCCACCTGGATCCCTTGATTCGATCGCTATTTGCTGGTGTACATGATGTCAAGATGGCCGCCTCTTGCTGCTGGGCACTTATGAACCTGGCAGAGCGCTTCTCTGGTGATTTCGAGGCTGCGCAGAACCCCTTCACGCCTCATTTCAACCAAAGCGTCCAGACTTTGCTCACTGTCACTGCACAGGCAGGCTCGGAAACTACTGTCCGTACTACCTCTTATGAGGTGCTTAGTGCGCTCGTCCTGCATGCTGCAACGGACAGCTTCCCTTCAGTTGCGCAGCTTTCAGACGTGATCATTAAGCGCCTCGAGGAGACTATTCCTCTCCAAAGCCAGGTTGTCAGCATCGAAGACAAGATTGCCCTGGAAGAGATGCAGACTAGTCTAAGCACTGTTCTTCAGGCCATCATCCAACGACTGGAGAAGGAGATCTCACCCCAAGGTGACAAGATCATGCAAGTTGCTCTCCAAGTTTTGAACACCGTGGGCGGAAAGTCTAGTGTCCCTGAAGCAATTTTCGCCACCATCAGTGGACTGGCGAACGCTATGGAAGAGGACTTTGCCAAGTACATGGACGCTTTCACACCTTTCCTGTACAATGCTCTAGGCAACCAAGAAGAGCCAGGTCTCTGCTCCATGGCCATTGGCCTGGTCAGCGATATTACCCGGTCCATGGGAGAGCGCAGCCAACCTTACTGTGATCACTTCATGAACTACCTTCTGAACAACCTCAGAAGCACCGCCCTTTCGAACCAGTTCAAGCCCGCAATCCTCCAGTGCTTCGGAGACATTGCCAGCGCCATCGGTGGTCATTTCGAGACATACTTGACCGTAGTTGCACAGGTGTTACAACAAGCCGCGACTGTTACAGCTTCACCTGACGGTTCGTACGAGCTGTACGACTACGTTATTTCTCTGCGTGAGGGTATCATGGACGCCTGGGGTGGTATCATCGGTGCTATGAAGATCAGTGGCAAGAGTGAGTCCCCCTTTCAATGATAAAATTCGCTCGTTACTGACAACAGACAGCCCAAGCGCTGCAACCTTTCGTGCAGACTATCTTCCAGCTGCTCAATATCATCTCCCAGGACATGAACAGGAGCGAGTCGCTAATGCGTTCTTCGATGGGTGTAATTGGGTATGTAGTGTCCTCCCTACTTGCGTCGCCGTTCTAACAGAGTGGCAGTGACCTGGCTGATGCCTACCCCAACGGCGAGCTGGCAGATGCTTTCCGACAAGACTGGGTAACGGCCATGATCAAGGAAACCAAGACAAACCGTGAATTCCAGTCGCGTACCATTGACACGGCTCGATGGGCCCGTGAACAGGTTAAGCGCCAACTGGGCGGCACGTCGTCTGTTATGCAGCACACCTGAAGACACCAAGTAACCGCCCTGCCTCCCTTTCATCCCCCAACATCACCCCCGCCCACCATACGCGATGCGAAATTCTCCCAGCGAGCAAGCCAAACGCGCCATGGCCTTGCTCACAATGTTGGAAGAGAACAAGCACCACGCAATCTCAGCACCACCCCATTGTCGATCGCCATCCACTGAACGAACGAGACACGTGTATATAGATTCCCTTCACTACCTTAGTAATCCAATACCCCTTCACATCCCATCATCATTCTCATCATCCCCACTGGAACCTCGACACCTTGCACTCACATCCAATTCCCCCATGTATCCCCATTTGCTGAGTTCCACTCCGTTTTGACAAAAAGCCATCACGGAGGAATGCCATTAGAGAAGATCACGTCATGTACGCCCCAATGCTTCGGCTAGGGCCACGAAGTCATGTAAGAAGAAGAAAGTCGGAGGAGAAGAAAGGCTGCCAGGGGAGGAGGCAAGCAACTACGTCTACGCGTCTCGTCCGGCTCTTGGTTTTTGTTCAAGTGGACAGATATCCTAGGACCCGTCGGTTGACGGCTTGGAGTCATTCTAGTTTATTCGGGTTGGGGATTCAGGACTTGGGAGGCGAACCGGGTTTTACCTGGCGTCACCCATTTTTGTTCCTCGGTGTGTCGGATATCGAGGTCATAGCATGTGATACTCGTCCGGAGCCCGAAGCCTCGAGTTGCCCAGCGAGCTAGCTTCTCCCTGGGACGGAAGTGACAGAGAGAAAGCCATGCGGATGGACGTCGGTAGTATAGCGCTGATAACCTGAAATAGAAGCCTTTCTACCAATTGTGACTATGTTCAATGCCACCCTCTAAGTGAACAAAGTTAAAGACCGTCTAGGTCGACGCCATAAGACTTGACCAGACACGCCATCAGTCCCGTCAAGAACTATCTTCCCGCCATGATGCGACTCCGCCTCACCGGTATTCGGCCATCTTCGGTATCAGGACCTCCTTATTAAAGCGCCATAGCAGACTACTGTACGGGGTATGGAATGCAGCTCCGGTGTAAAACATCGTAAAACATCCTTCCGCCCATTAAAGCAGTGAATCCAACATTGCTGGCGGCACAAGATGACGTTCGCGTCCACCAACAACCACCAGCATGCAGGGCACGGGCACAGGAACCCTGCAGGCTGCCAGGCGTCACCTTACATGTCAGATAAGTCTTGTGAGGTATATCAGATGTACCGCATTCTGGACATATGCATTTATGCCGCCCAGTTGCCCTGGGGCTGTTCACCAGCACTCTGTCTGTTTCGTATCTTATGTATTCTCTCTTATTACTACCTCATCCCCTAGACAGTCACCTCTCGAGTCTACGCAAATGGTCGTCGAGTCTCAGGCCAATGGTCTACCGATCGAACCGCACATATCAGAAATCCAGGACAGGGGGGGGTTATCGTCTGGCCATCCACTCCAGTTCTGACTAGTCATTCTCGCCCTCAGTCTTCTCGCCTTCATTTCAGCAATCGATGTGATCATTATCCCTCCAGCACTGCCGACGATCATCCAGGAGATTGGTGGCTCCACGCAATACGTTTGGATAGCCAACTCGTTTGTATTCGCCTCGTCGGTACTTCAACCCCTTGTCGGCCAGCTGTTCAACATACTCGGACGCAAATATCCTCTTGTTGCGTCTATTGTTTTTTTTCGTTGTCGGCAGTGGCATCGCAGGTGGTGCACGGAACGCTGCTACCCTTATCGCTGGGAGGACAGTTCAAGGTGTTGGCGCCGGTGGCATATACGTCTTGATCGACATCGTATGATGTGACCTAGTGCCTCTCCGCGACCGCGGCAAGTACCTCGGTATTGTCAATGCCTTCGCCGGCATTGCTGCTGGCCTTGGCCCTGTTATTGGAGGTCTTCTAGCCCAGGCGGGCAACTGGCGCTGGATGTTCTACCTCAACATTCCCATTTGCGTACTACCTTTGATCAGCGTTATCTTGTTTATGAAGGTCGAAACAGGCGACAGCGGCTCTCATGACATGAAGAGACTGGATTACCTGGGAAACCTCATTTTTACCCCAAGCATAATATCTCTGCTTTTCGGTCTGGATACAGGAGGCATAGACTACCCCTGGTCATTGTAGCGCATCATTCTTCCACTGGTGCTAGGCATTGTCGGATGGATATGCTTCCATCTTCAACAGCATTTCTCCACCTGTCAGAACAATGATAGTGTGCCAACAAGGCTCTTCAGCAACCGAACGTCAGTGGCAGGATATGCCCTGACCTTTTTGTCTGCTGTTGGTCTCCAAACGTTAGGATTCTTCCTACCCATCTATTTCCAAGGTGTCGTTGGGACGACAGTCGCCAGTTCGGGCATATATTTTCTTCCCACCACTATCGGCATACCACTGTTTGCTGCTGTTGGCGGTGTTCTCCTCGGCAAATTCGGCGCCTACTGGCCGATACATGCAACAGCGTTCGCATTATCGGTTATTGGCTACGGACTCTTCACGATCCTCGATTACCGCACACCAAAAGTGGCGTGGGCGTTCTTCCAACTCATCGCTTCGGCAGGACTCGGCCCTACGCTACCGGTATCTACAACCCTCCCGGCAATCTTGGCCGTTTTGCCAGAGCCAGACGTAGCATCTGCAACGGCAGTGTTCTCCTCTATCAAAACATACGGTTTTACTTGGGGCGTGACGACTGCTTCTATCATCTTCAATGCAGTCCTCGACAACAACCTGTCTTCCATTGAGTCTCCCGCATTGCGAAACCAGCTGGCAAGCGGCGGTGCTTATTCTTTCGCCAGTCGAGCTTCGGATGGTACTGGCATGATAGACGATACCACTTTGGGCGAGGTGAGGGCAGTATACACGAGGAGCCTCAACGCTGTCTGGTGGTTTGGCCTGGGTATCAGTGCGTTAGGCCTGTTGTTGGTTGGTATGGAGAGGCACTTCGCCCTTAGCACGGAGCTCAAGACAGAATATGGGCTGAATGATGGTGCACATGCACAAGAGCCAGCGCCAAAAGGAGCGGAAGGCTGAAGGTTCCCCTGTTCCTTCAGAACTCGGCTGCTCTCTGTGCGTCAAGCTCACATTTTGGGTTCATCGATGGACACTACTTCCAGGGGATATGTCAGTCAACCAACACACACCGGTGCCGCTGCTGATCAGAGGTTGCAACCATGGCAAGCTTACAGATTGGAGTCCAGAGCCTCCTCCTAGTCGCTCCTCCCGTGCGCCAACGACCATACATGCACGTCTTCTTCTATTCCGGATTTCCTTATGTACCCCAATTCCGTACTGCCACCACTCCAGGGCTACGTTGGACAAGCAGCTGCAAGGGACATGGCGGCATGCACTGCCCCAGCCCTATATGGACTCGTGCCCTAAGGATCCTCATGCGAGTGAAGCGTGCGGCTCCGCGACCTTGTGTAGGGAGGTACCAAGTAGGTAGGTGAGGTACCAATTACCTCCTTTAAATACCTCCATTCACCGCTAGACAGACCTACGTCCATGTGATAGGCAAATGTGTCCAACCGGGTCATGCGGCTTGCAAACATGCATGTCGACCGTAGCCAACACACGGATTCCCATTGGTCATTGGTCAGCCCAGGAGACGTCGAAGACGTACTGAAATTCTGAAATTTAAAGAACGTCCCGGCTGAGTTGCCATTAACCCTGCCAGGCATTTCTAGTCTTGTCGTTGTTCTTTGCTTCGTCACCATTCGTCCCGAATTCCAGAAGCTCTCGGACACCATCGAAGAAATGGATGCCACAGAAGCTATCGAAGCGCTCCGACGTGCTCTGCCGGATGCTCGCTTTGCCCAGCACGGCTCTCCGGATTACGACGAGCTCAACCACTTCTACCAATCCGGACTCTGCTCCGACATCACCCCGGCTTGCATCGTCCAGCCGGCGACCGTCGAGGAAGTCGCGACGTTCGTCAAGACCATCAAACCGTTCTCGCTGAGTGGCAGAGCTCCCTTTGCCATTGTTGGCCGCGGCCAGCAGCCGGTTCCGGCTGCTCCAACATACAGGACGGCATCACACTGTCCTTGCAGCGACTCAAGGGCATCGATGTCAAGGATGGTGTGGTCCAAGTGGGTGCTGGCGAGACCTGGGGCCCTGTATATGACAAGCTTGGCGAAGCCGGCTTGGGTTTCTCAGGGGGCCGGTCCTATCGGTCGGGCATTGGGGGACTGGCCTTGGCAGGTAGGTTAGAGAGCATCCATGGCCCCTCCCCAAACGTCGAGAAGCCTACTAAAACTCTGGCCTATGTAGGTGGTCTGTCGTTCGTTTCGTCGCGTGAAGGCTTCATCTCAGACAACGTAAGACTTTCCAGCAATCTATCCATTCATCGTCAGCCCTGCTCGGGCGGCTGTCACAACTTCTTAGGGCAAAGACTGATCCAAGGAATCAATCGCAGGTCCTCAATTCTGAGGTGGTTCTCGCCTCCGGATCCATCGTGAATGCCAACGCGCGCGAGAACCCGGACCTCTGGGTCGCGCTGCGCGGGGGCGGGAACAATCTGGGCGTCGTGACGCGCTTCGACTTCCGTACGTTGAACAGGGGCCCGTGTACGGTGGCAGTGTCTCCTACTTTGGCGACAGCTTCCCGGGACTGCTTGAAGCTCTGGTGGCCGAGCTGCGGAAGCCGGATGCCTCTAAGGAGACGCATTTGATGGTCAGTATTGGCTACACGGCTATGATGGGCCCGCAGATGATGTGCTTGAACCGTGAGTCGTCGATTTCTCTTGAGTTGTCTTACTGTATCACAGACTGGGTTCTTGCGAGCCCTGAGAACATTCCCCATGACAATGTCTTGTGAGGATCCAGCTTTGCTTGAGGAAGTCCATTCTAACTGAGTTGGCGGACAGAGGTCGACTGCACCCAAGGAATCGACAAATCCCCCGTCTTGCAGCCCTTCACAGACATCCAACCGCAAATCGAGCGCATGAACTCCGTACGCATGCACAGTCTAGCGGAGGCAGCCCGAGAGCAAGCAGGAGACAGACCCTCCCCATCCAGGTACGTTTCATATGTCTCAACCAACGAACGCTCTGTAGTTAGCAGCCGTTGTTTGATTCGGTGCCAGGTCCCTCTACATGAACACAACCGTCAAAGCCAACGTAGCGACGCTAAAGGCCGCGACCAAGATCTATTCGGCGGCCATCGAGCCGCTGAAGTCATGCAAGGACATCCTACTCTTCCTGACGCTACAGCCCTACCCCCTCTCCCTCCTCCAGAAATCAACTACGCAGGGTGGCAACGTCTTGGGCCTGGAGCCCGAGCTCGGCCCGCTCGTGAGCATCCTCTTCCTCACGTTTTGGGAGAGTAAGGAAGACCACGAGATGATTGAGGGGGTACTGAGGGAGGCGCTGGAGGCGATTGATAGGGATGCGAAGGCGAAGGGCACGGCGGTCCCGTTTAAGTATTTGAATTATGCGGCGGGTTTCCAGCATCCGGTTGCGTCGTATGGGGGTATGGGTGTTGAGAGGCTGCACGCTGCTAGTCGTAGATTTGACCCTGATGGGCTGTTTCAGAAGGGTGTGCCTGGTGGTTGGAAGTTGCCTGCTCTCGCGTATGATTGCACGCCCGTCCGGACTTTAGTTACGAAGTGTTAGGCCTCATATCTATCTGCTGGCCTGCGTGGTATAATATATAGGGTGAACCATACCGAGTGCCTGGGTAACTATACTGAACAGCGGCGCTCATATCGCATCACAGTGAAAGGTCTGTACCTCTGGCGTGCGAGAAAGTAACCTAGCGGCGGTTTGAGTCAATGTGAGAGGTGAATTTCACTAGAGTATGGGGTGATCCTGTTGGGCCGGATGCTGTATTCAAGCGCAAACAAGAGCATATCTTCAGATAGGTTATGGCGACGAGTGCCAACTTCTACACGTGGATTCCTATCCCGAGCCTGGAAAGGGGTAAGAAGACGCATGTTTAAGTGAGGACCACGTAGGATCACGTGTTTTATAACGTGTTGAAGCGGCGTTGAGTTAACATTTTGATCTCTTCTCGAGGCTTGTAGATACGTGGTCGCTGGCACCGCCTTTGGTTATGTCAGGCTTATAGACAGCGGAACTGGGCACCGATTCAGGTGCCTCCGCTGTCAGTACATACCTAGGTAGTGTTGGGCACTGGCTCAGCAAGATAAGGGTGCTTGATGAAAAGGTGACCTCGGAAACATTGACCCCTTTTATTCTTAGGGTGGATTGACGTTGGCCTATGTGCATATGCATATAGGCCCAATAGCGGGGGTATCCACGACACGCGAACGCGGTTCAACAACGGAAGGTGCTTCTGCTCATGCGCTTGCTTGAGCCTGCCCGTCAAGTCCACCAAGAAACGACGATGCGGATTGCATGAAATTTTGGAACTCGAAGGCTTGCTTAGTTTGACCGAAGCATGTTACATTGGAAGCAGCCCTCGGAGATTGACAATAGGTGAAAACCCCCACTATCGACATCGCGCTTCCTCGCGAATCACCAACACCTCCTGGACCAGGTATGCCCAGCAATGGCCAGACTGAATCTGAACGTACGAGCCGAGCAAATTCAAAGCGATGAGCATATACAACACGTTTGAAACACGAACCGTCATTTCCGATTGATTGCCTCACTTCGTCATGTCTCGATTCCTCAACCCGGCTAAGATCGGTCTGCTCGCTCTCATCGAGCTGTACACCGACAGGGCCGTCTCTACATCTTCGATTGTAGACGTCTTATCCTTCATCACATCTCACCTGATTGATAGCGATGCTTCCAGCGCTTCTACAAATCCTGAACTTCGGTGGAGTCGAGCCGAAAGCACCGTTAGCCTGGTCATTTCCATCGCAAATTTCGAGAAGGTCTTGATACCGCATACTGCTGCCTCCGGCATGCCTGGTCGCAGTCTGTGGTATGTATTCCTCGAGAAGCTGTGGAAGATCGACTCGCTCGACGCGCTGCATGAGTTCTTCGAACATTGTTCGTTCTTGCTAGCCAAGACGAAGGACGAACTCCGCCGAGACGCTGAGCTGGGCGTGCCACCACCTGGTCCTGAGGTCGTATTGCTTGGCCGCAATTCGCCTTTCGGTGCCTTCGTACGCAGGTCGCAACTGGAGTTCACGAGACTACGATTTCACGATGCCTTCGAATTATGGAAGGACTTCGTCAAGTACCGCCAGACTACGGCGGCATACTACCGGAAGAAGACGCCGTCATTTCAAAGACTCAGCTTTGACAATGTCCTCCTTGCTGGCGAGAGTGACTGGGGTTCGGGGGTAGAAGAGGTCGCTTCTGTCGCCTACGGAGAGATGCTCAGAGACGATCCAAATTCAACTTTGCCTGTTTCTACCGACGATATTGAGAAACTCCTGGAGTTTCAGATTGATCATATGCAAAAGTACGGCAACCGAATACCTTTAGAGATACGGCATCAGTTCCACGACCTCTTGAACGACAGCTATATGGTACCCAGTTTATCACATTACCTGAGCTATCTAGATGCCTGGCGAGCCGGAGACTACTCGACATCATTCGACTACCTACACCGCTACTTCGACTATACCATGCAGAACAGGGATAGGTCCTTCTATCAGTATGCTCTTATGAACCTCGCCGTGCTCCAAGCCGATTTTGGCTGCTACAAGGAAGCAATTGCCGCGATGCTCGAGACGGTATCAACCGCCAGGGAGAATCGAGATATGACCTGCCTAAATTTCGCGCTCAACTGGCTTTTCCACTTCGCACGAGCCCACCCCGAGGTCACCAAGGAGTTGGAGTCGAATAGCATGCTGGGTACCGGCAAAGAGTCTCTGGCATTTCTCAGAAGCAGAGCAAAAGAGACAAGCATGTGGACATTATGGAGTTCTGCCTTGATGAGCGAGGCCAAGATGAGCCTCTCAAATGGTGAGAGTGTAGCCACGGCCCTGGAGCATCTGGTCAGAAGCTCACAGATTCTGGTCGAGAAAAACATGAAGAATATGCTGGGCTCCCAACTGTCGATCAACATAGCTCTTTGGGACAGGCTGGGCATCTCGTACCTTTCAGCGACCACATGCGAGGTATTCCTCCGCTGCCATGCCCGCCATTCGATATTCGACGACGAGTTAAAAGTGACTAGCCGTCAAGCTTCGATGTTGGCCTTGAAGGGCAAATACGATGAGGCACTGGAAAGACTGGAGACCATGGACACCAACTCGCTCCGGGCCTGGAAGCCGAGCCAGTATTGGCACAAGTTTCGAGGCATAATCAAGCTGAGAAGGGACCTGCACCGGAATAACCTAGATGGTGCCGAACTGCTCCTCTCGCAGCTCCTGCAATCGAAAAGCGAAGACCTGGAGCCCGACCTCGCCTTGGTGATAGACAACCTTCATGTTGAGTGCCTAGTCCGCCGAGGCAATCTCGAGGAAGCGTTTATCAAGGTAGAGAAGATGGTGGCGGAGCTTCGGGACGAGAACAAAGATATTGCTCTTCGAGTGAGGCTCCTGTTACTCAAAGCTGAGCTCCTCGATAAGTGCGGTCGCCCTCAAAAGGGATTCACCATTGCGGTGCGAGCGGCCAATGTCGCCTGGCGCGCCCGCCTGATCCCCTACCTATGGCCATCCATAGGAGCCATAGCCAACATCCTCACCTCGCTCGGGGACTTTGAGCCGTCTATCCAATTACTAAATGCGGTCCTGCCGCGCAGTCTCGAGTGCGAAAACTCATGCATGATCGCCAAACTCTACTCGCACCTCGGGGACGCGAACATGGGCATGGCGGGCAAGATGCCGCCAAAGTCCAACAAGAGAAGGGAGTTTATGACGAAGGCGGTCGAGGCGATCGAGAAGGCGTTCCATCACTACTCGAGCGTTGAGGATATCAACAAGCAGTGCGAGATGATGGCGAAGAAGGCCACCATTATGAAGGTTGCGGGCGACAATGTGCTGGCGAATGACTATGCGGCGGCTTACCTTGCATTGCGCAGAGACGCTGCGCAGATGACGATATAAAGTCAGTGAGATGACTGGCAGACTACTATGATAGTTGTTGTAATGAATGAAACACAGTTGTAGACATAGCCGTTGGGGCGAACGCTCTTCCGTGTCTGGTGTGGGACTGTCGAGGAAGTCCTCAGTATTCATTCTCATCTATCTCTCTGACTCGACGAGGAGGACCTGCTGCCGGACTGAAGCAGAGATATCGCGTCAGTAAGGGGAATTGTCATAAGACGTAGGTTAAGTCAGGAGAATGTTCATCTTGGACTTCGGTCAATCGAATGCTTTACTTATGTAGCACGCTCCTTCCACATATATGTACACCCACCCATCTTGCCGACTCAAGATCGCCTGCAAACACCAAGAAGATTTATACCACAACAGAGTACCTATTGAGCCTCTGCTCTTCCCATTCACTTCTCACTCCAGTGTATCTGCCGACCCTGCTTATTCCTCAACTGTCCCTCTTTCACGCCCAGCGGCTCCTGCTCCTGCGGCAGGGCCTCAGCAGTCACCTCCTCGCCCTCGCGCACGTCGTTGGTGGCCCACACGCGCTCGATGCACAGCTCAAAGGGCCCCGGCACGCGGTCCGTCAGGCCGACGCCGACGGACCTGACCTTCTGGCGCAGCATCTCGGTCTGCGGCTCGACGACGAAGCCGTGGTTGGTGCGCACGAAGTCGTTCCACTTGATCAGCAGCGTCTCCCACTCCCCCGGGCGCTTCGCGAACAGCCGGTGCTGGTGCAGATCCGTCGGCACGACGGACTCGGTCTGGATGTTGACGAGGTAGCTGCGGCCGTCCGATTTTATCCGTAGTGCTAGGTACGTGTACATGTCGATGTCCCACAGCGCGCGCCCGAAGATTGTGGGGGGTTTGTCGAGGGTGCGCCATGCGGCGTACCCGGACCGCTGGATGTCGGGCTTGTTGGGCGGCAGGTCTGTGGATATGCTGCCGTGGAAGCGCGCGTGCGCGGGCCCCTGCACCCCGGTGTCGGGCGCCGTGGAGGAGGGGACCCAGTCGAGCGAGGCCTTGGAGTAGCCCCCGATGTCGACGTCGGACATTAGCTTGCAGTCGTCGAGCGAGGAGGGCGAGTGGAAGTCGTGCAGCGGGTACGGGCCCGAGGGCCCTTTTATGCCCTCCATTTTGAAGGCTACGTGCGGCGGCAGCTTGTCAGCCCATGATGGTACTACTCGGGTGTGTGGTTATTGTTACCTATGTTGGAGAGACGCTTGAACTCGTCGATGCTGCGGCCCAAGAAGCCCTTGGCCAGGCAGGCCGTCGTGGAGCGCATCTTGTCTTGTCTTGAAAGCACAATGTGTCCTTGAGATTGTTATGTCAGAGAGCCAAAAGGCTCGATCTCCAGCCTTGACATCAGTAGCTCGATGTCGCGTGTTTTGTGTCGTTGGGATTGGACTCAGTAGGCCATCGGAGTGTTCAACATGGTCATCGACAAAAGCTTCCAATTCGATATGCGATACGGCAGCACCTAGCTGGCTCCGCTATAATCATAAGGTAGAGCTTGGACTACCTAGGTACCTCAAGGTATCGGCCGATGAAACCCCGGCGCAAAGAAACCCGACATCCATCGTCAGGTGCCAAGGCCAAGCTAACATTAGGAGGTACGATTATCGATGTCGCCTCCCCCCAGCCTCTGAGCCTCATAGCATTGCGCACCCTCCACACTTCCTATTGGGAGCTCTCAGGATTCTCAGTTCTGTCTCAACAGCTGACGTCGCTCGACCCTTGGCAGTCCAAAACATTATTAGGTCGCGAGCAGACCCCAAGGCGGCAGTTACTGGACCTTCTTCATTTCTAGATAATACCTAGTACTCAATACTCCCGGGACCATTCGTTGCGAGCCCGACCATTATTCCTGCCCCGAGACCGACCGACCTTGGTGCGATGTGCTGTCACTGAACAGCTGCAGCTTGTCTGAAGCTCCTTCCCGATACCTGTCTTGTGCCACTTCCTGCTGCTTCCAATTTCAGAGCAATAGTCCGGAATCGCGCTACACAAGCCTGATTCACGATGGCTACCATCCGCAGTCTGGATCACACAAAGTGCGTCTGTCCCCGTCCCGGTTCGAGCAGACAATGCGCCGCGTGTCCTCTTCCACTCCCCAGGTCGTGTGCTGTTGCCATCTCGACTCAGCTACGCTATGTCGTGCACTGCTGGTATGGCCTGGGCTTACCCTGTGAACAACACCAGATCCGAAGCCGAGCTGGCCATCAACATCAGGAAAGCCACCAACAATGACGAGACCGCCCCGAAACGCAAGCATGTGCGCAGCTGCATTGTCTATACCTGGGACCACAAGTCCTCCCAGTCCTTCTGGGGCGGCATGAAAGTGTAGGTTGGAACATCTCTCAACCCTCGAAAGTGAGGACTAATGGGAGATGAGTGGGTAGGCAACCCATTCTCGCCGATGAGGTGCAGACCTTCAAGGCCCTGATCACCATACACCGAGTTCTGCAGGAAGGCCACCCCCAAACCCTACGAGAGGCCATGGCAAATCGAGGTTGGATCGACAGTTTGAATCGAGGTATGGCTGGCGAAGGCGTTCGCGGTTACGGCCCCCTCATTAAAGAATATGTCTACTTCCTGCTCGCGAAGCTCTCCTTCCACCAACAACACCCCGAGTTCAACGGAACATTCGAGTATGAGGAGTACATCAGCTTGAAGGCCATCAACGACCCCAACGAAGGCTACGAGACCATCACCGACCTCATGGCCCTGCAGGACAAGATTGAGCAGTTCCAGAAACTCATCTTCTCCCATTTCCGAAGCGTGGGAAACAACGAGTGCAGGATCTCGGCCATCGTGCCCCTGGTTGCAGAGAGTTATGGAATATACAAGTTCATCACAAGCATGCTGCGTGCTATGCACTCCAGTGAGTCGGGTTTCAAGCTGTTTCCCCCAGGTTTAAATTAACAGCTGGATAGCAACGGGCGACAACGACGCCTTGGAACCTCTCAGACAACGATACGATGCGCAACACTACCGACTAGTCAAGTTCTACTATGAATGTTCAAACCTCCGCTATTTGACGAGCTTAATCACAATTCCCAAACTGCCTCAGGATCCCCCGAATCTGCTAGCCGAAGATGAGAACGCTCCGAAATTGCCAGCTCGGCCCAAGCAGGAGATCGAGCGTCAACCAACACCGGCCCGCCAGCCCAAGTCCGAAGAACCCGATGAGATTGCCGAATTCTGGCAAGGCGAGATCGACCGACAGAACAAGGAGTACGAGGAGCAGCAACGAGTGTTGCAGGAGCGCCAGCAGGCTGCTATACGTGCACAGCAGGAAGCTCAGATGAACGCCCAACGAGACTTTGAGGAGCAACAGCGACGCTTAGCAGAGCAACAACAAATGGAGCAACAAGCCCTGATGAACCAGCAATACCAGATGCAGACGCAGGGCAGGCTAGCCGAGCTCGAACAGGAGAACCTGAATGCAAGAGCACAGTATGAGCGCGATCAACTGATGCTGCAACAATACGACCAACGTGTCAAAGGCCTCGAGGGAGAGTTGGCGCAGATCCAGAACAGCTACGGGCAGCAAATCGGCAGCAAGGACGATCAGATCCGAGCGCTCCAGGAGCAGGTTAATACATGGCGGACGAAATATGAAGCTCTGGCGAAGCTTTATTCGCAATTACGACACGAGCACCTCGATCTTCTCCAGAAGTTCAAGTCTGTTCAGCTGAAGGCGGCGTCGGCTCAAGAAGCGATAGACAGGCGAGAAAAGCTCGAACGTGAGATAAAGACCAAGAACCTGGAGCTTGCAGACATGATCCGGGAACGGGACCGGGCGATGCATGATCGAGACCGGTTGACTGGCAGCAACAAGGATGAACTTGAAAAATTGAAGCGAGAGAAGCGCATGGCGAACGACCGAGCTGACAACCTCGAGCGAAGCAAAGGAAATGAGTTGTCGACCATGCTTTCCAAGTACAACCGTGAAATGGCAGATCTCGAAGAGGCTCTACGAACCAAGTCGCGTGCGTTGGACGAAGCACAGGCGAAACTGCGAGACGGCAGCTCAGATCTCGAGCAACTGCTCCGTGACAAGGAGGAAGAGCTCGAGGTCTACAAGGCTGGCATGGACCAGACCTTGATTGAATTGAACGAGCTGAAACTCAACCATGGTGATACGGACAACGTCATGGACGATCAAATCGATGCTCTGATCATGTCCAACCTGGACAAGATCAACGAGATCATCGATTCGGTGTTACAAGCAGGTGTGGCTCGGGTCGATGATGCGTTGTACGAGCTTGACTCGACTATGCAGGCTGGAAACCAGAACGCGTCACCAGCCTACGTGTTGTCGCAGATTGAGAAAGCTTCGGCAAATGCCATGGACTTTGCGACCTCGTTCAACAATTTCATCGCGGATGGGCCCAACGCCACTCATGCCGACCTCATCAAGGCTATCAACGTCTTCGCAGGGGCCACAGCGGATGTGTGCAGCAACACGAAGGGTCTAACTCGCCTCGCTACTGACGAGAAGAAGGGTGACCAGCTCATGAATGGTGCTCGCACAGCTGCCCAGTCCGCCGTCAAGTTCTTGCGTGGTCTTCAGAGCTTCCGCCTGGAGGGAATGGACCCTATCCAGAAGACCGATGTGGTCATTAATAACAACAACGATGTTCAGATGAACCTGCAGAAGCTAAACAAACTTGTTGAGACATTTGCACCGGGCTTCGGCCAACTGACAAAGAACAAAGGCGATATTGGTGACCTGGTCGACAGCGAGCTCAGCAAAGCAGCAGATGCAATTGCTGCTGCTGCTGCCCGCCTTGCCAAGCTCAAGAACAAGCCTCGTGATGGCTACTCGACGTACGAGCTCAAGGTCAATGATACAATCCTGGATGCAGCCTTGGCCATCACAGACGCCATTGCGCGACTCATCAAGGCAGCAACGGCTACTCAGCAGGAGATTGTTCAAGCTGGTCGGGGGTCTTCGACGAGGACGGCATTCTACAAGAAGAATAACCGATGGACCGAAGGTCTCATCTCTGCTGCGAAGGCCGTCGCTTCGTCGACCAACACACTCATCGAGACCGCCGATGGTGTCATATCGGGCCGCAACAGTCCCGAGCAGCTCATCGTTGCGTCGAACGATGTGGCTGCCTCGACGGCTCAGCTTGTCGCGGCCAGCCGTGTCAAGGCCGGCTTCATGAGCAAGAGCCAAGAGAACCTCGAGCAAGCCAGCAAGGCAGTCGGCGCCGCTTGCCGGTCTCTGGTCCGACAGGTCCAAGCTATGATCAAGGACAGGAACCAAGAAGACGAAGCCGTCGACTACTCGAAGCTAGGCCACCACGAGTTCAAGGTTAGGGAAATGGAGCAGCAGGTAAGCCATAATCATCGCCTCCGCATTTGGATGACAGTTCGCTAATCACTTCCCTCAACAGGTCGAAATTCTCCAGCTTGAGAACAACCTCTCGGCAGCGAGACGCCGTTTGGGCGAGATGCGCAAGATCTCATACCAGGAGGATTAGTGAGAGAGTGTGGGCAGGCTTGTCGTGTTTGAGTAGACTGGTGCCGGAATCTAATTCTGCCCCTAGTATTCAACCAGCGGCTTGGCCGAGAGCTCTGCAATGCAATTCATGTGGTGCCCTTAATGAGCAAGCATGTTGAGGCTCCAGAGGGCTAGGGTCACCGCATCGCGTCCGCGTCACACGTAAGCCACCGGGGTGGGATCGTTGGTCGTTGTGTATATCGTCTGGAGGTTAAAGAGCGTAGATATTGCCCTTCGCCTGTATGCATGTATAGCATTTGTCACTGATTGAGGTTTCACCGGTGACTTTATTGAAACTTGAATCGCAACTGAATCACCTTTCTGTACTTTTGTATTATGACAACCTACCTGGTTTTCCTTCTTGAGTACGTGTTCTACCCGGCTCCATTGTTGCATACCTTAGCTGAAAGAAAGGCACGGCCTGGCGTGACTTGAAGACACAAGGTAGGCATTCATAAGAGCTCTACTCATGATACTCAGGTATTTACTTCACAATAGCAGCACTAGAAGACACGGGAGGAAGTGTATACCACAAGTGCCTGCCTATTCATTGGAGTGGCAGACCGTAGTGTCACAATGCCCTCAACAAGCTTTGGAACAAGTTATTGTATATATACAGGGGGCAAACCAGGTCTGCCCACGGGCTCGAGAGCCTAGGTATGTACATGTAGAAAGACAGCCTGCTTGCTAGCAGCACGACGTTGTGATTATGTAGAACACCATCTTTCGCATATGGCAAGGGGGAATCTTTCTGCCTCTCTCTCTCTACTGTCTTCCCACATTGGGGTGGTGCCAGCTCCTTTTTAAACGCCAGCCCCGTTTCGTAAATGCAAAAGGAAGAAGCAGGGGGCTTCCTTCCTCTCTAACTTCCCAGGTAAGTGTCGTGATACCTTGCCCAAGATTATGAGAATTCTATATATAGTCCCTCTTCTCCGACGTCGCAGGTGGAGTGTCGGCCCATCGATCAAGCCGTTATCGAATGTTTGGATCCCAAAGTAAACGCCTCGCTTCCAAAATCTTCAAAAACGGCGGCTTTTTACCAGGTAAATGACTCCTCGAAGAAATCGACGACCGAGTTCTCGTCCTGCACTTCGCGGACGGCCCGTCGCACATCGTCGGCCAGCGCGCCGGGCCCGCACACGGTGACGCACATGGCGCCGACCTGCTCCTCGACTTCCTTGCGCAGCAGCGTCGGCGTGTTCGGCCGACCGGGGAACATCTGGACGGTGCTCGAGGCAGAGTGGATCTCCTTGGTGTTCTTGGGCCGCGTGATGAAAAGCCGGATGTTGAGGATATCGCGGCGTTGCGGCATGCGCAGGATCTCGTCCATCCACGGCCGCACCCACTCTAGCGCGTCGGTGTCGCGTATGATCCAGACCAGCGTTATCCGCCGCGTCGCGATGGTGCCGGCGTTGTACCCCTCGATCATCGGCTTGAGGTAGGACAGCTGATGCGTTATTCCAGTGGCGCCGGCGAAGAGCACTACGTGGCCGTAGGACTCGAGCGAGTGGTGTCCCGCGTACGGGCCCTCCATCGCAGCCCGTATCCGAACGGTGCCATTCGGGCCAGTGCACGCTTTGTTGTACAACATCCGCGTGAAACCCGTGTGCGCACCGATGACAAAGGAGACGGAAGTAGTTCCCTTCTGTAGGCTGGCCTTGTCTCGGCTCTTCTCGTTGACGAGTGATTCATCCTTAGGCGGGTGATGCTCGACCCAGGCGATTGAAAATGGGTGGTTCTCCCAAGGGTTGATTCCCATGATGCGGATGTAGGCGTGGGTTCCCGGCTGGACGTCGACGTGGCGAGGCAGGTGCATTGTGACCCGGGAAGTCTCGGCTGGCACGGCTTCGACGATGGCCTCTGTAAAGCCCTGGGAAGACCAGTTGTAGTAGGCAAGACGGAACATGCGCGCTAGACGGTCAGCGGCCCAGAGGATGAAGATGGCGATAATATATGGAAGCTGCGGCAGACCGCCGGCGATCGCCGCTGAGGCGCAGTGAACCCAAGTCATGGCAAACGTGATGAAAGCGAGGATGATGTGGACGTTGAGGAAGGTCTCGTAGAAGGCGTGGCGCACTGGCGATAGGGAAAGGAAGAAGAGGATGGTGAGAGCGAGAGTGCCAGCGAAGCCCGAGGCCTCAAAGGTCTCGTGCAGCAGCTTCATGTTGAAACTGTCCCAACCACCCGCGGCAACCTGGACGTAGGCCCAGGCGAAGGTGTGGACAAGTGCCTCCAACACCACCATGCGGCCCATCCATCGGTGTAGGAGATTGTAGGTGTCGAAACTCACCCTCAACATAGAAATGAGAGGATTGTTCCGGCCTGCCAAGATGATCAGTGGTACCATGTTGACGACTGAGAGCGTGCCTGAGCGCCCGCGAATCTCGGCGGCGAGAGAAAAGTGGTTCTTTCTGGAGAAATCGAGGTAGAACATGTAGATGGTGTTGCTGAGGAGGTAGCCGGCGAGTATGACGAAGTGGAGGCGGGAGGGCAATGTTCCTATGCTCATGGCGTTGGACAGCTTGATCTCCCTGTTGTGCCGTTTGCTCCATAGCGGCGCATAGGTGAGGTTCTTCTTCAAGCTGGGCATCCAGCTCCATTGTGATGTCTTCCAGTACCCTTGCCTCTCAGCGGGCGCTGACATGGCGGACACCTGTCTTAGCTTACTCCACGCCTGTTCGAGGAGCCGTATGGACAGCACAACCAGGGCGAGTATCCCCAAGGACCACCAGAGCGACTCCTTGAAGAGCATGTTGACGGGCTGGTTGACACCATTCAGCCCCATGGCGAAGGGAGCAATGGTCGCGGCAGCAGCTACCGCCTCTGCTGTTCCGGTAGTTGATACATCTGACGTATCTGACGAGCCCCGAAGGGCCAGTATTGGTGTTGATGCGAATGGCCCGAAGGCAGCGATCCTGCGCCGCATTAAAGACATTGTTGTGTTGGTCGAGTATGGATAAGTAGGTTTAGCGCTCTGTGCTAAGACGCAAAGTGGTTCGGGAAGGTGAGACGGTGCAGACCAGGGGGAACAAGGGAGATCTATAGCGAGAGGGCGAGGGTTCGCCCGAGGCTCCAGAACCCTCGAGGGCAAAGAGGTGAGTTTGTTGCAAGAGCGCTGGTCATAAGTGCATTGTTCAGATCACAATGAGGATGACTGAGCCAAACGGGCACGGCTTCTTTGTGAGTCGACGGGCGGCTTTATCGTGTTGGCAGGCCGATAACAAGGAAGCAGTAAAGGCCCGGATTTGATGTTCTCTTTGTCGTGGGGATCGTGCAACGTCTACCAGTGGTGAGTAGTCGTCGTCGGTTGAATGATAGTGGTTGACTAAAATTGGGCAGAGAAATGCCGATATGCTGAAGAAGGTAGAGTGCGAACGGGACCGTGGTTTGTTGGTTGCGAAAGGGAGCGCTGAGGTTGGTGAGGCTTGTGTTGCAGTGGTGTTGACAAGATTGTGATGATCGTCTGGGTGCCTTGGCTATGACGATATGTCTGTTCCCCAGCGACTAGGCAGTGGATAGGTAACCTTACGACAGCAAAGACCGGTTGCTGATGGACCACCTCTAAAAGAATGGAATGGGCCCGTCAAGAGTCATAAAAAGCGAACAGGAAAGTAGTCAATGACGATCAGTCAACAAGGTAGGATTACACACGAAGACAGGAGACTGGGAGGATGTTGGATTGGAGGCGGCGTTGTGTTTATGAGAACAAAGCGCGGCGTCCAGTCGGTCGACTGACTAACGGACTGACCGGACCCCCTGAGCCCCATCAGCCCACCGTACCTCGCGTACAGTAGCTTGAGTTACCAATTACGAGGTACCATACTCCGGGGGCCGCTATGAGGCGCTATGATCTATGGATCTGCCCACATGTGCAGGTGCAGGTGGAGGCCCTAGTCAGCCTGTTGTGGCTTGCTTTGTTCCTTGGATCTATCATCTCCTTCGAGTGGGCCCTGCCTGCCACTTGTCAAGCGTCAGTCCATCTGTCAGTCTGTTCTAGCTCAGTAGCCCTGCGCCGCCCTTACAGGCCCATGTCAAGCTCAGCTCACCGTGAACCCGTACGACTGTGGGTACGTGAGCTGGATATGGCAGGCCACGACTCACGAGGGACCTTCCTTGCGCAGCAGTTTGCCCGCAGACGCTGAGAATGAGTCGCTGAGCTGCTCCACCAGATCGAAGAGATTTCAGGAGACGCACGCCGACCTGATCTGATAGGCCGTGAGGGGTGCACCGTGGCTTGACAAGGGGCCATGAGGCGCTCAGGGACAATCCGTACCGGGTGCCACACGGCATCTGATTGGCCAGGTGCTTGCCTGACCGCTATGCCCTCCCCTCCACTGCCCTGTGGGTACAGGTTTACAGGCTGTCGACCATCGCTTCTCGGGAGGATCGCCGGCCCATGGGCCTTGCAGGACCCGATACGCGCTAAAACCCCGGCCGGCGCTCTCCACGTCGATTGAGCCTAGCCCATCGATGATTGGCCTGCCTCTGTCTCTCGTGCTCTTTTCAGCATTTTTACCCAAAGTGTGCACCAAGTTCGGACGACGTCGGCCTCTCATCTTTCGACTTCTCGTGCACGTTGAGACAGGTTTCCTCGTCATACCATCATCACTCTGATATTTGTGCACAAGGGGAACTCATCTTATATTCAGCCTGCTACTTATGTCCCTCACTTGCACGCACGTACGTCAAGTAGTGGCGATTCAAGCCCGCACTGAAGCTCGGAGCCAGTGTCCCTAGATCAGCGCCACTGACTCTCAACCAAGACCCCGTTGTCACTATTCACAAGCCGTTGCAACCGGAACCGCCCGTCGCGACAAGACCGCGGTCATCTCGGACCGTTGCCCACGACGGTTCGACATAATATCATCGATGAAAGGAGAGTCGTACGGAGCAGGCCTTCGCTGCAATTACTGTGAAACTCTATCTGCTCTGCATGGTTCGATGCCGCTTCTTTCGAGCAGTTTGTGCTGAGGACCCGGCCATGCTAAGACGGAGTAATTCGTCAAAGGGAGGCGACCCTGGGAGTCTTGGACACGCGGGCGGGTCCGGAGAAAACATGCGTTAGAACCCGACATCCTCATTTCTAGTGCCCGGTCAAGTGTCACGAGAAAGCACTGCATCGCATCAACCATGGTCGGCGGTTGCACAGCACAGTTGCATGTACCAAATCATGCCTCTCAGCAGCATCGAACTGGCACACGGCTGGAAGTACTCGTCCAAGGAAGCCCAGCCTGTCGGTCGTCTCGCCGTGTAGTATCGCTGCGCGGGAGAGACATTGCTAGAGCGGATACATTTACCTTTCGCCTATCGTGTTGTGTCCAACGACCGTGCTCTCGGGTCCAGTTCCAAGGGCATGGGAAAAGCCTAGATCTCTCGTATCATGCGCTTTGACGCTGTCAAACCGAACCTACCGGCATTTGGCATATGTGCGAACGCGTACTTTGCGAATGTGGGACTTTTGCATACCTAGGTATGCACCTTGACCTATCCGCAACAATATGGCAAGGTTCGTAGAGCGCTTACTACTTCGTTCGGTGGGAGGGGGTCGACTATGCCCATGATAAGGTCGGCTCTTGACTCCTATATCAAGACATTCGCCCCGAAGCGGCCCACTACCACAATCAGCGGGGTGACGAGGGTGGCTAGATCTTTGCCTCTCATTTGGCAGCGAGCATGTCAGTTCAGTCACCTGAAACGTTGACGTGATGAGGCTCAAAACTCGTCCCAACTTTCTATCTTCGAAACACGTTGCAATGGGTTAGGTGGGCAGTCGTCGGCTGCTGCCGAGAGATGCAGGGTGGAGTTTCAGCTACCAGAGACTTGGGAGGGATGAGAGATTGCTCTTGTCTGATCGCCTTGATATCCACAAGAGGTGCAATCGTCGACAGCGTGCTTTGCATTCGGCCTCCAGTGATTACTGCTCGTCAGCGGGCGTTGTGGGTTGCTCCTGGGCTTTGGGCTCGTTGCTACGATCATATGATCATTCTCGCTACGCCGCCAGTCATATGATCATTCTCACAGAGTACCTTACTGAGTGCGATACGAATCAGTGGATGTAACGGCGCCGTTTTTTGTACTTCTCAGAGCTTCTGGAAATGATCGCCTTTCTTCGAGAAGATATCGTGAGGATTACATCCTTCTCATCCACAGGAGGAGTTCCCACCTGTCGACACTCGGGTCCTTGCCACGTTCGTTTGTGTTATATGTTTCTTTCTGAATATCGATATGCTACCTTTTAGCGGCTTCCGCAAACTCTGTGCGGTATTCTCCTCGAAATGTGCATGGCCCCGAGGCTGTCATATCGCTATGGTTCAGTCAACGACACGATAGACACGATGAAGGCCTTTCCGCCGACTTACGCAAGATCAACTCCGTCCAGTCTTGATGTCTTCGTCTTCCAGTGGTACTATGTCGCTGTGATCCAGAAACAAGCGATAGAGAAGGTGGCCACACTTCACCGTGCGTTGATCATCTCATGCGCAGTGATAGTACACGAGGAGTCGTTGGACAAGCTCTAATAAGATGTTGGATATGAGCCCCCAAGACGACTGCACTGAGCTCGGTAAACCATCAGGGCTGCACCCCCGACAGGAAACAAGGTTAAAGCCGGAGCTCGTCCTTACGTCAATGGCAGCGATCGCGATACTCTACATGGCTGCTTCCGCCATGTTGGCGTCAATGCATACGGCATTGAAGACCAAAGCAGCCAATACAAAAGGTAATACAAAATGTAATGCAAAGAATCTATTTAATGTTGCGTTATTTACAGAGAAACCTCCTCAAATGAATTCAACAATATCTTGTCCAATTCATGGTATAGCACTTATAAGATTAGTAATAACTGTAGCACCTCATAAAGACATTTGGCCAGACTCAGATGTCACGGCACGCGGTCAGGCCAGGGCCACTTCGTCGTCTTCCCTTGCCGGTCCTGCCCTTGTTCGGTGCTGAAAGCTCAGGAATTATTGATGATTGCCGGACTGACACCTCTCCAAGAACAATGATCAGCTGGGGAAAATACTGCGAAAAATCGACAGCCGACGGTTATGCACCTCACCGCGTATATCGTCATCCTCGAGAGCTGTCAATGTCGTCATTAATAACAGGCCCGCGCGCTTCTCATGAATGACCGAACTGCCTATCCTCGCTGTCGCTAAACGATGACCGCGATTCGTGCGAGTACCATATCAACTTCTCCGTAGGTTTTCATAGCAGGAGAGTATTAGGTAATATTCGAGTAATTGCTGTCGAAGAGGACTATACTAGGATACAATGATCTGTCAGCAACTGATTCTGGCCAACAACGGAGCAGCTGGCGTCAGCAGATTGCTTCGCAGCTCCGTGGTGCTATCACCACATAGGTAAGAATCTTACATATCGAGTAGCAATGGGAAATCGAATCGATCCTTTCCCGTAACCCTGAAATACAACATGCCCTTCATCGTGGGTTTTCGGCAGCGATGGCGCCAGAGCATCCCCGTCTCCCAGCCATGGAGCCGGCCCTGCTCACCAGGGCCACCAGCGAGCCAGTCCCAGGCACCGACGGCATTCACCTCCGCCGCGCTTCGAGATCATCCGCCTAGGCCTCGATGTCGAGTCCTGAGTGCACACTTCGGCGCTTACTCGCTGCTCTTCGAGTCGCGGCTACCAGTGCTGTGGTCCACTGCGATGGACTGGAGCAGGACGATTTGGGGGGTCGAGGAAGGTAGCGAGGGGAAGCTACGTGGCGGCAGTGAACATCTGTCGAGTTCTTTCTGACCGCTTTGCTCTTGGGGTGGGACAAGGTGAACTTATCTATACTATTGAGACCCGATACGGACTCACAGTTGTCTGCCCAGCGTATATTTAGGTTGAGAGGGTACTTACTAACTTACGATGGTGCGGCGGATGGATGCGTGGCTGGCGGATGTCGTACCCTTGATGTTCTGAGTCCCATCGGGAGTTCCGGATGCAGTTCGCTTTTGCGCGGTGGCTGACTTTGGGGCTTGGGCAGAGGTATGTTGGAGGCTGCTGGTCGTGCTTTGGGGAGGGGTATGGGGGACTCGGCGGTGAGGGACGACTCGGCGGTGAGGACTCGGCGGTGTACCAAACAAGTATCGACCTCGCCCCATTCTTTGTCGACGTCGCCGAGTCCCCCACCGCCGAGTCCCTCGCTGCCGAGTCCCCACTGAACCCTCATAAGTATCCGTACACCACCCGTCCAGCAAAGACCAGTATTCATCTGTTTGGAATAAGCGGTGAAGTGGTGTATCAAACCAGAGCTGCTTATTCATGTCTGCTTATTCCAGTATTCCCAAATTTATACGTGTGTTTTTGCTTTCCTGCCAACATGGTGCGCACGGAGACTTGCAGCACATGGAGACGAAAAAGGAGGAGGAGAACAGGGAGCCCTGGGGAGGGGGCCTGGCACGCGGCGGCACGTCCACGACGAGAGGATATGGCGGGCTCGGGCTCATGAAAATGCTGGCGCACGTTGTGATACATGATGTGTGATGTGGTTCGCGGGGTGTGGTTGCCGCCGCCGTCGTTGTATAGGGCCGAGGTTCGATATGGCGGTGGACTTGCGGGAGGTCGACTTGGAGGTCATGGGAGGATCGATGCGGTTGTTTGAGGGCTGTCGGCTGAAGATATATTCGAGTATTACGATCTATTACGATCGTGGTTCGGTAGGGGTGGGTTCGGTTTTGTCCAGTCGGTCGTGGCTGGAGGCTGCCGGTAATACTCGGGGATAAGTTATATGAACTTGAAGCTACCTGGAAGGCACGCTTGTATTAGAATTGCTGCCTCCAGGACGTAAAGTTTGGAACTCAACACATGGGTTTTTCGTCATCTTCTACACCTCGGACGATCGTCTTCGCGTCCATTCTACTAGTTGTCAACACGTCAAAGATTGCATCAGCAGGAGAACAGTGGATGTTGGCCAAATCTCATGGATTAGGGGCTGTGCTATCGTTTTCGTTCGTTCTCGTGCCCGATGTGACCGCGGTCGTCCTTGCCTGAGGGTGTCGTGGCCTTCGCGCAGGCGCTGGTTCTCCTCATGCAAGTGATCGATCTCATCCCCCTCGGTGACGAGGAAGGTACCTGAAAGCGGCACCCAAAGTTATTATACAAATAGAACAGAACATTACCGAAAGCAATGCTAAAGATCCGACCTGACGAAGCCGTCGCCTACACTCAGTTCGCAGCAGTCAGGACCATGAGGCCGAAGTCCTTTCGGAAATCGAAAGGAACTCCTCCGTGGACCAAATCGTGCAGCATCGCGTTCATATAATCGAGGCGGAGGTTGCCCGCTCCGTCGTACATGGGTCGAAGTGCCTGCCTCTGGTCAGCTTCCTGAGGTTCGTGTTTCGGCTTGAGGCGGTGTGGACTTACCAGCGCAGGGTTCTGGGAGTATTCCAGTTCGACGTATCCGTCCTTGTCCTGGGGTGAAGAAGTCAGCATCCAGTGAGCCAGTGGCAGATGAGTGGATGTTCAACTTACTGCGTACTTGCGGATGTGCCAGTAGGGCTCGCCTGTGGATCTGGACAACTCTTTGTTCTCTCGCTGCATTCTACTTAGTAAATTCCTTTTTAGCTTTCCGGGAGAGGTACTAACCTCCATATCTGCCCCGCTCTTCGGGGCTGGTGCCTCGCCCGCCTGCTGGTTGTTAGCTAGATGCCCGGTCGAGTCGCGCAGGGGTGGTATACGTACAGCTCTTTGAGCCGCAGTCTCGCGGTTGTAGATGTCCTTGAAGTACTTGATGATCGGCAGGACGGCATGCGGCACTTGAATCTCGACGGGGCCCTGCGTGAAGAAATGAGGAGTCTCTCCATTTGTGTTTACCCTATCGTAACGGATGAGAGCGAAGGAAGGCTGGAGTCGGTTGCGGAACCACCGACACCAGGGACTGCCAGGCAAGGTCTGGATAGGGCTGAACTCCCTGTCCGCAAAGGCCCAGTGCCCGGGGGCCCTCTCGAAATGCATTTCCTCGAGCCAGTCCACGAACACGTGAGTTCCGTATTCGAGGCCGAAGTTCGCTCCTGGAAGGCGGGCCAGCTTCATCGTGTTCGCCGTCGTCTTGAACCACTTTCTGGCTTGCTTGAGGTTCAGGTCCATCAGAGCCTCGGCTTCCTTCACTCGGTCAAAATAGTGATCCAGGAACATACCACGACTGCTGCCGGGAGTCATGCATTGAGCGTATAGCTGGGAGAGGGTTCCCTTGAGGTTGCGGACGGCCGCACGGAGCTCCTTGTAGTGTTTCAGGAAGCCGGGAAAAGCGTCGTCAACGTCGTCTGGGAAGTATTGCTTTCTGAGGTAAGCGAAGTCCGCTCTCGCCCATAGCATATCCGCCCCCGCCGGAGGGAACGTTTTGGCCCAGGTGGGCAATGCCCCCGTGACCAGAGGAGCGATGCTTGCGCGTCGAAGGCTGTACCACGTCTCGCGTAAGATCTGTCGAGGTATCATGAAGACATTGATCCAGTGGCGGAAATGTCGATTGGACAGATGTCCGAGTACCTGGGTGATCCAGAAGCGGGCCTGGATGAATATCACAATGATGTCCATCTCATCCTCTGTGTAGATGCTCAAAGCAGACTCGCTCGCTTCGATGTAGGCGGGATAGGGTTGCATGGGGTCGATCAAGACATCTAGGAGTCGCTCGAATTGAAGAGCTGGCGGTTGATTAGCGCGAGGAGACGGAGGTACCTTGTTAGATATCAGGGCGGAGGACTTACGCGGTGCGGTGATCTCAAGCACGTCATTGGAAGCCTCCAGACGGTCAATGAGCTCCAGGATAGCTGCTCTGTCGCCGCCGAGTCTTCGTACGAGCTGTCTGGCGTAGGCCGTCAAGGAGTCATCGGAAGACGCGTTCATTGTTGCGGTGTACGCGGTTGCGGAAGATGGGCAGTAGAGGGTAGAGGGAGCACCAACTGCTGTGAGAGTGATGCCTTGGGATGTGAGCTATTGTTTGTCGACTTCGCAGTACGCGTTTGACCCTGGTCAGCTAGCTCGTCAGGTGCTTTGTGAGGAGGGCCGGGCAACTGACGATAGTTCCGTCGCTATGGGTGAACAGGGGTAGCGGCCCAACCACAGGCAAGATGACTTGGTGATGAAAGATAGGATCACGATAAGCACGGATCGGAGCAGACTGATTGGAAAGATGCTGCCCAGTGGTGGTTCAGGTGAAGGATGAGTTGTGGTTTATGTGGGTACCTAACCTTAGGTATTAGCGAAAGGGGGGATGGACGTGGTTTTGTAGACGGCCGAGTTTGCCCTCCGGCACAATGGCACCTACACCATTGTGGTGAACAATGTGGAGGTACCCATAGCCAGATTATTTGCATTGTCCTCAAGCTGCAATTTTGCAAGTGCATTGTGGGATCCCCAATCACAATCAGCCGCTCCAGCATTGTGCCAATAAATACTCGGCCTCCCTCTCTGCACCTCACCACCACCTCTTCCTCAAGTTAACCAACTTTCTTGCTCACCCACCATATGAGCACACTGCACATTCCCTCCGACCTCAACCCTCTCCTCCCAACCCGACCCCCGACACCACACACACGCAAGAAGCGATCCTTCTCCCGTCTCACTGCATCTTCACGAACTTGCTTCATCATGGATTTCTTCAATCAGAACAAGCAGGTCGCTGCCTTACTCCGGGCCTCCAGCGTCGGTGCCCGCAACACTGATGCTTACAACCCCGAGATCATCGGTGCGCGCAACGCTGGTGTTCACAACGCTGGTGTTCACAACGCTGGTGTTCACAACGCTGGTGTTCACAACGCTGGTGTTCACAACGCTTACAACATCGGTGCCTCCAACGTTGACGCCAACAACGCTGGTGTTCACAACCCCGTGATGATCGGTGGCTATAACAGTGATGCCAACAATGCTTACGCCAACGATCATTACCTTTCATACAAGCAGATTTGGGACACCATTCTGGTCGACCAGCTCAGTCCCTTCTCTCAGGTTATCAACATTCCGATCAACAACTTCAACGAGTGGGACGATGCCGGAAAGGAAATCATCAAGGACCTCGCTACGTAAGTACACACCCAATCTCCTACTTGAATGCCCCCTGCTGCTTACGCAGTTGCTTCGCCCTTCACATGCTCCCAAAGCCAGCGCCCACACTCTCATCTTTACCACCTTTACCTTTTCAAACTTACTAACCATCCACCGGCAGTGAGGTTTTCTCTTACGGTCGAAACGTCATGGTCCACGTCATGTACGTACGAGATGCGCCCGCCCATGCCGCCACCAAAGTGTACCTGGGTCCTACGAACGAGTTCCTCCAGAGTACTAGCAAGGGCTACGTTTTGGTGAACGGTGACGACGCCATCCCCTACCTGGCGCAAGGTACCACGCAATCTCTTAGTCAATTGGAACCACAGCAAAACGCAATGGCCGGTTTCAACCCGCGTACTCCTTCGTTCAGTCAGGCGAACTTCGAGTTCAACCCCCCGTCCGGATCTCCTCAATACCCGGTCCTTGCTCAGCCCGCCGAAGTTGAGGTCCAGTCTCTCACCGCCTCGAAGGGTCCTGGCAAGAAGAGTCTTGCGCCGCTTCCCTCCAGCCTTGCGAAGAGGGCTGCTCCCAAGGCTCAAACCCAGGGAGGGAAGCGGCGCAAGACGGTTAGGAACCCGGACCTTACCAATGATCTTGACAACACCGGGTCTCTACATGTGCTACCGGCCTAGGTTGTCCCTAGCCCTGAAGAGATTTCGGAAAACACGGAGGAAGCCCACATCTCCCGTCCCTGAAACGCTTGGATCCAGATGCGTCGCTGCTACCTTCACGAGTTGGTGAAGTGTGGCATACACTTGAACCAGGGCACTGTCTGTGAGTACATAATGATACCTCATCTTGACACGACCCGTGCTAACTTGCGAAGCGAAAATCCTAGGTCGAGTCTGGGGAAGAGAGAGGGACACCCAGAGTCCTTCCTGGGTGTATTGGGAGACCATGAAGCTTGAGATGGCCCGTCGGCATAAGATCAACTACCCCAAGTACACCTACCAGCCGAAACCCAAGAACGACGATGGGGCGGCCAAGAAGGCCTCGAAGCCGAAGAAGACTACCAAAGCCAAGGAGGCCGCGGTCAGCAAGGACATTCATATAGAGCTCGTCCTCCCGGAATACGGCCATGACGCCATGACCACCAAGGTCATGGCCGAGTATAATAAGTATATCATTAACCCCTCGGCGTATATGGAGTCGAAGAATGTGGTCGTGGAAGAGTCAGAGGATCTGGAGGAATCAGAGGACTTGGAAGAGCGAGAGCAGTTAGGGGAGTCAGAGCAGTTGGAGGAGGCAATTATGTCGCCAACTGTGGAGAACACCATGTTGCCGAACACCATGTCGCCGAACGCCATGTCGCCGAACGCCATGTCAGCGCAGCAGCAGTTGCCAGAGAACCTCGACCAGCAGCTCGAAGCCGGCTTTCAGGACCTCGGCTCCTTTCTAGACCATGACGATGATCCCTTTTGGGGGTGGTCTGGAAGCCCTGTTGCAGAGGGCTTCACGGAGGAAGCAATGGCCGCCTTCATGCACGCTACAGAGGAATAGGCACATCACGATGCCGATTTGGTCTCGCTAACCTGCTATTCACTGTTGACTTCCAGCACAACAGCACGGGTACGATGAACTTTGGTTACATCGATCACAATTTGCACACGTTGGACATTGACTACATTGGCGTGGACAACAGGCTACAGCGATGGGTTCTGGGATGTGAATAGCACGGGGTTTGCAATTGGCGGTGTCCCCCTGGCGTACACGTTCCAAACGCCCAAGACTGTGATTTTGACACTGGATCGACTCTTCTTTTCGCGCCAGACACGGCCGTCAACACGTACTTTGACGCCATCCCCGGCACCAACTTTTCATACGAGCAATACGGATACGTATTACGGCGCTAGGAACAATATTAACAGAATATGGGACACGGGACAGCGGCACACAGACCATAGGACGTTTTACACGGAACAGAAAAATGGTATGAACGTGCCTACAACTGACTATCCCAATGATTGGTGCATGTCATGAACATTAATTTCTTTCATCATGCCACTTTCCTTTCTGCCATGAGCACACTTACTCACCCCACTCCATCATGCAAGTTGAGCACATGCGTGCTGAAGCATTCTGATATCACTTTCACTTCTTAAACACATCCCTCTGCTGCTCACATGATACTGCTGCTCATTCACGATGCAGTGTCTAAACTTATACAGCCCTTCTCACACTGCTCCCTGCGGGTGATAATCCCTTACTTCCTCCTCTTGATCTTCGTGTGCGAGACATTTAGTAAGACTGCCAATTGATTCCATCTTGTTCTTTTTGTCTTGCTAAGCTCTATAAATACATACGCGCAGAACAGAAACAGTTATAGCGCCTTAGTCCTAGGTACGATTAGAATTACACCGCGTAGATCTTGAGGCCAGAGGCATTTTGCGAGGCAAGTGCTGGGTAGCGCGTCAAGTCGTAGCAAGGCATCCATCCACCAGGGCTGGCAACCGGGGCCCCAACAGTGCATTCAGCAAGAATGGTGGTCTGGCGCAACTGGAAGCTGGGCCCAATGGGGGCCGTGCAAAGGGCAGGTACTTATGGGATGATTCCTTTCATCTCTTCGCTGATGTGTTACCACTCCTTGTAGTCGCTGCTCCTACGGCACTTTCATATACCAGCCAATTTCTTTGGCGGTCTAGCATCCATCCACAGTACTAGGAATTCAGTAAATTGGCCTCTGGATATCCTCTTGAGCTGCAATGATGGGTACTCGATCCATCACCTTGAGAGGTGACGTTTCGTCTTGTACATATTGATTACCTAATACATGTGAGAATGGAGCTATAACTCTTATAAGGCATGTTATTGCTATAACCAGCTATCTTAACTCCGAAAACACCGCGCCCTGATGCTTGTTTCAGTCTGCGCTCGCGTCTTCATATTGCTATCGTCGCCTGACCAATGTTCCCCGAGAACTACTTCGCGCTGGAAGAGCATCTCAATTTAGAGGCAGTGCCCGCTACTCTCTGATGTTGACCCCACCACAGTTTCTCATGGAGCCAAGCAAAACTGACGTGACGGTATGACTGCAGCGATCACGCGCCGGGCCGCGCACCGCTTCCAGGTCACGCCACTCGTCAAGCACAGTTCCCTTCGGCTGAGCTCGTCGGCTTGCGGAGAGCAGAATGTTGAGCTCGTTGGCGCTGGAGGTGTGGATGGGTCACAGGAGGTGGATGATGATGTGGTCATCAAGCACACCTTTCAACAAGCTTTGGAAGCCAGCGCGCAGAAGTCAAGGTCGTTGATAAAAGAGAATTGGCTTGCGAAATTGGAAACGACATTGTCGCAGACCGATCAGTTGGAAAATGCCGCTCTCAAGACCGAGCTCAAGGGCATGATGTTGCAAAATCTGAGGATCCCTCGCTGCAAGTCGCTTTACCGCTTCAAAAGGCTCTCGGATCGCATCGCTGCTATGGATGCTTCTGCTATCCTGGACGAATCCGCCCAGAAGTCGGCTAAAGGCCCCAAACTCCGCTTCGGGATGTCACTTACTACGCCCAAACACTGAACCTTCCCAGGCCTGGAGACTATCCAGGCGCACCCTCTGCCTTGATGGAGCCTCAAGGGCTACGGTCCATCATCCATCCACGTGCAAAAGAAGAACACGTGCCAATAGTGGAAAAGCTAGACTTCAAAATGAAATACCGCGCGGAGATGGGTAAACATGTCTGGAAATGCGAGGGAACTGTCAAAATCGGCCATGATTTCACAGGTGCTTGTTTTGGTGAATCAAGTACCAAGACAGCCGCACGAGTGGCAGCCTGGCTACAGCTGCTGTCCCAAATGCACGAAGCTGGGCTCCCGAAAACACTGTTTTCCAACCCTGCCGACAAACGCCCTAAAAAGGATCCCAAGCCGTCCGCTCAACTTCCCTCAGAGCCAGCTGATTCGGTACCGACGGGTGCCGTTTCTCTGCCTCCATCAAACCAGCAACACAAACAGTCTCCATCAGCACATAGCCCGGAAGTTAGTCCGGCGGTGACTCCGGAGGTGACTCCGGTCAAGGCGGACATTGGCGCATCATCTCGCCAACTGATGCGACGAGCGGTGGCAGAAGCCAGAGCGGCCGGTCTGCCCAGCGGAAAGGTGGAATTAGAAGTGGAAGCAGCACCACGAAGCCGCCGCTCTTTCCGGACTCGCTTGAGTACAGCTGCCGAAGCCGAGCTCAATTCCAAGTTGAGGGAGCAACAGCAAATACTTGCTACGGCCCCAGAGCACGCCCCCTTCCGCGCCAAACAGGCTACCTTACCAATCAACATATACCGCAGTCAAGTAATGGAGATGATATTGAAGAATCAGGTCTCCTGTGTCGTTGGCGCGACCGGCAGTGGCAAGACTACCCAGGTTGCCCAGATGATATTGGATCACTTCATCTCGATGGGATCCGGAGCGTCTTGCAACGTCGTTTGCACCCAGCCTCGGCGCATTGCTGCAAGCTCTGTAGCCCGACGGGTGGCAGTCGAGCGGAATGAGGACCTCGGAGATTCGGTGGGCTACCATGTGCGACTCGATGCAGCGACCTCGCCCTCATGGTAGCATAACGTATTGTACCACGGGTATTCTACTCGATCAGCTCAAGCACGACGCTGATGGGGTGTTGGATCAAGTTTCGCATATAGTAGTTGACGAAGTCCACGAACGCGATATGTACGTCGACTTCTTGATGATCGTACTGAAGAAAGCGATCAAAGTGCGGCTTGCTGCGGGCAAGAGAGTTCCGAGAGTAACCATCATGAGCGCGACGATGGATACGACATTATTCCAGGAATATTTCGCTTCCAAAAATGCCCAAGGAGTTTTGGAGCCTTGTCCCTCGCTCGAGGTCCCCGGGCGGATGTTTCCAATTCGCCGATTTTACCTGCCGGACATCATGAGCTCTTTGCAGCAGGATCGGAGCATTGAGTTCGAGCAGTTGTTAGCAGGCCATCCACTCTGTGAGGCATATGTGAGGTCTGAGTCAGAGTTCACGGCGACGGCGCCGGAGACGGTCACGAATGAGGGCTCGGAGACGGTCACAGAGACAGTCACCGAGACGACCAAGGCTGAGGGCTCGGGTATATCTGACCGGGAGCGACGCGACCTGCAGGTCTATGTTCCCACACCGCTAGTAGCGGCAACAATAGCACACATCTGCAACTCGACGCAAATGGAAGGGGCTATCCTCGCATTCCTGCCGGGCATGGGCGAGATCATGGATGTCGACGAAATTCTCCGCCGAAGGATGTCTCATCTCTGGTTCGATGACGAGAGCAAGTACAAGATATGCATTCTTCATTCATACCTCTCTAAAGAACAGCAAAACGAGATATTCGAAGCTCTCCCGCTCGGATGTCGTAGGATTATCCTTTCCACTAATATGGCAGAAACGTCTTTGACGGTTCCCGACGTGCAATACGTGGTAGACTCTGGCAGAACACGAGAAGACCGGTTCGAGCAGGTGTCGCGTATCTCAGGACTGGCTACTGTTTGGGAGAGCAAATCCAGCGCCAGGCAGCGGGCGGGACGGGCAGGACGGGCAGGACGGGTCCGGAATGGTTTCTACTACGCGCTCTTCTCCCGGGAGCGGTTGGAATCGATGAGTCCCTCGGGGCTACCGGCTCTCCTGAGATCCGATCTGAAAACCACGTGTCTGTCGATCAAGGCGCAAGGTTTTGTAGAGAAGGTTGGTGACTTCCTTGCTGCGGCCATCGAGCCACCCAGAGCCGATGCCGTGGAAGCTGCCGTCGAGTCACTTGAAACTCTGGAGGCGTTTACTCCTGAAGAGGGTGTTACGGCTCTCGGCAGAGTCCTTACCGCTTTGCCGCTGGATCCATCTATGGGTAAGATGGTCCTTTTTGGGGTCATCTTTAGGTGTCTTGACCCAACGATCGTACTCAGTGCTGCTTCGGAGGAGCTTCGTTCTTCCTAGTGCCCCGACACCTGAGGGAGCAGGCAGCCGCAGCCCGTGAGAAATACGTTACGCATGGGAGCGATCATATGGCTATTCTGAACGCCTTTGAGAAGCTACGGAGCTCGGCCAGGATAAAGGGTCTGCAGCAGCTGCGCGCGCGCAAATGAGATACGGCAGGGAGAACCTGTTGAACATGCGGACCTTCCGGGCCATCGTTTCGAACGCTCGGCAGATTGAGGAAGCCCTTACGACCGCTGGTCTTGCCCCCCAGCCCTCAACGGACGAGCGTCAATTTTCATCTCAGTACGGCCACCCGTCTCTCAACCAGAACTCGACCGACACTGCGCTGATCAAGGGCCTCTTGGTCGCTGGTCTCTACCCCAATATCGCTGTCAAACGCTTGGATAAGGGTGGTCGATATACGTCCTCAAGCCGGCAAAGACCAGTAGTAATAAGGCCGATGCGCCAAGCTAAACCCAGCGCCAGCGAGGGCGAGGAGGACAAGGACGAGGGTGAGAGCGAGGATCATCAGGGTCAAGATCAAGGCCAAGGCAAGATCCATGCCTGGAAGAAGGCCCGCCAAGGTGCGTTGGTCACATACAGCAATCTCCGCAACTCCCTGGACGAGAAAGCGGTCTTCGCCGTTGAAGTGACGTCCGTGCCGCCTCTACTGCCGCTGCTCTTCGGCGGCCGGATCGAGATGACGGGAGACAACAAACTCACGAAGGACAACTGGCTCCCGTTCCACGTGGACGAATCAGAGGACGCGCACGACCTGTTCGAGTTCAGAGGGGCGCTCGACGCGATGCTGAACGACGCGTTTCGGTCCCTCTCCGACCGCCACACGTCAGGATATCTGGCAGATGATCCGGCCCGGGATATTTTTGCGCGGGGCGTCAGGGAGTTGCTGAGCTTGACGCCGGCCGCCGATGCTGCCGATGTAGAGACGACTGCCGACACGACTGCCTTTCGCGATCCGGGCATGTGGCCTACTCTGGACGAGCTACTGGATTCTGAGATAGATGGGTGATGTTTGTAGATAGATTGTATATTATAGATGGGCATGAGAGGAGTTCCAAGCTTCACCATGCTCTGTGGACGTGTCTCCAACTGCATATATCTTAGTAGAACATAATAGCGGTATGCAGTTGGATGTAATATACCCATTTGATATACTAGCGTTTCCATCAAACCGTGATTCGAAGACCTTAACTGTATATATGTAGGCGTAGGAGTAGCTACGCAATAGCATGCTCACAGACTGCCGCCGATCCTACTGTTATAGGACAGATCATTCACAGAGCTACACATCACAAGCGAGGCTGGGGAAAAGTAGCACACAGGGGTTGAATTCCGTTTCAGAATTTGACTAAGCTCAGTATCTCATGGACGCAAGATCTCTGAGCTGGGGTATATCCACTTCGTGTCCTACGGTTGTGTAAAGCCAATCCCTTCAACTCCCCTTTCCTGCTGGTGGTTTGCTGAGGTCATCGGTGAATCAGCTGCTGCGCCTGGCTGCCTCGTATGGAAGCCCGTAGCTATGAGGGGATGGTACCTCTGATATGGCTATATGGACAGCCGCGTGCAAACGGCAGACAAGTGACGGATCTGAAAACTCCTCAACTAGTCTGAGGCCCGTTCCAATCGCTACTCCATATGAAAAAGCCGCACCGCCATTGTGTGCCCGTCTCCTTCTCACCGGTAGGTCCAATTGGCCGTGGACAGATGAAGAAGGACCTTCCTGGAAAGCATGTCAGAAAGACTTATAGTTGAAGAAAAAAGGCTATTCCTCTGTCCCGGTGGAACGGTGAGAGAAAGAAGGACCTGGCCGGTGATGATTACTTACCGCAGTTGACGCCAGCCTTCTTGGTCGTGAGGCTGATACAATTCTCCCCATGTTCGCATTTGGGGACTATGCGCTTCCCTAGCAGTTTTGACCAGGACTCTTTGTTCTGTATGGGATCGAATACTTTCTCGGGGCTAGTCGGCAGCGAGGCGTCTTCCGTCTCCTCAATAGCTACTTGTGATGTCCTGCTTGGCGTCAATTTTGGGGCTGGCAACGAGTCCGAAGCGCCGTTGAGCCCAGGCGATTGTGAATCGTCCTCAGCTTCGGGTTTTATACTCGAACTTGCCGTAGTCTTGGGCTTGAAGAAGCCCATCAGACTGCTCTGCCCTTTAGACGAAGGCTCCTTGGTCAACGACGTTTTGACCTTCTTAGACGATTTGCTCGTGGATGCCGCAGCAGAAGGCGTACGCTTGAGGCCCCTGGACGCGGGGTTGACAGGGGAAGGGGCCAATGTGTGAGTTTCAGGTTGTGAGGGTATGGGTTCGGTCGCGTCCGGGTCTGTCGATGGGATAGAGCTTGACGGCTCTTTGCTGGGACTGGGAGAGGGGTCTTGGGCTGGCGTCGGTGGTTTCTTTGGTGCAGCGGGCTTCTTGAAGAACATATCCTTGATGCTTCTGCGGTTGTTAAACTCTGGTATGAGCTTGGCAGACATTGGTAGAAGGTCCTTCGTCGTCCATTCCCTAACCCGATCCCCATCCTTGAAAACGCCGGGCGGGTTCATGAGATCTCTGGTGTGTACTTCCTTACCGTTGATCGTTACGGTGTCGGCCATTGTTGCAAAAACAGGGCAGTGATCGGACCCCATCAACCCCTCCTGGATATTTGAATCAACGAACCAGTCTTTGATGCCATTGCTGCATAACACGTAGTCTATTCGACTGCCGAAATTGCCCGGGCGCGTGTTCTTCTTGGTGTCCCAGCAGGTGAACATGCCCTGACGGTCGGGGTTGAAGAGCCGGCCAAGATCCCATAGCAGTGGTTCCTCGCGATGCTCATCCTTGGGACCAATTACATCGCCTTCGAATAGCATCTGGTTGAAAAGACGACGGGAGGGGGCGGAGAAGAAGTCGTTCAGGGTCATTCCTTCCTTTCTAAGACGCTCGAGGAGGCCCGCAGTGTCGATCGCTCCTCGGACGACGTTGAGGTCCCCTGTGAGGACGACTTGCTTACCCATGGCCACGAGATTGCGTATTCGAACGTCGAGGGCATCCAGGTAGCCGAGTCTGAAATCATCTCGACTCTCATCGCGGTTTGCTGGGCTGTATGTTCCAATGAGGACAAAGGCTGGGAACTCCAGTAAGACACAGCGCCCCTCCGAATCAAGGGTTGCATCGTCAACTAGACCGGCAAGTTGACCAGGTTGAGGGTAGCCCCCTATTTGTTGGTCTTCGGGGAGATCTCTGAACCTGGTTGTCGAGTTGGGCGGACAGAGGACACCAATAATGCCTTCTTCTGCCCGTACCGGCATGCATGCCGAGTTCCGAGTGTAGATTGCCACACCAGCATAGCCTACCCTACGCGTCAGTCCTAGCCATAAGTTACAGGAGGCAACACTAGCCACACACCTTTCTTATGTCTAGGAAGACTAAAGTATACGTCCCAACCAGGGACGAGAACCATGTCATCCTGTAAGTCTTTGCGCTGGATCTTGGTCTCTTGCATGACCACAATATCTGCTTCCAGGATATCGAACATAGCCTAAGCCGCGCCTTGTTAGAGAAGCTCAGATTTCCCGTCAGAGCAGCAACAGAGTGCCTACCTCGAAGGTTCTCTTCTCGCGCCATGGCTGATAGCTGAATGGATTCCTGCGCGAACAGTCAGGATTGTACTGGCATACGACATGTTGGCGAAGCGTACCGAATGCCATTCACTGTAAGCCAGATTAGTCACACGATCTCTGACACGAACTTCGCGGCACGCCAAGATAGTGAAGCTCACCATTCCACGAGGTGATGCGTAATCCCATTTTGAAGAGAACGTATCGCGAGATGTCACCGGGAGCAGATTGCACAGTTGAAGCGCACGTTCATCCTCGGCCCTATGGTCTCATCGTCGAAGCCGGCGTGATGACAGGCAAGGTCGCGCGCGAAGATAGCGGGTCGGTGTGCCTCTGTTGATGTATGAGCGGTATCCGTACTCGGCCCAGAGCTTCAAACATCACCAAGTTCCGGTCCAAGCGTTTCCGCGGCAGTCAGGTCGCGAAGCGGGTAGGCGCGACCTCAACTGCGTCACGAGATCCCGTGACTTCCACTACCTGGCTTTAGTCTCTTTTCCAGCACAGACCACCACTGCAGCCCAGCCACAGCCCAGCCACAGCCCAGGCGTCCCGAGGAATAACCGAGACGAGCTTCCTGCGACGGCCCGAGCTTGCCAATTGGCCTGACCTCATTCGACATCCGGATCAGACCACTTCCTACCTCAACGTCAATTGACCTCAACGACGACAGAAAGATCTCCCCTCCCAACCAACCACGACACCAGCGAAAGCTACACACCGTTCACGATGCTCCCCCAGCGACATATCCTCCGCGCGGCCCCGCGATTCGCCGCCCAGCTGCGTGCCCCCGTCTTCCGCTCCACCCTGCAGCGCCGTCTCGCTTCCACCGAGAACGCCTTCGTCAAGGAGCGACAGGCCGTCAAGGAGCACGCTGGAGAGTCCACTGGTGAGTTCACTCAGATACAAAACGGACAGCTATGGGGGTGATAGGCATTATGAACTGTGGGTTTGCTGACGAGTTGTTGTTTGCAGAGCTCTGGCGCAAGATCTCCCTCTAGTAAGCCAGCCCATGGATGCCCTTTCCTGAGTGATTTCCCACCCGCCGGGGACACGCACGCAACCTGCGAACCGAGCCCATTCCACAATTACGGCCTTCGACCCGGTGAATAGACTCATCACAATTCGCATTGAGCGGTCAAGACACGAACCGCCGTCGCCAGACGTAGCATATGGAGACAAAGAAAGGAACCGGCGCTAACCAAAGAACGAACCAACAGCGGCATCCCCCCCTGCATCCTCCTGGCCGGCCTCAACGCCTACAACCTGTGGACCGAGCACTGGGAGCACTGGTCGCACATGCCGCCGCTGGAGGAGCGCGTCGAGTACCCCTACCAGAACATCCGCTCCAAGAACTTCCCCTGGGGCAACGGCGACGAGACCCTGTTGTAAGTGTTTCTCTTCTACCTACCAAGACTCCGCGAAATAGCAGAGTATTGTTTAGACGTGGGAAGAACGAAAGAAGGAGAAATACGGAATTGCTGACATGTAACCTCTTCCTCCCCCTTAACAGCTGGAACCCCTCCGTCAACTACCACGACAAGGACAAGACCACCTAAGTCATTCCAAGCCTATGTGCAAGCCTCTCTGGAATAGATGATGGTCAACTCGGTGGCAAAGGACGAGGTCGAAGTAGTTCGAGCGGTGGAGGAGATTCGAGACTGAGGAACCCAATAGAGGAGTGGCCCACGGCAAGGAAGACTTGGACTACCTCCGTCCGTCTTATTGTAGATATGCTTCCCTTTGTCCAATCCAATGCATACTTTCTATTATATACCTAGAAACTGTGCTGAGCTTCTGTGAACATGCTTTCCCGAACACCTAGACTTTGAGGTGAAACAAGAAGCGAGATGATGTTAGTTATTCTGCCTCTCATTTTCTATGCCCGAAGAAGCATGCTTCCCAACAGGGAGCTATTGAAGCTACATATGTACACGAACCAATCCTACTACAGTAGTAGATGCCCCAAACTCCTGATGTTCCCTGAGCAGTGCTCCCCATGCCCACCCGTTGCTCCGTGTTTGTGCATGTACCCGTGCCTGTGGCCCTTTTGCCTGTACGGCATTCCTGAATATGCTGCATGCCTGTGACCATGCATGCGTACTCCTTGGTACGTCTAGATAAATCTCTCAACATGCCTGCTCAGCTCCATATACGCATGTATGATCTCAATGTTCGACCTTCGCCGCACTATTATCTTCTTGTTTGAACTCTGGATTGTCTATCCAGTTCGAATAGTCGTCTTCGTCAGCGGTCTCCGCTGCTGCTGGTGCTCGTTCTTCTACTGCGTCACTTGTATCACCACCTACGTCTCTTGCAGGCACATGTGACTCCTGCAGTGGCTCGTCAGGTGCCAAGTTCTCGCTCTCTTCCGGTCCTTCGGCATCCTCTGCCCAGGGCCGCACATAAGGAGGCGAATCATGTGGCGGAGGTGAACCAGGCTCAGACTCGGCAGGTGCTTCGAGGACGAAATCGTTTTCCTCGTGGGGTACACTTGAGTGAATATGGGAGACCCGTCGCCGTCTCGGAAGAGGAGGCGGAGGCACTGGTCGGCGGTCGCTCTTGTGACCATTGGTATTCCCCATGCTCTGACGCGAAGGTAGCGGCGGTGGGGCGACCGTCTTCCTCTTTGACACGGGTGTCGGTGTGGCCTTCTTCCCTGGTCCCGGTAATGGTGTTCCGGGAGGCGGCAGCGGCTGTCCACGCCCCATAGGCTGATTCAAGTCCACTGTAGGGTCCGAGAGCTTGCGTCCGTTGGCATTCCTTTCGCCCTGGCGCTGTATAGCATTCCAGCCCCAACGCTTTGCCGTAGCAGCAGCAGTAGTCACCGCGGCCAGCGTATTGCGTTTGTGCTCTGGTGTTCCGTTGCTGGGGACGGGCGAGGATGGTTCTTTTCGTGAAAAGAAACCTCGTCCGATGGAGCCCGTCCCGCTCTTGATCGAGTTCCTCCTGCTAGACGGTACAGGGGAGCTCGGGGGCCCATTGTCACTGGCAGTGCTACCTGTAGAGGACGAAGTGTTCCGGCGTCCTTGTCCTGTAGGAGTGCGCTCATTATCCTGCGACTCGGCAGTGGCCTCTGAAGGCGAGTCTGAAGACAAACTACCAGCTTCGTTCAATGACGGCGCCTTAGAAGGGGAGCTGGCCGGGGTCTCCACTGGCGAGCCGTTCTGAGATTTGGCAGAGATACTTGCCATCTGACTGGCAGCATCATCGCGGTCTTGAGCTGTTGAGGACGGTCGATATGCCTCTGCATGCGCGGGATCTGTTGCAACGACAGGGCTGGAGGCAGAAAACGAGCCTTTTCGTATGGGTCGAGGCGCCTCGGGCGTGGAGCTCGATGAGTTTCTCCCTACAAGAACCGATGTAGAAGCCGATGCCGACTGGTTTCCACTGCCTATTGAACTCTTCTTCATGTGCAGTTTGCGGCTCCAGAATCCCGGCGATTGGTTGTTTTCAGCGAAAGGCATACTCTGACTCTTTTCCATTGGCAGATCAGGAGGCGTGGGAGACCCTTCATGTTCCATCTGTCCGACTTCATCGACATGGCCAAGCTGAGCAGCGATTTCCTCGTAGTCAGGTGAGTGCTCGACGGCATTATCGCCTTCAAAGATACCTCCGCGCCAATGCTTGTGCTCTGTGTTGAAGAATGGGATATCATCCCAGAAAGGTGAGACAAGGGTTTCCGCCACTACTTCCTTGATCCTATTCTCGATCTGCCGCAGGATCATCGTGTACGTAATTTGTCTGGAGCTGACAATCGGTTCAATGGTCATCTCCATCTTAGGCGTGGTGTGAAAAGAGAACCAGATACGGTTGCTGGGTGGTGGTTTGATCTTGAAAAACACATGCCCTTCGAGCTTTCTCAAGACCACGGCTAGCACAAGGTTGACCTCTCGAGCCTTGAATCGCGCGCCTAGATCGATCCTAGCTGTGGCGGCTACCTCCAGCCTAAAGTTCCCGGTGTACTTGATGTCCGCTTCCATCACACATTCGCCCTCCACATTCAGGTCTTTGAGCCGAGGATTAGTGATGTATGGCGCCGAGTCACCCGTGTCTATGTTCTGGATCGCTATCTTTGTGAGGAAAGAGGGTCGGTTGACGCGAGCTATCTTCTTCGTGAGTTTCTCCTTGATCAGGTTCTCGATGTCCTTCGTCTTGTAAACGCCAAGAAATATCCTGCCCAGGAACGCGTTCAACCACCGAGTCTGAAGATGATCCTCGGAAGAGTGCAGCCGTTGGACTAGCGATATGATGTTCTTAACATCGAACCGTCGTGGTTTAGCGGTGCCGTTATGGGTAGCAAAGCTCTGCTCTTGGTTCCTGAGCATAGCGAAGTAGAAGTCCTCCTTGGCAGAGCAGTTCTCGGAGAACAGATAAAATGGTTTGGATAGTTGTGTGTCGGGCGCCAGCTCCTTGCCATCCACCTTTCTACTCAGACACAGCGCATTCCGCTTGATGAACAGCTCGCCTTCTGGAGTACGGTCTGCTCCGGAATAGATGCTGATATTGTGATAGGCTAACGAAACTACGTGTCGGACCTCAAGTTGTTCGTCGTCGTCGAATAACATCAGGTGGCCATGTCTATTAGATCCCATGTCAGCCCACTGCCTGTCCTAGTAGCGTATGGGTGCCTACCTGAGCACAACGTAGAACACATTGCCTGCCTTCTTCGGCCGCTGGCTAACGCTCTTGTGGTCATCTAGGGGGCTCGAGGGTTGTTTCCTGTCGAATATGCTTCTGTACATGGATTGATATACACTCGGGCTCGGGGCAGCAACGGTGGTGGATCCCATGGGGGTGGAACGTTCGATCGGTTTGGCATTGATGCCCATGGGCGTATATTCACGACATACTGCGAAGTATCCAGCCGCCACATCCGACTCAGCTTTGAGCTTCTGTATTCCGTCCTTCTGTGCCGCCTTGAGATGGGTCGTTTCGTCGCCTGGCTGGACTATACCGTCGGTGTCATCGTCGCGTGTGGTCTCGGCGTCGTCACGAACGGGGAAGGTGAGATGCGCATGCAGTAAGACGGCGATGACGATAAGAGGGATGAAGGTGACACCACCCAGCAGGTAGGTCAACAGAAAGCCAGTCCAACTGCCCATGGCTCCGGCGAGGCACAGCCAGCAGAGTGCGAGTCCGCTAGCCTTTTCGATGGCAAAGCTCTAAGGGTCATGGATGTCAATTTCTAGACTATTCGGAGAGAGGTATGGACATGTATCGGGTTGGACATAAGCTCGGTCTGGCAGATCCAGGCGGTAGGGCGCAGTTGGATCAAGGACATGAGTGACAACATTTAGGTAGGCCCGGAAAGACGGTGTCCAGACTAGAGGTAGGTTAGGACCGGGAATGTATCGTAAAGTTGGCCAGGGAATGCCGAAGGAGCTGTCCCATTCCCACGAGCGTCACAGGCCGAGACAGGCTCACAGCGAGAAGCCACGTGGGGCGCAGCGGGCATCGGCATCGGCATCGCGGGGTACATGGTACATCAAGTTGAGAAGACCTGCAGGTGTGCATGGGTGAAGCTCGGGTAGATCCTAAATAAATATAAATATCTGTCTTCCCTCCCTCCCCCTCGACTTCTCTTTTCCTTTCTTCTTCATACTTACCTTGGAACGAGGGGGGGAGCTCAAAATCCCCTCCCCTCAGGGCAGGAAGCCTGCATTGCACATCGCGGCGCTGATTGCCCTGTATTATCCTTCGGGATCGTACGTTCCGCAATTTTTGCTCTCAAACACCTCTTTTTCGTTGTGGGCGGTGCCTTGTGCATCGCCACGAGGAAGAATTACTCCTTCTGCAGTGACTTGCCTTTTCATGTGCTGTGTCAGCCTCCGTGGCGATCCTTGGGCCCCCTTACTTACATTTTGTTCGTCTGTTCATCGCAGACGCGCCACTGTCCGACTGAGATAGCCCATGTAGGCAACAGGTTCACTAATGGTACGGATGTCCAGCTTTGAGCGAGAAACAGGCACTGAACAGTCAAGGGTCATGGAAAGAATTGGTATCATTTAACAACTCCCGACTCAAACCACGCAACGCCACACTATGCATATCCTGTTCTACCGTATTTCCTGACCAGAAGGGAACCCATACTCCAAGTCGATACCCCATCACCATTGCAAGTCTTCAACCGCAACCGTGCCATCCAATATCTGCTTCACAGCTGGCTCAACAACATTTTTCTCCGCTCTGTACCGCGCTGCCTGCTTCATGCGCGTATAGAAGACGGGGCAGTCTTTGCTGTCGCAAGGCACGCTGTCTAGGGGCGCAAGACCGGCACAGCTCTGGCAGATCTTCGTCACGTCCAGGAGCTTCCTCTCCTCCCCGTTGATCTGCGTCTGCAGCTTCAGCAGGGAAGCAGGCGCGTTTGCTCTGCATCTTGTGCAGATGGATCCCTCGTTCTTGGTCTTCGTGTGACAGACGAGACACGCTGCCGCCTTCATGTAGGACTCGAGCGTCTTCTTCGCAAATATGTTTTCGTAGGTCGGGCCCACGCGGTGAATGCGCTGTACTTTGGGCATCTCATCGTACCACTGACGGACATTCGCTCCGACTAGGTTGAAGATTCGCTCCAGAGGTGGAATGAGGTTTTTTGAGATGTAGTATTCCGAATCGAGCCGAAGATGTGAGTTGCTGAGTAGTTCTTCAGGTGCTACACAACGGTCGATGAGACGAGCTCCCGGTGCGCCACTGATGACGACATATGGCACTCGCTCGCCGTATTGAGGCTCTGCCCTGGCGTCCTCGAGCATCTTCTTCGTGCTGATAAGCGCGCCAGGAGGAGGTGGGCCTCTGTCGCTGTAGGTGCCCAGCTTGACCTCTCTTGCAAAGCAGAAGTCTTGGATGGACACTGCCCCACGCATGATCTTTTCGCACTGCTTCTGGAAATATGATTTTACTTGACTGAGATCGGCTGTTTCGAAGAGGATCTTCAACGCTTTCTCCTCGATCATCTGTTCGGCAGGCGTTCCGTCCCTCCTGACCGTCTCAATACCCTTGGCATCAAAGTCAGGCTTAACCTGGTCTTTGCTCTCGTACTTATAGCCCACGTAACGCTTCTTGGCAAGTAGCAGGCACGGGTGGTAGACTTTCTCGAACTTGAGTTTTATCGGCCTCGGGTTCATGTCTGTAATCGTCTTGGTAATCTCATTCCCGATGTCGAAAGCCTGGTCCTTGGTCCTGCCAGGCAGGTAGATGAACAAGCTGTCGGTGTCACCGTACACGACCTCTGCCTTCCACTTGTCCACTGAATGGATCAGGGCAATCGCCCTCTCCAGAGTCTCCCGGCCAGTCTGCACAATACTGTCCGCGATCTCAGAGCAAGGCATGCGTCCTGAAAACGATGCCGAGGTATAACCGTAGGTAACGTTCGCAAGCAACTTCAGGGCCAACTGTCTGTTGTTGAGAAGTCGTTGCAGGGTCTTGTCATCCTTGTCTTGTTTCATGCCGCTCTTCACCATGACACGAGTCTCGAGGATCTCTGTCAGCATCTTCGCTAGTAATGACTTCCGAACCTCTGGCTTGCAATACATGATCCCATTGGGAGCGATATTGATGTAGTCTTTGAGTAGCTCCAGCAGTCTGGCTTGCCGGCGGTACTCCGAGAACCCCATCTTGTTCGTGCCTCGCCAATTGACAATACGGCCGAGGAAGGTCGAATAGCAGTAGTTATACGCAATTATGACACTGGGATATAAACTCTGAAAGTCGAGGACTATCAGTGGACTGTTATAAAATGCGCTTTGAGGTTCCATGACAAGCGGGAGGCATTCAAGCGCGTTCTGTCCCCCAACCTGCTTTCTGTCAGGTGAGACAAGCATGAAATTCTCGGGTTTCGCAATTCTGAACATGATGGACTCGACTTTGAACTGTGAGCCACGGGAGAAGACAGAAAAGAAGTCTACACCCAAGAGGCGTGCTTGTTCGCTCGTTCGTGGGATCAACTCGTTAGTCTCAAGTATCTCGATATCCAACTTCGTCCGATTCAGGTAGTATCGAAGTAGCTTGCTGAGGTCGCGGTATTTCCCTCCCACGTACCACTCTGTCAAAGTGCGCCATGGATAATGGGGAATTCGGCGGTGTAGCAAATGCCAGACCACGTTCTCCATGGTGTACTGGAGAAGATTCAGCTCTCCACGCATGGCTCTCCATATGTTGATCATATGTCTGCCTGTGACTCGGATCGTTGAGGTGGTGTTGAAGCCCCATTTGTCTGCTTCCTTTCCGAATCGCCCAAAGGATTGCTTCTTCATCCGTGAGAACTCATCACAGAGATTGTAGTCATATTTGAACCTTGCTCGTTCGATCAAATAGCCCCATGAGTTTCCGTGGACCTCATACCCAGTGAGAATGTCGGGATCGTGCGTCCGAACGATTTCAACCATACGAACCATCAAGTCGAGCTCGAACGATTCCTCGATGACCTCCACGGGTGTCTGCCTCTGTAACGTTCGTGCTAGGGTCCCATCCTCAGAGAGAACGATAATGCCAGAGCGTGTTGCCAATGAAGCATTGTCACCGGTAGCAAAGTGCTCGTCGGATTTGGAACACCAGAAAATGCATTGCACTTCGTCCTCTTCCGGGTTTGGGACGAGCTTCCCACGAGTGTTGACATGGATTTCTAAGCTCATGGTGCTCATGTATTGTGCCTCATGCTGCACGCTAGTCGACTTCTTCTTCTGTGAATATTTGAAACCGTGCTTGTTTTTCGGGGTTGGCCCGTCAATCTGGGACATGTACGGTTGTAGCTCGGGGTCACGAATTTTCAGGGCGGGTTCTGTCGAGATGTCCGCATCCTGGGTCTGTTCCAACCAAGTTCGCACATCCTCGAAGCTCGGCGGTGGTTCTGCGATTTCCCAACTCCGCAGTGAACAATCACGACGCTGCCGCTCATACGCTTGATCATCCTTTCGGCTGTCGAGTAGTGCGTCTGGCTTTATTCCAAAATTGGCTTGTGATTCCCCGGTTGCGTCGAAGTCTGGAAGGAAGGGAAGGGTATTGCCCTCGAGACGAAATTCTTGACCGGCGTATTCTCGCACTCGTTGAGGAACGTCTTTGTCGTTACTGTAGAATGCGTCCTGGTATATGACACCAGGCCGGTCGAGGCATTGCAAAGACGACAATACTTCTTCCGGAGAAGGTGGAATCTGGTCAAGGACGAAAAACTGGGCTTGGGGTCGAGCAGAGCACCCAATGTCGATCGGTTTTCTAGAAACTGTCCCCCTCAATGTACTTGCAGAAGAACTGAGAGAGCATCTCTTCGTTGTATGCGAGCTTGCGCTGGTGGTAGAGATCTCTGTCACAGGGGTCCACGGCTCAAAAGAGACATGCTTCTTGGGCTGGCTGCTTCCACTTTGCTGAGAACTTGACTGACTAAGTCGCAGTCTCGTATTGGGATCATGAGGGTCTTTCACAACTGGAAAGTTCAGGCGTTGACTTCCAGATCGCTTACTCGAGTCCGTCTTGGCTTGCTCTCCAGATGTTTGCGAGGTCGGCTGCGGCGTCTTAACACCAGCAGCAGATGCCGCCGGTGTCTCTTTTCCCGCGCCGTTTGGTATGATGAGGTCAGAATTAGGGGCAAACTCTACACGGCGACGCTTTGGTTCTTCCACTATCGGTAGTGGTGAGCTAGAGCGCTTGGAAGGCAGCCAGGTGGATTGACGGGGCTGTGCACTTGGGGGCGCCTTGCTGATTAACCCGTGGTCTTTGGCAGCATCAAGCAGTGCGTCGGAGAACGGTATCTTCGGTCGGTTTCCGGTACGCTGGCAACTGGCGAGGACACCAGATGGCAGTGCTTCCGGGTGGGCATTTCCGTTCAATCTGTTACTCATATCCATCGACATCAGAGACGCAACGCTGTTTTGTCTATTGCCGTCACCCCCTTCATCGGGTAAAATCGCTGACTTGGGCATATCCGTTGGCCGGTTGCTTCGCGGGAGCTTACTGCCAGCTGCAGAAGCCTTCGTCAATGATTCCAGATCCCGCAACATATCCTCGTCGGAGTCATCGGGAAAAAGATCGTCTCCATCGGCTCGTGTGTCAAGGATTTGATCTTCGTCGACGAGAATGCTACTTACCAGGTTGTCCCCATCTTCAAGAGGTTGAGTCATACCCAATGCGGATATCAGGTTACCAGGATATAGGTCCTCGACGGATTGCAGTAGAGTGTTGATCGTAGATTCGAATGGCACGCTCTGCACAAACGAGTCGAACGTGACCGTGCTTTCATTGCTTTGCTCATTTTCCTGCCGCACCAGCTCCTGGATTTCATCTCGATACTCTTCTTCGTGGATCCATCCAGGTATCTGAGAGTTGCGCGGATCGGCAGACATAGATATAAGAGCTTCTGCGGGGAAGGGACCACTGCCAGGCGCCGGATTTGACATCCTCCTTTTCCGCCGCTTCGTCTCATCTTTCCACAGTCCGGCCATGCTGTGGACAAGCTTGATATCCGTCGGCAATGGGTTCTTTCGCTCAACAAAATCGTGGTGAAGCCGCCTCTCCTTAATCTCGTGTCGATTAAGAATATCTTGGACGCATATATCCACTTCAATCGAGCAGTGGCTCATGCGAGGTAACTCAGCATCATCTGTGATGAAAGCTCTCGACACAGTCTGGCTGTGCCATAAATGAGTCGTGTCGTCATCGTCCTCATGCTCTGGCACTGGAGCCCTGAAGCACACCTTTTGTGTGTCGATATACCCACAGCCGTAAAGATTGTAGTCGATCATGAACTGCAGCAGGTACTGTAGGTGCGCCTCATAGGGTTGGAATTTCCGTTTCATTATTACGCCCTGCTGAAGAAGCTCGGAAAGTCGGGTCATGACCATTGGGTTGAGCATGTAGATCTTGAGATAAAACCGATACCCAACGTAGAACCCATAGAACGGGATACCCTTGGCGAGGGTAATCCTCGCCACGTACTTATTGTTGCCATCATAGACGTTGCGGCGGTAGCTCACAGCCAGGGCGTGGTCAATGGAGAGATGAAGCCGGTAGATATAGGCACCAACTAGAAGCAAAATCAGAATGAGATCTTCTTACCGTTCCGAAAATAGCTTACCATCGTCAGGCAGCAGACTGCCATCGTACTCGACATAGAGATATGGGAACGCGCCATGGATGTGCGCGCATACTTTTTGCCCCGTTTCCGTGGACCCAAACACCCTCACGACGGGGACCTTCGGCTCCTTTCGCAGTTGCGATGCTCGGACATCATTTCGCAGCGGCGGATCATATTTCGTCGGTGTCGCTTGATAGTGATCTATGCAATTCAACCGCACGCGGAAGACGTCCATGACGACTTATGCATGCCAGCGTTGGCACTTCTCGAAATACATGGGAAAAGGTGACATCCAATTAAGTCAAGCAAGAGCACTTGATGAGCAAGCCAGGGTACTGTATGCTTTGTTCTCGAACTGGCACTGTCGGACCAAAACGCGGTCATCGTCAAAGGCAGACGCGCCGCTGGGTCGCCTTTAAGTGGTTGATTGACGCGGGCCTGGAGCGCAGTCAGGTGGCGTTTCTCAGCTTGACTTGCATTTCTGCGGGGTCAGCCACATCTGATTCTATCGGATCGCCGCAGCCACAACCCCGAACATCTGTAACTTTTACTTCGTACTGACTTCCAGTCGCGAACCCCATACACAGCGAACGACCTTCCTCTTGTGATTTATCTACATCTCTCAAGGTTCTACACTAAAGCCATACCCGGCTACCAAAATCACAATGCCGCCTCCACCACCGCCTCCCTCGCGGAGAAACGACGCCAGCAAGGCATCGGCCGCCTCGAAGGAGGAGAACATCTACATCCCGTCCTTCATCAGCAAGCGGCCCTTCTACGCAGGCGAAGAGGGCGACGACCAGTCAGACTACCTAGAGCATCAGCGGATACAGCAGAAGTCGAAAGACGACCAGTCGAAATGGTACGACCGGGGCAAGAAGCTGGGGCCCGCCGCGACGAAGTACCGCAAGGGCGCCTGCGAGAACTGCGGCGCCATGACGCACAAGACGAAGGAGTGTCTGAGTCGCCCGCGCGCGAAGGGCGCCAAGTACACGGGCCGCGATATCCAGGCCGACGAGGTCGTGCAGGAGGTGCAGCTCGGCTGGGACGCCAAGAGGGATCGCTGGAACGGCTACGATCCCAAGGAGTACCGCCAGGTTGTCGAACGCTACAAACAGATGGATGAGCTGCGGAAGCTAGCGGATGGCGGCAAGGCGAATAAGGACGACGGCGAGGGCGAGGAGGGTGAAGAGCAGAAAGACTCCGGGGAGAAGTACGCCGAGGAGATGGATATGGGCAAGCATCAGAGCACAGCGACACGGCAACTGCGCATACGGGAAGACACGGCGAAGTACCTCTTGAATCTCGACCTGGAGTCAGCCAAATACGACCCCAAGACGAGGACGATGGTCGACGCGGGCGCCACAGCAGACAAGGCGGCGCAGCTATTTGCGGAAGAAGGCTTCTTACGGCAATCAGGCGAGGCGGCCAAGTTTGAGGAGGCACAAACGTATGCGTGGGAGAAACAGGAGCTGTCCGGCGACACAAGCCAGCACATGCAGGCGAACCCAACGGCGGGCGAGTTCTACCGCAAGAAAGAGAAGGAGGAAGCCGAGAAGAAGCGCGCGGCGCACCTCAAAGCCCTACAAGAGAAGTACGGCGGCGGCATCGACGACCAACATACGATGCCGGCGGCACTGCGGGACGTCGCCGTGACCGAGTCGGAGCATTTCGTTGAATACGACGAGGCCGGGCTGATCAAGGGCGCGCCCAAGGCTGTGGCCAAATCCAAGTATGCTGAGGATGTCCACACCAACAGTCACACGTCGGTATGGGGCAGCTGGTGGTCCAACTTCAGATGGGGCTACGCATGTTGTCACTCGTTCAGCAAGAACAGCTACTGTACGGGAGAAGACGGCAGGAGGGCGTTTGATGATGCTGAGCGACAGAGAACTGGTGTGGCTCTCATAGAAGATGCCCCAGCTCAGGAGGCAGAACCCAACGGTGGCAAGGCGGACGAGCCAGAGCCGGCGAAGCCAGCAGCCAGAAAGCGCACAGTCGAGGAGATGATGGGCGGTGTTTCGGAGGCAGAGATGGATGAATATCGAAGGAAGCGAACAGCGGCAGATGACCCTATGGCCAAATTCTTAGGGACAGAAGAGTTAGCTCGATAGCATTCTACTTCAGCATGCCACTTTCATGCCAAAAAACGAAGAATTATCAAGCAAAACATGAACATGCACAAACGTCAGTAGAGAGCAGAAGAGAGGTAATTTGGTGGTGGAAAATCTCTTGCAATTCCGTTTCCCTCTGGCCCAACGCCTTGAGCTATGAACGTGTTTCATACGCCCATTGTATGATCGGTTTTCCGTACACCAGAACAATTCATGCGCAGTCAATGGTGATGCATGCATTTACTCCTCTTCCTCCTCCTCCTCGCCTTCGTCCTTCTTCTCGGCAGCCTTGGCCTTCTTTCTTCGGACACGACCGGGGCGGCCGCCACCAAACGGTGAGGTCAGGGAGAAGTCAATGTGCTTCTGGGAGTCGAGACGGACGATGAACGACGGGACGTTGACGATCTGCTTGCCGACTCGGATGTGGCGCTGGCGGATCAGGACACGGGCGTGGTGGATCGACTTGGCGAGACCGAGCTTGTAGACACAGGTCTGGAGACGGCGCTCCATGAAGTCCTCGACCTTCAGGGCCAAGACGTAATCGAGCTTCATGCGCGACTCGTCAAGCACACCGATACGGACCAGACGGCGAATGAGGGCATTGCCTTCGAAGAGTCGCTTGGGGTCCTTCTCGTCGAGGGTCAAAAGCTGACTGTGGTGGGGTTATACATATTAGCACATACAGTCCCGCGAGACAGATAGTTCAATGCGCGGATAATGATGGACTTACCGGGCAGCACGACGAATCTTGGAGAGGGTGAGCTGGACACGCCACACCTCACGCTTGTTTCGCAGACCGTACTCTCCGACGAGCTTCAACTCGGAGTCACTGTGGCGACCAGGTCAGTTCCTCGTTCACGTACGACTTAAGCAGATGCAAGCTCATGCTCAGTGGCCGGTGAATACTGACAGACGGGCGGCCTCGAAGGGGCGACGGGGGACCTTGGCGGTCTTGGAGTAAGACAAAGGGGCCATGATTGCGACGGCTCAATTGTCTCGAGGCGTGTTGTTGGCGACGGAGGGGATGGGGAGACTTGAGGTTGTCGTGGTTCGCGATGCGGGAGAGTAAAAGTTTCGGCAGGAGGGACTAGCAAAAGAGCACAGGGGAGGATTTGTGTGGGATAGGGCAAATGTGGAGCTAGTCCCTAAATGGCCAAAGCGGACCTCGCTTAATTGGCAGCAGCTGCGGGGGGTTTGGCGGGCAGGTGCCACCACCCCCAAGCCTCATGCACACAATCGGAACGAGACCAGACCACCCGAGCCCAAAAATCCCCCCAAGCGAATTTCTTAGAAGTCGCATCACGAGAAAATCAACCTCACCTCTACCACCAGTTCCCCCCAAGACACCACAACACCGTCACAATGGGTCACGCCGCAGGTTTACGTGCCGGCACTCGGGTACGTTCAAATCCAGCGGAAATTTAGACCCTCACTCCCCGTATGGAGGGGCGGACGGGCGCACAGGCGAGCAGGCGAGCAGATTGACTGACGATGCCTTCAATTGTAGTATGCCTTCTCCCGGAACTTCCGGCAGAAGGGTATGATCCACATGTCCACCTACCTGCAACAGTACAAGTACGATACTCCCGAGTTTCTGGATGCGATGGGAAGGAAGTCTAACAGTTTGGCAGGGTTGGTGACATCGTGGACATCAAGGCCAACGGTGCTGTTCAGAAGGGGTAAGAGATATCCATCCGCATTCTACGACACGACGAGCGAATCCCGAAACTACGAATTCGAAAGGCGGCGACTGCTTTGCTGGGAATTGAGAGGCTGACTGGACTGTAGTATGCCGCACAAGGTCTACCACGGCAAGACTGGTGTCATCTACAACGTTACCAAGAGCGCCGTCGGTGTCATCATCTACAAGAAGGTCGGCAACCGATACCTCGAGAAGCGCGTCAACATCCGCCTGGAACACATCAACCTGTCGCGATCGAGAGAGGACTTCATCAAGCGCGTCAAGCACAACGCAGCCGCCAAGAAGCAGGCCAAGTCCGACGGCACCGTCGTCCAGGTTAAGAGACTAGCCACCCAGCCCCGCGAGGCGAGAACGGTTTCGCTGAAGGACAACCACCCGGAGACGGTGGTTCCGCTTGCGTACGAGACCACTATCTAAGGTGGTGGTGGTGTTCTGGGTCTGCCGGTTGCTTTTATTGCATTAGGGGTTTTTCGCGTGGCCAGGACGGAGCGAATGTGCTGAGCATGGCAAGGCACAGACATAGGCGACGTCTACAGGAATCACCAAAAGAATACCAATGCCAAGACGTGTACCTCTCTCCAGTCCGGTCTATGAATACTGCGTAAACGGACACGTAATGTGTCTTGCCAGTTTCTAACTCGCACATGATGGAATTTGATGACATTGCTCGTGAGTAAGGCTGCGCCCATGGATAGTGGTCCATTGGTCGGAAGTACATGATGGCTACGGGATCAAAGAGCTGGTGTTATGCAAGCTCCCTCGCAGCCACGGCGCTCTGGCAGGTGCGTTGCTGTCCCTCTGAAGCTTGCACCGCGCTGACAGAGGACAGCCTCGCTTGAGAGCGAGGCTGAAGCTGAAGGCTGTGTCAGCAAGTCCATTCTTAGTCAGTGTTTCAGGCTTGAGGGTGTGGCTTTGAACTGTTTACTCTTCTTACTTGTTACTGGATCTCTGGTCCCACCATATCTGAACGACCTGTGGTCACAAAACAAAAACTACCCCGATCCGAGCTCCCTCCAAGTTGACATCCCATAGTACAGCGGCTGACAATGCCATATGTGCATATCCAGCTTCTCATCAGCCTTCCTTCGAGGTGGACCCCTCACCAGTTTGAGGCGTGTCCTTCGCTGGATCCGGCGCGTCCTTCATGACGACACCCCACCGTTTTCGTTCCTCCTTACCAGGTTGAGACGACGTGCCCTCTCCTATGCTGGATCCGGCGTGGTCTTCATTTTGCACGACGACACCCCGTCGTTTTCGCATCCGAGGTTCCTTGAACACCTGAGGTCTCAGAACCTTTTCGGTAGTTCCGTCAGGATGCCGGATGGTGAACCATACTTTGTGTTCTATGGGTGCGAGTATGCTAAGGTGGCGATCGTGAGTTAGTTTCCAGAACTGGATTCTTCCACGTGGAGGGGGTGGTGCTTCACTTACTCTTCGGCAGTCCAGTGGTGTGGGAAATGGACGGGCCGTCCGCCGCGTTCGGCGGCACGTCGAGTGAGGTACTCGTAGACAATCGGGATCTCGGTGGAGGAGGAAGAAGGGTCGTTGGGGTCCACGACGGGTTTGCGTTCAGCAACATGTTGAGCAACACGTTGAGCACACCACTCGGCCATAGACGGGAACCCGGTGTCAGAGGAAGGGTCGGCGGGGGAAGAAGAAGGCTCAGCGCAGGTGGAGGAGCCGGAAGCCTCGCTCGCAACCACAGGCCCGTGTCGGATTGGCGGCCTGGTGTAGAAAGGAGGCTCGGCCTCTTCGAACAGGGCCTGGAGCTGATGGTGCTCCTCGGGGGCGCGCTTCTCCTCGGCGGGGCCCGCCTTGGCCTGGTGGTGCTTCTGCTTCGGGTTGCTCGCAACCGCATGCTCGTGATGGGTTGCAACCGGATACTCGTGATGGGTTGTCGGCCTGGTTCCAGATGGAGGCTCGGCCGGTGCCGGTCCGAACAGGGCCTCAAGCTGCTGCTCATGGGCGGCGCGCTTCTTCTCGGCGGCGGCCGCCTTGGCCTGCTTGCGCTTCTGCTTCAGGGATTGGACGACTTTCGTCACTGGCGCGGGCATGTAACACATGATGGGCGATGTGGTGTTCAATGAATGTGACTGGAGTTCGGAGGGAAGAGTCCACGAAGAAGAGCGATGTGGTGTTCGAGCGAATGTAACTGGAGTGCAGAGGGAAGAGTTCAGAGGGGAGAGTTCGCGAAGAAGAGTTGGAGGTCGGGGGTTTCTCCGTTGGTATGTGGCTTGAGCAGGTAAATCTTGCATTTTCTGGACACGAGGTTTAAACCTCGTCCGTTTACTGTTGAGCCCTTTTTCATAATAAGCTCACACACAACACGGTGACCGCGATGGCTGGTTTGATAGACCGCGGCGTTTTTGAGTTTGAATCTGTTATGAACGCCTCTCTAACGCCCTCTCCAACCGCCTCGCGCTCAACCAACCCCAAGCTCTCTACCCCTACCGGACCAGAAACTAAGTAGTTGACATGATAACATTCTGTCTGCATCAGCGCCTGTCACGGGCATTTGACCCAGGGCCAAGTGGCCGCCAGAGTCACCCAAGCCACTGCTGATTTCACCTCAACTATCCAGTCGGGCCTCCACCTGTCACCCTCACCCGCTCCTGACGGCCGCTTCATACGCAGGCGGCGCCATCGAGTGTCCGTCCACCTCATCCTCAGCATCTTCCGTCTTTTCCTTCGCAGTACCCTCTAGCCCATCGTGCACAATCCTTCCCATCTGCTGCTGTGGAGCATGAGCCCGAGGGTCATTCATCCCGCCGGCCGTGATCCGGCCCTGCTTGGCGGCCTGGTGCTCCCGGACGAGCCCGATCACCATGGCGATGAGGCCACCTCGACGCTGCTGATGGCGACGGCGACGGCTACCGCAGCAGCCTCTTCTGGTTGGTATGGCATAGATCGCTGTGTTCGTGCCGTCGCTGGTGTATTGTCCTTGGTGGAAGTCGGCGGCGCGGGGATTGATGCGATTCTTCTTGCAGCACATCGTGACGTTATTTTGTGGAGAACTGTCTGGAACCTGTTGGTGTTCTTTGAGTCGATATGGAGACGTAGTCAGTGAGATGACGATACTCCTTTCAGGTGGTTCGGGCTTCGTAGGCTGCGCTGTCTGTGACGGTTGGTGTCTGAAGTCCTGTCTTCCCATCGAGGTCGAGCAACCCGTCCTTATATACACATTCCAGTGCCGTGGTCTCTGGTCTTCAACCGTAACGCTCACCAGGATGCGAGTGCATGCCGCCGAGTGACGTCGACCAGACTCCCGTCAATACGTGGACTGTCCCGGAGCTGACCCCGGCCTTCCTCCGCCCCGGCTCGCATTCGCTTGGCTCCACACCAACTTGGCCGGGGGCGACGAACATGGTGCGCCTCGGATCCTTTCAGCCAATCACCTTTCTCGAGGTGACGTCTTTAGCGAGTGCGTACGAATGTATCCAGGATGTTCACCACGTTGCTGCCGCCTTTCACTTCTAGGTGTCGACAGAAACGGTCCCAAGTAAGCGAGCCGCGGAGGGGATCGATCGGCTTGTTTCGGGATTGATCCCAGATATCTCTACTCGAGTGATCGCATTCGGCTGCCGCAAAGCCGGCATTGGGAAAGCTCGCCGCTGGAGGCTGTCGACATGCAATAGTTACACCATTGTGCATGACGCTGTCGAACCAGTACTCACGTGGTTTCGAACGTAATAAAGGTGCTCAAATGAGACCAGGCGTCGACGTCAACGTTGCCTGTTGGAGGTAGAAGGCCCCGATTGCCAAGACACGATGTCTCTCGAGCGGGCAGATTACTATGCCAGGCCTAGAAGCTTTCAACAGATCATACCTGCAGGCTGGTGAGTTATCGAAGAGCGACTTGGTGGTCGTCTCAGCTGGTTCCCTTGAAATGTGTGCTCATATGCAAGGTGTCATGTGAACCGCTCTGCCGTCCTCTGGCCGCCTATGGCGAGCATGCCAGTGCCCACGAAGATATAGTCAACCAGCATGGTACATATACGCATCGGCAGCGCTCATGAGGGCATATAGGCATTACTGCGTGTATTAATCCAATGAATGTGATTATGCTCTCGAGCGTACACTTCGTCCCCTCCACGACGACCAGGAAGGTCCGGTCTCGACGCCCATTACGATTCTAGGTCTCTGCTCTGCCTCCCATCAAAGAACTGCCCTCGACAGCTAACTTGCTTCCTCGCATACTGTTAACTCAGTCATCGAATCCGTTGTGATTTCGAAGTGCCACGGCACCAGTGACAATACCCGCGAGCGCCAGGAGGGTCGCTAGGGCAGACATGCCCATGGCAGCAGCGGCCATGCGTTTGGCCATGCGGCGCGAGCCTACATCGGAGGACAGAGCCGTGTTGTTCTCCGCGTGGCTCTTCTCGAGGGAGGCCAGGCGTGTGTCGAGCGACTTGTGGGCAGTCGACAGCCCTGCGATGTGGTTGCGGGTGTAGGGGGGAAGCTCTTGGGCTGGATCTCCTGTTAGATAGGACTAGAACAGGTGGGAATGGGTTTTGTTAACGTACCGTTACGTTCTGTATCGTAGTCGGAGATCCCTTGGGATTGTCCAGTTGCCACGGTGCCGTTCACGTTGCTTTCTTCTGTTGCCACAACGGTCAGTTCTGCTTTGACATAGTTCGTCGTGGTGAGAACGTGGGACCTCACCCAGGGTACCTGGGCCGTCCTTCTGGCTGTTCTTGACTTGGTTGGAAAAGTAGTGGCTTCGACTGGTCGCCATCGTGTAGAGCGATGCTGGATTAGTTAGGTATGATGAATTGTTGTTTCCACGCCTTGATCAGAGAAGATACACAAGAGGGTATTGACTGCGTGACGGTAGCCTCAAACGACAGTGGACGGGCGAGAAAGGATGTTGTTGATGAGAGTGTGTGTTGGGAGAACAGAGGTGAGAAGAGACATCAAGTAGGCGAGTGGACAAGAGGGATTGGGTTGAGGCGCCGCTTCCTCCCTCTCTCATTCGCAACAGCTGTGTAAAGACATCTGAGAGGTAGTTAGGTAGTTGCTACCCTCATGGGGGAAGTGGACTGGACGTACGTGCTTCCCACTGACGCTCTTTCTGCTCCCCGGAGCAAATGTACTGGCTTCCATAGAGTGCCTTCCGCAATCAAGTGTAGAGGACCGGAACGAGCCGCCGAGGAAATCGCATTCCCCGTACACGCGAATGAGGTAGGTATTCGAGGTCGGTACTAGATGAAGTGTCGTGGCAAAGAAAAGGGAGCTACGATCGCCCCTCTCAAGTCTTAAACAGGACAGCTGATGTACCTATCAGTGGTAAGACACCAGAAAAGGGGCAAGACCCGGCCGAACTCGATTGTGGCTCGTACCACCTCCAACTTGCCATGAACGGATGTGCTATAATAAGCACACCACAATAGACGGTTCTGATCAATTAGGCCGCTCTTGCTATATATCTCAGATACCTTATCCAGCTGTATTAATAAACCCTAGGTAGATATATAGTACCTTATTGAGGCGCTATACGAAGACTTCCAGATAGGAGCTCAGTGTGTCCTGCTCAACCTTCATACAAGCACAACGCCACCAGCAGAAACCAATGGAAACGGTTATGGCCACCAACTTGGAAGAAGCAACTCATCAGTCGATCAGCCCAACGGGTAAAATATGTACACATAGCCAGTTAGTTAGATGACTTTGCCCCCATGCCGTCCACCAGCAACCCATGCCTTTGTGCCACGCCCTCTCCCAGTACGTACACAAAAGCGGCATCATCTGCTAACCTAACGAACTGGCAACCGTCGTTCTACGCCCACACGTTCCGCGCAAACGCTCCTCCCACGCGATATATTCAATGTCGGATGGAAAAGAGAGCCACAAGAGCCCCGTGAGGTGCCCGTTTCCGTTAATGCAGCTAAGCGTCACCTGCAGCAGTCATAAGTACGTCCCGATATCTAGGAGCAGAACGCGGCGGCTCCGGCTCAATATTGCATCTCGTGGCAGAGAAAACGGTGGGACCGGTCGCATGGTCCCGATATGTCTTCGAGTGAGCATGGCTGCTACCGCCGTGATGCGGCGGATCACCCACCACAATCGGGCATCACTTTGCAACACATACCTGGGCAGATCTGATGCGAAACTCGACACGGTATCGTCTGTAATGACTTAAGTTCTCACGTACAGCCAGCAAGCCGAAAGTTGACTTTGACTTGTTTTAACATTTCTACCATTCAGCTGGAAGAGAAGATACAACTTCCTAAGCGCAGTGAACCGCCTGTACAATAGGTAGACTTGCTAACCAAGTGACTACCACACACACACATCCAGATATACTACGTCCTGAGTTCGACGACGAACTCCACAAAGCGAACCAGCTACGCAGGGAACTCCTCCAAGCGCCAATCATTCAAACAGGCGTAGATCCTATTGCAGTCGCTGCCTCAAACCCCAGGAAACAGGGTCATGAAATCCGTTTCCAGCAAACTCAGCCATTGCATCTGATGCATTTGAGCCTTGTGCGCTGTTCGAAAAATTGCGCGTCCATCATATTCGTTCGTCTGTAAACAATGTCGATGCGGAAGGAACACGAGGCCTTCGTCGACGAGAATGCCCGCAGTCAAGGCAGCTGGCGACAGTGGCCAGAGAAGGTGAAGTCGGGGGAAAAGAAGTTTTGGTACGGTTGAAGGTAGATCGGGGTCGTAGAAAGGGTATATAAGACGTTGGTCGTAGACTTGGATGAACATGATGGTCAAGTCTGACTGAAGCGGGCGCCTAGACAGCGTGAATGTTTCGTAACCATCGGTAGCATCTCTGATGCAAGAATCATGCAGATTTACAGTAAGTAGGGACAGAAAGGGAAGTATGGAGTTATTATATCCCCGGGTAAGCACCGCCAGGTATCATGCCCCCAGCAGCCCCTCTGGCAGGAGTAGCCGAAGGCCCACGGTTCGACGGTAGCTGAAAGTCAGGATTGCTATTAAGAATATTCACGTCGTTTCGGTTGACCGGTCTCCGTGGTGGTATTTGTTGGCCATAGCCCTGGCCCGGGGGTCCGTTCCAGCGAGGGTTCACGCCCCGTTGCGAGATGGAAGTGAAGCCTGATTGTTCAGAGATGGCCGGGCTTCTTGCACCGGCGGCATTGTGAGGTTCGTCATAGCCTATTGGTGCGTCCAGAGGAGCTTGCTGGGAACGCGAGGCTGGCTCCATGAAGCGAGGGTCCACATCTTCGTAGTATGTGCCAGCACTGGCGGTGTCTCCTTGAGGCGGCGGCGTCCCATTACTCAACTCTCGCGGGCGGGACGGTACATGTAGAGGGGATGGTATTCCAGGGGATGGAATTCCTGGAGATGATCGACCCAGTCCCTGATTCCAAGCTTGCCGTGGCGGAACATAGTTACTGCTACACAGTGTCAAAAAACATACTGCTTTCTCCGTCTGCAGATATTGGAATTCACTTACTCATCTTGGCTGTACTTGCTCCTTTCGCTCATGTACGTGTCGTGACGGCGCGGCGATAATCTTCCCTGTTGTAACGCCAGCATGCCAGCTACATCCGCATCACTATCTCGTAACTGGTTGAACTGGCCGAAGCCCGCAGGCGGGTGGGCTGGACTACCTGTTCTAGCGTCCATCTCCATAGCTTGACCTACATGGCCCAGACTCGAGCTATCAGTACCCGGTAGCGGCGGAGGTGATTCTGCTCTGGGCAGGTCACTGGCGCGATCAGGGTTATAAGCTTGGTAACCCCCTGTCGTTCCCGTCGGAACATTAGGCGTAGACGAGTTTACGCCATAAGGGGCATCTGGAACTGATGCTGGAGAAGGTTGTCTGCCAGGTGGGTAGTTGCCGTAAGCGGCTGCGGGAGGAGGAGGCGCCCTTCGGTCTTGTGGTCCCGGACCACCCGGATAACCCGGTGGCGGTGGCCTTCCCCTGGCACCGCCATAGCCTCCGCGCGGACCGTATCCTCCTCTCCCGTTTGGGCCAGGCCCATATCCTCCTCTTCCGTTGGGGCCAGGCCCATATCCACCGCGGCCGGGAGGACCGTACCCACCCCCTCGTCCATTCGGGGGTGGACCATAGGCACCTCTGCCATAACCGCCTCGGCCTCTATAACCTGCTGGAGGTCCACCACGGCCCCTGCCATTCATGCGATCTGTCGAAGGCCCTCGTTGCATCCCGTAGGCATCGGGTGGCTGATTCATGGGATTCCCGTACTGGTCTCTCGGAAGCGATGGGGCCGATCCTGGCTGCGAGCGGCTGGCGTGATTCATGTCAGATGCACTCATGTCAGCTTGTACATGGTTTGGGGACCTCTCGGATGGGGACCTAGCGGTTAAAGGAACACGCTCGTCGCTGCTGTGGTCGTCCTTGTTCTCATACGAGGCGAAGGTTGGCAGCTTATCGGCGGCCCCGTTTGCTCCGCTGACCAAGGGGACAGTTGGCTGCAACGCTGTCGCAGTAGAAGGGGTAGTGTCCATAGTTGCCTGGCGATTGTAGTAGTTCTCCCCACTCATTTCTGCGTTCTCTGCAATCCGCTTCTTCCTCGCTTTCCTACCGACGAGTGTGCGACGCATAGCACAGGATACAATGAAACTGAGGAACACCAGAATCGTGGCGGCCAGGACGATGTAGGAGCCCCAGGCCATGTGAGGAACGAAGAGGAGAACATCGATTAGGAAGGCCAACAGGCATACTAGAAAGGTAATGATGCCGAAAATAAATACGGCGCAAAGGTATCGCGACGAATGGGAAGGCGAATGCAGATGAGCAACACAGGCGAGGATGAACATGATCAGGGTGAGCAGGCACGCGACCGGGTGAACGATGAGTATGGCGGATAGCGTTGTTCGTGTGGCTTGTGGAAGATCGAAGGAAGCGGACTGGGTTGCGTCGAATAAATCGGCTGCGAAACTGTCAGTTACCCCGACAAGATAGAGACAACACGTCCACGGGTATGAGGGCGGGAAAATGGCTGCGTACCCGTGTTGTATCCAACCTCTATGGGACTGCACTTATCCCCATCGCAATAGCCAAAGACGCCGAAGCTGACGCTGCCATAGGTGCCCAAAGGGATGGCCTTGATGATAGGGGTCGAGAGAACGGAGATCAGCAGCAGGGCAAATGCTGCAAAGAGCAGGACTGCCAGCGGCGTGGCCGGGCGCAACATGTCGAGGGGTCAGCAGCGCGCCGACTCAAGCGAGTCGCGACGCCGAGGAGAAGCTATATCGTCGAGTCCAAGTCTGGTGGTGCTGCGCTCAAATGCGGCGAAACGTGTGTAAATGTCTTGAGTGGTGGTTACGGTAGACGATTAATGACGGCGGCGACATGTAGTGCGATTGTCATCTTCAAATTGCCAGCTGGCTGGTTTATCGCTCCATCGAAGCAACACTAGTTGGCATTCACGTCGTATGTAATGTTTTCCAGTGGTCGTCGTCGGCTCGTCCCTATTGTGTCCTGACTCAACTGGACTCGACTCGACTCGACTCGACGCGACTCAACTCCCAAATGTCGCTCACGGCGGGCGATTGGATGGTATCCAGAAAACGAGTGACGAAACGGCAATGGAAGTACAGGTCAATGGAGAATGGCGAATCGAAGGTGGCGGACTGGTTACGCTGGCTGTGGCCGTGCCCGTCGTTGTCTCGTGGGAGAGGTGGGAAGACGCAGGTCGTGAAGTCGTCTTGGGGGGGGTGGGAACCAATCGAGACATGGAGAGATTGGGACTGTCAACAGTGCTGCGAATTGAGTTGCAGGCTTGACTCCTTGAGGACACCAATCACAGGTGGGGGGCCTGGACAGTGTCACAGCAGTGGAGGGTCAGACGGGCAGACTCGATGCGACTAACGGGTGCCATGTACTCTCGTACCTCCATGGGCAGGCGTGGCTGAGCACTTTGCGGACCACAGCGATTGGGTGAATAAAGATTGAACACATCGAGCGTTTGGAAAGTAGTGGAGACTTGTGGGCGGCGTGGCCTAGACTCGTAGTCCGCCCGCTGCAGACATCCCTGCAACCCTCGGGTGTGGGGTCTTGTGAACCGGTTTGGAATGGGGCTCTCTGCAACTCTCATCTCTTCTCGTGGGCAGATAACATATCGCATGCACCCGGTGATGCACCACCACTGCCGGTGACGGATTGACGGACAGTCTGCATGACAACCTGCAGGTCGTGACCGAACGCCGCCCGCGCCCTCTCAATCAATCCCGTGCTTCTAACCAACAATCCAACAACTAGCGCCTATCTCTCTCCTACTATGCACAGACATACGTGTACCTCACCCCACTATCTGCAAGTCTCGGTCGTGACGAAACAGACGGGAGTCTCCAAATCGTAGAGACCCCAAAGTTGGAACTTGGAAGTCGATCCCACGCCCATGGCGGGCATCAGGTTCATGTTGTTCACACACATAAACGACTGCGGCGGCCCGGCAAGCCTTCCCGGAGTTGTGGTTCATGATCAGTCCGTCAACATGCCACGAGTTACATTGGATAGATCGATGTCGACACAGGTAGGCTACTGTAGTAGCATGCAGCAATACGCGGCTTGATTCTTCGTCACGCGATTTTAGGCTTGAGACCTTTTACAGTGCTGCGTACCTCCAATCCGATCCCGCCAATGGGAAATAACCACCGGCAAGGCAACCCTGAGACTCGAATTGACCTCGACTCTCCAGTGGGACAACAGAATGTAGCTCTCTGGTCAGCCCGTCTGCCGACTTCAAGCATGCGGCATGTCGTGTCTGAGGTGCATCAGTGGGACCGGTCTCGGCGTCAGGCACGAACAGGGGGTAACTTCAGCCGCTCTTCATCATCATCGGCCACCAAGACGTCAAGATCTATCTGACGGATGTGATATCTACTATACATGTCGTAAGACCACGCCGTGACGAAAGACAACCATCTGCCCTATCCTTGGCTCAAAATACAGCTCATCGCTGCTGCTTGCGTCACGCGTGCGCGTATGACATTATGGCTCTTAGCTCGATCGGCGTAAGCACCGGATCTATGAAGCGTTTCGCATCACAATAAACAAGCATACTGACCAGGCGCTGCTGATGCCTGAGGACAAGGGACAAGGCGCTACTGAAATTATTAAGGTAGGACATGAATGCCGTAGGCCCCGTAGCTAATAATAAGGTAACCTGGTATCGGATCACTGACCTTCAAACATTCACTCCCAGACTGGCAACCCGGATTGCTCTCAGCTGAACTTTGTAAGAGTGAAGATCTGTAGGTCTCAACTTGGGACGATTTCTCTTGTTTGAAGTTCAATAAGTCTGCAGATACACTTTGGCCACCACCTCATCATGTACATGGTCCGGACGTACGTACTTCTTCTCATGCCCATTGCCGAGCATCGCGGGAGACCCGGAGCGCCCCGACAAGCCCAACCATAGGTGTCGAATCGAATAAGGCTTCCTGCTTGAGACCAGAAGGCTTCCAATGCAGTGCCCCATTACTCGTTCCTAGAAACTGGGTCAAATGCGATTGGAGCCTTGACGAGTAGGTAGTTCTTTTGAGCGCAGCACACCTACGTAACACAACAACTCACACCTGAGGATGCGCTTGGTGCATGCTGTATCATATATCTGAAGTGTTGTTGGATGCTTGTCCACTGAATTATGACAGGTCCAGGTACGTTCTGCCAGTTCGCTTGAACAAAGGCAGTCCCGGTTAGAGGACCTAATAACGAATGGATCCTTATGATGATAAGCCGCAGGAGATCAATCGTAGCGGATACAATCAAATAGAAGCAGATCTTCAGATCTGCTCTAATTTCGGGAGCGAAGATAGCTTGGGGCTTCCGAGATGTGTGCGGGTCAGTGATGGCTCCGAGTCCGAGGTTCTAGTTCGGCCCAAATCAACGCCGACGGGACTCGGTGTCACTGCTGACGAAAGCTGGAGGCATCGAATAGCGTCATTGATCCGCAAACCTTCTTTCACCCAATTTTCATCTCACTTCGCCAAACAAAGGATTTCCTTCGCGTACCTCACATCTGCACGACTGATTTTACCGAGAGGTCGGAAGCTTTGCCTTCCACCTCTGAGATTCGCTAGCGCGAAGAGTACTTCCTACGATAAGTAGGACAAACCCTCGGGATGCTTCGCTCTCGGATATCGAGGCTCTGCGCCCGCCAGGCCGCCGCGCCGACGTCATATCGACACAGCAGCGGAACAGCAGCGCGCAAATTCCACGCCATCTCCCACCACTCCTACCCCCTGACCCGCGCCCTCCTCCCACGAATCCGAACGACGAGCAAGAGCCCCCACCGCAGCGTACAGATGCAAACGCCCTTCGAGCCGCTCCGCCCCCCTTCGCCCTCCTCCCTAGGCCAGCCCCAAGCCGCCCGCTCCTACACGCGGACGCGGCGCTGGGGCCGGCGCTTCCTAATATTCGCCAGCATCACCGGCACGATCTACCTGATCGACCGACAGGCCTTCGCGTCGGGCATCGGGCGCTCGCTGCTGACCTTCGGAACGGGGCTCTGGGTCGCGCTGGATTATAAGTTGAACTTCCGCGCCGCACCCATAACGGGCGGCACGATCGAGGACCTGCACCGGCGGTCCGCGGAGCGGCTCTTCGATCTCTTACGCGCGAACGGCGGGCTGTACCTCAAGATCGGGCAGGCGATCGCGATGCAGAGCGCGGTGCTGCCGCCTGAGTTCCAGAAGATGTTCGCGCGCATGTTCGACGATGCGCCGCAGGTCGACTGGGCCGGCGTCGAGAGGGTGATCCGGCAGGACTTTGGCGGCCGCGGGCCCGAGGAGGTGTTTGGGGTGAGCTTCGCCGGCGAGGAGGGCAAGGGACTGATGGAGCGCAGGGCGCGCGCGAGTGCGAGTGTTGCGCAGGTGCATTGGGCGAGGCTGCCGGACGGCCGGGAGGTTGCCGTCAAGATCCAGAAGCCTGAGATTGCGAAGCAGGTCGGTTGGGATCTATGGGCCTTTAAGTGAGTTTCTCCCGTGCGTGGCGCTGGCTAGGCTGCGCGCTGTCTCAGCTGCCCAGCTGCAGTTGTGGTTTTTGCTTTTTCCTCTGGTCAAGCAAGCACTTTATGGACAGGGCTGACGCCGAGAACAGGGTCGTAATGCGCGTGTATACTTGGTGGTTCGACCTACCACTGTATTCCATGGTACCATTCATAACTGAGCGACTCATGCTGGAGACGGACTTCGAGTCCGAAGCGAGAAATTCTGAGGTCATGCGCAAGCTAGTCAACTCGGAACCGAGCCTCAAGGGCCGCGTCTACATACCCCAGGTCTACCCCGAGTTCACAACGAGGCGCGTTCTTGTCACCGAATGGATCGAGGGCGTCCGGCTCTGGGATAAGGGTGCGACGGGCGGACGCTGGCTCGGCGGCCACGGTGCGGGCTCGGTAGGCGTCCACGGTGCCAAGCTGCCGTTCGGCAAGGAGGACTTGAACGCCGCGCGGAGACAACTGCACGAGAACACGTTCAAGGAGAAGCTGAAGCCGGAGCGGGAGGCCTGGAAGGGCCGGAACGGTAAGGGTGGCCTTGGCCTTTCGGGACGTGATGTCATGACTACGATGGTCGACTTGTTCTCGGCGCAGATCTTCAAATGGGGCGTCGTGCATTGTGATCCGCACCCAGGCAATATCTTCATCCGACGTCTACCATCAGGCAAGCCGGAACTGGTACTCATAGATCACGGTCTCTACGTGTACATGTCGCTCAAGTTCCGCCACCAGTACAGCTTATTCTGGAAATCACTGATGACGTTCGACAACGACACGATCGCCGACATCACGGCGCAGTGGGGCATCAAGGCGCCGGACCTGTTCGCGTCGGCGACGCTGATGCGGCCCTACGACGGCGGCGACGGGAGCACCAAGGGCCGCATCACGAAGGAGCTGGAGGGCAAGACTGCGGCGGAGCGGCACTACGAGATGCAGGCGCGCATAAAGCAGGGCATCCGCGAGGTGCTGGCCGACGAGGACAAGTGGCCGCAGGAGCTGGTCTTCATCGGCCGCAACATGCGCATCGTGCAGGGCAACAACCAATTTATGGGCTCGCCCGTTAATCGTATTAAGCTGATGGGCAACTGGGCGTCGCTGAGCCTGGTGCAGGACCCGGACCTGCCGTTCCGCGAGCGTGTGGTATTTGCTTGGAAGCATGTTATCTTTAAGACGGTGCTGCTGGCGACTGATGTGGCGTTCTACACGTACAAGCTTCGCCAATGGCTCGGTTGGGGCGGCGGCATGGAGGACGAGGTCGAGGCGCGGATGCGCGTCATGGCGAAGGACTTTGGTGTTGAGTTGCAGCACGAGGTTTTTGAGGGCTGATTGGGTGCTTTCTTCTTGACTGGTTTGTTGGTGCTGTTGCGCTGCATTGCATATGTAGACAAGAGGGGATCTCGGCTCATGACTTTGTTGTAGATTCATAGATGGATGGGCTAAGACGGCATTGCTGATAGAGTGTAGGATTGGTTGCGGGTAGGCACAGTGACTTTATGATATCCTCTCAGACTAGAATATAATGTCTATAAGCTGGTCTAGAATGACAGTTGCACCACTCATTAGGAGTGTATCACTTGAAGCATCTGAACCTTGGAGAGGTATTGAGACTCTCACTACAAGCAAGGCCGTTTCAGCGGTTGCTATACACATACATACCCACAAGGCCAGAATGAGTATATGCCCTTACTCGATGAATCCTCGAAGCATTGGAATTTACTAGACGTAATTCGATGGCGGGGACGCTTCTGATTGTTGGCTTCGCTGGTAGGTGTTACTAGCATGTGCAAGTGTTCACTTTGATCTTCACATGAGGTCGTCGCGCTGGTCAGAAGTGTGTCAGCCAATCATAGACAACCATGAACAGGACGCGGTATGTAACCCCTTTCCGATATTGCGACTCCAAATGAGGCGCGAGCTGCGGCGCCCATCGTGGACTGTCATTGGTCGCCTGAGATCAGACTTAGAGGCAGAACCGATCTTGTCAGATCGTTTCAAAAGGCAGAACCCGGTCTGATGAAGTCTGAAACGGAGGCTTTTTAGCAGCTGGCTCACGTGCATCATCATCTGCGTGCCTTTTTACGGTGTCCGAAGTCGCACGCCTTCGTAGCGAGAACACGTGAGAGCCGGGCCACCTAGCGCCCATTTGTCGTGAGACCTTCTGAGGCGCTTAGAGCCGTCACTTGTGTGGTATCAGAGGCGCGAGCGGAGTCCAAGGTACCTACAGTTAGCCATTCGTTATGGACGGTGAAGATGAGTTGAGACGATACAAATATGTTATTTGAGTCAAGTTGAGGCAAGAGGTCGCAGCGTCGCCTGATTGGTCGCTGCCGAAAGCGACTCAATTGCCAGAGATGATAGGGCCCAACGCCAGGGGACTGGACGGAATGAGTGGTTTTGACGCCGACCTGCAATTTGAAGGGGTTCAATATTCCAGTTTTCCCAGTCGGTTTGTAGTGCTCTGCTGTTGTCTAGGGAATGCGATTGCATGTTGGCAGGACTCAGGAGGAGCAGCGAGATGCCAGAAAGCGTCAGACCTCTGCGGGGAACGAACGACGCCGCGGCGCGCAACATGCCAGACTTGCCAGCAGCCAGCCAGAGATCTCGCCAGCCAGCCCTGTGCGACACCAGGTCGGGTGTGCACGTGGGAGAGCTGGAATGCCGTTGGGTCCGCGTGGTATTTGCGCGGCCGCCTGCACCTTCGCACAAGCTACTAGCCATGTCGTCCGCCACCACCAGGAGGCGGTTGCCATTCGTAGTCCTGGGCAGTGGAATATGAATATGAAGGACAATATGTGGAAGGGTAGAGAAAGTAAGAAGACTGACGGAGAGCCAGAGGTGTCGAATATTTACCTGAGAAAAGCTCAGACGACCAGGCAGCCTAAGGTATTAGGATGTATAGAAAATGGACCTACATTTTTTAATAATTTTATTGGTGGAAGCGTAATAGGCTGCCTGGCAGTCTAAGGGGTAATTATTCGAACATGGCTTATATATAGCCCTTGATACTTAAAGCTGCCACTTGTTATGAAACTATTATTAGATTTATAACCTTTAAAGCTACTATGTAATATATACGTATATTAACAGCGTTATTAATCAATAGCTACGCTTTTAATTTATATATCATATTATATTAGAACTTGATACGGTTTAATATTATTAGTGATATTTCTAAAACTTATTAAAATATAATTTATATATATTAAAACTGATATATATACAAAAATATAAGATTGATTATGTTTAAAAGATAAAACTATCGCTTTAAATAAACTAATTAAATAATTCAAACTATAAAATTATTATTTTTGTCACGATTCTGTAAATGTATTGCAAGGATACAGGGACCCTTATTAACTATTGACGTATAACAAACTCTGGTTGAAGGAAAATAATGATCTGGAGATGCACCTGAATTGGTGGGCAGCTAGATGTGGGCAGACGTCTCCCACCAAACCCACCAAGGTATGGATCAACCTATCGTTCAATCAGTCACGTGCTCAGTCACGTGACCCGGGGACCATAAGACCATCGCTAGACCTGATAGATAGTAGAACTATCACATTTATCGCGTTTATTTATTATAATTATAAAAAAGCCGGCGACTATATAAACTAAGTAACTTTTATTTTATATAGGAACCGATACATATAAAGCTACTTTCAAATAAAAATATTATAATCCTTCTTTTAAACTGGCAATAAAGTACCTATACTACCTAGATATAGTTACCAAGTACTTAAAGTATAGCGCGTAGCCGAAAGCCCCGGACGGGACACGCCGACGCCCCTGCGGGGCGTTGTTTAAGGGAGGTCACTGCGTTTTATAGAGGCAATCGAATATGAAGAATGAACCAAAAGGCAGTGAAGGCCCCTGGTCCAGAGATGGCCTTCGGAGCATTTTATTGTTATGCCCGAAATCAGCAGTTACATGGGGCATGTAGTGGATGTCTCAAGTGCACCCAAAACCCGCTAACACTAGCGTGACTGGCCTCCAGGCTTGTGGGGGAATAAGAAATCCAATGCTTGGCGGCCAGGCTAAGCCTACCTAGGTAGTCGGGTCGATCCGTGAGCATCAAAGTGGGAGAGTGGATGTCCAGTGTCGATCCACGCGACCCCTATTGGCAATTTGGGACCGTACCTGTAGATACGAACCAAACACGCCAGACACCAGAGACTTCAGCATCTCATCTGGTCGCGTCGTCTATCGTATGCGGAGTCAGTCAACTTTCAAGCAATCAGTCACTGAATCTCCTTCCGCTTCTTTTCTTGACGCCGGCGTGCGCTTCGACTTCCGCGGTTCCCCTTCACTCCAGCCGTCCGTCAATCTACGGGCCGTGGTCTTCTCTATCGGAAACGTCCAGCTCGCACAGCAGGAGCCGGATTTCTTTTCATGCAGCAGCATCACACAGTGCCCTCATTTCCGAGTCTGCCCAACTTTGACGATTCCCGATCCTGTCAGCCTGTATTTGCGCAGCCAACCCAAGACCACGTCTAAGACCTGTCTCGACGACACCCGCAAACGTTTTACAGTTTACTTCGCCCCGAACTCTAACTTCACCTCAACTCGAGTCAGCCCTGTCTCGCTGTCGTTCTCTTCAGAAACCCAAGGTTGGTGGCCCTCTGCTTTTCTTCAACGTCGTCTCGTTGCTGTGCGCCGTGAGATACACTCGTTTGTACTGCCATGTTCCCGGGATGGACGGGATGGACCGCCCATTCTGCCTTCATTTGCGACAACTACCTAGTCGCGAATCACTGTTACACTACTATGCAGACTATCGACTGGAGGCATCACCCTTCATGTCCCCATCGGTCTAGTACTTGCTTCCAGACCGTAGCGCTCGTCCACTACCACAAGTTACCTCTGGGGTGCCCATCACCACACCACCAGTGCCGATCGAAGAGGGAGAGGGGACCAGAGGAGCTTGCTTGACCTGGTAGAATGATATGCACGAATACCATCCCGACAACTTGCTTCACGCTACCCTTTGTTTACCTTTCTTGCGATGTGACGAGTCTCTCGGCAGTGAGCGCTGACAATTGAAACCTTGAACAGTCTGGTCCGATTCACCGAAGCTTGTTTCGCTTGCCATTGTTCTCTATTGCGTATCCGGAATCATCTGACAATACGAAGACCCGAAACCTACCTTGGCCAAAGTGCAAGAAAGGCATAGACGCACCAGCCAGAAGACGCGCGCCGGAACCCAATCGCCTGTTTAGCGCCTGCCACCAACAGTTCCAAAGGCGATTTCGCCGTCGAAGCCGAATAATCCCCTGATTGATTAGAAGGGACGCAAGTACGCCGCACCGATAGAGAAGTTGTTGGCGAGAACAAGAGAACAAAGGAACGAGCGCAGTGTGGCAACCGGGACGCCCCTCCAACCGCAAACCTTCATGCTGCGTTGAACACCTAAGGTAGAAGCCCTCCTTGCAGCGCGCATTCCATCATCGTCATCGTTCCAAGGCGATACTTCCTGCTCAGCTCCCACCGACATACGCGATCCTCGCCTGCCGCCGTAGGGCCCCTCCAACGCAGCTGCTAAGCCTGACGTTCACCAACTCATGCTTGCGCGGAACAAAGAATGAGTCAACCGCCGAGACGCTCTAGCTTCGGGATGTTGCTTCGTCGCAGTAAGTCTGGCGACCTGGGCAAGGGGGGAAGGAAGCAGCAGAGAGACCAGCATAGAGAGCCCGTCCCTAAATCCCCCCCTCGCTTGCCCGCCCTCTACAATGGTGCTCAACCTCAACCACTACAGAGCTTTGGAGGCGACAACAGACCCGACTCCCTCGCCATTGTTTCTGGCACTGCCGACCACTCCTTTCACCGCTACCCACCTCGTGCCTCCATCGACCCCGAACGTCCCTCAATGTCTTCCAGCGTCGCCAACCCACCCGTGCCGCCTATTCCCAGCGGCAACTGGGTCGATCCCTACGCTCGCACCGAGAGCATGACGCACCGTGGCCGCTACAGCTATGCGAGCAGTGCCATCAGCACCATCAACAGCCCTAGAAGGGTTCGTAGGAGGAAGGACCCCACACCTTTCAAGTAAGCCGGCTCACTCCATCCTTGCACCGAGTGACCATGCTAACTGTTGCGTCCATAGCATCCTGATCATTGGCACCAATGGGTCTGGAAAGACCTCATTCCTGGAATTCCTCAAGACGTCCCTGGCTCTGCCGGCCAAGAAGAAGTCCCAGCGGACGACTGAAATCGAACAGGAAGTCGCCAGAGCAACCCCCTCGGGCAACTTCATACCACACTACCTGGAGAGCGAGATGGATGGCGAGCGTGTCGGCCTGACACTCTGGGACTCGGAGGGCCTCGTGAAGAACATGGTGGACCTCCAGCTTCGAGAGATGTCGTCTTTTGTGGAAAGCAAGTTCGAGGAGACGTTTGCCGAAGAAAGGAAGGTGATTCGATCGCCGGGCGTTCAGGATACGCACATCCATGCAGTCTTCCTTGTCCTCGATCCAGCTCGTCTCGACCGGAACATTGCCGCTGCAAAGAGCTCTTCTGCTAATGGCCACCACGGAAGACATGCGCAAGACCTTGGACGTATTATAGGTGGCCTAGATGAAGACCTGGACCTGCAGGTCATGCGCACACTGCAAGGCAAAACCACGGTCATCCCGGTCATTTCCAAGGCTGATACCATCACTACTGCTCACATGGCCGTCCTCAAGAAGACTGTCTGGTCCAGCCTTAAGAAGGCAAATTTCGATCCCCTTGAGGCGCTGGGCCTAGACGATGACGACGACGATGCTACGCCGGATTCTAGCAGGATCGACGAAGCTGAGGAGGGTGACGAGAACGACGAGGCAGTCGAGTCGGACGCAGAGGAAGAGAAGTTGGCAAAGTCGACTGACGCTTCCGACGATGCCGACGCTAGTCCCGAAGATGAAGATCTGCCAATTCAGGGCCGGACGTCCGCAAGCACAAAGCGTAAATCGAATAACTCTGTCCGCCGGCCGAAGCCATCCGAGGAGGATGAAAGCGACGAACTCCCAATCCTTCCCATGTCCATCATCAGCCCTGACCTCTACGAACCGGCTGTCATTGGCCGCAAATTCCCCTGGGGTTTCGCAGATCCGTACGATCCGGAGCACTGCGACTTCACCCGGCTGCGGGAGGCTGTGTTTAGTGAATGGCGCGGTGAACTACGCGTGGCCAGCAAAGAACAGTGGTACGAGGGTTGGAGAACCAGTCGTCTCAAGCACCGGGAGCCTTCGACTCGACGTCGATAGAAACGACCCGAGGGGACCCATCAGACCGTTTTCTGAGACACGAAACGTCATTCCGCATGTCTAGCGATTTTCCTTTGATTCACTGTGTTCCGCGGCCACCGCAGCAATACCCCGATTCCTTTTCTCTGCATCCCATGTTCTACATGTACCACGACTCTTCTTTTCTCCCCTGGCGGACAATTACAGGAAGCAGAACCTTCACAGGCGTCAGATCTCGGTTCGGGCTACTACAAAATTTCACGCGGGTCAGTTGACTACATAGCACGACTCGGTCTTCTCCAAAAAGGACTCCAGACGATGCTATTGTATTCATATCATGCCCTATCTAGGAGGAGTCACTTGCCAGTCCCTCCCTCTCACCGGCACCGGCGGGCGATGAAGAAATATGGCTCCCACTCTACTTCTAATGCTCACGCACAGCACAGCACGGCACATCCTTTTGTCTCGTCTTACTACACACAAATGTTAGGAATCTTGTTTTCTCTGCCTCTGTTCTATTGTGTGCTTGTTTTCGCTTTCAACTGCTTTCCGGATATTCCCCGACAACGCATGGCGGGCTTGATACCATTACTCCAACAGCATCGGGTTCATGGACGAACACCCGCTCGTGGAGAAGTTTTGTTTTGGCATGCTGGTAGAAAGACGAGAAAAGGGACGCGGGTGTGTGTATCGATCCGCGACCAATCTCGTGTTTTCACTACTCTACTTCTCCCATCGAACCTCATAAGCGGGGCTGAAGATGACAGGAAGGGAGATGATGGAGGGAGGATGACTAAGATACTGCACTTGTTCAATTGATCAATCAATCAATCAGTTATGAAAACAATGAAGCATGTTCGGTGATGGTGACCCAAAGTTGAGAAGATGAGGGACCGTAGACCCAGCCTGAGTTGTGGGCTTGATGTATGTGTACATTGCGTGAGTTGATTGACATCAATGAAATGGAAAGGGAAGGGAAGGGAAGAGCTCCCACCTTCGGCACCGTATGCTTGCGTCCATGTCCCTTTCACCCCTGTTCCGCCCGCATCCCTGACATCCATGGTTCCAGAATACACGAGACATATGCATATGGTGTCAACCTACGAAGAAACGGAAACACCTTCCCCTACTTCGAACTACAATCTAGCGAGTGGCAAGCAGTAAGGAGTAAGGAGTCGGAGGATATGTGATGTTACGTGTCTACATCAAGTCAGCGATATCGGTACATGTATACTAGCACAAATATGTTTCTACCATTCGTTCTGACATATCAAACTTCGCATGGGATGGATGGACACAGGCAAGCCGCTACCTTATATATCCTGCTTGCCGTCTACTAGGCCGGTTGGTAGAGAGCGAACATGAGAATAGCTCGGTTCTGGGCTGTATGGCAGCTTCCATTGCCGTCACTTTCGGACCGGAAAGAAGTTCGCCGCCGCGGTACAGCTACTGCCAAACATCAATGATGGGATGGGTTCCGACGACTATTCAGCCGAATGAGGCAGGTATTGGTACGAGCATCGCGCCCAATAGTTCGTCAGTAGAGCGCAACGAGTGATCATCTTTCACGCATGTGTGGCAAACTGGCATATAATAGGAATAACGAAATGGAAATTAGGGGTGTCGTAAGGCGTAGACCGAGCCCACCGAACGCAAGCAAGCCATATGGGCATTCTCCTTTTTCTTAGTGTACAGATGTGCAAAGTCCCGGATCTCCTGACTGTGTATCGCGATGTATGGATGTGAGTTTCCAACCTCAGTGCCAGAGTGAAACATACGAGACCCCCTTGGCGGGGGTGGAGAGCCAGCAGAAGGGAGACTCATATTCATCCTGGAGCTCTCGACGTTGTTGTCCAGAAGCAAGTCGCAATGCAATCAATCATCCTAACATTCGGACCTTTCACGAGGTAGTCGACTGCCATAAGAAGGACGCCTGGCCGTACTTGGGCAACGTCTGATCCAAAGCAACAATATTGTCTCGTCGAGTAAGGTAGGCCGGCTTCAATTCGGGTAGAATTCCCACGGCACGCTGCACAGATATCCGTGTCACTCCATGACTTCTACCTGGTCAGCCGGCTGCTAGTGACAAATAAAGAGCGAGAAGACTTACGTTGGTCAGTATTGCGGACTTCGGTGTTGTTGAACAAGGATGCAAAATCACTGGTTCAGTTTTTCATTGCTGAACCGGAGAAATTCGGGAATAGGCATCCAGGCCAGTCTGAGGAAACAGTAAAGCTCTTTGGGCTGACCGTGTCCATAGCCACAGGTTGGAGACCGCTTCTCCCTAGAGAAATGATCGTGTTCTTCAGTAACTTGCTCTCGCGGCAACTGACGATCTTGATGGTAGGCAATAGATTCGGGAATGTACGCAACCGTCACACCCCTGCACGAGAACAGACGACCGTGCATTGTTGTACTCGCACTGCAAGAGACCTCGTTGGAGTGAGACAGGACGCGTCCTCGCTCTTAGAAGATGACCAGAGAAAGTGATATCGCTCGAGGTAGATGGTTCGTCGGTCGAGACAATGGTCACCTAACGGTGGGCAATGCGCCTTGATCCAAAGGTCACAACCAGAAATTCCCACTGTGACTGCATGTCCCAAAGGTATATGACATCCATCCGTCTAACGGAGATCCCCGAACTTGGGAAGGGTGGAGTAAGGCGAGAACTCGGGATGGTTGACCAGAGTCTGGAATGCCATGGAAAGAAGGGGGGCAGCATGCTCGCAAGTAGGCATCGCCATCGCATCCTCGATGGTCATATGGCGATTAACGACCTTTCCCTGGCTTTTCTCGGGCTCCTCGTATGTGCTGCCAAGAGCGCGAGCGACATCACGACGGTTCCTTTCCGAGACTGCCAAGCTGAACGACTTGTTGATCATGTCGTTGCCGCTGTAGAAATCGCGCTCAATCTTAGCCTGACGGGCTGCCCATACCTCAGGTCTTTGCTGGATCCAGAACTTGTCCTCTACCGGATAGTCCAGTTGCCAGTTCGGATCGAGCGGCTTCGTGTTGTCATTGAAGTCAGGAGGCATACCTTTGGGGTAGAATCGCTTGGCCTGCTCACGGGTGAGCGTGTCGTGGAGCTTGGGATGGGTCTTGTCTGCGTCCAGCGCGCCCTGCATAGGGAGAGTGCTCTCGCTCTTCGCTGTTGGGCTGGGCTGACGGGCAGCTGCTAGCGCAGTGTCCTGCAGTCTCAGACCGGCCATGTAGGGGTTCTCCATAGGACCTTTGGTCTCCAACTCGGGAACCTGTAGGCTATTCCGAAAGGTGCTGTGGCTGATAGCTGACTCGAGGGCAGTTGGCTTGTAGTTTCGAGTTCCAGGAGGACCTGCAGTCAGGGGGGCCGGCGCACCAGGCCCAGTAGACAAGACAGTACCATAGGTAGGATCTCTATAGAAGTTGGCCCAGGGTATGGCTTCAGGCTGGGGTCTGGTCGATCGCCGGGGGTCACCATACTCGTCGATGCTATCCGACTGCAGCAGACCACGCATAGCGACAGGGTCAGATCGGGCGCCTCGCAGGATACCTTGCAGTGCTCTCTGTTCCTTGGGAGGTTCGGCGGCTTGCTGGAAGCGGTATGTTGCGAGTTGGCTGGGCGAACCTAAGGCGTTGACCGGGGCGGGTTGGAAACGATGCATCGAGAGCACCTTCTGAGCAGTCTTCTGCATTGGGTTCGGGTAGGAGGCTAGGTTGGTCACGCTTTTTATGTTCATGCCACCCATCTGCTTCAAGTTGACGTCGTTGTCGCTGTCCTCTTCACCGTCTGCGGGCATGTTTGCGCCGTCGTGCTTGTCGGAGAGCCCATCTGCGTCAGCGGCTGCTTCAACGGAGTGTGCAGACAGCATGTTGGACGTGTGAAGGCCGAAGCTCTGGATTAGGCCTGTCTGGTCGTCGGAGAAGGAAGTGGTGGCGGAGAGGCTGTTGGGACGGTGGGCGTTGGGGCTCACGGCACGGTCGAAATTCTGCTGCAGCGGTGAATACTGATGGACGGCCGAGGGAGACTCGTTCTTGTAGGGGTAAAGCGACTTGACAGTACGACCGCGGCGAGTGGGAGGCTGCAGAGGCTGTGGCTGCGAACGGTAGATGGAGCCGACGGTGGTGTACTGCGGTTGCGACCGGGACTCCTGGTGCCGCTCCTGGTGCTGGAGCGCACCTAGCTCGCTGTCACTGTAATCCATAGTACCTGACAACTTGGGAAATCGAGTAATGCGGCGGTCGGCGACAATTTCAGGATTGTCGAGACGGAATATGCGAGTGACAGGGAGAAAGAAAGAGAAGGGGGTGCAGAGGCTGAGGGAGAGGACGTCAAAGGCGAGGGACGATGGGCCTCAGGGCAACCAATGGCCAGGCGCAGATACGGACGGCGTGCCTTGGCTTGACGAAGAGAAAAAGAGGAAGTTGAGAGTCGAAAGATGAAAGATGAAAGTCGGAAGCAGCAGGTACAGCTACCTCAGGCGCGAAAATGAGGTGTCGAAGCTTCCTCCACTGCGAATCACTCAATGTCAGCTGGCGCCTTCCCTCACACTCCGGCTTCCACTTGCACTTCCACTTCTGCACTCCTGCCTCGAGAGCACTGGGTAAGGTAGACAGACTGAAGTGGCGTTGGCCCGTGGATGGTGCATGGTGCATGTGATAGGTGGCGGTGAGCAACCCAAAGAAGGTGCACGGTGACGGTGGATTGTTCAAATGTTTGCTTCCATTGCTTGCTTTACCACTCACCTGTTCGACGTCTCTTTTTGGAGTTTGATGTTTTCTTGTACTAAATTCGAACTGGTCTAGTATTCGTTCACGTGCAAGTAGGTACACTCAGCCGTCATAAGTCTCCGTACGCGCATGTGCATGTTGGCAAGCTGGAATAAGCATACAAGAATAAGCAGCTTCAGTTTAATATACTGTTTTCGCCGCTTATTCCAGTGCGCTTATTCCAATTTGATGATGGAAAGGTGGTGTACGGCTTACCTCTGACACACAGGACTCTGGCATGGGCTTGTCACCCTGGACGTGCTTAAACTCGGCGTACCCAAGGGTACTGCTGAGAGTAGAGATCACGCTCGAGAGTCTTGTAATCCTCGTTCGCGATCAATTTGGGCATGACTACCTCCAATCCGCAGTGGCGTATCAGGTGTTCGTTGAGCCAAAAGGCCGCCAGGTACGGACCTCCCGGCCTTGAATCGATAATCAGTCTACTGTTCGTTGCCCAAGGCGCATTATGACTTACACATGACCAGGGTGGTACTGCTGCCATTGGCAGACGATCTCGGTCATGGCCTCCATCATGGTGTTGCCATTGTCCCTGTTCTCATCGGCAAAGAGATTGTGATCGGTCAGCGGTCCAGGCTGCCCAGGGGCCTGCTGTCCGGCCACCCGAGCAGCCCTTCGCCGCTCTTGCTCTTGCAACTTGAGCCGCTTCCCAAGCTTGTGGAAGCGGGTGTCGGCCCTGTTATAGGCCAAGTCCATCTCTCGCTCCGTGATGTGCGGAGGGCAAGGAGACCAAAAACGCTTGAACTTCAGGCGCTGTTCCATTGTCGCTGCTTTTGTCAAGAATATTCACGTTATTAGATGGACTCAAAACCAGCACCGCCAGGAAACAACAGTCGGCGACAGAAAGAGTGATAAAAGCGGCCAAAATAATGACACAGGCCAACAACAACGACAAAATAAGTCGATTGCTTACCTTGGCCGGAGAGAATTGGGGTTTGGAGTGGTAGGGTCGGGATCGTAGGCTGAAGACGTGGCGTGCTTGTGCTGCGTTGTGGTCGGGCAAGGGTAAAACTCCAGAAACTGTCGTGACACACGGAACAGCGGGCCTCAGGGCAGAGATGGGCAGACACCAAGTAAAATTCTTTCCATGGCCCCACGCTGGTTCCGCTGCCGATCGCCAGCGGCTGTCAACCCCCAAACCGACCGCAAACGGCTGTGTGAGCCACGCCCATGAACCTGTCGACCGCTGACGACTGGCAAGATGTTCAGACCCGCCCCTCGCCCGATCCAAGGAGTCCAAACCTGCCAAACTGGCCCCCGTGATGAATGGGCTCCGTCCATCCTTGCGAGCACTCCTGCGGGATCAACCTCAGGGGTCATAACACGAAATCACACACATGATCCCCAGACAAAGAACGAATGCCACGAGCGACCATTCTCGAGGTTTCCCATGGTGAAAGCGAATCCCGAATCCCTCAGTTACAATAACGCAGACACCAACGTCGAGACCGGCAGGACGGGTGCCAGAAACTGCTACCAATACTGGGCCCAGTTCCCAGTGAGATTAGACGCGCTGTCTGGGGCGGTGATGATGCCTCTTATGATGACCTCAATGGTTGTGGCTTCGATGCATGCGCTGCTGCAGCTGTCCATACAACTGTCGATCCAGTCGTCAATCCAGCTCTTGACCCAGCTGTCGATCCAGTCATCGACCCAGCTGTTGGTCCAGATGTCGATGACTCGTTGCACTCGAATGGAAAGCATCCATGAGGGAAGTCAAGTGATGGGCCAGCCAGCAGAGCGCTCCAAAGTCGAGGATATCGATATCGCTCGTAAGCACCAGTCAACCATCGTTCAGTCTCCTCTGCATCTCCAGGTTTCGGGAAAGTCAAGAAGTCGCATCTTGCAGGTATGTATGCCAAATCATGGTAATCCATGCTTCAGCCCCTGAAGGCCACGCCGAAATCGATACACACAAGTATGCCAAAGCATGGCAGTCATCGGGTTTTCGGCTTTCCTGACGTTGCCATAGTAAACCATTTCAACGTCCGAAGTCTATGAACCGAATGCGGCCTTTGGGACAAGCAGGTGATGATACGAAGCTTTGGAAGGGGGAGGAAATGTTGTCTGGAAAAGAAGTCTTATCCAGAAAAAGGGGAGCCAAGAGCAGGATCTTCCACTCGGGAAGGCCGTCCTCCTCCAGCGAGATCCTTCCGCTGATGTTTTCGAGAAGCCAATGCGCGAACATCTGTCGCAAACCAGCAGCGGAGTCCAGGGCTTCGACGTGGACATGAATGTCCACTCCATCGACGCAGAAGATGACCACGGGTTCACACGACCATCCAAGGGATATCTGACGAAGGTGCCGCTGCTGTCTCTGGAGACTGCCACCCCAGTCTACCACAGCGCCTAGTATCCTTTCCAAGGATTGAGGCACTTCGGGAAATCTTGCTCCCGTTCCGTCATGTGCGCCACGGGCGTCAAGGGTATCCACACGAACACCCGAAAGATGATGCGTGGAGCAACTCTTTTCTGATTTAGAAACTGCCAGGAATGCCACCAGATCGCCGGCGACTACTCGCTTCGCGCCGGACTCCAAGCGTGCTCTTCCCAGTATGTAGTGGACAACCTGGATTCTTGCCCATATCCGGAAACATCCTCGTAACCCGAGAGCGTATCAAGGTGTCTCGCGAAACTTCACGATCAGCTTGGCCTTGCGATCAGATCCTTGGTACGAAGCCGTCACCGGCAGCAGAGCCACCACTGGTCTGAAACTCGGCGACCTCCTTTTTGATGTGGGCGACCTGGTGGCGAAGGTAAGGGGCTTGGCGGTCGTTGGTCCATTAGCCTGGTACAAGTCGTCTTCAGACGATGAAGCCAACGGCTCCGCGTCGTTGTGTTGCTGGTCATCTTCTTGAAGAACGACCTGGCCTTTCGGAGGACGGTAGCAGGTCGTCCAGCGGGATCGCTGATGAATGCGATGTTGCATATTTCGGCTGGCGAAGATGAAGAACCTGGTGCTGGCTGACTGAAGGCACAGCAGGTACACTTCGGTCTTGACTACGCCAGCGACATCATCATCGTCTTTGTCATCTTCATCTTCGTCGATGTTGTCGTGGGGTGTTGACGGCGGCGGCTGCTATCAGACAGGCTGGCATCTTCTTGTCGCAGCCGGACAACAGGAAATGGGAGGCACGGTGCAAGTGCCAGGTGACCTCGTTCCTGCCAATTGGGAATGGAAAAAGACAACGTATCTTAATACGTATTGGGCACGCAAAGCTTTGCGTTGGAGAGGAGGTTCTGTCTGGAAAGAAGTTCTTGTGCAGAAGGGCAGAGAGCACGACTTCTCCCATCCAAGCTTCGTATCCTGGATACGTATAAGGCATGGGTACGTATGAAGAACCCCTACCAGAGTCGCATCAGATGGCGTTCAAGCCTCTTGGTCTTCACCTGTGAGGCCCCGCCGCAACATCAGTTCGGAAAGCGGCACGCGAACGGTGCTCCCTCTGGTGCTCCGGCAGCCTCACGTGCGACATTGTTGTGCTGCATGATGTGGGCTCGCATCTCGGCCTCGGTGGTGGTCGTGGTGGCACAACTGCCCCAGTGGCGGAGTTTCAAGCGAGGGCAGCCGTCGGTCGGTCCTCTTCGTGAGACTTCGTCTGCTTCCTCCTAAAAACCTCCGGCTAGGCCTTTCACCAGCCGCGTGAAGTTGTGCCATCTGACACAATGCTCGGCGATTCGCCCCCTCGAGTCAGCCAGACAGCAGCAGAGCGTACTCAGGGTCTTGGACACTCCTACATCCAGCTGGCCAGGCTCAGGGCGGAGGCACGTAGCTTGAGGCCTGTGGCTTCGGGTACTGGTTGATAGGTCGTTCGAAAAGCTGCCGAAATCGAATCATGTCGGTACCAGCTTGTCCGTTGGATGGAGCCATTGCAAGCCCAGCACCCGCAACCCCCTGAGCGATTGCAAGCCCAGCATACGTAACTCCCAGTGCACCTTGGGGACCGGCGTCAACCTGAGAGCCCGAGCCGTTGGAGGGATGCTGCTTTCCTTGAAGTCCTTGGGGCAGGTCTTTTAAGGCTAGATTGGCTCGGAATGTTGCACCGAGCTTCTGTCGAAGGCTCGTTAGGTCAGCGTCGGTGGCTGCATCTTCTTTTCCATTTGCATCTAGATGACCGTAAGATGTCGTTTTCTCGAGTGAGAAGACTAACTCTCTGCTGAAGCTGCGAATGATCCTTCTCGATTGTGATCAGTCTTCCTGACTGCTCAGGCTCTGCCACTTGATAAAATGGACGAGTTTTCTTTAGCTCATCAATCTCCCTCGAGAGAGACTCGTCCGGTGATATCCTCCAGAAGATGATGGGCGAACATCTGGCGTAACCAGCAGCGGAATCCAGGGGCCCCAACTTGGACATTTATGACCATTCCTTCAAGACCAAAGACGACTAGCGGCCATGGCTGAACCCTATGAACCTTCTCCCTGAACCTCAACGCCACTGAGGTACGGGAGTCCGTATGCCATGAGATTATATCAATGGCTTAATTGTTACGTATGATTAACGTCCCCGTCGGGACGGCCGAGAAAGTAAGGTCCACGACTCGAAAGCGAAGGACTTTATTATCCCAACAGACTTGCGAGATGGAAATTTGTCCGGGTGCCAAGGACGAATTTGTTGACTTCATGACAAGGTCGCCAACGAGATCAAGTATTTGGGGCTACGATCGTTTCGGCGCTCGACGACTCCACCGCCACCCCATAGGGTAGGTTATCACAATGTGCTTGATCATATCCGGGCTGCGTTTGCAATTTCTGATAGTTGGCTGGGGCTTCGCGCTACCCATCATGACAAGGCTCTTCTGACTGCAGTAGGGGGGCCGTTTCGGGTCGGTCTTAGGGTACTTGATACCGAGCTTCATCATGCGCTTGCTAATAGGGTTGGTGAACGCCCCGGGCTGCGCAGGCGCACTAGGGGAGCCCGCTCGTGTGTCAACTCAGTCGCAGCAGCGACCTTGCGCAGGATCTTCTCCGGAACCGACTCAGTTCCAGCCTACGTTGGGATGCATGTGGTCGACTGTGGAACCTCTTCTCGCAGCCTCTGCTCCAAGGTCTGCCACTGATCGATGCTCGGAAAATACCAACTTCGCGGCCGAAGGTTGCCACCCGCAGCAGTCGTCGGCATTGTATCGACCAAGTTAAGGGCGTTCTTGAGCAAATTATGTTGAGCGTCGTTCTGAGAATCGCAGGCTCGACCTCATTCTTGTTGACCGTCTCCCAAACGTCATTGAGTGACCCTTTGGAGGCAGCAAGTTTTCCGCGGTAGTGATCGAGGGGTGGATTCACGCTGAACTCGTTATAGGTGCTTTCATGTCTGGAGTGAAGACCAGCAGAGACAGAGAAGTCTGCCTTGAGACTGACGGACAATGCTCTTGCGCATGCGTATTTGCAAGTCGATGTGATCATAACAAGCAGAGCTGGTGTCGATGAACAGGAATGCAACCGAGGTGTTGCTTAGACCTAGGCCACCTGTTACGCAAGGGAACTAGTGAGAATGACAGGTCGCCGATAGTCTCTCCGTTGGTTCCCACATGAACGTGTCCATGCGGCGCAAAGAAGACCGTCGCAGCTGACGGACATCCCCTGATCTCCGTTTGGGAATATGTGATTAGGAAGACTCGCTCTAGCGTCCGCAGCCGCGGTCTAGCTGTCTTCGAACAGCCCTCGAGGTATCACTTCGACCCTTAAACTTCGTCCCCTTGATGAAAGTCGGTCCTAATACCTTCAAACCGCATCGAGGCGTTGTGATTGCGGATAGCAACGACATCGTCAGAACGCATCATCGACGAAGTATACATGTTCGCGAGCTCCAAAGCGCGGACGTAAACGATTGACATATACTCGTCATGGTCGGACAGTGAAGCAACAACGAGGTGCTGCTGAGGTCCGACCTGTCGGTTGTCGGATTAACGGTCACGTTTGATGTCGGTACTCAGTTCAGACGCCCACAGGATCGCCGACATGTTCTATGAACCACAGACCTTAAGAACGGCAGCTAATGAGCCAGCGATTCACAGCCGCGAGCTGGAGGTTCTCCCACTCGGCCAAGCTGGGCAGGAACTCGTGCGTCCAGAATGCCTGGTCATTCCACCATACACGATCACCATCGTCATTAACTTGGTGGAGCAGACAACAACACCCTTCGACATAGCCCAGCGTGCAACAATACGAAGCTAGACGTATGCTGTTCAGAAAAGAAGTCTTATCCCGAAGGGCAGCGAGGAAGTCGTCGCCTCCGCCATATCGCAAGTCTTCAGCGTACATGCAGACCGCAAACATCTGACAGTAAGCTCGCTGGGCTCTGTGTTTGGTGTCCTGAGCCTCTTCAACGACTGTGCCCGGAGACTCATTGGCAGTGGAACGGATGGGTTGCATGCGATTTACTCTTAAGATCTGTGATTCATGATAAAGACGGGCACACGAAGGTGGCGCAATGAGTAGACTTGCTCGTGCTGGCCAGCCGTGGATACGTCTCTTCGAACAGTCTGGTGTTCATTCCCTGATGATCAGCACGACAGGCGGTTTCTTGGGTTTTCTTTTGATATTATCCAATGCCGCTTGATCAAGAACCATTTCATTCTATACCAAGCAGGTTTGCCGTCCACCCTCTCTTGACGCACTGCCGAGCGGCATCGATGGTAGGCTTGTTGATCTTCTTGATGTCGCAGGTAACATCCACGGCCGTCGCCGGTGCGAGCAGCTCCTTGTCCATGGTACCATTACCAACCGCCTCGGTACTAGCCCCGCCGGTCCAGCATCATTGTCCACCTGGCTGAGGTGGGCGAACACGGCCCAGCTATCCAATGTGTATCCGTGGGCCGACTCTGTCGGATCAGCCCGCCGGTGCCTCTCCTTGAAGACTTCAGGGGTTCCAAAGATGGCGGACCGTCGTCCACGACGTTGATCACTAGCTTTTCGACTCTCTCCGTCTCAAGCGGGACAGTCGCGACGAAACCCCCATGTTCGCTCAAGAGCCTGCATATGGTCTGCAGCGGGTTTGAGATGGTACTCCCAGCCTTGCCGTTACTTGCGCCGGCATCCTCTGCTCCTCGCTCGTATATCCCTTGATGGCGCACTCGAGCACGAAGTTATATCCTCACGGAAGCACTTGGTACGTATATTTAACGTCCCCGTCGGGACTTCGTACGCGATAAGTCATGATGGGGGTAATTGCAATAATATTACTATGAAACGTATGTTTAACGTCCCCGCCGGGACGGCCGTACGCGATGACTCCCCAGTGGGGGTTGTTGCGGTAGTGCTACTTTTCATCAGTGGTGAACAGACATAAAGAGATGGGGCGGGATTGTCAACTTACCGCGAAACTTCCTGCCCAGAATGACGGTCTCGAATGCTTGACTTGGACGTTGGCTTCATCCGAACCATCGATCTTGACTTGCACGTTTTCGTTCATCGTGGAATTGAAAACGGTTCGGATGAAGCCAACGTCCAAGTCAAGATTATCCCAGCTCGCCTCACGTATCCAGCTTATGTCCGTCCTCGTCCCTATCTTGCTTTCGTTTTCGCCGGTGCTGGCTAGCCTTCGGCTCTTCCTCTTCCCTCAAAAGCCTGCAGGTGTCTACCAACCTGGCTAGTCCTTCGTTGTCAACTCTGCCGATAGAATCGGTTGAGTGATCCATCCAGCAAACTATCCCATCATGTAGATATGTCTGCTATGGAACGTATGTTTAACGTCCCCGTCGGGACGCACATGGGTGATGATTCCCCAGCGGGAATTGTTGCGGTAGTGCTACTTCTGTATCAGTGGTGAACAAGCGGAAAGAGATGGACGGGATTGTCAACTTACAGCAACGATATCGCGTCCCGGGTCGAACTTCTCGAATGATCTTGACCTGCACATTTTCGTTCATCGTCGAAGTGAAAACGGTTCGTATGAACCCCTCATCCATCCATCCAGCAAGCTCTCCCATCCTGTAGCTATGTTAGGTACTAAATACTGCATGCATAGTGAGGTGGATGAGGTAGGATGAATCTTACCACCGCGTCTGGCGGGCAGAATCGCCGGTGTACGATTACTCATGTCGCCACCAGCTTGTCCGTTGGAAGGAGACGCAGTGCAAAGAGACTCACGAAGTCATCTGGGTCCGTGTGCACTTTCTCGTCATTGGGAAGTTGCTGGACGATCTTGACGCATTCTTCATAGTACTCTGGAGCGAGGTTCTTTACAAGGAGTCTTATTGTACCAGTCACTTTGCCCAAGACTGCTTTAGAAAACTTGGGGAAGAGGCGTCGACTGTTCTCTTGCTGGACTGACATGGAGAGTGATTTCATGACCTCTACCATGTGTCCAGCTTCTTCACTAGGTCGGTCACCACTTTGGTCTGCGAGGCGTATAGGCTCGCAGGATGGTATATCGGGAGGGGAGGCGCCGTATACTGGATCTGGCGTCTGTACACCAGACCCCATATACTGGATCTGGCGTACAGATACCAGACCCAGTATACTGGGCAGCGTGTAAAGCGCCGAGCTGCTCCACGAGGTTCTGGACAGTCGCTGCATCGACGCAATTACCGAACTTCGTCATGATGTCTTCGATGGATGTGTGCTTCAGTAAACCCCCGTGGTGCTCTGCGACGGCCTGTAGGGATCTCTTGCCGTAGTTGTCTATCGACTGGCAGTCCTTGCGGACTAACTGTAGGCAATCAATGGCCTTGGCGTTGCCGGACGGGGTCCAAGGATCGGCCGAAGGCAGCATCTGAGCTTAGGAATACATCCGATTCATTGGGATCTCCTGTAGAAGACCAGCATCCCAGGTGAGCAACCCCATCTTGGCAGCCGGAAGACGATCGACTGTGGCCTACTCCAGCGAGTGAATGGCTCACATTGTTCAATGCACATTCGCCGGCCATTCCGACATAATGGCCCTTGGGCAGTGCTCATCGGGGAAGAACCATTTGGTATGGATTATACGCGCTTTGATCGTTAACCGTGAGGTGGAAGTGAGCTTTCTGGATGGCTCTGTCGTTCTGCCACCCAGAAGCAGCGAAAGCAGCGAAAGCAGCGAAAGCCGCGTCATCGTACGACTTTTCATTCTGCTTATATAACCCACAAGCAGCCCGTTCTTGGTGGTAGTGCTCTGGACAAAGCTTGTCAGTCGTCGATCGGCGCTGACAGAACTGTCCTCGAACATAACCCTAAAGTCCCATTAGCCCATACCTTCAAGGCTACATGATCAAGCATTTTGCGTACCTTGCGCCGCATCATGTTGTTCTGCGCGGTACGGTGGAGGCTCTTGTCCAAGCAGGTTTTCACTCACTCATTGTTCGCCTTTGCTCGATGCAATATTGACCCAGCACCCGCCACTCACGGTGCACCTTGGGCTCCGGCGTCGGTTTGGGAGCCCGCGCCCCTGAAAACCCGAGCCCATCTTCTCCATCATCGTCGACCCATTCTGCCTGTGAATCATAGTCGTAGGTCAGTGGTAGGACTTTGCCCTTGGGGTTACGGGAGAGGTATCGAAGTTGTTTCAGCAACATAGGAGTCGTCATCGTTCCGAAATACGGTGGCCGGACATCTTCGTAGAAGGCCAGGTGACTCTAGATCTAGTCCGGTAATTGCCTTCTCGACGGGTGCTCTGATCTCGCGCTGTACATCGTGGCCAACGTAGCTGAATCTCATATCGAAAATCGACTGCTCTGAAGCTCCAGCCGCAATTTGAGGACCGCGACGTGGTGATCGTGTCCTGCCAGCCTGAGCCGCTAGAGGGAGGCTTGAACATCGTTCTTCATCGATGTTCCGCAAAGGCCTCCGTTCTCTCTATCGGCGTATAATTGACTGCCATTGTGTGGCTTGGTCAAATTCAATGCAATGAGTAAAACGGCGCATCGGAAGGTGGCACCGTCATCGATGATGTCGCCCTTACAGATGATGGCAGCCTGTGTGCTACATCAGCCATGCTAAAAGCAGCTGGGTGCGCCTTTGCTATCGGGATCATTCCCTGGCCGGTGATTTATGGGCATATCGGCCCATGCCGTGGTCAAGATGTTGATTCGGCGAAGCTTCTTTGCCTTGGTCCACCGTGGGTGAATCATCTCCATGTAGGTGTCATAGAGGCCTGACAGTCCTGACCATTTGGCCACCACTGAGCGCGCTCATCGGTGGTTCAAAGCCGGGTGTGTATTGAAGCCGTTGTAGCGGCGCCGAGGCTTGTGATGAGTGGTGGTGGGTGTCGCTAACGCCTGGCAATAGCACCGAACTGGACAGCATTGCGCCATTGCAAGTCCAGCAACCGCAACTCCCGGTGCGCCTTGGGGTCCGGCGTCGGCCGGAGCATCTCCCTCAACCGGCTCACGACTCCTCCGACTGCAGCAGTCTTGGCCAGCCGATCGGCTTGGGTTGTCTGCGAAGTGCCAGTGCTAAGCCCCCAGACCAGGTACCCAAGTCGTTCGCTGTATTGGCGAGCCGTATCGAACCCTGAAACAAAGTTGGGTTTGCGAACAGCACTCCCTTCTGTATCATGATGGATCCAGCACTTCCCGAGGCCCCGTGGCGAGCCAGCTGAAAGGAGGCTAGGAAATTGATGTCCGAGCAGCCCCAGACAAGGGAAGAAAGCTCGTAGGTAGCTGAGATTTTCATCCCATGTTTGACGTTTCCTTGTCCGGAGTTGACCAAGGCGGGACATCTGTCGCAAAGCTCAGCATCGCCACTGTAGCAAGCGAACACTTTTGCTGATGGCCTATAGGCCCTTGATCTCGCCGAACTGTCTGACAGTGGTCGAGCCATCTCCTCGATGTTGGAGACATCGGCCTGTTGATATTGTGCGAATGCCAGTCGCGTGTCTTCCCTTCAGAATTGTCAACACCGATCGCTGGCTCTGCAACCAGAGCATGAACTTGATACTACTTTGGATGCTTTCCAAGTCTAGCAAGGTGGTTGGTCACAGACCACTTCCAGGTCGGTGTAACGAAGATGTGGACCCATGGTCTAGCTTTCCTGGGTGCTTCTCGTTCTGCAGAACTCAAAGTCTGAGTTCTCGGAGTTGAAGATGAAGGTGGTCGTTCTCTGAACACGGCAGCCTGCCACTTAGTCGAGAGGCCGCGAGTCGCGTGGTTGCTTGAGCCATCCTCCAAGTGCACACTATCATGACATTTTGTGACAAGGATCACGTAATCTGCGCTGGGACGATACCGGTACGCTGATGGCCCCGAGACTGTAGTTGTCCGTGAGCCCAGAGACCGCGTGTGTCGGTCGCTTGCTGATAGTTCAGAGCTGCGAGTCACAGGCAGCCAGCGCAGCCCCGATCGGTAATATCACCCGTCCAACGGGTTGTGTCAGGCCATGCAACAATACCATCTATGTCAGCAGAACGCCAAAGCATGGCCGAGCTCATCCGGCTCGTAGGATTCCTCGACCTCAGCACTGCCTCGGTGCCGGAAACTTGACCACCGTCACCCCAGAATCGGAAGGTTCTAAGACGGGTGACCAACTCCTGTTCTTTCTCGTGGGTGACTCTATAGCCACCGGCAAGAGGCGCAGATTACGCCCAAACAGAGCAGGAACAGACCGGACAGTAGCATCGGCGGGCCCTATAAACTAAAGTCAGTATCGACTGAATGGGGGTGGATGGACGGATACAACTTACATCCGAGTCGGAGGTCACGTCCCGGGGAAGACTCCATGATTTCCAACCCAATAGATTGAGAGATGGCATCAATATCTTCATCAATTCGGGCTCTGCCGGAGGCGGAGCCAAGTGTCTCACGGAGAGACACGACGAACGTAGTGTGCTGGACGGTTAGCTGTTGTGCGTAAGCAGTAGACTTTGGGTAACTTACAGCTGCACGTCTGCATTGCTGCCGGAAGACAGTTGAATATTGCTGATGTGAAGCTTGGAGGCAAACCAGTCCGACGTCCATATCGACAAACTTGGGCCTTTAGCATGGGCTGGAGGAGCTCAGGAGTGTTTTCGTAGATAGGCCCAGGAGGCTTGTCCAACAACCACTGAGACTTGTACGTGGTACAGGTGTCAAGCAAGCAAGCAGTTTCGACGCCGTCAGCCACGATGTCGATACCATGCTGGCTGAGGTTCTGCTTGTCGGCTTGATATTTGGGACCGACCCGTCGTCCCCGGCATGTGTCGCTCATGGCACCATCAGCATGTGTTACTCATGTCACCACCTCCAGCTGGAGCAACTTTGCCATTGCGAAAAGCACAAGCAGTGTCCCTGCCGAAGTTGCAGGTCAACGAAGTCGCGTAGAGGCGATAGTGTTGGTATGTCGAGTCGAGTGAGACAAGATTAGTCTCTGCCAGATAAAACCACGAAGCTGGTTGTAGTGAAGCTGAAGAAGCGGCTGCTTTGTGCGACCTCGTACAAAACCGCATGTGTTCGAAACTCATTCGCGACATGAACGGTAGGCAGGAGGCGCTCCGACGCGCAGCGCCATGAAGAAGAGCGCCAGCTCGCAGATGTTGCTGTGCTCCGAGTAGGGCCAGCCGAAGCACATGGCCTCGCGTGTGCTGCCGGGCTGCGCGACGAGGTCGCCGCTGCCCAGGGCGACGACATGAAGGCATCACGTAAAGAACCTGACGACTGCATTAGGCCCACCTCTCGGCAGATTGATGCGCAGCAAGGGGGCTGATACTTACATTTGGAGCGTCGCCGCTGACTTCAGCTCGCTGGGTAGCATAGCGTCCCATACAGCTCTTTCTTGTGTTTGGTTCGAATGCCGATCTTGCCATCAGAGACCGTCTGGCGAAATTGGTGTCGCGAGGGCCTCATGTATTTGAGAACCAGTTGATTCGGTTGGGTAGCCGGGGCATTTCCACGCTGAGTACAGAGGTGATCGAGACCTGCTGACGCGTCTGCCCCTACCCCTGGTTGACCAACAACATGACCCCAGTTCTAGGGCAGCACTGTCCACTGCACCAGTCTGAATGTCTTCGCGACCAACTGCTCAACTGGTTAGCTGATGATACCAAATTGAATCGCATGTGACAACTTACCGCCGGCATCCCGAAGTTCGACATGTCTGAGCAATGGGTCCTCCACGGCGACAACCTTGTTGATGAAGCCGCCACCAAGGCCACGCTGTTGGTGAAGGAGGCATCTCGCCTAAGACTTAGCCAAAAATGATGGAGACTGAGCTGAAGAAGCAGAACCCAATGTTGCCGCCCATGTTGCCGCCAGAGAAGTTGTGATTGAAACATCCACGAGTTCCGCTGAAACCGTCCCGCCCCCTACAGCCGAAGCACAGCCCAACACGAACACCTTCCAAGGTTGTGGAACGTTGTGCTGGCCACTGTGGACAATGACATGCCGGTCGCTGACATCATATCCCTTCGGATACTGACAACGTCCCTTGCAGTGTGCGCTTTGTCCAACATCTTCTGCTGTCAAAGCTCAAACTACAGTGACGGCAGTACTCGCATGGCGTGAGCAGTTGCGAGCCCAGCGGACCCGAAATCGCACACCATTCCAACTCCGATGGTAGCGCCATCGTTGTCTCTCAAGTGAGGGTTGATAGCCAAGTTGACAGGGAGTCACAAGGTCGCAGATCACGCAGCTGCTCTTGCGATTCTCTGATCAGATCCATATGTGCCGGACCCAGCAGTCAAGGGCGTCATACCACGACGGCAGTCAGCGCTGGTCGTTAACGAGGAATGGCCATGTTCGCCATGAATCCTGCAACTTTCAAGGGAAGTTCAAGAGACCTCGATCGCTTTTCTGTCTGAGGTCGAAGATCTGCGCCTTGTAGCAGAAGATAGGGGTTTCGCAGCGAGGAAGGGGGCTTTGAGGCTGGAATAGGGGCTTCGCGACGATAGGATGCTCCCGTGCAAGAATAGGGGCGTGTCAGCAGGCAGAAGGCTTGCCGGCAGCAGTGATAGGGGTTTGTCGGCTACGAAGGTTCACTGCTTTCTGTCAGCCGTGTCCGGAAGTCCGGTGCCATGCTTCTTCTGAGCCTGGGCTTTCTACCTACTCTTTGCTCTTTGGCCTTGAGCTTGAAATCTACTCACTCCATGATGGGACAGTGTCTCGGCAGCTGTGATGGTAGTCACAAGCATCGCAAAGGCTTCAACTTACTCGTGCGACAGACTATATTGCGATGCAGTAGTCCGAGCGCGACAGAGGGGTGCAGGTGCGACCGGACATCGATGGACTATCCCGTGGTATAGGATCTCCCGACGCCAAGGTCCGTGCGACTCGCCAGCAGGTCGACCTCAAGGACGTCAGATGCTTTGAAACTGTTAGCACATGTACATTGCAATCTGCCAGGTCATCCTGGCTCGAGTCAGGATTGCGACCGTAGAGTGAAGATACCTGTGGGACTGCCATACCTGTTCTCATTGTTGGACAGATGTGCTGCACACCTAAGTCGCCTTATTCCAGGTACAGCCGTTCGCTCTTTGTGCTTCCCTTAGTAGGCGCAGCAGGGAGGCGTGCGACAGTGGAGTGGCAAACAGTGGATGTGGGCATGGGCAAAAAAGAAAAAAAGAGGTATGGGATTTCAAAGGTTCTGCCTGGCGCTAGTATCGCTGTGGGCGGCTCAAGGAATTGGGGTGGCTGGCTGGAGCTGGGGTGAAGAAGAAAACGTACCATATCGTTGTCGCCTGAGGCGAGAACTCGCGTCGCGAATCAGGAGCCTGGAGCCTACAGTGGACCGGAAGCTGGTGACCGGCAGTAAAGCAGGTGGACGCCGTTGGGAGTGCCTGCCAGATGTTAGGGATAGTGTTCTGAGTGCTTGTATATGGGTGATACCAGGTTGCCAATGATGGCTGGATGCTATAATCATCATAGGCCTCGGGGTTGTGTTTTCCTGTGGAAGGGAATCACACCTGTGTGGTTGGGGATGTAGGCGATGACTATGCCCAGATTACCTCTTGAGCCAGGAACATGCTGCAAGGTACGAATGTGCTGGTTGGTCAGTTAATATTAGTGGTAGAGAGAGACAATAGGGCTAGGTACCCTCTGTTGTTGTTGCGGAGACCATGCAGGTTCTGTTGAGAATGTTCTAGTATCAGTAGTGGTCAAAGTCGAGAGTAGGGCTGGCTGCCCTCTCTCCTGCACGCGTTTGAGAGCAATTAGGCTCCGTCAAATTTATTCTGGCTTCTTTTTTAATTCCGGGTGAGTTCTGGCCAGCCGGTAGGGGTTGTTCGGGGCGTTTTAGGTGGCAGAGTCGGGTCGAAAAGCCGTAGCTTACTTGGACTTGATCAAATTCTCCTGCTATGCAAAGCTAGAGATCTCCATGCAGGTCGAGAGCTGCTCGAGATCCAGATGTCTCAGTGAAAGCCATAGGTAACGAGAGATGAAGAGGTAGAAGATGAAGGGAGACTCGAGAGGGATGACCAAGGCTGAGATGAGAATGGTGCAAGTTGAAAATCCAGGCAGGATGTGGGTGGAAATGGAGCAGTTCAAGCGAGTCGGAGTAGGATGCGAGGAGAAGATGAAGAGGAAGTAGAGTGAAAAAGAAGAAAGGCTCGGTTGAGGGTTTGATCTGTTGAAGGGTGACTTGCTGGCATCCCTTTCGTCAGGCATAATCTCATTTATCGAAACACGAGCTCCAGTTCACACCAGGCCGCGTTTGCAAGATCATTAACAAGTTGCCCCAACGAGGTTGTGGAAGAAGAAGGCAAAAGGTGTTCTGGAGGGCTGCCTGTTTGTTTCTGATGCCGAGAGATGGTTGTTGGTGAAGCAGTAGTCAGGCAGATGTGTTGTCGAGGCATCCATTGCAGCGGGCCCCCTGCTCCTACCGTATCTAGGCCTGAGAGAAATTTCACCATTGGGTCAGCAGTAATTGGGTATACTATGGGTAGATACTTGGACTGCTGAAGGCCATGGCATTCAAAATGAGGGTTCGACTGATGCTAGAACATCGTGAGCCCCAACAGCCTCGTCTGTCTTGAAAGCAGTCAGCACCGTCACTCTGGCCATCGGCGGGGTGACTCAGCTGTTCTGCCGTGCCGAGAATTTCGGGGCAGCAATGAATTATGTCCCGGTCTTCCTCGGTCAAAGTAGCCCCGTGCCGGGAGTGTTGGAGCCCTACAGACCACTGTCAGCCGGCGTCTCTACCTAATTACTCCTCCATCAGTCAACCGTAAGCTAAGGCTGCAGCCATCTGCACTAGAATATTTGCCACCTTGGAATCATTGGTCTATGAGCAGTGAGTACTTGTGTTGAACTGATGAAGACGTGCCGACTGGAACGGCTTATACAAGAGTACCAGTGGCCTGTTGTTCTATCCCCGTACCAAGTAGCAGTGAACCATACGAGAGAGAGAGAGACACCCACTCAAGTGACTACCTATGATAGTCTACTTATATATGTAGGTGAAGTATCTGACCACACGATCCTGGCGTACGCCAGACTTTCGAAGTGCCTACGTCCTCATCGCTGTACGGCACAGCGTACATACAAATGACAAGCGTAGGGGGCTATTAGGTTGCAAGGTCAGATAGACGCATAGAATATACATACCTATAGCCTAAGCCTATTGGCCTACGTACGCATGTTGCTCAAAGGTGCACGTGATGTTCCACAGGCGTGCACTCACAATGACCAAAGCCAGGCGGTTGGGTCCCCGTAATCAAGCTGATGTATGAATTGTTCAACAGCATTGCCCAGGCAAGTGGAAGGATCGGTCTTCTCGACGGTGTGTCGAACCGCTGCACCCAGTCAATATGCCAGCCACATCTGCAATAAATGCTGCATGTATTGAGGTGGCCTCGATGCGACACGGCCTCTGCGTGAATGTCACGCAAGCCGCATGTTGATGCGTGACCTATACCTCTGCAGACCGTGGCGGGTGCCAGAAGAAGGGTAGGACACTGGAGGCCACCACACACACCACGATCACACTGTGACAGGAGGTGTCACACAGGACAGGGGCCAGGGATAAGGGCTCAGAGAACACAGAACACAGAGGCCTGGGTTGTCAGCCCACTTGGGGGACGTTGCCTTTCTCAAAATCGTCTGAAGCCGGCATTGGAGATAATGATATGCAGCCCACAGGGAGTTACTCACACGCGCGCGCTCACGCACACACCTGAACCTTTATTCCGAAGAGGGATAGTTGCGCAAGGCGCTGTATATAGATGCCTGCCAGATATGGATGAGCCATGCAATACTTCTGCCAGAACGGGTTCTATTGGAGGTCGAAGTTCGGCTGTCGTGTCTCTAGGCTTTCTTTAGATGCCAGGCTTCAACAGCAGATGTTTGAGGCGCCAGACGCACCTTGGCTCTGGAAGTCTGGAGAAGCGCCGCAGAGCACCCGTGACCGGTGATGGATGCTCGGTGGCCTCGGTGGCCTCGGTGGCCTCTGGTTTCAACTCTAGACAGCGGACAGGTCTAGGGAATAAGCCTAAGTCCGATGTGTTCCCACGAAGACTGGACAAGACAGCCAGGCAGACACGCTTCGTGCCACACCTACCAAATCTGTACTCTGTATACTGTGGCACTTGTGTAAAGCCCGTGTGACGGCTTGGGAAAGTGGAAACTTGGTTATCGGTCATCGGTGCCTAGTTCGACGGCATCGGGGATGGGGCAGCTGAGACTCTATCAGGTTGGCCAGCGAGCGAGCGATCTACACTTGCAGGTGCCGTGGGTGAGACGATCTGGATGTACAGAACAGGCAGTCGACGAGCGACGACACCCTCTGCCCCTCTTCAACGGTTGCTCAGCAGTAGGATTCAGCATTCTGACAGCTCTGATGATGGGTCTAGCCGTAGTGTGCAGTAGCCCGAAGCTTGAATACTCCAGGTTCTGCCCAGGTTCGTCCAGTTTGTCCGGGTTGCGCCGGTCTGGCCTGGTCGATTTGCAAGGGACAACTGATGGCAAGACGGGACGAGCAGTTGAATCGTCGAGGACAGGGGCAGATTATAGGACGGATTATAGATGATGCAAAGGATTCAAAGGGGGGTTCGAAGCGGGCATCCCGGTTTCCCTCCCGCCCGTTTCGACGTCTGGCCAAGTTGCGTTGCCAGCCGGCCTGCCACCTGCCACCTCACCTGCCTGCCCACCCGCCGAGGCAGAGTAGAAACTTTTATTTCAATTGACAGACATGGAACTCCCAGAACATCATTATCAGCCCCCACACCTTAGACCCAGCGTTACATTCTGACTGCTTTTGGTGCGACCCTTACAGGTGTGGGACGGGGGACAGCTATCGATCAAGTGTTTGACGCTCTGTAGACGTCCTATTCAAGGCGCTGTCGTTGAAGCAGCTTGATGAACGAACTGCCATGCCGTAGACGCTCATCCCTTTCGACTTGGACGCAAACACGCATTGGGGGTAGGGATGCTCATTCGTTTCTGACTCCCTCCTGTCTGTTTGGCGCCGTCTGCCGTCCGGGGGACTGGGGGCTGGGGACTGGGGACTGTGTATAACCACCTCCTATTAGCCATTATAGGAGCACATGACTGCTGTCGTTATCATTAGTACTCTCTCCCTGGCATTGGGCAAGCTGTCACCACCTCTCCAGAATCCGATGAGCCCTGCAGCTGGCAGCATTCGGTTAGGCTTTCCGTTAGTCAGCCCCTGGGTCGATCAGGGGCCCTCCCCCGAGAAAGGGCCCCAATTATTGAGGATATCCACCCCATCTACCGGTATCTCCCACTTGGCAGTGGGCACTCGCTCCCATTCCGTCCCCTCCACACTTTCTGCAATTCCGGACCTGAACCTGGACCGAGAAGCGAGGGCACACGAAGCGAAACCGACGACGACGTCGTCTAGGATTGCGCAAACTTGGCCAGCTGAGACCGTTGCCGTTGTGCTGCTTGCCTTGTGTGTCAGTCTGGATCACGCCAAGACACGACCAAGCAGCGCCCCGGGTCAGAGAAACCCCTCCTCCTCACCACCCCCCCCTCCCTCCTCTCGTCCCGTCCTGTCGCCTTGCTCGCTCTCGCCCAGCGTGTCACCCTCTCCAGAATACCACCTCGCCTAGGCGCCCTCTTCCTCCACGCAAGTCTCATCCCTCTATCTGAGCTCCTGGGCTATCTCGCTATCGGGACTACCTATATACCCGGTCTATATACATACTCCTGTCCACATAGAGCCAGCCATTGCGATCGAGTCAACAGATATCACCATCACGAGCGAAGCAAACACCATGGATTTCTCTCATACATACTACGGCGCCGCTCAGGCTGCTCCCTACCACTTCATCGGCATTCCCCCGCTGACGCCATCTCACTCGAACTCGGCCGCATCAGACGAGTTCAACAACCATTCTCCACATGTTCGTGCCTCTCCCGCATGTGTTTGCTTCTTCTCCTGCCCCTCAAGGGACATGAAGCACTATATCTTGCGTCTTCGGCCTTAGAGCGCTGATCGTTGACCTTGTTTGTCTGACTATAGGAGGTCTACGAGAACTTCCAGAACAATGACGCCTTCCAACAGAACTTCGACCAGTATGGTCAGTTCAACAACCAGACCCAGAGCTTCCCAGGCCCTCCCGGGCCGCCTACACCGCCTACGCACCCGCTACACGGCCAACATGCGGCTCAAGTGAACGGAGCACAGCCTGTCAAAAACCACTCGGCCGAGCTCTTGCCGTCGGCGAAACCGGACCCCGACGGCAACAGAGGACAGGCGGGTTCGAACTCGGACGATGACGGAGATATGACGCCCGCACAATCCCGCCGCAAGGCACAAAATAGAGCTGCGTGAGTGATAGCCTTCTACATCTGAATAGGCAAGCGAAACAAGGCAAACATCTCGCGAGGAACCCCATAGCATAGACTAACCCACGCCTCCTTGTCACAGCCAGCGCGCATTCCGCGAGCGCAAAGAGCGCCACGTCAAGGACCTCGAGGCGAAGCTCGCTAGCCTCGAGGCCGCGCAGACGCACACGGCGACCGAGAACGAGAAGCTCAAGCGCGACCTGCAAAAGATGAGCACCGAGAACGAGATCTTGCGCGCGACGTCCAGCGTGGCCACCAACCATAAAGGCAACGGTTCGATGTCGCCGCCTGGCGGTATACCTACTACTACGGGCCCCATGCAGTACAATCCGACCGACTTCTACTCGGACCTGCTGCAGAACCACGCCAACAAGACGCCCAGCCACCGAATTGTCGAGTCGTCCGGCGGCGAGCGGCTGCTAGCTGCGGGCGCGACGTGGGACTACATCACCGGCCACGAGCTGTTCCGCAAGGGAATGGTCGATGTGGGCGATGTGAGCGAGCGGCTCAAGTCCCAAGCCAAGTGCGATGGCCAGGGCCCCGTGTTCGAGGAGCGCGCTATACTACAGGCCATTGTAGAAAGCGTTAGTGGCAGCGATGAATTGTTATGAGGGGCCGGTGCCGAGTTTGGATGCGAACGCGCCCCCGTAAAGCCCGGGTGGCCCCCCTTGGGGACGAGCCATGAGGAAGTCGCGAAGTAAGGAGATAAGGCAGGAGTATTGTGGCGGGCAAGGTCTCAAGGACCAGTTCGTGCCCGCCATATGATGCTGATACGCTGGGACTTGAGCGAACGAGCGAATGAACGACAGGTTCCAGCCGTCACGAGAGAGCGAAAGATGGGAACCTGATGACCTGTCTGCGTTCCCCGGACCTGATCTGCCCTTTGAAGCAGTGTGGATGGATTACTGTAACGGCGGAGCGAGAGTGTCGTTATTGTTGTAGGTGCTGCTGCTTATTGCTGCTACTGGAACAAAAGGACGCTTCAAGAGCTGCCCTCACTTCGCGGACCGGATTGATCGTCGAAGGATATGATATCAAGAGCTAAACGACATGTATACATTTGCTACGGTGTTACGAAACGGATTCTGGGGAGGCATTAGGCACACATAGGGACGACGGCGTATTTTGGCGTCGAGTTTCCCAGCAGGATGGGATGGATATCAGGCGATTTGGCGAACCTCACAAATTTTGACTTGGTGCTTTTACAACTATGGCCTTTCTAACTAACTGCTGAGCTGACTACGACATATTTCATTTACCCGTTACCTTAGGTACCTACTCTATTAGTCCTTGTACTTATCACCAACCGCAATGGACAGCTAGTTTCCCAAAACTTCCAGGGTATGACATGTGGTTGAAAAACAATGCGACTCGATCGATCACCAGTTGTCCATATCACACACCGGAACTCAAACAGCGAGTAGAGACAGTTACACGAGGTTAGCGGAGAGCATAAACTACGACGACACCACCAACCAGCAGCGGCCGCGCCGTTGGATGACCAAGACGGACATTGCCAACACCACGACCATGTCGTAACCTCTCTCTGTCCGAAATACGCACATCCAAGTGCTGTCTCCTCCTCGTTCCTCGTCCAGGGGGGCTCGTTCGTTCCGAATTACGTATCCCGGTGATGACCAATATCATCAAGTCGGAGGTGGTTGATGATCGATGAGTTGGGAGATAGATGGTGTGGGAGCACATATATGCCTTCTCGACTGCGTCTTCTTGCCTTGGAATCTGGAGTCCAGAATTCGGGGGTTTCGCGCCACGGTGTTCAGGCTCGGGGGTAGACACGTAAGATTGGGGTAGGATGGTAAGGCTGGGTGTTCTGACCAGGTAATGAATAATAGCAATACTCCGAAATCAGATGTCTTCTTCCGTTGCAGCCTACCTGCTGGTTCCGCGGGGGCGCGCGCGCGTATGTACGATAGTCTGATCGTGCCTGACAGCCTGTGGCCCATCTTAAGATCGACTTCGATACATGGACATGCATTCCATCCAATATAAAGCAGCACAACCTCCTTGCGCATCCTATGCCGGGCAGATAGATGATGGATAGGCTGTTCCACGACTATATCCCAAGCATTTCCTCACTGCACCCATAGACGAAGGTCTACCGTTCACATTTACGGTCGCCTTCCCGAAGTTGTGTTCCCACAAATATTACTTGACTGACTATAAGTGGTATCTCACGAACTGTTCCCCACAAGAAATGAAGCATGTCCCCCACCCGAACCCATTCTCTCATGTCTCATCAGCGAGCTCTGCCGAGCCGTACCCGCCGTCATTAAGCTCGGTTCATCAAGCGCGCCCAGGTGCTCAAATAAAACACAAATACTCCCCTATGAACGGAAAGAGCGCAAGTGTGATTGCTCGACCATCTTCCCGCACTGGCGCCACCCTTCCGTTGTCTAATGGATCCATCTCATGTCATTATACCAAGCCCGACAAACAAGACTCCATGGGGCCTTGGTTTGCCGAAGCCCGCCCATCTGTATGCTCCCGTGTATCTCTCCCACGCCGTGTCAAAGCAGCGGATATTTACTCCGTCTTCTTCCCGGTGTGCTCCTCTACCTCGACGTAGGGATGCTTAATGGTCAGGCACCAGATGTCGAGGTAATCGCAAATCGTGACAATGACGTCGACAACGAAAGATCCATATACACCGATAGCCATGCCTAGCATCGAGAACATGAAGGCGACCTGGTAGACGTCGTCGCCAAGGGCACTGGGCCAGCCAGAGGCCCAACCAACGTGCTGCTGCAAGATCGGTCCCAGAGAATCGACAACGCCCCACGCCAGCGGCAGGGTCAGGATGTTCCAGTACGGGAAGTCGAGCTGGACGAGATGCGCAGTGATCATCTGACCGACGCTGTAGGCATTGACGATGCCGGCAAACATGGCGAAGGGAATCAGATGTTGGGTGCGGATCAGCGGCTGTAGGTAGAGGTAGGCCCCGATCAGAAACCAGGTGCCGAAGAAAGGGACGAGACCAAGCAAGGCGCCACGGCTGCGGTCCCCACGGGCACGTCGGGCCTTGATGACGTTGCGCGCGCTCTCGACCGTGTTTTGAACAAGCACGATGGTGCCCTGTAGCATCCACCACTGCGTGAATGAGAGCTCGTAGATGGCCCTCGGGATGCCGAGACCGTTAGGCACACCGAATGCGCCGAGCATGGACTGCTGCCAGAAAGATGCGCCGCCCATGTAGCCCGTCAGCGTGTATACGAAGACCATGATTAGTACGCCTTCGACCGGACCGTTCACGACGCCGAGAGTGAGGGTCTTTGTGTGGTACTCGTCCCAAGTCTGGACGTAGAAGGTGCAGAGAGCTGCAGCTTCGTCAGCAAAGGCAGTCTATGTAGATTACAGGTATCGACTAAGCAGCATACATGCGAAGAGAACAGCGACAGTGTACCAGCTGTGGCCCATGTTCTGTGATCCGGCGAAGAGGAGGACTTCGAGGGAGGTGTTGACGGCGTCGACGCCATGATCGAACAGTTCGCCAAGGGGACCGCTTTGTCGAGTTCGACGTCTGTGTAGCAATCACGAGTCAACATGAATATCGCGATGTTGGAGGGCTCGCTTCTTGGACCTACGCTTGTGAGCCATCGACGGCGTCAAAGGTCTGGTAGAGAAACAGGCCAGCGGCCCAGCTGTAGTAGACCCATGGCGGGCAATCCTGGTCGAGAGTCGGGTTGTACCATAGCAGGGTGAAGAAGTTGACGACGACGAACATGAAGCCGGACAGGGTGATCAGGTTGGGAGCCATCCACATGGGGAAGCACTTGATGACGACATTGGTATAGAAGGGTTTGAGGATGTACTTGGACGTCAGGGAATGGTCGACCGACGAGTACTTGTAGTTCTTGAGGTTCGGCAGGAACTCCTGTCGCACGTACACCATCTTGGCGGCTTGCCGGCTGACGCAGCGGCAGAAACTATTCGGATGTTATAAATGTCTTTCGCTCGAGTTCTACACTGGGCTTGGCGAAGCACCTGCAGTGATGGAGTCTTGCATGTGACACTCGAAGGTACTCGGCAGGGCGGTGAGATGGAGACTCGGTGGGCGTGGTATGAAGGACACTCTAGTCTTTGAGGTTTAAAGAAGCCGAGTCGGGAATCGTCGACGGTCGGTGGAAGTTTGTGTGCATTTCGGGTGGACGGTGGACAGGGAGGATTTCAGGGAATTTCGCAAAAGAATTGCAACGTCATAAGCAGTGGATTCCGGCGCGTCGAATCGCGTGCCCCCTGGCCTGACCCTAGCAGCTGCTCCCGGCTAGGACCGTTTCGAGTCGCGACGGTAGCCGGCCACGTATTGAACGGGCCAACCCTGTCGAGCCGTCAGAAACCGTTTAATTGGCATCAGTGACGTGACCAGCATCACTTCTGATAACTGACAGTGGCAGCCCAACAACACACTCGGTGTCTGTATAGGTAGCAAGATGATGGGATATACTTGTAGCTCGTGCCAGCTTCTTTATTTCAGTAAGACATTTCCCGTGGCCCAGTCGAATCGACTCAATTGAGGTATATCATACCGTCGGAGGATGGTCTAACCTGGCGCTTGACCTCACCCCCAGTCCATACATGTAGTTGTGCGCTCAGCAATAGCCCATCCAACATGTCTAATATATGATGCGTATCCTCGAAACCGAAACGACTTCGCTCCGCATTTTGCATCTCGCGTTGACTAACGCCGCCCAGAACCCGTCATAACCTAGGCAACTGATGCCATCACCATGGCTGCAACGTTCTCCTCTTCGCTGCGCACCGTGATCTTGGTCGTCACCCCGGACTTGGACGAGTACGCCATCCTGATGTTCGCCACCACCTTTCCGCCGTTGACCGTCTTCCCTAATAACTTCAGTTGGTGTGTTGTCTGGCTGACTGGCACATCCGTGCCCTCCAGCGGCTGTAATGAGAGCGTCTTCGTCAACTGCTCCGTAGCGTCTAGTGTCATAGGTCAGCTGACATGCTCGCCTGCTCTTGGCAAGAGGGGAAATCCATAACATACCTGCAATACTGTTCATGCCGGATAGCTGCAACGTCTCCGTGGCCTCCTCTCCCGCCGCGCCCACCTGTTCCCAGAGATGGTTGAAGTTGCCTGCGAAAGTGGGTATCACGTAGTCACTGCCCGCGAGGTCAAAGTCTCCCACCTCGTACTCATCATCGTACCCGCTATCTTCAGGCTCATTCGTCGTCGGGTCAATCTCCTTGCTCGTGAACTTGAGCACGTTCGAGAAGGAGCTGGTCGGCATTGATCCCTCGCCATTGACCTTTTGAAACGCCACATATACCTTGCCCGGCTCCTCCGTAGGTAGTTTCTCTGCTTGAAGAATGAACATCTCCTCTAGCTCTTCCTCGTCCGACGGCATGGCAACCACCGACACGTTCTCGAGCACTGTGGCCTCAAGCGTGTTCTTCACCTCATACTGGAGTACGATATGCTCCTTGAAGATGTGCTTGACCACGCTCACCACGTACTCCGTCTCGGCTTCCGTCAGCTCAACAACAGGTGATGACTTCAGGACACCGCCGAACTCCTTCATTTCTGGGATCGACATGAGTTCCTGAGCATACTTTTGGGCTGCTGCCGCCGCCGACGCCTGGGCCTCTGCTCCGCTTGGGACCGTCTTGGAAGGTCCGGTCTTTGGTGGCTTGAGGGATGGTGCCGTGGCTGTGAGCTTCTTCGTGCGGTCCTCGGCATCTGCTTGTTCTCGGGTGACAACGGGGATCTTGCTGATGTCGAAGGGGTCGTCGAATGCCGACTTATCGTCCGACGTTACGTACATGACAAGCTGATGCTCAAAGTACGGCAGGGAGAACATGTTTTCTAGGCAACCGGTTAGTTCTCCAACCAGTCTCGTGATTCCAGGAAGTACACACCATTCTTGATGAAGCGTTCGCCCATCTCGTCGTCCTCGTGCATTAATCGAAGGTTGAGGGCGGCTCGGTCACGAACTTCGTCATCCACATCGTCTAAGCATCTTGTCAAGAGAACATCGACACTACGCTTGACCTCGGGATCCTTCTGCCCAACACCGAACTTGGCTAGAGCTGTAACTGCTGCTGCCCTGACAATGGCATTCTCGAGAACGACTCTGTTGTAGATGTAACGGATATACTTGGTGGGTTGCGAAGTCTTCGGACCTTCGAGACCCAACAGGTGCAGGATCCGGACGGCCAGCTTGGTGAACTCGCAGTCTTCAATGAACTCACACAGGTGGGCAAGCGCATCTTCCTTGGAATCCGGCACGAACTTGATCAGGTCGAACATGCTCTCCACCACGGCCCGCTTGAACTCATAACCACCCTCGTCACGGAGAATGCCGCTGAGGAACGCTAGCATACCTACTTGCTTGCTAGGGAACTTGAGGCAGAGGGTTCGGATGGCTTCGACAATCGTGATCTTGAACTCATCGGTGATTTCAGACATGAATCCACTAATCTGCTTCATGAGCCGGTCCACGCTGGCCTCGTTGCCGGTTTTCAGCAATGTAGTAATGGCAAACGTGGCGATCGATCGATTGGTGTTGGAGATGAGAGCTTCAATGTCGGGGTTGCAAACATTGACTGCCTGGGGCTTGAATGAGGCAAAATTGTGTAGAATCCGGAGAGCAGCAAACTTGGTGACCGCACGCGGCGATGAGAGGAAAAGCTGTAGCACATGGACGGCCTGGGTGACTTCGGCATCCGTCACATCCCGCATATCGCAAATTGCCTTGGCAGCTTCGAAGTTGACCATCTCGCTCTTGTGTCTTAACCATCCATCCAGCAGTTGCATCATGGGTTTCCTCAGAGATTGGTCCTCTTCAGCCAACTGGGCGGCCAGCCTAACAAGCAAAACAATCGCAGCGGGACTCTTGACAGCACCAGCAGCACCAAACTGCTGAACCATCTTGACCAGAGCCATTCTGTCGTGTGATCGCATCTGATATAGAAGACCGACCGCATGGTATTGCGTCATGGTCGAGTTGTTCATGGGCATCGAGCCGGAGGATGAAGAGAAGCCGAGTGAGAATCCGCCGGAGGATTTCGTCGAAGCCGCAGCTTCCTGTGTTTCGGACTGCCACCGTCGAACAACATCCTTGGCGATCGGGAGGAGATGGTAAGAGGACACGAGGGCGGCGGACGAGACGGAAGGGTTCTTGTCGACGATTGCTGTTTTCATCACACGCTCAATTGACTGAACAGTGGTCGCCTTGAAGATGTCAGTGGAAGAAGCCGGCGGAAGTGGGAGAGCAGAGCAAACGCACATCAATGATGCGGCACAGGGCCCGAATGGCGTTCGGTCGGTAGATCGCATCCGTACTGCCACCGGTGTCCTTCATGATGGTGCTTGTGACCATGATAATATCCTCGGCCGAGTTGGCAATCTCCTTGATGACCAAATGGACCATCTGTCGCAAGCTCGCATCTTTGTTCTGGAATAGCTTCGATATGCCGAAGAACAGGGTGGTAGCTTCGTTCGTTGGAAACCTCTCTCCTGTATACAGGAGTAGGGCGATCTTCGTCAGGAGGATACGACATCTTCGAGGCTGGATCGGCGAGCTGTTGAACAGTCGAGCTGGTCACCGTTTAGCAGTGATCGTAGTGGGGGACTTAGGGGTTCCTCGTAGAAAGAAGGGCCATAACACACCTTCTTGGAAGACCTGGGTGCGGTCGACCTTGACCAGGCCGAGGTCGGCATCTTCGTCTTTCTTGCCGTAACTCATTGTGGCGGCGAGGCGACTCTCGTGGGTCGAGTCGTGGAGGATGTCGTGGTCGCTCGTGGATTCGTTGACATATAATTTGGGGACAGCACAACCCAACACCTAGCCGGCATCGAAAGGTGCGACGTTGCAAGTGCACGGGCCCACTCGCTTCAGCCACCGACCCTCAGCCACAGAAGCCCCTTTCTCGAAATAGGGGCGGCCAGCAGAACAAGAGTGTACTTTGTAAGTAATTAATGTTAGAGACTGATACCCAGGTAATGATCTGAGTCAACTATATGTGCACACACATCGAGTTACTCATACACGACGCTCCATTCATCTGTCTCAATGGGCAATCCTAATGACCCCGAGGGGCGCTCTTGGCTAGCTTGATCACATTGTCTGCGTATCCATCGGTGCCCCCGTATTGACTAAGAATCGCCTGTATATCAATGGACGAAGCTTCATTCACACGATGCCTGCCTATCAATGCCGTGTTCCTCGTACTTGGTATGCGTAACATCTCTGTTTCAACCGCCCAGCCGCACTCCTTGCCAATTCCCTTCACCCATTCGACAAGAGACGAGTATGCTGATGGTGATTTGCCCTGTTGCTTCGGCGCCGGTGCTCTGAATCTGGCCCCAGATAGGTCATGACTGCAGCATGGTATCATGATGAATGGGCAGTCTGAGAGAGTTGCAATTATGGGTGTCCACGGCGTCAGCTCATCAGCATGATTTGAGATGATAAAGGTGCCTTTGGGGAAAAGACCATCGTGCATCAGATCAGCGCCATCGACGTCATCCAGTACCTGCACTGTATTTTTGTCCGTGTTCAGCACTGAGGGAAGAAGTACATGTTGTCGAAGGCTGAGGTTATTCTGGTTACCAGCGGCTGCAGTTTCGTGCGAGTAGTTGTCCCAGGACTTGCGTTTCCTTGCATCGAACCCCCATCCAGCATATCCCTCTTGTCGAAGAAGATAGACGAGTAAACCATTGCCACACCCAATATCAACAAAGCCTGGGAAGGGAGAGCCACGGAACATCTGAGCCCATAGCTCAATGAGGAAGGCTGCAATGCCCAGGTCTTCAAAAACGTGCTTTGTGGGGTCTGTGACTTCGGCCCAGCCCTCGATGAGCCCCCGGGCGTATTTCTCCTTGAGCCGGGCATATGTGTTCTGAACAGTGATCTGAGGTACGACGGTATCATGATGGACTCGCTTCACGTAGCCAGCTATAGATCCCTCGCCATGCTTGTGGAGTGTTGATAGTAGATAGAGGCCAGTCCTCACCAGCTTTGGCGAGGGAGCATGGTCATTGAAGAAATGGTAATGGATGGAGATAGTGCCCTTGTCGTCCTCGAAGTTCCACTCGTGCAGAAAGGCTATTCCCTGTACCTTGGGGTGGTAGAAGGGCATCTCAGCATGGGAGGATACATGAGGCTTGTAGACGACCATAGACCGCTGAACCTCACCTGTTCCAGTGCCGTGGTAGAGCAGGCAAGTCTGATCTAGAGGCTCGTCCCGGCGCGTATTTCTTGGTATCAGCTTCCGCACCAAGACCTTCTGGATATCAAATTGTGAGAAATGGACAAGTATGGGCTGATTTGGGGATTCGGTCCTCATGGCCGGACTGAAGTCTTGTTCGACGAGGATATCTGCTCGGAAAAGCCAAGACGAGTTGATGTTTGGATTGCGAATGAGGTTCATCATAACCTTGAAGAAGGCATCTCGGCCGAATGCACAGCTTTGGCGGTGAAGCGGAGCCCACCTGGCACCAGAGACATCCTCGATGAGACTCGGCAAGTCATCTGGATACTGGTATGGCTCGGAAGCCATGGTGAGGAAATTAGGTGTGCTCCTGGGCTCTGTATTGGTTCTGTACATGGGTCGATGTTGACACTGTCGGTATCCTCAAATTTCTCTAATCCAAGGTTGTGGATCTGCGAAAGCCTGGGAGCGTTCTGTGCACGGTGTTGAAAACAGTGTGAAGATGGATACTTGATATACTTGACAGTGCTTTCTACAGTCACAGTGTTAGTCACAGTCGATTAAGGTTGCCCCTCCATTCACGTCCAACCCCCTTCCCCATCCCCCGCTACGGCCTTTTCCGGTCCCCCACCACTGACCAGCACCCAGCACCTGCACCAACAGTGAACACCACCAACACCACCAACATTTAAGCACACCTCACTGACAGTCCACCTCCCGGCATCTGTACCATCTTCCCGACTCGTACATCACTTCTCGCCTTCATCTCCAGCCCACACCTGCTACGACAATACAACTACCTCTACGACTTCCAGCAACCACCCAGCGACCACCCAGCAGTCGTCGGTCGCTTTGTCGTGTCCCAGGCCCCATACCCATTTCCCCAGATTCCCTCCGTCACCTCGATTGATGCCCGAAATCGAAAGCCTCAGAGACAAAGGTACATACGATCCACGGAAGATGTTCCTTCGTTCTCGGTTCACTGACGCGACGCTATTAGACCCCTTCGCCGAGGCGGAAGAAACGCCTGGTGAATCCCAGCAGACCCAGAACTACATCCATATTCGTATCCAGCGTGCGTTCCGCCCAGCTATCTTCCCATACTTCATCCGCGATTGTCTCGAAACTGCTCGGTTCGGTCCGCCTGTGGAAGTCCGGTTGCCCGCCACGGCTGTTGCCCCTCACCCTCACCCCTTCTGACATCACCGGGCAACACCATGCTGACCCCTCGTGCGACAACAGAGCGAAATGGTCGTAAAACCTTGACCACCGTCCAAGGGTCTTCCGAAGAAATTCGATCAGAAGAAGATCCTGAAGGTCATCAAGAAGAAGTTCGGTATGTAGCACCCTTGTTGGCCCAACCCCATCATATAGCGCGCCCTGCTAACGACCTTTCCTTCCCAAGCCTGCAATGGCACCATCGTGACCGACACCGAGATGGGCGAGGTGATTCTGCTCCAGGGCGACCAGCGCAAGGATGTCCAGGAGTTCCTCACCAACAAAAAGGAGGGCTTGGATCTTGATGGGAAGACCATCAAAGTCCACGGTTTCTAAGCTTGCCATGTCTCTACGGCCGCCTATACCAGTCTCTCGATGGCACGCGGACTGCGACACAGATGAGCAGGCTCGAGTTCATGTGGTGTCTCGCCCACGGCGATGACATTGCCAGCTCATCATCTTCACACGCAGACAGGCTGCAAATCGGTTGAGGCGTTATACGGACTGGTCAGGACATGATACCCAATATTTCCTCTTATGAGCGCTGCTTTAGAGAAAGGCAGGAACTAGAGTGATACTAAACTTGGCGATGCGTTTTGACTGGCTCTTTCAGCAAGGCAGGCTTGATACGTCATGTTCTGCGAGTGTTTCGTTGGTATTATTGCAGACATGCCTTCAGATCAGACAATCAGAGAATTCCATGAATGCTTGCTTGCTATGTAGTGCGTGGTTCGTGAGGTCTTATTGTGAAAGGTAAATTCAGCCAAATGATCATCGTAATTGTACAGGTCTTGAGCAGGAAAGACCGATTATCAATGCTATATTCAAATGCATCCTTGGTTTGTGAACGAGGGCTGTACGGATTATGTACTTTTACAGGTCCAGTGTAGCTAGAAACAGAAGCGGGATATATGCATCTTCAATTAAGATATATCTGTACAAACATTAGGTCTCTTCACAAGGGACCCTCATCTGCTGCTTTGAACAGACCATCTCGATTCTAACTCTCAACCCACTGATAGCCAGGTCTAAAACCGTCTTTCTACAATCTGCCCAAACCTGCCCATTTAAATTCTTCCAATTATAACGCAACAAAGTGGTCGGTTCCGCGCTGTGACAAATCAGTCAGTCAGTCATGGGAGGAAGTCTCCATCACGCGGCGGCGCCGCCGCCGCCGCCGGCCTTCGCGCACAAAAAGAAGCGGATCCTCGACCAGCTGGCCATCCCGGACGCCGAGTACACGGACGCGTCGCCCAAGGGCTCCGTTGACGCCAGCATCCGCGACCTGATCGACGAGATCAACGGCCTGGACGGCTTCATCACGACTAGCAGCTGCGCTGGGCGCGTCAGCGTGTTTGTGGAGGGCAGGAAGAAGGCTGGCGATGACGGGGAGGGACGGGAGGGGGAGCGGGAGGAAGATGCTGGCGAGGCCGGTGATGCTGGTGCTGAGGGCAGGAGAGCCACGACGACGGCGGGCGTGGGCGGTAAGGGCGGAGGGGGCACCTGGCTGTTTGTTTCTCATGACCCGGTGCCCGTGCCCGTCGATGAGGGCGCGCGGGAGGCCGACTGGGGTGCCCTTCTCGGGCTGGACGGTCCTGAGATTGCTGAGGAGGAGCAGGCCAAGGGGGATCATCCACGCCGGGCGTCTGCGAGGCTCATACACTTCAAGTTCGAACCCATGGTAAGTACCTAAAGGCCTTGCCTCACCGTGGCTGCCCACTCTTGCCTAGATCGCCTCCAGTACTCAATCTACTACATGCCAGTTTGCTAAAACTACACAGATCCTCCACGTCCTCACAGCATCACCAGAACACGCGCAGCCGCTCCTCCGCTGCGGTCTGCAAGCCGGATTCCGCGAGAGCGGCGCCCTCAACCTAACCGGCACGGCGACCGAGCCCGTGACCCCCATCGTCGCCATCCGATCCATGGGGCTGGCCTTCGAGTCCCTCGTCGGCGTGCAGGTTGACGGTATCTCCCAGTGCACCGTCTCGCCGGAGTACCTGCAGACCCTCGTGCAGATCGCCAACGAGAGGTTCGCCGAGAATAGCAAGAGGATCGCGAGGTTCCGTACTGCGGTCCTGGAGACTACCGAGCCGCCGAAGAAGAAGGACGGTAGTGAGTGGGAGGATTCGCAGGCTCGTCGCGAGAGGAAGAAGGCCGAGGGCTTGAGGAGGAAGGCCGAGGGCTTGAGGAGGAAGGCGGAGCTTCAGGGTCAAGGACAGCGGGAAGAAGCGAGTGAGGGATATGAAGTCGTGGATGAGAGGGGCGTAGATGATTTGATGCTTAATACAGTCCTCACTTGAAACGTGATGGCCCATTACCATCTGGTTCTTGGGAACAAATCAACGCGTATGTGGAATCATGAGCGCCATGTGTCTATACAGGTCTAATTTTCCGAGCGCTTTCGATGCCAGGTAATGTTACAGTGGTGCTAGCACATGCATGCTGCCTCTCCCGAATTCAATCGTAATCCCGATCTTGTCACGAACAGGGGTAGTATCATCGCACGACCTTCTCGACCCATCCCCTCTCCAGCCGCCGCACCTCCTCCTTGAACGCCTCGACCTCCTTCCAGCAGTCCAGCGGCCGGCGGTCCTTCTCCATGAGGCAGCGCACGACCTCGCCGCGCGCCGTCTCCACGCTCTCCGGCAGGGTCCGCAGCTGCTTGCGCTTGTCGAGGCGCGCGCGCAGGGCCTCGACCTCCTTCGACACCGCCTGGTTGCTGAGGCCCGTCTCCTTCCCTTCTTCCTGGGAGAGTACCTCGGAGGCCTTCTCCTGGGCCGTCTTGAGCGCGGCGCTTTCCTCGGCCGACAGCTTCTTCAGCTCCGCGGCGACGCGTTTTTGGATGGCGAGTTTGAGGTTCTGGGCGCGCGAGGTGTCGGTCTGTGTGTGGGAGAAGAGGTAGACGTCAGAAGTTGCTCATCCGCTGGGTTGCTTCGGTGGTTTTGAGAGTCGGTGGAAGATCGGGGATAGGTAGCGCGTCAAACATAGGCGGCAGAGCTTACCTCGCTGCTGTTCTGAAGCGAATCGACGACATCTTGCGAGACGCCTACTGGGGAAGATCTGGACAGCAAGATACGGGTCAGCTAGACGGCCCTGACGACTGGAAATCGGTAGGCAGAGATGCAGAGGGGTGTCTTACGCCTTCCAGGTGTGTGATGACTGGCCCACGGCGGGCTTGGAGGAGCTCGAGCCCATGTTTTCGGCTGTCAATTGCTGTTGCGTTGCTCTCGAGAGCTTTTGCTACTGTTGGCTGCTGCTGCGACTGGCCAATTCGAGGTAAATATTTCCGAGGTTTACCGTTTGGAAGGTCTGAACCCATACAGTGCAAAAGTGGAGGACACTGTCTTTATCAGCACTGTGGGCTCCCTTACTGGAGCCACCGCCAGCCCGCTGCTGACTCTCACATGGTTGTACTCCACAACTTCCAACGTAACATGAAGTTGGATCACACTGCAGAGTACCTAATTCATACAGTATTAAAAACAATTGTGGTTATATATTACGTCTCCTTAAACACGCCTATGGTTGGCTTCGACCTTGTCCCCCATCCCTCGAGAGGAAAAGTACGACAGAAAGTGCCCAGATGTTGCTTCAGCATTCAACCTCCCCGGCCATGGTTCACCAATGGCAGATCCAATAGAATGCATCACTCGCCTCGTCATGGGACGCCCCCTCATGCATGACATTCCTGAATGCCAATTCTGCAGCGCTCTGAACAGCATCCATGTTGCTGACCATCGCCCGTACTGCATTTCGGCCCCCTCCACGGTGTACTTCGCTGAGTAGGCTATCGGTCAAGAGAATGGCCAGCTTCTCAGCATGACTGAGACCGTAAATGCGCGCGTCAGCCTGCCTTCTTACCACGAATCCATGGAAGTCTATTCCCGTAATGCTGATGTACTCCAGGAGTTCGTCAATGGTTACTGCTAGGCGCCTGGCACCATAGAAGTACGGGACAGGACCCGTTTCATCCGGATCCTGTCGTTCAAGCGGAAATAGAACGTTTTCGCCCTGATCATCAGCGACGTCGACAGGTTGGAAGGCGAGACCGAACATTCCAGCAACTTCGTCGGAAAATGAAGTTAGGGTGCGTAGCAAGTTCTCGTGGCGCCAATGTGGAAGCTCGTTTCCTCGTGTCCGGACATCCCGAATTCCTAAACAGATCTCACAAGGGGTGGCAAGAGCGCCAGGCAAGATCGTAGCCCCTGGCGTGAAAAGATCCTCGCTGATCGGGTGGCAACAGCCTGGATGAGCAAGATTTTCGCGGCAGTTCGGACAGGTAGGCTGTGTTTGGCAATATGACAGCCATTTCCGAATACACTCAGGATGAAAGGAGTGGTTGCAAGGCAGCGTGGTGTGTTCGATCTCGTTCTCTTCTTCTTGACAGATACCACAGATCTCGTATGTTTTTGGCTCGTCTTGTCGCTCGTCCTGCCGCTCGTCCGAGCGTTTGGCAGCCATGCTTGACAGCTGCTGAGCTGGTGACTCTTTGTTGCTCGACATATCGGATTATCGGCTGGGCTATGCAGTGACTGTCGAAGATGAGTCGATGATAGGTTGTGGAGTCGCGACGGAGTCGAGGGTAGTGCAAAGGTGTATGCGAGGCACAGTAGTGATGTGTCTTTGGATGCGAGTTCAAGAATGGGTAGCAAGTTTCGAGGGAAGTGAGAACGCGGGGCTGACGGGCATCACTTTATATTTGATTAATGACACGTCTCCGAGAGTGCTGGAGCCATGTTAGCGTTGATGGTGAGGGAGAAGACGAACAGAGTTCAGCCACGAGCCACCAAAAGAAGTCGTTAATTTGCTCAAGAATACGGCAGAGCCTGATTTGATTCCACAACATGGATACCATCTCTCAGTCTGCTGTGTTGGGAACACGAAGACGAAGTCTCCGAAAGTATGGCCGTTTTCGAGTTGCTGTAACCAACGTGTCGACTCGCCCAGAGCACATAGGAAGTCAAACACTCACATGAGTACTTCAGGCGTAGAGCAAGCTATGCCATTCTGATTTTCTTCTTTATCCATTATACCACCTTGTAACTTCAGTTGATACCTGACTTGTTGCCCTTCCGCAGCTTGAGGACATCTTCCGTATTGGCCTTGGGTCATTGATTTAGAGTTTATTCTCAACAGAGAACGTTTCTTCAGCGGTCACCCACCTCTCAACGCATCACTTGAGACATCATAGTCAACTCAATAAGGAGTAGCATGGATTGCAAAGCAATGTTCATATTCTCATTCCGAAACCCTATCGGCAAAGTGTATAGTACAACCGCGAACCCCAGAGCACATTAGTACAACCACAAACCCTAGACCACACTGTGTGAAGATATTGCCCCCCCTATCACACAGGTATTAGCAGACCATATATACAGTTCAACCAGGAATATACTCACAGCCCCCGCCCATGGCGCTGTCGCCCGCGGCTTCGGTGCTGTCGCCCGCGGCTGCGGCCTATACGACGTTAGCTATCTGCTCATAGACTGATTGATTGATTGATTGATTGTATTTAACGTGGGTAGCTCTTCAGTAGTGCAAACCACGCCTCCCAGAGCCTCTGTATCGCAGGGTTGTGGAGGTCTCAAGATAATAAGTACAGTCAGTCCCGCTCACGGGCCCATCCCCGTTGTTGCGGCGGTATGACCTTGGGGTCATCCATCTGGTATCTGCTCATAGACAACAGCAACAACAACAACTACAAAGGGGTATGCGACTGACCTGGGCAGCGGCGAAGGCCGTCAGCGCCCGCTCGACTTCCCCTTGGAGTTGGGCGAGATTCTTCTTCTTCTTCTTCTTCTTCGGCTTCTGCTTATTCTATCAGTATAAGCATGTCATAATAAAGCGTGGTTGTTTGACTTACCACGACGGCGTTGGCTTGGTGGCGGGGCGGGCGCGCGACCGCCCTCCGCGTAATGGACTGTACAATGCTTGAAGATGGCCCTATTATTAGACGGATTAGTAGATGCTTATTCCAAAAGTATGACAAGCGGTAGTGAGATGGCAGTGATGTCGTTCAGAGTTCTGGTGGCATCGTGGGCTGGACAAGGACACGGATGGCGTATCACTGGAAGGGTGAGAGCAGATTGATAGGGGCTCGGTGTTTTATGTAAGGTTATGGAAGCCCATGTCAGTAAAGAGAGAAATGGGCGTAGATGATGGAGGGAGGTCCTTGGCTGGGGCCACGGATAAGCTGCTTGGGTTGGACAGTGGTCCCATCGAAGGGAGAGTGGCAGCGGGCGCACTGTCCATACAATGGAGTCATGGGCAAGAAGATCGTGGAATTGAGGAGATACTGCGAATGTAGGAAGTGGAATCGAAGGCGACTGTGGTATAGCGTGCACCTCTAGTGCTTGGGCTGGGTCAGGAAGCATGATGGCATATCGACAAGCCTAAGGAGCCAGCCGAAATTTGATCAGCGATGTGGGTGCATTGCAAAAAACCAAGTCCATCTGATGCGATGATTAAACAGTAGATCATGGGCTCAGGATTGCAGGATAGGAGAGGTGATGCCAAACCAAAGGCGTACTTACATGATTGTGGTGTTGTCCAAGGAAGAAAGAAAAGAAAATCAGAACTCCAGCTTCATCCAGAGCAAAGACACAACACAGGGGGACCCACCGTGCTCGACCAGAGGCAGTCAGGGCCGTCGAATCGGGCGCGTGTATTGCGCCTACCTCATGTGGCTCACCTGCACCTTCCTTGTGTAAGTGCTGTCAACCGTGCGGTCTTACTGCCACAACTGACCGGGCACTGCTCGTATGTGACACGCATTAGGTACCTAGGTAGAGATCACACTGCTCATCACGATCAATGATGGCTCCATACCACACAATGTAACAGCTATCCAGCACATAGGCCAGCGAGATGGTTGCCGTCACGACAAATCCACTGCTCAAGAGAAGCTACAGCCAAAGCTACCTTTCCGTTTCCGTAATCAACACGCATCTTGGTGCTCCCTGACTGTTAATTCAGAGTCGAGATGTTGTATCATTGAGTTAGCAATAACCATAGATAAGGTGGCGGTTGATGCTAGTGACCGATTCCAGGGTCGAGTTGGGTGCCATTGCGGGTGTATTACGTGTGGACTCCACAGGCTGCTCAAGCGTCCCCCTTTCCAAGAAGCCGCTCCTGCCAGCAGCCGCTATCAAGTAGGTACACAACACAACCCATCCAGCATTGGCAACTTATTCAGCGGGTGGGTGTCTTCAATGTTATTAGGGTGAACGGATCCAGCCATTACTCCGTTGGTGTTTTTTATTTTGGCAGTAAATACTCTTTCAAGTTGATGATCATGTAGTGTCAGGCCCCTTCTGTCGGGCTCCTTCCTCGACATCCCAACTTGCATGCAACTCACTCGCTCCTTCCTCCAGAGTCCACAGACATGGCAGTGGGCAACCTAAATCCCCTGCATAGAGTCCACGCTGGCTCTCCGTTCCTCGTAGATCACCATCAACACCATCACGACTACTGGTGTAATCATGCCGCAACAACGGGGATGGGCCCGTGAGCGGGACTGACTGTACTTATTATCTTGAGACCTCCACAACCCTGCGATACAGAGGCTCTGGGAGGCGTGGTTTGCACTACTGAGGAGCTACCCCCCACGTTAAATACAATCAATCAATCAATACTGGTGTAATCAGCTGTGATTCAATTTGTATCGAAAGCTTGACTTATCTGAAGTTCCTGTGATCAGCCGTTGATTGATTGTTATTACACTCCAATCGTGTAAGTCCAAACCAGGATCCTTCTGTGTGCTGCCCACCTTCCGACATCTTTGCCCTGGGCTTCTCGTATGCCCAACGTTCAGACATGAAGCTCCTCCAAGCCCAGCCCTTCCTGTCGTCGTCTCCCCTTACTCACGTGCTGCTCTAGATTCAATGTTCGGCCTCCTGTTTCAGTCTGTCCTTGCTTGGTTACTGCTCAGTGTCCGGCGTCCCAGCACGAGCTCCTTCATGTCAAGTCTTCCCGTTGTGTTGCTCCTACTCCCCTGCTGCTCGGTGTCCGACGTCCCAGCACGAGCTTCTTCATGTCAAGTCTTCCCGTTGTGTCCTCCTTCTCATCCATGCTGCTCGATGTCCAATATCTAGCCTCTCACCGTCCTGCTCTGTCCCTATTCGCATATCCCTCGATGTCCCCTACGCAGGATGGAGCTCAACGATCCATGACCCCTTTCTGCCGAGCTCTGCAGCTGCCCCTGTGATCATCGCTAACGCTCCAGAACTTATAGACTATCATTATCCATATTTACGCGGAGTGGTACCTCCCCTTTTATCTGCCATCATGAGTATTCCATTCAAGAGAGCATCGAAGGAGGAGGCTGGGTCCAGCAGCTCTGCAAAGAAGCTGAAGCAGGGCCCAGAGACTGGCACCGGAGAGCTTGCTGCCATCGAAGAAGGCTGTGGACCTTCAACTGGCATTGCTAATCTCGAGGATACAGACCAGACTCGGCCTGAAGTCAAGCAAACAACCAGAGAGTCAATCTCGGAGTTGTTTGGCTTCCCTATGGGGAGGGACGAGACTTGGGGTAATGTTTTGCTCGGCTTGTTGGAAGAGGGCTCTGATAAGGACTCTCTCAAGGACTTCGTTGAGTCTCACAAGGCTGACAAGTGGAAGCGCGGTGAATCTACCGAAGATGTTCTCGCATTCTTGCAGAGCAAGGCGATAGGTTGGGCTGATCATGATCCAGAGCTGACACTCATCTGGAAACGTTTCATCCCTAGGTTCCAAACGCTCCTCGGAGCAGAGTATTCCACAAAGTTGCTCTGCAAGCCGTCTGGCCCGCTGGATGCCATCCTTACAATAGTTTGGCACTATCCAACATTCACGACCAAGAAGCACAACTATGGTCATGTTTTCGACACGTCAAACCCGTGCCTCAGATTTCAGTGGCAGAAGTTGGCAACAGTCATTCATTCGCACCCAAGACCATGTCGTGGTCCGTGATGCTTTCAGCAACAAGTCTCGGATCAAGAAGCCCAATTGGAAGGCTATCGAACAATTGTGCCAAGAGCTAACGCAAGAACTGAATGCATACTCTAAGTTCGTTATACTTGTGGGACAGCACAACCATGAGTCAATCCATGAATTGCTCGGGGACGATCAAGATGAGATCGTCTCAATGGCTGTAAAAGGCGTCATGCTGCCACAAATCTTCAAGTCGCCGCCGCAACTCAAGCTTGTTCGCAATAAGGTGACGAAAGCAATCAAGCATGTGGTTTTTTCATCATACCACAGCCAGAAATTCTTTTACCACGTGTCTCCGAAAGAAGCTGCTTACCATGACTTACTTTGGAATGCAGCATTGGACTTCGCAGGGCTTCCTATCGAGAATGATGCATACTTCTCTTACCGGGCAGAGCAATCAAGGACGAACCTTGCCCAGCTTACGTCTGACATCGAGACACGAGCAGAACGCATGATGGCTTGTTCTAGAACCCTAACTACGAGAGAGTATTTAACGTCGGATGCTCGCATTCGCCAGCTCAACGGCTTGCGCAATGTTACCGATGGTGAAGCTCTTGTCGAAGAGAGGCGAGCGATAGAAGCCAAGCTTGCTGCCCTGCTTCGTACCAAGCAGGGCCTCAGACTTCTTAACTTGTCAGTCAATCAGCACGTCTATTTAACGGAGTGGTGCGAAGACCGAGCGGTAAATGATCCGCTCTATCATTCCACGCCGGAAAAGGAGCGGATTCGTCAGTTCGTTACCTATCACGAACCGCTAGGTTACCAGCAAATGGAAAAGGCCAAGCTCTTCACTAGGGACAGCACAGAAATTTCTGGTCTTCGAAAGCTCGTGAGAGATCACGCCATCTTTTACTCTCCCGAGTTTCTTCGTGGACTTCGATGGGAAGGTGATGGCGGCCCAGCGACTGATGATTTCGACTACGAAAATGTCGATCATCCATGTATGAAGAGCAGTGCCAAGTCCAATCCTCTGGTACTTGGGGGTTGCCGTCGCTGGCTGGTTCGCGAGTGGATTCGTCCACTTACTGAGATGCTGCGACTTTTGTCACGGCGAGCATACTGGGGAGCTGGGACATGGCCTGCAGCAAGCAGCTATTACTCTATTGACGAGAATATCAAGACTAGAGAGGAAAGGAAGAGAGAGAGAGAGAGAGATAGGTACAGTGGGAGGTTGCCCCTTTAAGGGGATCCTCTGGTCAGATCCTTCCCCTATTGGGAAGTATCGGCTTGTCATGTGGGAAGGTCTGTACAGGCCGTCACAACTTTGGTCCTTCGCTGGCTGGTTCGCTCGGGGTCCGTCCTCTTGCTGAGATGCTGCGAAGGATCCCTTGACTGGTTCGTTCGAAGCTTCGCGCTTCTTACTGAGATGTCGAGAGATGGCCCAATCGAGTTCTGCACCAGATCGCTGGTACTTTATGCGATCTGGTTGGTGGGGGAGGGTTGTGTCTCATGTTGGGTTGGTTCTCGGGAGCGGAGGGGGCGCGCAATAGCCCCCTCCATATGACTCTCGCCAGCTGCGCGAGACGGGGGAGGGTTGTGTCTCATGCTGTGTTGGTTTTCGAGGGGAGCGAGACGGTGTGGGGGGAGGGTTGTGTCTCATGTTGTGTTGGTTGAGGGCTGTGTACCATGTTGTGTTGGTTGGGTGGTTCTCGAGACCTCCGCACGGGGGAGGGTTGTGTCTCATGGGTGTGTTCGGTGGCAGCAATGGCCACTTGATCGGGATACCATCATTGGAAGACTCGCTTGGAGACCTACGCCAGAATCCCATGGGAGACGAGGGGGAGGGTTGTGTCTCATGGGTGGGTTGTTTCGGTGGCAGCGCAATGGCCACTTCATTGGCAGACCTTCGACGGGAGACCTTTGTCATGGTGGTGACCTGGTCTCTACTAACAAGCCACTCTCCTACATCATCCTCGAGCGTCTCGCCATTGGCTCAGCACCTTGAACCGCCCCCGGTGCGCCCGCTTGCATCGCCCGGCACCAAGATATCATGGACGTACCGCCTCCGTGTTGCGACTTGAACTACAACAATGACATCCCTGTCTTTATCCGCGCCATAACTTGAGACCCGCCGACGGGCGTTCGGATATATCCAAGACCATAATCGATGTTAGCCAGTTTGGTCAACTTGTCACAGTCACCCACGCCTGGCGGTATACGGAAGAAAGGGTCCTGCCACGCGGTATGTCAAAGTCACATCCTTCTCGATCATCGCTTATGATTAATCATAGTGCTATTCATCTTCGCGGACTACCTACCTACTTAGAACATTCTAGCGTTCGATCTGGAGAGGACCTTGACCTTTCTACCTTCACCTCCACATTCCACCTCCCACCCCCCACCTTCAGCCAGCACCGAACAAGGTCACCCACAACCATTATGGCCGACCACGAATCTAGCGAGCTTTCATCGATGTCGTCTTTCCCTCCTGCTCCCTCTGAGGCGCCTCCAATTCATTCTATTCCCAAGACCATACAGACAACACGACCGAGACCCGCGGCATTCCGGAATGCGATCTTGAGAGGGCCTTTCCAGCAATACACGACATTTAACACCCTCCTGTCAAACTCCAGTAACCTCGCTAGAAACATCCATTATGTGGCAAATGCAAAACCGAGGTCTTGGAGAGATAAAATCGAATCCTAGACGACCAACATGCTCAATGCCGGCCCTGAGCCGCCCCGCCTCTGCCACCAGGAGCAGCAACAGCAACATCAACAGCATCAACAGCAACACCAACAGCAACAGCAACCACCACAGCACCCCAGCGTGCCCTCTCGCACCAGTAGCACCACCTATGACCTCGTCCGATCTTAAAACCACAACCCCGTCGACCTGAACCCAAATGCCCTAAAACATAACAATAAGCAGAGCCCCCGTGCTATAAAAATGCAGCAGATCATCCCAATCTACCAAAACTTTAACCATAGCATCCGCAGATGGCTGTCTCCATTCGTCCACTGCTTTATACCTATACAAGGCGATGCGCTCCTGATTCTGTCACCGAACCTGTTGGGGATGCTGAACACGATGACGGGAGGTCGACCAGCCCCGGTTCTATGGATAGACTCAACTATCAGAAATTGGAAGACGACTTTCAGCACAATTCAGAGACTGTAGGGGGGAGCAAGAATGGCTAGACTTTATGGTGCTGGCTTCGACCGGGATATGCAGCCACCACTCGTCAACTCCTTTTTCAAAACGCACACCTTCAATTCTCCATCTGCACAGCCACCTGGACACCACCGACTCAAGCGTTCATCTGAAATCAGTCAACGACGCCAATACGGTGTTTCGATGGACTTGGCCATCATCACACACCAGTACAACGGATAGTCGCCATGGAAAGACTCCCGGAAGAGTTGTTGGTGCTCGTCTGCTCATTTCTGCCCAGGGAGCTTGTACCGCAATCCCGCCTCATCGACCGCAAATTTGCAGGGCTTGAGGCCGATGTGTCACACGCCGGGCGACATGCGCGCAAAGCCTTGCCCATAAATCCAGAACCTGCTCGAGACACCTTGTTCCCTCCTTCATCCTTCTCCAAACATTCAACTCAGCAAAACATGGTCAAAGCCCGCCAAATATGACACCACACCATGTCCTAAAGATAGGACAAGCACGTTGTCATCCTCCAGAAGGTCCTCGAAGATCCAATTCCTTCTTCTCGACACATAGTGAAGATCAAGGCCCTTACGGACAGGATCCCCATCATCAGAAAGTGTCCAACTACGACCACAGCAACACAGCGGGCCCAGTACGCTCTCGCACCAATGGCACCGCGTATAACCCCATCAGAGAGGGTCCAACAGTCCCCAAAACCATCACGACATAGTTTCGACAGTAAGATCGAACTGTACAGCTTCCTAACAGGGGACGTGCCTCTTGAAAAACGCCTTTCCGCGAATAAGCCGTTCTACACGCTACATTGAACGTCCAAAAGTCTCCATACACCCTTCATTCAACAAGCGAGATATATATTCATTATAACAGCGTAGCAAGGAGCATCAGCGATGCCTTATTGGACCAACTCTGCTTTGTCCACGTTGCTTATTAAACTAATACGAACATAGAATTGATCCACTAGACTTGGTAGATGGATGCAGGACTGAGACTGGTGGGGGGTGACCATACCCTCGTAACTGAATTCCAGCACTATACTATGGATCTTTACAGCCTCGAGACAAATCATCTCCCGTCCACTGAATGGCGGCAACATATCGAGGTATCTCGTGGCTGGATTTCGAATATTCTAGCCGAGAGTCCATTGCGAAGGCTGACTAGATTCGCCAGAACAAACCGATAGCAATAACAGTGCAGCCTCCCAACCCACAGCCCACCCGCCCTCCCGACCCTCCGCTCCCATGCCGACCTCGATCCCGATTGACTGGAGTATGTTGCCACGACCTTCAAATCGGGAATTACTCCTATCGACAGCGAGGCAGAAGAAAGCCTACCTGACCACGACACGCCGAGTCCAGTTGTTTCCTTCATGCCCTCGACTGTTTTGCCCGGCTTAGGAACATCCTGCTGTTCTGTAGTAGCCAGTCATTCGACAATTACCAGAGGGGAGATAATGATCCTTTCGAGGGCCTCGCACAGCTTTTCCAATGCAAGGAAGATCCACTCTCATGTGGCCATATCGACGAGGTGATCGGGACATACAAGGAGCGGGCTGGTAGTCCCCGCTTTGAAATTGAGCGCGGCGACCAGCAACCCCGAGCCTACCTTGCCAAGATGCACAAGAGCAACAGCCAGTCCCAAAATAAACCCCAAACCATCGATGCATCACAAGTTTGCCCACCCATTTACATCATCCTCATTATCTTCAGTCCTCCCTGAGACTGACCACACTTTCCGCTTCATTCCTATCCTGCGGTACACCGTCCGTATTATGCCCTTGATCGGCGGGGCCATGGGTCCGAATACCGCCTACATGGTCAAGTCGATGAACGAGATTGTCTCTGACGACCCGCCTCTCAAGACTCGGTGCACCTCTTTGACATGATCTAGGTGCAGACGTGCCGAGCCGAGCCACCTCGTCTTCACGTATCGGTTTGGCCGATGCGATCACTCCAGACTCTTACCCGAGAGAGGTTCACGACGGCCTCGATCAGGGGTTTGTGCCTTGCAGCATGCGGTGAACGTCACTGTCGATTTCCACCTTTACCCTGGCGTTCCTCACGGCTTTGACTCAGCTCCGCATATCTGGCTGGTTTGAGACGTGCACGCGAACCAACTCAGGTTTTTGACTGGCTTTTGGGCTCGGACGACGATGTGGTGATGAGTTTCGGACGTGGAGGGTAGCGACAGGCAGGCTGAGCGCGAATTTCTCGACGCCTGTGTGGTTCAGGGACATCCCTGTCATCTGCTCCTATTCGCAGCTCGACCGAGCGATGACTGGATTGGTACTGCTGTCCGCTCCATTTATCCGCATTTTGGCCAGGAGTCTACCTCGCTCCTAGGTACAGGACCAGCGTGCGTTAGCCAAGGAAGACTACTCTGGGACATCTCCTACCGCCCTCGCATGTGTGACGAGCCGTCTAACCTATAAGGCTAAAGGGTTCTATAGGGTTTATATTCTGAGGTAAGTCAACACAAAAGACGATAGAGGCTTCTGTCAACTAGAAGACACTCAGATGCTGGGGCTTGGTCTGAACTGGGTTCACTGAATAGTCGAGTCGTCAGGAGATTTCTCCCACCTTAGGGTTGGCTAAGATGCTTAGATTGATCACTGAGGTAGAGACTGTCTATCTCTCTAGCTAGGAAATGTCCATCCTTATATATCCAATCTCTCCCTCACTGATGGGGTGGATATATTGGATAACCTTGCTATCCAAGCTATTCTGGATATGTTGGATAACCTCGCTATCCAAGCTATCCATCACGTAATGTCTTGATCACGTGACCTAGACGTTTCCTTGGCCCGTGCGTTCTCCCGGGTTCTTCCAGTTACTGTCCATCTTGTTGGGCCTGCCAGCGGGCCTCATTCCCTGTACGCCTCGTTGGTTCGTAACAGCATGTGTCTCAACGAGAGATGTGGTGAACAGCAGTCCGACCGAGTATCCCACTGCACGCTCTTCCTTCAAGACCTCCCTATTTACGACCATTTGTGCGAGTCGGTTACCTACCTGGAAGGAAACGAAGAGACGAGAACAAGTGTACCAAAGCGAGATGGCCAGACCTTCGGATATGAATCATGCATAGACATTGCTTCACATTTAGTGATAGCGTAGCGCGTGTCATGACTTATGACGGTACCCTCGTGGATGGCCTATGGCGTTCTGGCTCGTATAAAACGTGTTGTCTACCGAGTCCGACGGTATATCAAGCGCCTTATTGATCCTCCTTCAAAAAGCGAAAAACCCAATTATCGCGGGTCACCAAACAAGTAGGTTGATACCTACCAAGTCCCATTGTATTATGTTAACGTGGAGGCAGCAGACCCCTCGTGGGACGGCCAATTCTCTCTCTACCTTCGCGCCTCTTTTTTCGACGCTCTCCTCTACTCCCGACCAAAACTCACATGACAGAAGTTCCATCCACCGTCCTCTCCTCCTGCCTTGTACGTGGCAGTTAGTCTGTTAGACATTTCATTCAGATCCCCAGAATATGGCAGCCCCCACATGTGAAAGACCCCGGCTTGCACCTCCGCTGCATGTGGCCTTGAATGGTCCACCGACGCCTCCGTGAAGTCCTCTACATCTTCGTCACCACCTCCGACTGCTGCAACCCCGACTGCTGTATCTCCGACTGCGCTCAGCATCGGTGCCGCCTCCCCAGTAACTGGAGATTTCATTCATGCCGAGGCCCTAAATATCCAGCAAGACGGATAACACGAGTATGCCACGGAAAGAGCGGTGCCTTTATTGGTGAAACAAATCGTCTACCTCTTTCACAACATACATTTCTGCGGACACCAATGTGGCAGTATCCGGACACTGTCACACTGTTGAGAGGGGGGATGGCCGCAGGTACGATAAAAGGAGAATGACGGACGTGTTGGGTTTAGGTATTGAGGTCTTTCCTGCCATTGTGGGCCGCCGGTTTACATTGATCCTCGGAAACTTGTATACATAGCAGACCTAGTTCCCTTACCATGGCCTCGAAGCCAGACAATATATCAGAATGTCAAGTGCTCAATGAAAATGTCAAGTGCCTCATCGAAAGTCAGGTGCCAAATTCAGCAGCCAAAACAGCCAGTTAAACAGCCAGCTAAACAGCTAGATCAATGGGTAGATACAAGTTGGATAGACGGATATACATTAGAATGGGTCTACGTTAAGTGCAGTTGCAAGTATTATTGTCGCTTGACATTGTTATCAATCGACGACGAGCTGGCTGTCAATTGACAAGGGGAGATGGATGGGCTAGATGGACACGAATACCTTGAAATGGCTGTAGGTCAGGTGCGCTGGCAGGTACCACGGTCGCACGGCACCAGGTCAAGTGCTCACGGCTGCATGGAATCTGCAATGTAGAAGGGTGGCCTGGTATATAAAGTCATTGGAAGAAGTTTTTGCATAAATGGGGACGTGGCGCAGTGATATGCGCGTTGTCTTCTCTTCACTGTGCCGGGGCGACAGCACCGATTGTCGTAGAGAACAAATCAGAGGTCGTAGGTTCAAAACCTGACGTCCCTAAATTTTAAAAAAAAAAAAATTCTTTTTTCTTTGGGGTGGGGATTTTCTAATGTAGGCTTTTCTTATGAAATTAAAGTTATTTGGTGGCATTGCTTATTAATTGCCTAGTGTTGGTAATCTTTAGTCGCGTTGAATAAGGGGTAAATTCCAGGTTGCCTTCTTGCTTGCTTTAACCTATTGACCACTGTAGCTATCAAATCCTCACACGCCCCCATGGCTACAGGGTGGTCCACATGTTCTCCTTGGTCTCCTTCCTTGCTCGAATAGCCTGGCTGTCAACACCGTGGCTTCCATCTGCCACATCTCCCACCGCTCTGGATGACTCTGTTGCCGTCGAGCTGCTCGGTGTTTCTGCCATCATGGCGAGAGGGACATCGAACACTCCTCCAGAAGACCGCAACGCGAATCTACGTCGCGCGAAACACCCCGAATACAGCGCACGCTGCAGTCACACCACGATGTGCGCACCCTGAACCGAATGTCAGGATCTGGTGACTTTGGTGCAATGGTGGTCACTAGCTCAAAGCAAGCAAGAAGGCAATCTACCCCCTGTTCCGCACGACCGAGAATTGCCGACATGGTAACATCTCATCTGTGACGGCTAATTGACCTGATCAGAGCCTGGAGGTTAGCAGAGGCGGCCGTCGCTTCGCGGCGCGTGCTTGAAGCTGGGACCACGAGCATTACGACGTTTCGGCATTTGTGAGAGTGAAAGCGCCAACGAGAGATAGACTGCTTCGAGAGCGCGTCATCCCAAGGCGTTAGCAGATGAGTACTCCGCTTCCGCGAGCACACCATCCAGTCCCTTCAGGCCTACGGTGCGTGTCGCGATCGTCTACAGCGCGTGGCACCGCGTTGATCGAACCCCCGATCATCGTCCTAGATCCACAACAGCGCTCGCAGCAGTCATCTACAGCGCGTGGCACATGGCTAGAGTACGGTGCGTGGCACCCCGAATCGCAACGCGCGTGGTAGTCACACCACGGCGCACGTTTCCTGAACCGAGCACCAGCCTTCCGACCGAAAGGAGCACCGAATCGCGCATGATAGTAGTCATACCACAGCGAGCACCGAACCGAGTCATCAATGAACAAGGCACGAAGTCTTCTAGCCGCCGAAGGCAGAAACATGTGCAGAGCCCTCTGTGAACCACTCAATGGCACGAGGGATGGTATCACCATTGCAGAAGGTGATGACCAGTTGGCTGCCGGTGAGTCGGCAGAAGGAGCGTACCGGCTACGACTAGCCGCCATATCGACGAAGATACGAAGACACATATATCGGGAAGAAGCATGGGCTTCTTTCTATCCACGAGGTAGCAGGCACCAGCCAAAAAACCAAGGATGGCAGCAAGCAGCTGTGAGAGATCCGAGCGAGCGAGCGAGCACGAAGTGACCGCTCCAGCGGAGGAAGCACCAGAAGTCCGCTCGCTACGACGACAGAGGCACCAGCAGATGTGGCAGATGGAAGCCATGGAGCGGCATGAAGAAGAACATCAGAGCCGGACCCCCAAACGGCATCCGTGTCCCGAGCTCCGCCCGCACCTTCGGAGGCGCGGAGAATTCGGCAGATCTAGACATCCCAAAGACAGAATTAAAAATGCAAAAGAAAGGTGGGGGGGTGGCGTTACCAGGCGGGGGACATAAACCACCGACCTGAGAACTGTGAGGTACGATCACCTGGATGATACTTGAAAACAAGTGGTATTTCCACCTAAAAACAGGTATGGCGACGCCGCTTCCCGGAGGAAAGCGGCTCTGCTGGCCACGGACGGGGGTTACGTGATAGCGACCTTGGGAAACCTGGGTAGCCAGCCACTGCAGACTACCTACCACCTAACAGACTTATCTGGGCTTCACGGGAGCAAAACATGAAAACAACCGAACAGTTCATAAAACCAAAAATTTAAAAGCTCCCCCAATCCCGGTTCGAACGGGAGACATCCAGATAACAGATATGCAATTACAGTCTGGCGCTCTTCCAACTGAGCTATTGGGGGATGACGGTACATGCTCCAAATGGCTAATATGTACCCGGCTCACCGAAACGCTTGCCAGATTGGTGGGGAATGAGCTTGGAAAGCCAGCTGGCACCAGCGGGGTCAGCATGCCATTGGGAAGAGCGCCAGCAGAGCCGCCGCATTCGAAAAGGATGCGGCGGCGCCCGCCTACGGTCTAGCGCCCTCTGCGCGCAGTGCCGAGGGAAGCTGGTTCACGGATTACAATCCCGGTCCTCATGGAACCAACTGAGTGAGCTATTGGGAGATGACAGATGGCGCCATCTAGTCATCTATATACCTCGCGCCAGTCGGAGTGTGTGCCGACCAGGTTGTGGAGTATGGTACCGGTCAGACGGAGGTCTCTACACCACGCAAACAAGCCGGGAGTGTGGGGGGGTCAGCTTATCCACACTCGCAGACTCGTCATCGGGGCCCCTCGTCATCGTCTCTTTGTCCCTCCGAAGCGCAAGGGCCTGGGGAATCAGACGATGTGAACCACCTCAGCCAGTCATAGCCAGATGACCTGTTTCGAATAGCACGTGGTTGTTGAAGATGCGTCCTCTAAGAACGTGCTATATGTGAGTTACTGGCAGGCTTTTTAGCTTGGTGGGACAGTTCTGTGCTACTGTGTAGAGGGGCGCGTGCACACTGAATCAATTGGTTGTGGTAAGGATTACCGCCGAGAATTCGACGTGATCATGATGAATTGTATCAAATAAGGTGGGAATTCAGTGTATCATTGAGGTCGGGCGACATGGTGATGGAGGTCGGTCGGGAGGACGGCGAGGCGTGTGTGCAACGTGCGTGCGTGTGGTAGGAATCCTGATATTGGTCCAGGAATTGCGAGTAGATTATCGTGAGATCCAAGGCATCGTGAATGAATGTGTATTGCCGCAATGGGAGAAGCAGGGCTGTGTACGAAGGCTGGCGGCTCTCACCATGTGAATCAACTGGGTTGGAGGGGATGTGGTAAGGATGCTGGAGAACAAATCTCCAGGGCTAGCGAGAGACGTATGATATGGTGGATTCCCACTGTGTATTGCACCTTCCCACAACACCTTGAGGGCCATGCCTGCCAACTACAACAACGAATTGGCAAATTGAGCCTCTGAGAGACCGTTTTCGAACCCGCTCGCCGTCCCTGTTTTTTCTTCACTCATTAGAGAAGGAGGGATATCATGCAGACAAGAACTGTCCTCCTGGGACCTTGGAAGGTAGCTAGGTACCGGTACTCAAGCGCCTATCTTCCGCTCCCGTCCCTTGCATCGATCGGGCACGGAAGGATAGGGCCCCGAGCGCCGACTTCCATCCTAACCGCGTGGCCACATTTAGGGGCCACAGGGGTCACACACGGTTGCCGCATAGAATCAGTCTCCGATTACGCTCGCGATAGCATCATTCGCGCCCAAGGATGTTCTATTCGTGTACTCATTCCTGGCCCTGTTGGTAGCCCCAGAATGAGGTGCTTTTGCCTGTCAAGGCAGCCAGTATCCCGACCTGCAGGATCGCAGTGCGCTTCTAGTTACATCCACTACAAGACCCAAAATAACCTTGTGACCGATACCGAGGCAGCGAGGGTCCTTGTTTTTTTGCAACACCCACACCACCCTGAGAGGGCTACGATGATCTAGACCACTACCCCAATGAGCAATGCCTGACTGCGCACTCCGCTCGGCGAGCAGCGGCATCAGAACCGTCAAGAGCGGTAACAAGTGTACATAAGGCATAGATCCACACTCAATCGGATGGATCATGAACCCAGAGTGAACGCAAATACGCTGTCAGGAGAATGAACGGCATCCAGGGGTTAGGTAATATAGCAGCCTGCAAGGAAGTCACGAAGCTGGGGTGCATATACATAAATATATCCAGAACCCACTAACTTATCATTGTCGACCGGTCCATGGCTTGGCGCAAATGTTGGAAATAACGACTTGGAACTGACGAGAGTCCTCTTGGATTCAGCATTCATTTCATTCATGATACAGGCAGCAATGCAGCGGCGCAGCGCGGCACATGTGACGATCTATGCCACTGTAGATAATGTCAGTGACGTTATCGTCAATCATGCACATCTGCCTGTGCCGCGCTGGTTGAGTAGTTGCCACTCTGGATGACCCAGGGTACCCTGACGAGAACGTCACCCGAAGAAGTACGTTGAAATAGCTGTGCATAAGAGGCATCAACCTTTCTGCGCTCTGGGGGATGTTGGTTTCTATCCACTCAAGAGACACATTTACCCCAGAAGCAGACTCCGACAAGACCGAAGCCATCCAAGCACATACTTTCAGCAAAGTCCACTATTCCATCTGTGGCCTCGTCTATCTCCATTCACTAGCAACCCAAACGAGTCGAGAAAGCACTCCAACATGAAGTACGACCACGTCACCCTCCCCGCCCTACAAATGGCCGCTGCGGCCTTCCTGGCGTCGACCTGCCAGGCCAAGACCTACTGCACCGACCAGAACTCCAGGGTCGTCGCCAAGAGCAACTGCGACGGCACCCAGCCCCGCGACGACTTCTTTCTGACCCAGCACACGGCCAGGGCTGCCGTCGGCGACATCGTCGAGGGGCGGAAGGTCGACAGCACCAACCCGATCGCCCGCAAGGTTGCCAGAGTGCCGGCGATGCCGGGCAAGGAAGCCGGTGGCTTCGGTAGGCGCGAAGACACGAACGGCAACGGTATTGATGATTCGGACGAAGACAAGGACGGCGATGGGGTTACGGTCGCGGAAGGAGACATGAACGATAGTGACCCCGATATTGGTGCCCCTGCGTCCACGTCTGCTGGCTTCGGGGGATATTACGGCGGCGGCTACAGCGGCGGCTCATGATTGTGTAGTAGAACCTCATGTGGCGCTTCGGCTTGGGATTGGGCTCGGTTTTATGATATCAGATGAGAGTACGAAAAGGCGGGCGGGTTCCTACTACTGAGATGTATATTTTGCTGTGTTCTAAGCTGGCATACGTTGGTGTTTGGTTGGGGTACGGTAGTTAGCATTCTCGATAAGCGCAAGTCGTTCTCGTACTCTTTATCAATCAACTCGTGTGCTTGACCGGAATGTCAGAGTTGTCATTTCTCCTGTTGTGACGAATTGTTTGTAAAGTGCATAGAGTGATGTTATTGCTGTGGCAGACGATATCGCGGAAGGCACGACAGCAAAAGATATCTTTCAGCGGCCGGTTACCTTCAGGGTTACCAACACGGCGACTTAGTCTATGACATCAACGTCCTTGACACATTTGATTTCTTGTATACCCGTAGCCTACGTTTTAATGAGCTGTTTGCGGTTCATTCGCTAATTTGCTGGCCTGCAAGTTGAGCGCTTCATAGCCATAAACCAAAATGCCTACATGAGACTCAAAATTATGGTAACGGTGTACTCTCAAAAAGACGGCAACGGCCGTAATACTGAGTCGCAAGAACTGGTTTCTCTCGATGACCACAAACACGCATACATTTTGGAATTACCTGTCTAACTTAAGCCACAACAACACTTCCAATGTACTCCAGCACACCATTTGACTTGTCCTGCAACTGCAGCCGTTCCAGCTTCAACCCGGCCTCAATCTCGTCGACGTCCGGTACAGGCTTCCTCTCGTACTTTACGGGGCCGTCCGAGATCGTGTGGGGGATGAAGACGGAAGCATTCCCGGTTATAGTTGACTTGTCCTCTCTGATGCCCATGCCTCCCACTTCTCCATCGATCATCCAAAGCCCCAGCAACGGATAGTATGCAGTACCTTCTTCATTTTCGAAAGCCGGCAGCATCGCCAGCTCCTGCACGATGTATCCCTCTTTCCCGTAGCCATCGCTCTTCACTTCGGAGACCACCTTGCCTTTTTCTTCCAGAGTCACCCCCCAGCCCTCGCGCGAGAAGATGGGCTTGCGGGCGAAACTCTTCAGTGATTGCGGGGCCTCGTCCTCGAAGTAGGTGGGCAAAAGCCACTGTGACCTCGGATCATCTTTGAATATACTCCAGAGAACTGCCATCAGAGCCTTGTTACTCCAGAGCATCTTGTATGGAGGCTCAAACCCTGGATGAGTGCGAGTTAGCGACTGCTTCTGCAGGGTTTCTTATGTCTCGACGACATGAGATCAAGCGGAGCAGACTTAATGAACTGAGAAATACTCACAGATGGTACCGCCGATATATCCCCCTGCTTCGTTCCGTTGGCCGACAGTCTCCATGTCTTTGAACGCAGCTTCTCCGAACTTCTGCTCCACCATCCACTCCCAAGGATACAGTTTGAAAATGACATCGATGTGTTCTCCCTGCAGGTCGTAGAAGCGCCCGTCCTTCTTGGATAGAGATATGTGCTCCATGTATATCCGTTTGGTCTCGTAGCCGGCCTGTAAAATGCACCTATGAGTCTTTGCCGAGGTCATGAACCGGACAGTGATAACTCACCTCTTGGCACGCCGTCGAGATATACAATGTACTCATGGCGTCCTCTCCCGAGGGCTCTCCCTGGCCAGTGGCGAAGTGGACTTTGGGGCGGTGACCCAACTTTTCCTCCACCAGAGCCAGGTTCCTTTTCCATGCGTCGACGAGTTTCTCGTAGATCGAGTTGAGCTGGTCATTCCCCTCTCCCTTCTGTTCCATCCACCACCACTGGCATGACCCAGACTCAATGATCGACGTGGGAGTGTCAGCATTGAACTCGTAGCACTTTGGGGTCCTCAACTGGGGGTCGGGATGGTCAAGACCGCCAAAACAGAAGTCGAATCGGCCATCTAAACGACCGTCAGCGCACAGGCTCGTGGGGATGTGTTGAAAGACTCCTGAGCCGTCATTCCGACCTAGGTTTGCTGCTACTCACAGACACTCCCCCATGCGGGTTCGCGGTCCCAGGACTCCTTGATCTGCTTCAACGCAAAGGCTGGCACGGCCATCCTGCCCGTGATCATCTCTGGGTGCTCCACCAAATAGTCGGCCGCCTCGCAGCACATGTCGAACACATCGGTGGCGGCTTTCTCTAGCAATGTCGTTTCCTCGCTGGTGAAGGAGTAGTAACGATCATCCGGCCAATACGGCTCGTCATTCGCATCGCCCTCCTTGGAATCCTTGCAGAACACCAGGCCTTGCATCTGCAACAGCCGTGTGGCGTTGGGCCGCTTCTCTGTCGGAACTCGTCGCATGGTTCTCGTCTATTGGTGCGTGTGGGGGGATGTCTCGTATGTGAATGTGGCAAAGTCTGGTTGCAAGCAATGAAGGAGGTTGCAGACCTTTGGAAAGCGCAAATGGTGTAGTTATTCTCTGTCACTTGCTGCCAAACTGGCATGGCCGTGCCATGGAGCAACACAGGGCATCCTGAAGGTTTTCCTGACAGCCTGTCGATCCTCCTGGCGAGGGTATGTTTCTATAACTGCTGTGCGTCCATTTGGTGCCGAATCCATAGCAGGCAGCCTCTTGGAACCCTGGCAGTGGCCATCCAAAACTCCAAACTTCAAAATAGCCGTCATCCAACAAAACAGTCAGACCATTCCATGCGGAACATCCCTCATCAAGCTCCAGTACGTCCTGCCAGGCTTCCTCTTGTCACGGTCCAGGGTCTGCGTGGGATGAGGAACCCGTGATCAGGGCCCCCCGCCTCTCGTAGGATTGGCAGGGGGATCCTACTTGAGAAACACCGTCTTCTCAAACGGGCACAAATCCCATGTACTAATTCAGGAACGCACTCCAGTCGCGCGAAGCTCATGTCCTGATCTTGTGACGACCGCGAACTTCGGCCTCGCCCTGCTGTTGTAAGCACGTTGCGCTGGAGGTACCCGTCAGCCCGTATCTTGGATGTCGCTGGGAATAGATGCTTACGGAGCAAAGTCACGGTAAAAGAGCCGGAGTTTGGCAGACAGGTCTGGCACTTTGGCACCTCAAGTGCAACTCCGGTACTCCAGGCATGCCTGAAGCCCTGGGAACGACCTCGTCGGCTCGCATGGAGAGACGCCGTGAAGGGGCAGTAGTAGCAGGCTAGTATGTCCGGTCTGCGACATGGAACGCGCAAAGACGGATTTCAGCTGGTTGTACAAATGACTAGGTAAGTACTCGTTGGTGCTGTCCGGCAGGTGGACTCTGCTAAGCCTCGTGCAATGTCGTATGCGCGACTGTGCCGCCGTGCTGCCTGGGCGCGACTCTTAAAGGGGAATGCGAGATACTTATAGCCGAGAGACTGTTCCTGTGCGGCAGGCACCAACCAAACATTCTCAGTCTCGCCGCTGCATTTCCGTGAATTTCGTGGTAATGACGCCTATCGTTGGCGGCACACACTCATGAGGACACTTTGGACCTCACGAAGCTGTCTAACGGTGATGGTTGCTGACTCGCATCGTCACAGTGTTCTCGATTGAAGCACCGTAGGAGCAGGAGGCTATCGACATTGACCCATACTCCAGCTGGATTGACCGGGGCAAGGGGCAAGCACCCGACTTGTTCCAGGCGCTCGGGTGTCCCGTCCAGGGCACCATCGCGCAGATCAAGCCAAACGATACGACTCCCGAGTGTCCGATCATGCTTAAGAATGAGGACGCGAGCTTCACCGGCCACCCATGCGCCGTGAACGTGACCGAGGCCGCAGCGAGCAGCATGTCGAGCAGCGTTGCTAGTTTGGCTACGCCGTCTCCCACGACGACGGGCAGCGCCGGGTCGACTGCGACCCCGAGCAGTGCGGCTGTCCCCTCGGACCCTAACACTTGGAGTTTTGTACTGGCTGCTTGCATCTTTGGCGGTATGGCATGGGCATGATATGGACATAGGATGCTCGAACAAGTCGAGATATACGATGGGAAAACCTGAGTCAGGCAGGCAAACAACTAACTACCGTTTATTCAATGTCGGTCACCGTAATCACGAATGAGGTATATCTTAAACTATCACGGTCTCGACTGTAATATATCGGTAGCCCTTCATGTGCGACGCCAACGCCAGACGAACCTCGGCACATCAGTGACGCGGTCGATGAAACCTGTACGTCGGCTGCGCGGGACAGAGAGGCCACGAAGCTCGCGGCGATCGGCCTTCTCGCGCTGATTTGGATCCGGCGGTGTTGACTCGCGCCCATGGCGGAGCGACTTCCAATGTCCAAGGTGATGATGGGCGTTGAAGGGATGGATTTCCGCACGGGAACCCGTGACTGGCGTATCGGGTGGTAGTTAACGGGTTTTGAGCTCTTCTCACACTGCAGAGAGAGAAGGCATTCCGGAAGTACGCTGATGGTATGTTCGTATTATGACGAGCCGTCTAACCTATAAGGCTGAAGGGTTCTATAGGGTTTATGTTCTGAGGTAAGTCAACACAAAGGACGATAGAGGCTTCTGTCAACTAGAAGACACTCAGATGCTGGGGCTTGGTCTGATCCAGGGGATCACTGAATAGTCGAGTCGTCAGGAGATTTCTCCCACCTTAGGGTTAGCTAAGATGCTTAGATTGATCACTGAGGTAGAAACTGTCTATCTGTCTAGTTAGGAAATGTCCATCCTTATATATCCAATCTCTCCCTCACTGATGAGGTGGATATGTTTGGATATGTATGATCCAACATATCCGTTACGTGACACCTAGGTCACGTGATCCTGCTCTTGGTTTGTGGTCCGTGTGTCTTCCTGGTTCTCTTCCGTCCCTGTCTCTCCCGTTGGGCCTGCCATCGGTCCTCTTCTCCTGTATGTCTTGTTGGTTTGTAACACGTATGTACGGTACTTCAATACCTGGGGCATGACGACGATATTGCCGTGGCCTTGCGTTTCTACTTATTGGGTGTTGAATAGATTCGCTGCGAAATTGATCCCGACATTAGAAGATCGCGTCTTCCTACCAAGACTGCTTCGTACTAGTTGACCCGCTGTTGTTCTGCTTGATCATGTCAGTGTTCTATGAGGCAGCTCTATGCTACTAGTCTCAACGTCAGAGTCCGGTATTCTAAGGCGAGGTATGCCTCGATTGACAACTTCTGTTGTGGCCTGCCAGGCCTAGGACTCTCTTCTATTGGCCTCGATGACATGGTCAACGTTCTGCGCGTTCGCCTATTGGACCTCTGAGAAGTGTCAGATCCGGGAATGTCGATATTATGGACTTGATGGAAGTACCTGATGTCATAACAACGGCACCAGCAGCCGAAACGACTCATGCTTATCATATCCTGTGTGCTTCACGAACTCGCCCTCTAGTAATGGTAGGGGGTAGCGTGATTGATTCGTGTGTCCGGAGCTTCAAAGGGTGTCGCCATACTGTCTCTTTGGGTTGGTGTCACGGTAAGGTCGGACGGAAGCATATGACATGCATTTTCGTATAGCAATGCTGTCTGAATATGGGACTTGTGATCCCTTCTTACTCGAACTCTGTGGTCTATGTACTGCCGCATGCTCCGATACGTTTATTCCGATGACCTTCAGGGACAGGATGCCTGCCACCGAGTGGCAGCCTGGAGTATTTACTCCGTAATATGGCGGTACGCCGTCAGCTTCCTCAACCTTGTGTTTCTCTGGTTGACTAGTCGACGATGGCTCTCCCGCGCTCACCTAGGGCTTGTTTCGTCAGGGTTGGGTCCGATGAAGTAACTTTGGCGAAGATCTGGAGCGGAGGTATCAGCGCAAGACAGAAATAGGGATGGAATCCCTGGGGTTCGGCGAAGAACATCTGAATTTGATACAGGTGAAGATGGGAGCCCGTACTGTACGCCGTCTCGGTTACGGCAGTGTGCTCTACATTCGGTGTGTTCTCTCACTGTACCTGAAGGCCATCGGCCCGACGAGAAAGTGATACTTATAAGATGTTGCTTGGTACGCGGTTCTTCAGTGTCTTTGGGCAGAGCCTCGGGGATTGGTGCCGCTACAGTCCGACTGCTGGGTGCCATTTGGATCACCGGCTGAAGCTCCAGGAGACTTTCCATCATTAGGAGACATGTGCCGCCATCAAACAGGGTACCCAGGGTGCTCATCAGTCGAGTCAATGTAGCCGTATCGGAACAGGTCTGCAACTGGATTGTCTTCATCGTAGCCGATTCAGGGGTACCACACGACTCAGCTGATGTCGCCAGCTTAGCCACCGTGCCTTTGTGCCAGAGTGACCATCGAGGCTTGCAGACACCGGCAAGGACAGGGCCAGCATCCTTCCTGTCCACCCTCAACAGCATAATGTATTTTGCTCGTGTGCAGGTGAGTGCTATGGTCGGGCTCCTCAAATCTTCGATCGTCGTGACCGTACTCGCATTCATCGATTTCGTCACAAAGTGCGTCGCGGCATTCAGGCCAACGCTGTCTCGCTGAGTATGAGGTCCCCTCGTTTTCTACCGGGGAAGTCTTAGAACGACGCGACGGCGAAGCAGGTGTCGAGGCAGGGGTGACGGGGAAGATAATGTAATCGTCGGATATCGCAGGAATCGCTGGGTAGTTGCTGGCGGAGTTTTCGCTGGACGTTAACGGTGTGAATTTGTCGGTCGGCAGAGGGGCATCGTAACTCTAGAGGTGAGATTAGATGTGAGGGCCCGACAACACCCTCGTAGTTCGTGAACCTGCCCAGACAGAACACAATTAGTATCGTGTCAATTCTTTCTTGAGTGATCATTCCGCTCGTGACTTAACAGACTAGCCATGTGAACAGTGAGCACCGGCCTGTCAACTGCAAGTACCGTACTGCTCAGGGGGCAGCAAGCACGCCAGGAGACCACTGGTTGCGATGGCGCTTGTGCCAGGCGAAATGGGTATCGTGGGGCTCTGTCTGTTGATTACGCAGAAGAAGATGTGGAAGTTAGCAGATCAGAAGATTGAGGGGTTGGTAGAAGGTGCCGTCACTATCCACAGCAGCCACGCAGAAATTGTGTGTCTTCGCCAAAGATGGTCTTTTGGGCGTCCACACTGCCTTCTAGGTAGACATAACACAAGAAGTTCGCCCTGAGAAAGAAGTGCATGCTGAATCTCGACTTCCGCTACATTGCATCAGCCAATTCCTTCGTGCTCAACGGTCCATCCTCTCACCCCATGCCCTGGATGACCAGACACGAACATAGGAACAAGGGGAAGGGAACAGGCAAGGACACAGCCAGTTACTACGAATTTAAGAAGTCTCCTCTTGCAGTCTCGTTGACCTTCTGACTATTTTGAGACTTTCCATCTAGGCACGAGAAGAAATACAAGACATCGTATATCCACCCGAGCCAGCCAGTTTTACGTCACCAGCGACCACCGTGGCGAAGTCTGTTCGACATAGGAATCGAGCACACAAGTAGACGGGAATACGGTCGAGGTTCTAGCCCGCCATCTGCAGGAAACAAGAAGAGCGGATTCACCGCTCAGGGGCGAAGAATGGTCACTGGGTACGCTCTGAGTAAGCATCGCCGCCCTTGCTCCTAGGAACGATTATACGGTAGTGGGGGATTTTTTCGACACATTAATATACTGGCATACAATCTTTCCGCGGCTCTATGCCTGGAGAACTACCCCTGTGTCCTTCTTACCTGCTACCATGCACAGGTATGCTTTGCTGCCTAGGTCGAACCTGGCTTGGTGGACGCAGGTGACTACAACTAGATTCTCCTACCGACATCTCTGGGCAGGAAAGGTACCATCAGCAGAGGTCTCTATGTGGTCTTGCGCCTGGACGTGAAGCCGTTTTCGTACCTAGAGTCGGGGGTACTTTTGTTCCTTGTAGTCCTTCGCTTTACCTGAAAAAGACCTCCTCTTGTACACGTGTTATCATCGTCCGACCTTCATATTCCCATCTACATTGGCCATTGATCAACTCGTGCTCGGTTGCTCGCCAGCAATGGGCATGGGGCGCTACCTCGAGATTTCCATAGGGCCCGTGACAGTGACGACGCCTTGAAGGACGTCCTTCAAGTCCAGGAGTTCCTGATACTGGAAGTGTCCTTCAACGTCTCACCAGAACCTAAGTCGCGCAAGGCTGTTATCCAAGTTCCGCGGTCCAGTCTTCGACTCTTCGAGTCAAGCTTCACTTCTTCGCCGAGGCTGTATTACCATCAAAGGCATCGTGACTGGTCCATGTTCAGGGACTGGCGGAAACGACGGCTTTGGGTGCCAGTGATATCGATGGGCCAGGAGTGTGATTCACCACGCATTCCTTCGTATGACCTTTCCTTGGGCTACGATGCTGCTAGTCTGATGCTACCGGCAACCCAGGAGTGTTGTGGTCTTCCGACACGAAAGCAGGGTCGTATGATTCAGACAGAGCCCTAAGTCAACCGCAAGGAGCATCAGTGTAGCAATTTCTTCCTTCGGAAACTCTAGCAGATCTCGTAGATATATCGGCGCATTGACTGATAGTCTTGAACGACTGTAGTATCACATAGCCCTCCAGCATTGGGGTCGTATGGATTCTTTTTGGCTGTCGATCGGGGCAATCGGATGTGACTGGTAGCTAAAATGAACGATACCTCCAGCCGTGTTAGAAAACAATACTGAAAGTAGAGGGCGTTTCCCCAGGCTGGGCATTGTCATCTCTCCGTTTCCACTCCCTATAGGACTGCTGGGCTTATGCAGTCGTGCCGTTTGTCGAGCGTTGTATCGGCGAATTCATCGATTTCGTTTCGGGTTCGGACGGCGTTGAAGGAGTAGTGATCGTCAACACAGATCTCGTAGGAAGCCTAGAAATTTAGTCACCCAAGTCAGCCAAAGTGAAGGATCGACTGTAGAAGGAGAACACGGGAGAGCCTGCTTAGGGACAATCGACAAAGGCTCAGTGGCGATGACAACGTCGTCGTCGCGACAGCTCCAGACCTTAGGGGATGGAAACGTGCCGCTCGTCGCCGCAGGACCTGACGACGAGGATCACGACGCGCGTCGCTCTTTAGCGACCAGTCGCTTTTGCGAAGACCCGACGTCGATGGCCCCGAACCACGATACGGGAGAGTCCCAACGCCGAACACGTCGATAGGAGGGGCTAGTAGCCTATTGACGGAGGAGATTGGACGTTTCGTCTTCGGAGCCCCGAAACACCAGACACGACGTTCTAAAAGAAGTGAACGCGTAGCACCGGTACCCTCGCCCTTATGGAGGCTTGGATTGGCTTCAGAAGCCACTTGTATGTATGTACGGGTGGACTGCTTTCACGTCACATCGCCCCTGCGGCCCCTAGGTCAGACCGTAAATACTGCAACCAACCAACCAACCAACCAAAGTGAAGGAACTCTATGCTTCACCATTATACCAACCCTAGCTTTGTCTCGCTTGCACAGTGGTTAGCCAGATAGAAAGCATGCTATATCGAGGGGAGACGTTCTGTTCTGCTAACGTCGCCCACATCCATTTCACACTGAGCCGAGCTCTGTATAGAGCGCCCATTGCCAACTCTCAAGACTGTTTGCTGTTGATGTGACAGAGAGAGGTGGTATAGCACTAATGGAGATAAGATTCCGGAGAGTACTCAGGTTCCATAAGCCAGCCCCTTCGGTGAAACCAGCACTGAGGATATTCGAGTTGGAGATTCTCGTGGTAGACCTTTCAGACGTACCAGCAACAGGATAGAGTTTGGATCTTCGATGGATAGATTAGTCCTTCTGTGTTGGACGCTTCTCGCTTTTGGAAATCGAGCGCGTGGCGAGGTGAACTCACTCGAACTTGCAGCTCTCAATGTGGTCTTCTTCACGGTGTGGTCTTCTTCTATCTCGTCGACGGTTTGCTTGTTCCGCGGCACGGCCTTTACGGCGGGAGATCTCTTTGATGGAGACGGACGCTTTCTCCTTGGACTGTGTACAGATCTCTCTTCCGTAAGCTTCTCGGCGTTGGCTAAGCGAACGGAGGGTTTTGGATTCGAGGGGCTTGGGTTTGGGTTCGTCTGGGTTGCTGCTGAGGGTCCGTATACGCTGAAACTGTATCACGACGGGTTAGCACTGTCGCATCACTTGACATCCATACGATTGTGACTTCGAAGTTTCTGTATTGAACCCCTTTTATCATGATATGTTGCTACTATGAACACCGAGGTCTGTCGCCACGAGCCGGTCGGTCCATAAGCCAGAACAAATCGCGACGCATGACAGCCCATAAGGACAGTAGCTTGAGAGCTTCGACAGTCTTTCCAAGGCAAGCCGTCCTTCCAGTGTAAGACATCTTCATCGTCGTCGTCTTCGTCGTCGTCGTCATCGTCGTTGTCGTCGTGTCGGATCGGGTCTGCTCGGGTCTGCTCGGGTCTGCTCGGGTTGGGTCTTCGCTGCTTCGAGGGATGTAGCCTTCGTCGCGAACGCAACTGCAGTTGTAGGCGTAGACCGGCTGTCAGCGGCGGAACGAACTCTTCCAGGATAATTTGGCAGAACCTAGTTGTCGATTTTCTGCTCCAATGAAGCCCTCCCTGGACCGCGAACGATCCCCTTGATCTCCCCACAAGGAGGTTGTCTCGTCGCGAAGGCATCTTCCCTCCGGGCTTTCGACACTTACCTATGGGCGGCCCTGATGCCACAGTGAACTCTCGTGTAGATACCAAGCGCTGGAGGCTTTGTGCAGGACGAGTCTCGGTGACTATAGGGGCAACAAGCCCCTCGGGTTGCTGATCGGTTCCTGTATCTCTGAAGGGTTCCCAAGGCCGACTGTGAGTGGTTTCGAGGCCTTGGTGCATGATGGAGGCGAATTTTTGTCTAACAAATCAGTCAATATGTGGCCTACCCATGTAGACACGATAACCATTGCTGGACACATGCCACCTGCTTTTCTGCTTGGCGACCGTCAGGGGAGGAGGCCTTCTTCCTACTGGAAGCAAGTCCATGTTCGGATTTCAAAACAGGAGAACTGAAACTGAACTGGGGACTTGGTCCACTGGCCTGTAGTTGTAGTGAAACCCTACAGGATGCCAAGGCCAGGGGTCTGGAGTACAACCACCATATCGAAATTAAGATTCCTCAGGTAAATCAAGGCCATATTGCTTCATAGACTCAATGATCGAGTTAGCTACGCTTTATTTGAGGCAGGTATTTGTCTAGTACTCAGTGAGAGATTCGCATTCGGCCGGGTTCGCAACCTTGTCGGGGCCTGTGTTCATGGGCAGCGGGTCCCCAAAGGCCGTGCCCACATCCGGCATTTCCACACCCACGACACTCGCAGCCCATTCATGAAGACAGTGACATCGCAATTTTTTGACTTCATATTCGTTTTCTATGGCTTCTTCTGATGCGCAAACGGTATCCCTCAATCAGCGTAGGTTTCGGTGGCGATGGAGGGCGAAACTCGGCGTGATTGTCCTCATGAGTGCTGCACGCCCTTGTCTGCATCGCGGCACTGGGCCAGGGCGAATCAGCCCTAACTCATCCAATTCTTGCCCGATTTAATTCTAGATTTGATCACCAGTTTCTACTGCATTTTCTGATTTGCATGCGATGAGCCTGATTCGCGTAGGTTTCGGTGGTGATGGGAGTATAGAACTTTCTCGTCGACGTGGCATTGCCTGTCGACAGACCGGTGGCAGCCTCGTAATACCGTGCTCAGTCCTACGAATACATTGAAAGACCAAATTCACGTCAATGGTATCACAGTTCCAGGTGTCACACGCAATCTGCTTTACGTCTCCAGCTTTATGTACTGTAGAAACGCCTGGTAGGGAGTACATTTCGTAATTGGTAGGCCCACTGGATGTCTCTGCTGCTATATTTTCATGCTATGCACATTCCAGTTACTGTCCACGGGTGTCTCTAGTGCTCATCCTGAAAGCACATTCCCCGAAGGCGGCAACCGATGAACTTGATGACGGTGCCGGCATGTCCGGACGAGCCCGGACGAGCCCCGGAGTGGGCCCCGTCCGCAGCCGGAATTATTACCCCATCGAGCGACTATGCTCCCGAACCCCCCGACCACCATGCCGGGAGCTCCGCACCTGGAGTATTACATTGGCCAACACTACGAGATCCAGAAGGCCAATATGTCAATCCAACTATCAGCAAAGGTGGTAATTTCTCTTGTAAGGCTACAGGTAGGAGGCTTCTTGATGGTTGTACCTTGGCCATGCTTGTCCGTAGACCATCTCGTCTATCATCAACAGGTACAGAGAGCGGCATCATTGGATCTTCCTAGAGTATTTCTTGCGCCCTTGACATCCGCAGAGTATTTCGCTGACATTGTGATTTTCCAGAAAGATATCCGGCTCTTCATTCCCCGCTGAGCGCTCAATACCTACCTGATCCTACCGAATACCCAGGACGCGAAGCAAGCGACGACCTCCTACCCTCTCGACAACCTCCTATCCTCTCGACGATCTCCTATCCCCTCCGATCGATCCAAACAGCTACATCGCCGGCCTCTTTACGTTCGGGCCCCCTGCCTTTCCGACTTCGTGATACTAGCAGCCTGTCCGACCGACAAATATCATGTTTACCTTCTTTCTCGTCTCCGTCTCGCCGCCAACAAACAAGAGCGCTTCCTCGTACTCAACAACTCCTCCCAGGTTCCCTACTGTGCTCTGCGAGGTTCTACCATGGGGTTAGGCTATACAGAGGCCAGTGTGGGCTGAATATCATACGAGAGAGTAGAATACAGCATCATCTAGCTGTCTGGGACACCATCACTATCTGATGCCAGCAAGTCAACGATGGGATGGACGAGCTCGGGAGCTGTATGAGTGAAGGCATGGATTCCTGCCAACACATTCTATTCTCCTGTATCCCAGGCGTAGGCTTCACGTCCTCGGGCTCGTAATGTACACATTTTCGGTCGTCGCAACACGCAAGACAGATAGGGGGGCATCTCCATTAGACTCTCATCGCAGAAAACATGAATACTGGTCTTCTTGTCCATTACTGGGCTCTATGAACATAGGGTGTAAGCTTGTGGCTGTAACACCACGCGAGGTAAGAATCACAGCCGCCTTGTGACCATCGTGGGATACGCAGGAACAGCGCTTCATGTACATGTACCTTCTGCCCCTCCAGCGTGGCGAGCAAGCGGGCTTCAGAGGGTGATACTATGCCTCACTATCTAGATATGTACTGGCACGTAGGGAACACACATAGAGGGCCAGCTGCTGCTGCGTTCAGTATCAGGGCTTGGTCCTGATCCAAGGACCCTGAAACTACTTAGGTACTCCTGGTACTATACGGGATAGAGGCAATAGACGATACCTAAGCACACTTGGTCAGGCACGCAGATGGTACCTAATTACTGCAATTAGATGCCAATTAATGCTGGGCACATTGCAATTGTGTGCGTTGCTAGGGTGGGTTATTGCTGGCAGCTGACTGCCTGCATGTGTGCACGGCCAATTTGGAGGGCTCTGTTTTCCAGGTATAAATTGGGTCGCCGCCTCCCCTTTCCTTCCACTCTCCTCCTTCGGAAAACAACCACGATCACTGTTCTCTCTGGTTTTCCGCACAAGAACGCCTTTCCAGATAGAACCTCCTCTCCAACGCAAAGCTTTGCGTTCCTGATACATATCAAGGTACGTTTTCCTTTTCCATTCCCAACTGGCAGGAACGAGGTCATCTGCCACTTGCACCGTGCCTTCCACACAACACAAGTGCCACCCACAGCACCTTCCACCTTTCCTCCCCACAAAAAAACACTGTCACACTTCCATCTCTCCTTCCCTTTCCCCTCCCGCACAACTCCCTCCCACTCCCATCTCCATCTGCATCCCGCTTCAACCCATCGCCTTCCCGCCGGTTTCTCACCACGGCGCCTGCGAATACAGGTAAGTCCCCCCGTCCTACTTGCCGCAATGTGTGGCCGTGATTATGGGGTGGTGCCCGACCTCGTGACCACGTGCACACGCACACACACACTCGCACGCCGCGCCAACACCCGCCACCCGCCGTACCTGCATCTCCTTCCTCCTCCTCCCCATTCCCTCCCACTCCAGTCGCACAACCCTCTTCCTCCGTCGCAAATCACCATCATCCCTTCCACCACTTCGCCGGCGCACACCATTGACATCTTTCTCCAGACTCCTCCTGCCACCAAGCAGCATTGCAACATCATCAGGACATCATCAGGTAAGTTGCTTTCCTCCTTTGCTTCATCACTTGCATGCCCATCGTGAAGCTTGCGCCATGACCTTGTCCCTCCTCCTGCATCTTCACCTTGTCCTTCACCTTGACCTCGACCTTCACCTTCACCTTGACCTTGACCTTGACGTCGACCTTCACCTCAACCATCCCCTCGGCTTTCACCGACACTGTGAACATCACTCTGCTCGCCATACCTCCCACCTGGCCGTCGGCATCGCACCGGATCGCATCGCGATGTGATGCTTCGTGCCCTTCCACCTGCACTATTCCGCCGAGGTATTTCCTTGGACTTCAACACTCTTGCGCAACATCTGCCATATTCCTCCCTCTCACTATGTTCGTCCTATTTGCACTTCTTCCGGCCGTGAGCACACTACGGTCGTGGTGATCCCCTCCTCTCCTCTTGCTGCATTTATCCTTCTTGCCCTGCATCTACCATCCCAACATCGCCGGCTCTCATCTTCTTGAAGTCTGAGTCGTCTCGTTCACCCCTACTCAAGTCCTCTCCCTCATGGCGACAAACAATGCAATCGCCAAACCCGTGAAGAGTGGGTCCGGGCGCTTGTTGCACATGCTCGACTTCGCTTGCATCTTTCATCAACCATGATCCTTGCCACCCATATCGCTCCTCTTACACTCCCCTTGCACTCCCCATTCTTGCTCTACCAGCTTCTTGTCCAGCTCATCTTGCTATGGCAATCAACTCTTTGCAGCACACTACCTTGGTAGTTCTCTGAAGCTGCCTCCTCTCGAAAGCCCCACCCATGTAAGCTTCACCCAGCTAATCATCTGCAGATCCTGCTCTGCCTCCAGTACGATGGCCTCAACTAGTTCCAAGGACAGTATGATCGCTGCCGGCTCTCAATCGTCGCCCAGCACTTCGTCCAGCCAAGGTGAGTCGTTTTCATAACGAAATTCTTTGCTGCTTTCTCGCACATCGCCAGGCATTGGTTGATCACCCGAGGTATCACTTTTGGTTCCCAGTCCTTGTGGATCCCTAAGTCTGATCTGGCTGACACATCTCTGACAGGTGGTGGTGCTCCTGTTGATGGAATGGAGAACTTGACTCTGACTGGCACTGCAGCTCGTGGCCGGTAAGTCTTCGAGAAACCCACTGGCAATCCGCACTTGCTGACGTTCGACCAACAGCTACGAACCCCCCCACGTCCGAGCTGATTCTACCAAGTTTGTTCCCCCTGCATAGCATTCTTGGAGATCCGCGACTAACTTATTTTTGAAGGTCTGAGCGATTTCTGGTTGGAGCCGTCGACGACGAAGACGTGTTCGGTGCTCAAATGGCCCCCCGCTACAGCCATGAGGAATCCATCAACTTCCCTGCCTCCGACAGCATTGGCGCGTACAACCATGGCCAGACGACGACCATGGCTTCGCTCATGGCTGCCCAGGTTGCACCCAGCTTCCTCCGCCGAGTACCCACCCCGGTTCGAAGTACCCGAGCCAATCGATCGGAGAACCGCCACGAAGTGGAAGGCGTCGACGCGCAGATCTACTACTCTCCCGAGGCCTGTGTCTTCGTAGCCAAGTAAGTACTCTGAAATCCCTCAATGGTTCCCAGTCTGACATTTCAACCATAGTCTCCCGGAGGCGAAGTCCGACTCCGTTCTCGAGGCAGCCATTACCAAGGCTTTCCTCACCTTCGGCTCCGTCTTCGTCAAGATCCGTCGGGATCCGAAGAACATGCCGTTCGCCTTTTGTCAGTTCACGGTCAGTTCTACCATTGGGCGATCTGTGTTGGCCAGTCTACTGACTATAGTACAGCGAAAGGAACATGCCGATGTTGCCGAGAAGCAAGGCAAGGGCATGCTAATTGAGGGCCGTGCTTGCCGCACTGAGAAGGTCAAGGCCAACCGTGAGTGCCTCGTCTTCTCCACCGTCTCTGTCGTCTCGAGCGTATCACGAAAGCTAACCCAACAACAGGTGCCTTCGTTGTCTTCAGTGTTGCGGGACTTGATGTCGACGTCGAACAGGCCCAATACGAGCTCGTACAGTTCGGCGCGATTGCGAAGTGCCAGAGACTCGAAGAAGAGTACGCTGTTGCCATGAATCTCCATGGCGCTGTCATGGTGGAATTCGAGAAGTTCGACCCGGGCCGCGACATTGTTGCTGTACGCTGATCTGCCCCAATCTCGTCTCGACTGCAGTACTAACTTGTCTTAGCACTACCGCAACAACCCCTACTGGCGCGTCATCGCGTACGATATCAAGAAGGTTAACAAGCCTCCGGTCGATGCTGCCGAGCAGTACCTCAAGAGATATGAGGTTGACCGTCGTTCCATCTACATTGGCGGTCTGCCGTCTGATGTCACAAACCTCGATGAGATCATCGAGGCCGCTGCTGGACAGTATGGGGAGGTCAAGAGTCTGCAAGTGATTCGCAAGCCCCTGCCAGGTACGCAGCCAGCCACCCACCATCGATCTCGCGTGTCAAGGTGACTAACTGATTCCCTATCCAGATGGTTCGCGAACGGTGGTATTCGCATTCGTCGAATTCTCTCGCCCCGATGTCGCGGAGCTGGCGTGCCAGAACATGGTAAGTTCGATCCGATCATCCATGCTCCCATTCCGTACTGACTCAGCCAACTACAGCGCGATACCATCATTGCCGATGCTCGTGTCAAGGTCCAGCGAAAGAACAGCAAGGATCCCAACGGAACTATCCGCCACCCGCGAGTTACACACGTGCAGCTTCCCCCTATCCAGCGCCAGCAGGCGAGCCCTGACGTCTCCACTATCAAGAAGGAGGAGCCGTCTACCCCTCTTCGTGTCGGTGCTGTGAACACGGGCAACTCTGGCACTCGCAGCGGTGGATACGCGGGATACGGTACTCCGTCCGCGCATTCCTACGGAGCATACACCTATGGTGGTGGCTTCGGTGGAGGTCAGGGACAATACGGTGGTGTTAACTACGGTGCCTCCCCGTACTACCCGGCGACGCCCGGCTACTACAGCCAGCAGCAGCAGCAGCAACCATACTGGCCGACTCCCTTCGTCCAGGAAGGCAACTTCGGACCGATGGCGTATTACTCCAACACGCAGGGTTTTGGAGCTTCGCCCATGCCTGCTGGTCCTGCGTTCCGCGCCGAAGAGGAAGGAATCAGTGGTACTCCGACCAAGGCGAAGAGCGAGTACAGTGACAAGAACACCGAGTTCTAGGCGTTGCGACTTCACTGCTCCGGTGTGCGACATGGATCTTGGACTTGATTCTGGGTCATTTTCTGTTGTTTCCTTTTCCTCGAGGAGGTATCATAGGGCAGCTGGTCAGGATAGCTTTGGTCATCTAGCATGAATGCTGGTTGGCCAGATTCCTCCTTTTGCACCTAGACCAATAGATTAGGTAGTTGACCGGACAGTTCTTCTCCCGTTCATGAAGGGTCTCGACGATGGTTTTCGTCCAGAAGAGAACAAATAAAATTGGCGTGTTTCTGAATTGAGCAGTTTTCAGACTTGTCGCCCCTCGCTCGTGCTCTGTGATGAAAGCTGTAGAGGGCAGAAAAATGACTGTAGCTGTCACGGCTACAAGATACCTGGTAGGATTACGTCGCAGCCCCCGTCATATCGTTTGCTAGCCAGCGAAGAACTGATCAGCGTCATCTTGTGTCAGAAGCTCTCGACCTACCGAGGCTCATACAATGTCCGGTGCCAACCGCGTCTGCTATTGAGGTGATTCTGAGACAGCAATGATCCAGTCTCTATCTCATCAAGCCTCCCTATAGCAGAATGATAAGGATTGGCAAGTGCAGCGCGCTGGATAGTCTGAGATACATGGCTAGTAATACCGAAATATATGGCTAATGCCAGTAGTCTTCGGAATAATGCCACAAGAAAAGCATGGCATGGATGTGCCTGGGTGGCTGAGTACAGATACGAAGGCTTCCTGGTGGTTTTGATGAGGTATTCCGACCTATCCCACACAACTTGACGGGGTGCTGGTGTACTGTGTGCGCATGCTGTCGGTCGCCGCTGTCAGAGGAAGGAACGAGCTGCATGTTGCTGGTCGCTGCCGTCGGAGAGGGAATCGAAGTCGCATGTTGTTTGTCGCTGCTGTCAAAGAAAGAATGGAAGTTGCATGTTTTTGGGTACCGCTGTCTGTGAATTGTGGTGAAAATCTCGAGACGCTTGGGCCATTAGATGTACTTTCGTACCGCGGCAGGAACGCTTTGGCGCTTTGACTACATACATCCAGGCGGAGGCCACATTCAGAAGTGGTCCGTGCGGCGCTTTTCCAGCCCGCAGTTGCGACATCGCAACCTAGAGGTCACGAAGTACTTCCCCGCCCTGTGACTGCTATTGCCTCTTCTCGCGGTCGGTGGTGAAGAATCTGCAGATCTACAAGTCCATCTGGACTCGCTCCCAATAGTCGTTGTTCTGCTACTCTTTCGTTCAGCTGGCTGCTCCCCTTAAGCAGTTGACATCATTCACGTAGACAGCGTTGATATCCACGTCTTTTGTGCGCATACAGATTCGGCCGCCAACATGGGCAAACTATCCTTCGAGGCTTCCAATGCCATCATCTACGTTACTTATGGAGTCTTCCTGTACGTTGCTGGGCCCTGGACAACTCTCGAGAGGCATTTCCAGACTCTCCTCTCCTTAAAGTCGAACTCGGACTGCGATAATCAACGTGTGTACTGACCATACCTTGATATGTAGGGTGCTAGGGACGGTTCTGGCCTGGCAGATGAGGAAGCAGTCCAAGGCTGACTTCCTCTCGGGAAACAGAACTCAGAAGGGTCAGAGTCCAAGAACAGGGGCGCGTGACGTGTCAAGCACTCCACCGTTTCCATGAAACCTCCCCTATCCAAGCGCATACTAATTACCAGGCAGCTTTTCCACTGGCCCTCAACTTCATCGCCGCTAGTGAGTTACCGAGCCGCCATGCCGCTCACACGATTGTACCCTCTCTACTTTGAGATCAAGAGCGGTAGCACCTCCAATATCATCAAGACTGCAATAGTCGTCCTCGCACGAAGTGGCTCGGTGGATGAGTATGGCATCATGTACGGAGCCGACCATGATGGTACGACTAAGCGGTATGAGATCAGAGTAAGAGTTCACCACTGACTGTAGGTTCGAACCCAAAGATCAACAGGTCCCCTGCCCCAGTGCAAGGTTCCTCTGAATCTCCGCATCGGGGCAGGACGACCGCGGCTCACTACGGGCGCCGAATTGAAGCAGCCTCAACCAGATCCAACCTCTCGATGTACCCCGTCAATGGGAGCCTTTTGAGGGGAGATTCGGCGAGGTTGTGGATATGAAGCTGAGATTGTACCGTGATTACTCGATCAAGTTAATGCTTGCGTGGGAAACGTGCTGCCGCTCCGATCACCCTCCCCTCCCCTCCCCACCCCTGACTCACAGACTTGACTAACCGTGCTGGTCGTACTAATTAGCCATGGGATCGGGCATTCTGTTCTCGTATCCGGAACTGGCTACCCTTGCTGGTCTCCAGGGCGTCATTGTATACGCCATCTCGTCGGCTTGTCCGCTGCTCATCTTCGCCGCGCTGGCTCCCATCATCCGAAGGAAGTGCCCGGAGGGGTTCGTCCTCACCGAGTGGGCGAGGCAGCGCTACGGCATTATCACGGCGCTGTACTTGGGTGCCTTGACGCTGCTCACTCTATTTCTGTACATGGTCGCCGAGCTGTCGGCCATAGGCCAGGTCGTGACGGTATTGACGGGACTAGATGGACTACCCGTCGTGATCGTGGAATGCGTTGTGACTACCGTCTACACCTGTCAGTGTTTTTCTCGCAAGGCATTCAACATGATATCCGGCATGCTCGAGCCGTTGTGATTACCGGGCTAACATGCCACCTCGCAGCTCTCGGAGGCTTTAAAATCTCCTTTATCACCGATAATATCCAAGGCGCCATGATCTGCGCCCTCATCATCATCGCCACCATCACCATTGGTGCACGTACCGACATTAAACCAGATCTCGTCGATAATTCCGGGCTCCTTGACTCGAGCCTTGTCGGCTGGCAGCTGATCTACATCCTTCCGGTGGCGATTTTGACCAACGATTTCTTCCTCGCCAACTACTGGCTGCGTGCCTTCGCATCGCGGACCGACCGCGACCTATGGATCGGCGTCTCGGTCGCCATGGTCGTCATCCTGATCGTGCTGACGCTGGTGGGCTGCACGGGTCTAATTGCCGTGTGGTCGGGGGCATGGCCGGGCGACCCGCCAACCGAGGACGGCTCCGTCGCCTTCTTCCTGCTGCTGGAGAAGCTGCCCAGCTGGGTCGTCGGCATTGTGCTCCTCATGTCAGTCTGCCTCAGCACGGCTGCCTTTGACAGCCTGCAGTCGGCCATGGTGTCCTCGGCCTCCAACGACGTGTTCCGTAACCGGCTGAACATCTGGTGGATCCGAGGGGCGGTCGTGCTCATCATCGTCCCTACGGTTGTCCTCGCCGTCAAGGCCCCCAGCATCCTCCAGATCTACCTTATCTCGGACCTGCTGTCGGCCGCCACAATCCCAGTTCTCATGGTGGGACTTTCCGAACGCTTCTACTGGTGGCGTGGCTTCGAGGTCCTGGTCGGCGGCCTCGGCGGTATCCTGTCCGTCTTCATCTTCGGCACCATCTACTACGAAAGCGCCCAGCTCGGAGCGGAGCTAATCCTACTGGAGCAAGGCTTGTACACGGGCGACTGGGGCGCGTTTGGCGCATTCGTCGTGGCGCCCATCGGAGGTCTGATCTTCGGTCTCATTGCGCTAGCTGTGAGATTGACGTTCCAATATGTCGAATCGCACGTGCGTGGGACTCGTTTCGATGCTTTCGAACACCCTGCTAGGGTCTCGCAGGAGGAGCAGGATGCCTTGAGCCAAGAGGCTGAGATCCATCACGAGGTCGCCACGTCCAAGGTTGTGGGCAAGTTCTTCTAGCTTCGACGGACGTGTGCTCATGGTGAATGGAGGTGTCAAAAGGGGTAAGAGGTTGGAAAGGGCCTTGAAGGAGGGTCGAATGGTGGTTGAAAGAGGGTTGAAGGGGGTCAAGAGCGGGGTTGAAAGGGGTTAGAAGGAGGGTTGAATAGGTGTTGAAAGGGGGTAGTGCATGCGAATTGGATGTGGCAGGGCTTATCGAGGGTAGAAAAAGCCCGGTAAGGGTGGTAGTGGTTTGGGACGGAAGTTGGACATGCTGTCTTGTATTTCTTAGAGGTTTTGGCATTGTCAGGCTCTGCTTCGATTCGGCATATACACTCACTTCTCATAAGTCTCCGTCCGCGCAACCCGATAGGCCATTCGAGTCAGGTATGATTGTGGGATAGGTGACATCGAATAAGAAGTTCCTTTCCATCAAGCCATTTCGATGCTTATTTCAGAGTGGATATTCCATAAATGAAAGAGAACCCTTGGATATCTAGTTACCTACCTACCCCTATTCAGGACGTTGGCCTTGCTGAAGGGGTGGGTACATGTATGGAAACTTCTGGGGGTTCAATGTTACTACCCTTCTATGTACTCGGGGGTGGATATCCTAAGCGCGACTCGCTCATGGCAGTTCCAACAAGTATTCTGATATCAGATACATTGGCATTACCTTCTCTCTTCCTCCATGTCAGCGAGACAGACATTACAAGTTGAACAGCTCACTCATCGGCACGGGTAGTTTGTCGTCATGTCATGTTCTTAGACTCGGGTCAAATCTGTCTACTTCGTTTTCCCGTGATCGTCACATCGGTAGCGACGAGACAGAATTCTCGGGCGGCACTGTCTTCGCAAATATAGCGTTACTCTCATTGGGGTTCAGTTTACACAGATGGTACACTGAACCCTTATAAGTCTCCGTACACTGCCTGCCTCAGCAAGCAACCGTAATCTTACCGAAATGGAATAAGCACACCGGAATAAGCATTAAGAGTAGTATATCAAACTGAAGCTGCTTATTCCGGTACGTTTATTCTAGTATTTAAAAATCATCCCCTGGTAACCTGGAATGTTACTAACATGTGCGTACGGATACTTATGAGGGCTGAGTGTAGATATGTACAGGATTACATTGATTTGGTTTCTGTTTACACAGACGTGGTACATAGGCATGTATTATACATTTCGCTCCCAATCGCCTCCACCGCCCACATGGAGGTGTCCTTTCTAGCCCCTCACTGGTTCCCCGTGACAGCCTCGAGATTCGTGACGTCGTCTAAATAGCTCTCGTATGTCATCTCGGACAGATTGCCCCATATCCTCCAGGGCTGGCTCTCGAAGGTCTTCTGGTCGATCTCGGCCTGCAGCACGATGTGCTCGACAATGTCGCGCACGCGCTCGCTGCCGGGGACCATGGCGCCGCCCTTGGTCTCGTCGTACCGCGCCAGGCGCTGCACGCTCGAGATGCTGACGACGGCCTGCTTGACGAGCTTCATGCTGCCCCGCGCGGACTGCATGGGCTGGTAGGACACGCGCCAGTCGGCGAGGCGCGGGTAGTACCACGTGCTGTTGTACCGGACGAGCTCCCACTCGGAGCGGATGCCCTTGGGTCGAGCATCGATGGTGCCGGCCAGCGACTTGAACAGCTCGGGCGCGCACACGCGGCGCAGGGTCTCGCGGTCGCCGATGGCCAGGGCCTCGGACATCTGCACGTGCATGGCCTTGGCGACGGGCACAACGGCGCTGCGGTTCGCCTTGAATTTGGATCGGCTGATGAACTTGCGCGGCTGCGACATCAGCTTCACGCCGCACGTGGCCCAGAAGGCCTGGGCGCGGTTCTTGGTGAGCAGCCACAGCATGTGCATGAACTTGCGCGGCTCACGCGGATACCGCGTTACAGGAGGGGGCACAAGGGTCACTGATGGTTGGGAACATGGTGGTCAGTCGAGGCTCAAGGCCCTTAAGGAGTTGCCGGAGCACTCACTAGGGGCGAGGATGGAAGAGTTGGCTTCGGCTTGCTGTGCTCGGTCTCGATGCTGCTTGGTGGCACTGGGCGCAGGCCTCGCGGGTTTCCTCCTGTTCGCAGCGTACAGTGACGATGTGGTATGTATGTTGCGGCTAAGGCCGATTCGTATGGGAGACGCTGGGGATGGTCGGGTCGATCGTAGGGGGGCGAGCAGCCATGGCCGCGACAAGCGCATGAGGTCGGCCATGATGACGATGACAAGACGCCCAATTGCTATACGGCTGGCTATCGGCGGGTGTTGCTCTGGTCAGAGCTTGGTTTCCCTGCGGACATCGAGTCCTCAGATCGGGAACATGGGCGATCTTGGGCGAAAGGAGAAGCTTCTCTAGGGTATCGCGGATTGAGGTCTGGAGGTTTGGAGGTTTGCGGTCTCGAGGTCGAAAAATTACAGTGGGTCACAGCTGTGGTATCTGGCCAATAGGAAATGACCCGTCGCAGTAGTAATCAACGGCTTTCACGGCTGAGTAAGATGACCTCACAGGCCAATCCCAGTTGGTCCCTCCTCGTCGACAGCTTCCAATTCGCTTCATTTATCGTCGTCCCGCCTCGTCGTGTCCCTTATAATACAGCTCCCATCCGAGCCACCACCGATGGTCAAAACGTTTCGCTACCCCTTCGACTAGCACACCCCAGGGCGCTACAGTCGCTCGGCCTGCCGCTTGATGGCCACACCATCACCCGCGAAGCGCAATGGCAGCGACTACGACGCCCGCCTCCACCATCGGGACCGCGACCTCGACTCCCAACCGCAGCCCCCTGCCGTAGCCGTCTCCTTGCTTCAGCCCCGCGTCGCCGTCGCACTCGGCGTCCCCAAGCGCTGGCATCACACCCTCTCGGCATGTCGCCTGCTGTCCATGTTCCCTTCCTTCTGGTGGGGGATCCGCCTGGTTGCACGCTTCCTGCTTGCCGAGATGTTGCGCGTGTCGAACCGCCAGAGCTCCCTGAACGACAGCGAAACCACCCGGAGGTTGACCGAAACGGCGCTGGCTGCCGTCTGGGTACGCATACCAACCTAGCAGGGTGTCGGAGTTGTCTCGTCGTCAACTCCTCAAGTGGTCAATGTACTGACCACACCTCGTGAGATAGTGCGGCGCATCAGCTTACCTCGCCTTCTTCTTCACCGACTGCCTCATGTCGCGCTGGCTGATCAACTACACGCCCCATGCCACCGTTGTGCGGCTCTGCACCATCAGCTGCGTCTTCGCCTATCTTACATCCTGGGTCGTGTACCTGACCGGCGGAACCGAGGACCCAGGCCTACTCCTGCCAGCATGGATTGTCATTGCTACCATCCTGACCACCTGCTACCACTTCACCCAGCGCAAGATCAAGATACGGAAGGAGACGTTCGCTAGTATAAGCATGTTCTCCGTCGCTAGTTTCATCAGTATGGTGGCCTTGCTGCTGCACTCGCATTTCACAAGGCTCGAAGCTCCTCACGTTCCCTTGGTCGCCTTTACCAAGCGGACCTGCGAGGTCGTCGGCCATTTTGTGATCCATGTGCTTGGTGTCAAGTATGATATGGCTGGACTATAAGAATTGGTGCTTTTGGCGTTGGTTGGTTTCGTTGCAAACAACATCCCACAGATACCCGGCATCACTGCCTGAGCTTGGAACGACATAGCGAGGGGCGTTGGGGTAGGGATCGGATTCTCTCGAGTGTTCTATCCTCGAGTTGTTAGGTATGCTTTTTGCTTTTGCGACCTCCAAGCATTCATCGACTGAGATGTTGAGCGAGCCTGGTTAAAAATATGAGACAGGCAATCAGCAGCGGGTTGTATGACTCTTCGAATATGTACCAGTCGTGAACGATATACCGATTTGCGCAATGTGCTATGATTCGAGGTTTACTCCGGTCACTCTTCCAAGGCTTCTGCTGCAGCACCCACTCGATTGATTCCAATCCAAGCCTCCATCGTGCCAGGAAGCAATCTTGGTTCCATGCGTTCAATGCGGCATTCGTGGCTGTGTTGCGTTATCATTCTGCCAATGAGGAATTCCTTCTGCTGCCCTCATACGCCGTTCATGTATGGCACTGCTACACCCGCCACGCACTCTCCAGATTGGTCAAGCACCTGCATATACCGATGGCTCTCGTCGCCCAGATGGCGGTAGACAGGCTAGTTCGATCTGCCGATCTGCTCCAAATGGTCGCACATCAAGCCGCCTCGCCATCTTCCCCACATCTCACTAGTTTCCCGTCTAGCCCCCAGTGCCAACTTTTGCCTGTTCTCTCTCTGCTCCCAAGCCTTGTGCTCGCATGCTATCATTCATGTTGTTTGTTGACTGGTGTCAGTACCCCAAGAGCATTTGATGAGGGTCCAGTCTCTGTAGGGCTTTTTTATTGCCCCATACTCACTCGAGTCGATTCGTGCGGTCCTGATCCAGAGGCTTACATGTAAGACTCAGCACCTGCCTGCCAAGTTCAACTTACAGTCACTCTATTGGTATCCATTCAAGTCAGGAATGCAAGGCTTCACTGCTGAGTGAGCAGCGATTTCAACGCTTTGGCAGAATTGTCCAGCCTCGCTAGTCATGCAACTTGCTACGCCTTCCACCCACTCTCTTCATCTCTCGTATATGACCACTTCTCTTCCCCTGAAGGCATCAGTTGTCATATTAGACCGTATTGACGAGTTCCAGGCTCCAGCTTTTACACGCATGCTTTGACTGCCCTTCCTGTTCCATGGGACGACCAATGCCATGCCAGCCAAGCTAATCATCGGATCGTCTACCGAACCAGAAAGACATGTCAGCTAGTAGTCCACAAGGCGTACATGGTGTCCGTGCTATGAGAGCACAGCTGCAAAATCTGCGTGACCTTGATATCTTGTTCTCAGAAGCGAGAGATATTTTTCTCGAGTCCTTCGGAACAACGGCAATAGTCTTCACGCAGAAAGACGGTAGTAAGGACCATTCTCTAGGCCAATCAGCGTAGGTCCATGTCGACTTACTTCAGTCAGGAGTCACGCGAACGCCTGTCGTCAGGACTCAGCTGATGTGGAAACCATATCGTGTTCGAACAGTTCGATACGACAGCTTCCTGAAGCGCTCAGCCTTCCATCGCGGTGTTTGCCAGAAAGAGAGGGACCATATGAGCTTCGCAATTGGCACATCGACCTTGAAGTTTGCGCAAGAGGCTGAACTCAGAAGCACGCAATACCGTAGACACTTGCAGATCTACGTCGACGGGGTGAGAAAACTGGAAGCAACGCCTTCGGAGCGTGTCATCGCAAAGTCCACTGACGACTGTTCTCACATGCAAACCTTGCTCTGGTAAGACCGTTCTCGCTGCGTCAGTACTCGGTTGGCTGGAGAGTCGTGGAAGTCCTTTCGTGGATTACTGCAACATCACGTACTACTTTTTCTCTCTCGGGGGCTCAAAACCCCGGACTCGAACTTCTGCATATATGTCCATCCTGTCACGAGGTCTACATCAGTACCGCCAATATAAACCCATCCTCGAGCTATTCTCCTTTGCGAGGGCCATGGCAGATCGAGCAGCTTCCAAGCTGGTACACGAGAACTCAGACTTGTTGAGCGTAGTAGCTCAGATGGTTCCCAAGCTCGTCATTACATTAGATGGTCTGGACGAATGTGATGACCCAAAACAACTGGTCTTGGACGTGGCTCATGCATTAAGGGCATCGATTCCCGAATCATCATGTTTAGCCCGCCGCATCTGCGCTTATTGCGACCGGGCCTGGGCGCAAGGACGGTCAACTTGTCAACTGGCAGGACCCAAAACGACATTCGATCATTCCTATGACGTCGACTAGAAGATGCCATTCAAGGGGGTCTACTGCTGCGAGCCCCCGATTCCGAGAGCTTACTAGATGATGTCGTCCAACGTGCTCTGCGGATGTTCGGTGGTCAAAGTTGATGATGGAGTACATGAATCCCGCCTATCTACTTTGACCGCCGTCCGCCGTGGTGAGACACCACCTCCTTGGCGCGGTATACGCTCGTATCATCAGGGACATTGCGACCAAAGTCAGTACTGAGCAAGAGGTGTCGAAGAGGGTATTTACCTGGGTCTTGTGGCCGGACACTCGTTTGAAGACCGGCCAGCTACTAGATGTGATCAAGCGTTACCAGACTGCGCCAGCCTTGTCCACGTCGACCGAAGCAACAGTCCAATCCGAGTTCGAGCTGGAAGAGTTTCGGCGGACCATTGCCCTGGTCTGAGCAAGCCTGGTAGAATCGTCGCTCGGCACGTTTCGCTTTGTTCATCATCGGCTGCCGAATTTCTCAGGGGCATGCCCGGACGGCGCACATGCCAATTGTCAGTACAGCAAAAACCATACGGACCGTTGTCTGGAAACGAGCAGCTAATTGCAGATAGCAGACGCATCAATGAAGCCTAACCTTTCCTTTGGTACGCCTTGAGTTACTGGCGTCAACATCCTCGCAACAGCCCCACCCCCTATTTTCCGTCTCCAGGGACAACCACCACGCACCACAACAACGCGCAGCCCACCCCCCAACCACGCCGGCGACCACAGCAACCAGCTGAACCGGGTACATAGGCAGGCTTAATGGGCACATTCTCTAACGACCACCTGCCTCCGGGCAAGTGGTCTAGTGGTAAGAGCTGCGGACAGAACTTGTCGAGCTTCAAGATCTTCTGCACCTGCGGACAGAACTGTCGGGGTTTCGAGTTGATCTAAATTACCGCGACCATTCGTTTTTGGAATATACTTACTTCTTTGGAAGTACAAATTTTACTTTTTATTTAGACTGATCTGGAAGTGTTACATAAAAGCTCAGGATGATATTCAGCCTAGTCCAGCTCGTGAGACGCTCGAGGCCATTCTACGCAATAAGATCCAGGCCCTGGCCTGGCTTGCAGCACAGTACCTCCTTGTTGAATCAGCTTCCAGGCGTCCAATCGCAAGTTGAACGATATATCAACGAATCAGGGGCATTCCTCCACCAAGGAGTTGTCGCATTTGGGACTTCCCATGCCACACATGCAAAGCTAGTGGCTCTGCATGGGGACCTCATCGACCTGCACACTACCTGGGACGCAACTCGAATCATCCTCAATACATATGGGAGAGGGTGCCACCATTAAAGCGAGCTCAATATTTAGCGACAGGATTTGCAAAGGGAAGCTCGTCGTCTCTGGCTCGGTGTCGTATGGGTTGTATAGTAGCAGCTCGAAGGCCCTCGTGACAATCTCCAAGGAAAGCTTATTTGGTCAGTTCCGAGTATCTGGCCATCCAGGTAAGTCTCACCTTCTTGCTTGTCATCTGTACGTAACGCTGACTATGGCGGGTCATGTGAGCAATCATGGCCAAGTTGACACGCAGGAAAATTAGACCCAGACTTTTGCCACGACTGGGTAGTCAGGTACGAGATATGTACTGCCAGTCACCGCTTGCAGGACGCGCAATGCCTCCATCTGCCCTTAAATGATAGGTACTATTGATTAGCAGTGCGATGGATTCAATCATACACACCCTTGTTGCCACGACTTGCAACTAGACACAGAGACAGCTACGGTACTGGCCACCTATTCAACTCCACAACAAAGGTCCATTCGTGCTTTTTGTCTCCATCCCGACCTCCCACTTGCAGCCTTCCATTTTCAGAATATCGGATGGCTTTCGAGATTATGCTATGGACCCTTGGACCACGAGGCAACGGCTTGGCATCGGGTAGACCTCGCGTCTAAGGGCTCACATTAGAAGCATGGCCAAATGGACATACGGGCATCAAGAGGTTTCAGCTCTTTGCATGTGGGAAGCAAGTCATCGTTCAAACATCATCACTGTATGGGCAGCAAAGCTCACTCGTCGTCATCCCGCTCGTGTTGAATGGCGCGCAAGCCACCGTGGCGTCCAGAGAGGTGGCAGTGCACCGAACAAGGTCAACAGGGGCCTAGCCCAAACATCACGTACTATCACTGAATACGACTGAATACGCGATTATCAACCATACGAACCTTCATACACGGTGTTTGACACGAGGCGCGCCAGCTCTACAAGGACACCATGGAGGACGCTGGAGCACATTCGACTGGGGGATATTGTTCGTGCAACATATCGTCCGAAGGAAAGTCCGAGGACTTGGATACCGTTGAGCTTCCCGAGCCTGCTGGCGTTGCCGAAACAGAACGCTCTAGGAATGCAAGCTTCGGATCAATCGTGCCCGCTGAGGGAGCATCACGTAAACCACATACCATAGGTGCCTTCGAATCGATCCCGGTCAAGCGACAGGACGAGTCGTCACTGCATCCGAGACCTGGTTCAACGCGAGCACGGCTTCCGGCGGCTGGACATCATCCTAGTCGTCCAGTTCCAAGCAAAAGAACACAAGGACCATCTTCAACCTAACGCCCAACCAATGGTATAGTTTCGGTGATGATTCCCAGCAGGATTTGCCGGCAGTGGGGATCTCGACTGGGTCGGTGTCGGTACGGGTCGCTGCAGACGAGATGCCTGATGCGCAGTCGGGTCTGGGAACCGGGTTCGGCCAGCCCCTGGGTCATGATACATTCACTTGGGTCGTCGTAGTCTGCCTCATTGCCTTCGGAGCGGGCACATGCAATGGGGATCTTGATACGAAGGGGTCGGCAACCAGTGCCCAACGCAATCCTGCGGCTCTGCAGAGAAGCGCAGGTTTTTCACCTAATTCACTTCCACCTGTCTTGACTTGGAGACTACGGAATAAGGCGTGGGTACATAAGTCCCCAGGGGACGGTGTCCATTGCCGGATGGTCGTTGGCATCATCCAAAAGTCTGCGACAGAATAACAGGTGGTCCACAGCCGGCATGGCCCCTGAGCGGTAGATGTCTCCCGTTTGGTCAACCAATCCAAGACAAGAGGGTTCTGCTATCGCGTATTCATTCCTGTAGAAGACGTCTAGCTTGACGATGAGCCTCCGCTTGCGCCATGTCATTGCCCGAATGAGGTGCAGCTCATCAGATGGTCTGACAGTTTCAGATCCCCGGCGTTCTGATTTGGATGGAACTGGCTGAGGAGGCACTGGTACCGTTCAGCGATCAAAATTCGGGGAATGAATGACATTAGCCAGCCTGGCTACGCTCTCTCTCAATGGTTGCCACCCATGGATGCCTTCCGCTCCCAAAATCAGAAGCCATATTAGGCGAATGGCCTAACCAGACACGCAACGGCCCCGGGGGTCGACAACAGGCGGCGGTGTCGGCTGTCAAGAATGGTACCTGTGATATAGAGCGATATGAATGCACTCTGCCCTCGCTGTGACGTCGTCGTGAAAGGGGGAGACATCGACCGTCACATCAAACAAAAGTAGGAACGACATGGATCCTACAGCTTACCCCAACCGGTTTGAACTCCCGGATCTCCAGTCGCCCTCATAATCAAGGGGCTACATCTTCATCGTTAGGAGTCGCTGGAGTTCGTCTCAACTCTGGACCATCAGAAAACCCCGGGGATAATCGACAATTCCGCGGACCCTGAGGTGCGGTGAATCCTCTCCCAGGTGAAGCGGCGTCAACAGGCGTGTCCCGCTTCGAGCCCGCCACGGATATACTCGCCGGTGCCGAACCTTATCTTCAATCTGAGGAGGTCTCCCAGATTGACTTCCGAGCTGCCCATCCAGGCCAATGGATATCAAACTCAAAGAGTGGCTATCGCCTACGATATGCTTTCGGGACAAGGCGTAGCGGCCACAACGGGCTCGAATTCCCAGACGCGCGGACACGACGTCGAAGCCTAATCGTGAGCTGGTTGGCTACGATGCTCACATGGCTTGGTATGAGGAACTGGCGAAGCTCCCTCGTCTCGCTTGGACTGTCCTGCTCACCGCATGTCCCACGCAATTCGTTTGAAAACTCTCAACCGCATCCGACACAAGGCGGTGGCATCACGATCACCGCAGCGCATGCTCTGGGATATCGGTGGTCACCACACGCCCCTCGCGAACTTCACTGCTGCCATTCGCCATGCCGTACGTCAGTGTAGAGGCATCGGCGTCGGGAATCCGGGCTCTGGTGTGTCGACCTCTTGCCATCGCGTTGCTCTTGCTCAGGTTCTGGGCTCGACCCTGGCGAAATCAGCGCTGGACACGTGGTGATGGCTGGTGTTTCGTCGCTACGATATCACTTGGTGTGTTGATGGGCACGGGATACTACACGTCCATCTATTGGGCGCCATTGGGCGCGTGGAGAACTGGATGAGACGCGGTCGCCTGCAGTGCTAATGAAACACCTGCTAATACTCCACGTTGTTCATAGGCGCGATATCGGCTACCATAACCACTCTGACGCCTCAGCAAGAGTATTGGTTTCCCATCATTGGGAAGCTGGACATCTTATTACGAGCATCATTTGTCTTCGGGTAGGTCTGAGTCGACGTCTTGTTCCTATGCGTATGATCTATCAACTGAACATGCATGCAGACTGTAGAGCCTCAAGATGGCAGTACTTAACTTCAAAGCCAACTTCTAGTCAGGCTGAACAAAGAGCGCTACATACTGTACGGTTTACGGTACGCATGAGATTGCCCTTGTCCACAATGCCCATCTCTAGGCCTGGTTCTTCGGGATTATGGACGGAATGTTAACGTACCTATTACAGCGGATACTCGGCCTGACATGTTTCGCGGCCTTCCTATCAATCTTCCTCGAGTGTTATTCTATAAGCCAGTATTGGAACGTACGGGTAAATGACAACAGCTGGTCAGATGCATTGGTTGACATGATGAATCCATTCTGAGCTGACCAATCTATCAGTGGGAATAACAATCTTTGGATGACGACATATGGTATTTTTCCATCGCGCCGCCAGGCTCGTTCTTACTACCTCACCCCAATGCTTTGCTCGTCCAACCCCCTATTCTGCACTCACTCGCCCACTTCCGTACAACTATTTCCGACTTTGTCCTAGAAGTTTGCAACATAATCACCGATGCGGTGCTGGTTATGGTCCCGTTCCCGATCATCTGCAAGGCGAGGGTGCCGATCACGATGCGTCTACGACTCACCTTCATCTTCGGGCTAGGCTTCTTCCTGATCGCTGTCGACATCATGCGGCTATCTTCAGGCTTGGATCCACACAACATTCAACACCACCGCGTTCTGTGGGGCGCTATCGAGGTCGCTGTCGCCAGTCTCGTCGCTACACTGCCGACATTGTAGATCTTGCTGCGGCCCTCCTTCCACCGACGGCGGCAAGAACTGGATCTAGCAGTGGTGCAAGCCAGCGAGAGGACGCATGCCGATTATCTACCTATAATAGATTCGACAAGACCACAATCGTCACTCCCATCGGGTCCACCAGCTAGGGAAATCAGTTGTCAAAAGAGTCAAGTGTCACTCAGCGCCACTACAGCCGATACAACCCGGACTTGCAATACTGAACACGACCATTTCTTAGCTGAATACGGTCGGAGCGAGATGCAGTGGTTCGAGATTGAGGAGGTCACTACTCGTATCTCGGGTGGCGATGAAGAGGATATACTGGTGGACGAAGGCGCAGACATGGGCGGGATCTTAGTCCAGACGTAGATAAGCCAGGAGGTGGTGGAACTTGGCGAGGGATATATACGGGTAAAGATACCGCCTCGAGCCAGGGTGAAAGACAGTCCACTGTAAGACGGTCGAGAATGGGGTCGACAGCAATATCCGCAAACGCAGTACCTAGTCAACCCGCTTGAATTGAGTCGGCTAGGCTGTCGCCTATAGTGAACAGTTGCCACCATGAGAATGGTTGTACATTTTCCTAAAGCTAAGACGGTGCAGACCTCCAGCACGGTCTCTTTTTGAGGATATTTCTAGCAACAAGGGGTAGCTTCGGGCCAGTATGAGTGGTCCGAGATCACAAGTGATTTACCAAGCGGAACATCGTAATGCGAACCTCAAGACCCCAATACAGGCAGTAAAGACGTCTGCTGCGACGTAAAGCAAACTACCAAAGTGAGTAGCTCGGCAGCTTTCGACGACTTGAGGAGAGCTACATACCGAATGCTGGTGGTCGAAAGGCTACGGACGTGTATGGGGAGGAACTGAAGCTCGATGCGTGATGCAAGGGGTCAGGAACACTGGGCATCTTGTCACCTTCGTCTGCTTGGATACTCGGGAGATATATACATGTAATAAAACGGTTTCCATCACATACGACCATAGGATTAGGAGAACTTGACATCCCGTCTGCTCTGCGTTAAATAAGCCTGATACCGCCGGATTAGTAGTTGGGGTCGGTGACGACCAGCGAATCCCCGGTGTTGTATGTTTTGCTTTTTGCATCTTGGTAACCCCTCTTATTATTATCTTATTTTTGATAGACGACAGATTCAGCATCGGAAATCATTAACCAAGTCTCTTTTTGTGGTGAATTCTAGAAGCGGTTGGATCCTGGTAAGCATACTTCCCCCCTTTATCGTCGACCCCTTTGGTTTGAAGGACATGGGCCCCTTTACCTTTAGTTCCTACAGGTGAGTCCAATTCACTTGTCCGTACAGACGAACCTGGTCAGGCATCAGAATCCTCGACCCATGGATAAGATGACATAGGTGTTCCTACCACAAGGCTTACATTTGTTCTTCGAGTGTGTGATGCGTCTCGGGGTTCATTCACCGCCGGATCATATACGGAGCAGAATCTGAACTCCTGGAATACTTCACAGGCATCTTTTATATGCAGGTAGCCTAGGCTGACAGACATCAAGACCCGAGGTCCACGGCCTTATGTTGTTGTTTGCCCGATATCTTCTATGCATCTCCTCCCATTGAGGGGGCTTCTGGTCAAAGGGCCAACCCAGACCGTCTGTTCTCGTTCCTCTCATGCTTCCCAGCTCAACGTGGTAGTGTCAAACCCGAAATGGTACAGCCTCTTACCGAGCTTTCTGGGTTGCAACCTCTAGTCAGCTGAAGCTCTTCTGGCAGGGAGTTGCAGACTACCATCGGCCGTTGGCACCTGGTATACCCACGTATGTCTTGCCTCCTTCATTCTCCCTCGTCGACAATGGTTTAAGGTACACATGATACAACCTTCATCTCACGTAGACCACACCCTGATCACCGTATAGAAGTTCAACTTTGGAACCTTTAAACAGCGACTTCCTCTATGCCTTGGTACAAATAGTATGGCACGTATACCGCAGGCATCTTCTCCACATGTCGCAAGGAGACGGTTCCTCTGTGGACAGGACTGGAGGAAGATTCAATATTCCTGTATGGTATACGGGAGCTTCTTGGAGTCAGCGATCTATTCATACGACGTCCAGCTTCGACACGGTTTCAGACGGTGAACAAGCTCTAAGCGGCCTGGGCCTGGGCCTGGGCATGGTCGCGAGTCTCGTGTCGAGGTACGTACCATGGCTCGCAATATGATGGGTCTTCTGTTGGATTCCGAATTTCGAAACACTGGGGATCAACTTATCAAGATAAAGAGTAGCACTCGCTGGTCGATGTGGTCCAAGTAGACGGTCACCTTGGCAGCGATCCCAGCTCTCGCGTGGGCAACAAGACAAGCTCAACGCAGTGTCACATGACAAGAAACATGTTCCACATCCACGGGATTCATCCCTGTGAATAAGCCGCATGAGTCTCCCGGCGCTCCGTGATCTGAACTCAGCTGACGTGAGCTGCATCCAGACATGCCCAATCAAGCCGCCAATGGTGGAGGGACAGAGACAAGAAGATGGAGTCGACATCTCACAAGGCTCAAGCCCCTATCCGGACTCCCGGAGCCAATGAAAGAGCGACCTGCCTAAAACGGCCATGAGCTGGGAAAACCGACTGTAGTCTGTGGAAGAGTCGTTCGAAATATGGCGGGTCCGTCGCCTGGAGAGTCGAGAATGGATCGCATACTACTGCATGGTCCATCTTCACTTCAGCTTCAACTTAAGTCGGGGCTTCAATGGCGACGGCCTGGCTGATGAGAGTAGGTATGCGATGTCCGTCGACGGGCATCGGCGAATTCTCAAGACAGCGAGTCAGGTATGATCCTTCGCCAAGTTCGCCAAGACGTGGCGTGTATCTACTATCTCGGTCCTCGGAGCGGCGTGTCGCTCTATCTGCTCGCCACCGACCAACACTCGATCGACCATGCAGCCATGTTGGTTGACTGTCAACTTCCAAGTGTCGTCCGGCGCCTCCCCCCTGGGGTCTAGGGAGGCTGTCGAGGCTGTTCCCGGGGTCGCATACCGCCGACTACCCCAACATGGCAGTCTCGCCGCAGGAGCGACACTAGGGTTGACTGATAAGGACCAGCCCTGACCGCTATTATGCCATCTGATTTGTTGGAGCAAACTCTTGGCCTTTGCGTCGACCAATGTCAGCGTGGGGAATGTATCTTGGGGAGCTGTGGCTATCTCTATCACCACGGAGCAGCAGGGCGGCGAGGCTTGGCGACGTGCGACATGGGATGGCCATCTTTTCGTCCCATGCAGGCGGATGAGCAGACTCGGGGCCCCCTTGTTGGTCGTGTTGTCTCTGTTCAGCGGTCGCAGATATATAATATTTCCCCCAATACTACACGCCGCTTCCCGCCCTCTCTCTGACCTTGGCTCGAGCCATTCTTCGTCGACTGGACGGGTGAAATGCGAACAAACCGTGACATCAGTGCCCAGAGAATTATAAGCCTCTCTCTAGTGGCAGTCTGGCCATAGCTTCACCCGATTCGAGGCTTTTCCTTCTTTACCCCCGAGCCTTCGTCCTCCATCTTGCGAAACTCCGTCTCACCCGTCGATTGATCTGAACCGCCTTGGCGAGAACAGACGCCGCCAAGATGGGGTGGGTTCAAAATACAAATGCGAAGATCGCAAGGAGCGCTGTCGGGCGGTACTTCAAGCTCGAAGGGTCAGGCCATGTGAGTCGAGATGGCGCCCAAGATGGAATGGCCTTTGAGTGAAGACGGATGACTGACCATTCTTACACTCGATAGGCTCGAGAGCGGAAAGGAGCCGTGTTCTCTACCGAGATCCGGGCAGGTCTTGCTGGCTTTTTCGCCATGGCTGTGAGTGATTTCAGGAGTCATCTGTTTCCCCATCTGGTCGTGTCTTGGGAGTAATTACCCGTCCAAGCCTGTCTCAAGCACGTTACTGCTCCCGAGACATGCGCCTCGACCCTCGACTTCCTGTTGAATCATCCAAAGCCAGCGCTTACTGAATTCTTGGTTTGGAAAGTATATTCTGGCGGTGAATGCCAGCATTCTGAGCGAGTCTGGAGGTGAGTGGTCATCTTCGAAGCCGAATGCGGCCGGCATTCTTCAAAGGCTCATCGTCTGATCGTGAACAGGTACCTGCGTTTGCAATGGCCGATCCGATGATCCCATATGCGAGGTGAACGAGGAGTACCTCCTGTGCATCGCCGAGGTAAAACGTGACCTTGTGACGGCCACTGCCGCTATCTCTGCGCTGTCGTCTTTCTGCATGGGCTTATTCGCGAATCTGTAAGATAACCTTGGCCCTCGAATCTTCATGAGCCTACATAAGCCCCAATGCTGACCCTCTACAGGCCCGTCTCCCTTGCGCCTGGTATGGGCCTCAACGCCTACTTCGCCTATACGGTCGTCGGTTTCCACGGCACAGGTTCGTCCATCACTGACAACACAGCTCGTCACGCGGGATCACTAATTCGGTTGGTTAATAGGGGGTACGCCATACTCTGTGGCTCTGACAGCCATCTTCGTCGAGGGCTGGATCTTCTTCGCCCTCGCCCTCTTTGGTATGCGTCAATGGCTGGCGCGCGCGATCCCTCGGTCGATCAAGCTCGCAACGAGTGTCGGCATAGGGTTGTTCTTGACCATTATCGGGTTCACGTGGCATGTATAAAAACATCCTTATTCTAGACCCCAAGTCCCCGGTCCTGGAATACACGTGAACCTTCTGCTAACTTCTCGGCAGTAAGTCATTTTGCTGGGAGATTCTAGAAACACAGGGTACGGTAACTAACTAGGGACATTTTCATACACTAGACAGCGAGGGAATCGGTCTCTTGCAAGGCGCTACTTCGACGCCGCTGGTGTTGGCTGGTTGCACGTCCGACTCGTTCGACGAGGACGGGTTGTGCCTCGATTCTGCAAAGATGAGAAACCCGCAACTGTGGATTGGAATATTCTGTGGCGGTGGTAAGCTACTCACCACCGTTCCTTCGCGTCTTATTACCGGTGGAACAAGACTAACTTCGCATACCAGTGCTAACCGTGATGCTCATGATGTACCGGGTCAAAGGAGCCATTATCGCGGGTATCCTGCTCGTCAGCATCATATCGTGGCCGCGTACCACCTCCCTCACCTACTTCCCATACACAGCCGTTGGCAACGACGCCTTTGATTTCTTCAGGAAGGTGGTGGATTTCCACAGGATATCGAAGACCCTTGTTGTCCAGCAGTGGGACATATCAGAATACGGAGGGCAGTTCGGTCTGGCGCTCATCACTTTCTTGTACGTGGACATACTCGACTGCACTGGCACCCTGTACTCGATGGCCCGGTTCGCCAACGTCATGGACCCCGTCACCGAGGACTTCGAGGGCTCGTCGGTTGCCTACATGGTCGACGCCATCAGCATCTCCATCGGGTCGCTGCTGGGCTGCTCCCCGGTGACGGCGTTCGTCGAGTCCGGGGCGGGCATCTCCGAGGGCGGCCGGACCGGGCTGACGTCGATGGTGACGGGGATATGCTTTTTCATCTCCGTATTCTTCGCGCCCATCTTCGCGTCGATTCCGCCGTGGGCCACCGGCTGCGTCCTCGTCCTCGTCGGCTCCATGATGATGCCCGCCGTCACCGAGATCAACTGGCAGTACATGGGCGACGCCATCCCGGCGTTCGTTACTATTGCTGTTATGCCCTTCACGTACAGCATCGCCAACGGGCTCATCGCCGGCATCTGCCTGTACATCCTGATCAACACGCTGGTATACGTGGTCGAGAAGGCGTCGGGCGGGCGCATCGTGCCGCACAACAAGGCCACGAAGGACCCCTGGACGTGGCGGATTCCCGGCGGGGTCTTGCCGCCGTGGATGAAGCGCGCGGCGGGTGGTAAGAAGGACTTCTGGCGCGCCGACCCCCTGCCTGTGAGCGATTCCTCTTCGGATACGCCGGGCGCGGAGAAGATGGCCAGGACGAACTCGACGGAGTTGGCCAAGGGGCAGCCGGTGCTCGTGCCGGAACACGCTCAGGAGAAGCGTGCTTGAGGGAAGAAAGTAAAGAAAGAGGAGGAATGGGGAACGACATGGTTCATCTGGTGCGCTTTCTGAATTGACATCTAGGATACATACGTTGCGGATCGGAAGATACCCAAAAGCTTGATACTATTCGATTTAGATCAACGTAGATACATATATAAGGAGACGTTGGTGATGGTGACACTCTGTGCCACGAGCACGATAATTCTGCAGCGTGTTCTCATCAGACACATGGTCGATCAAGGCGAGCAAGATGCCACATGTGGAACAAAGCCCAACATAACTCAAGTCGTACTTCGCTTCCCGGCTCCACGTCACCTCCCTTGCCCAAGGTAGTTTAGTACCTGAAGTACTCAGCTTGCGAGGTCACGCACAGTGTAGGAGTTCTTACCTGTGAGATTGATACCGCCTACTACATGTAAATGAACGGGCAGGGCCAGGGCAGGGAGTTATTGAGTTATCGGTCATGTATTGATCTGGAGTATAGTGGAATTAGGCCACGCTCGAATTCCTCATACAGTGTATGAACGAGACCAACCTGAGGGCAAATACAAAGGCAGAGCTGACTTCGGCCAGCTCTTGGTATCCACTGTAGCAAACAAAGCCAACCATATGCTATTTCCGTAGCCGTCCGCATCCAAACCCCTTACGCCATGTACAGTACTAGGAAAATGCGACCAAAACACCTACTTCAGCCCCTTGCCAGTACGGCGAGCTCACAAGGCATAGCTCAAGGGTTGCCTATACACCCATGGTGAAGTCGTGTTCGATACCAGGGGTTACGCTGGCCATGAACTGCAACAGAGTCAGCACCAACACGTAGTACTAGCTGGTGGCAGGTAGCCAAGGGAGACAAGTCACGCACCTTGAGGAATACTACGAGGTACTGGTCGACCCGGATGGCCACCTCTGGATCCTCGGCCTCGACCTCCTCCCACTCGTCATTGCTCGACTCGGCAGCAGCTTCGGCACCCTTGATATCAAGCTTGTTGATCTCATCCACCAGGCCCTCCATGCCCGCATCGTTGCCGACGGATCTGCCCGACTTCATCTTGTCCCGTCTGATCTTCAGAGCAGCATCGGCACGGTCCAGCAGGGTCTTCATGACAGAAGCATGCTTGCAGGGATGCACGCTGGCCATCTTGACGTTGTTGGCAAAGAAGGGGAAGTCGACCAACGTCACCGTCTTGTCCTTGTAGTCGCCGACAATGTCCTCCATCATCAGCTGGGGCGGGAGGGGCTGGCCCTCTGAGTAGCCGGACAGGAAGAGGCGAGGTGTAGAGTAGTATGTCGAGTACGTGATATATAGTGTATATGTTCGTCGGGATCTGTAACGTGATACGGCACATTAGCATATGGGTTGCCGCTTGACTGCCAGGGAAGAGGAATGGACTGACCCTGTCTTCTTCTGGGCGTCTGTATCTCGAATGATAGCTTCATCGTCATCCTCATCCTCCATGTCAGGAATATCGTCCTCGTCGTCTAGCGTGTCTCCTACGTTGCCGGCATCGTCCATGGTCCGGACGTCCTTCGCCTTCAGGGGCTGTGAGCTGCTGAGCCCACCGGTGCGCAGCCATCCGTCGTCATCATTGGTATGGCCTTTTGCCTTGAAGTCGTCTCCGTCGCCAACCACTGCTTCCTCGTGGCCGGCATCTCCGGCAAAGTCATCGTCAATGCGGCGATTGCAGGGGACGTTGCGGGTGACGAGAAACTGCTTTCCAGGTGGTAGGTAGGGCGCGCGCTTGGATTCGGAGTCGGCATCGGCCCACGACCAGGTCGGGAACTTGAAGACAAGATAGTCGCCGGCGGCCACGAACTCTGCGGGGGTGATTTGGCCAGTCTTTCGGAAGGTAGAGGTATGACTGGCGGGAGTGTACTTCTCGCGAATGGTGTTGACGGTGTTGTATAGGAGATTCATCGTGGGCAACGAAGCGATCAGCGCGGGTTATAGGCGGGGGGCTAGCTGTCGATCGATAAGATAGGATAAGTAAACTTCAGTACCTTGCGGTCGGGGCGAAGAGGACGACGATGACGGATGGAAGAAAGATGGGAGAGAACAGAACAGGTGGTGGTGAGACTGGTACTCGTGATGGATATGTAGGTAGATGCTGGAGGTAGACGGTAGACGGTAGACGGTAGATGGATACCTGAGCAACCTTTTATTCACGTTGACGAGGCACAAGGCAGATGGCAGATAGATACCGTCACATGGCTCTGAGGCACCCGACGCAGACACACAATGACTGGAGACGTCCACGGCGGCCAAGGGTGGGTTGAAAGCGGAATAGGTGTGGATTGACGAGGGGCAGCGCTCACGTAAACACCTATCTTATCTCTTGCCGACCGTCAGACGGCTAGACGACTAGTTGATGCAACAAAGCGACTTGATGCAAGTAACCTGGTTAGCTGAGGTAATCGGTGCTTTGATAGGGCTCTCCTTCCGGCTCTTCTTCGGTTGGTTATTCCTCTCCTCCCTCTCCACTCTCCATCCCCACGAGAAAACGAAGCGAGCAAAATTCACGAGACAATTTCTTGCACACATTCAAGCCAGCATATCGACACCCCTTCTCCAGATAGACCACACTGAAGGTACGAGCCACCCTCCGACAACCACAGTCACGACCGCTCTCGCGCATCTATCCGTACTAACGATTTTGACAACAGTCTCGCCGTCAAGATGAGTGCGTACCCTCGCCCGCCGACAAGGAGTCTCTGCGATGGACCGACTGACCTGCGAAAATAGCCAAGGGAACTTCCAGCTTCGGAAAGCGTCACAACAAGACGCACACTCTGTGCCGTCGATGTGGTCAGTAATCGTCCGATTCCAGAGGAGAAGGGTTAGGGACTGGCTATGGCCTATTCACGACTGCGACCGACCTGCCTCCTACCATTTCGACTTGCGATCAGCCCCGACTGACCAACTGCGCCTACAGGACGCCGATCCCTTCACATCCAGAAGCACACCTGCTCCTCGTGCGGGTACCCGTCTGCTAAGACCCGAAAGTGTACGTTATCACACAATTCCGTTGGATAATGGGGGATTGGAATCTCGGCACACGACGGTGACTTGATGAGGACTTGGGACTGACTTGACGACGCCGGCAGACAACTGGAGCGAGAAGGCGAAGCGCAGAAAGACCGTCGGCACTGGACGCATGCGGTACCTCAAGGACGTCTCCCGCAGATTCAAGAACGGCTTCCAGACCGGTGTACCGAAGGACTCCAAGGCCCCGTTCTAAGCTGGGCACGATTGGAGGTTTGATGGGCGACGACGGTCATGGCATGGCTAGGGAACGGTGTTTCTGACAAAGGGTCTGGTTTCATCATGGACTCGCAACAAATCTGAGTTCCGGGAAGATGTTACGCTAGGAGTTTCCCACCCAAAAATCGCATTTACGATCTAGCAAAAATGGCAGAGTCTTCGGTGACATGTGTGTACGCCAACCCGAGCCCGCGAATGCTCTCCAGACACGACGGTGGAAGATGGAGGTGTTCGATTTGACAGGTGCAGCCATAGCCAATGGGCAAGATCTCACGAGAACAATGAATGGCATTGAGTGAAACTTGTGTCCTGATGAAGAATGTCACTTTCTACTGGCCTCGCTCGAATACTCGAACGCCGCCGTCTCCTCCCACCAGGTACAACAGCTCCCGTTCCTCGACTGGTGTGCTCGAGTCGCTACTTTCCCCTCCGGGCGTGATCCTCAACACGCCACTTACGTCCCTTGCCGTACCCGTATCCAGCATCCTCAGACTCATGACGAGTTGCGCTTCGTGGGCCAGTGACAAGACCAGCGACGCGTGCTGTTTCTCCAGTGATGTCGTCTGCGAGGCGATCAGGGGTTCATCGGCAGACAATGTGACTATGGTCGAATGCACCTTCTATTATGCAACTATTATTAACAATGTCTATCCTTGGGATGTACCATGACCTGCCAGCCCGTAAACCACTTACCTCTCGTACCTGTAGCAGTACCTCTCGTAGCTCGTTGCTTGACATGTCGTCACCGGAAGCGGCCAACAGCAGATCCGATTGATCGACAATGAAGACAGTCTGTAGTCCCGGGCCGGCGGCTTGGACCTGAGCCACGGCATCCTCCAGCTCCGTGCGCAAGTGCTGCGGTGTAGCAGCAGACAGCACCCTCCTTCCAGGCCCATTCGCCATCAAGGGTCTTGCTTCATGGCTGGGCGAAGCACTGGTGAAGAGACCACTGAGACCATCGACAAAGGCAAAACTGCCCCTTTTCGCCGACATGTCAAGATCAAGACCTAGCCTTCCGGCGCCGTCCTTCCAGAATGCATAGTCGCGCATGAAACTTACGAGAACGACGTTGACACCATGCTGCGCTCCGCCATCGTCTTCCGCACCTCGTGGTGTGGGAAGGGAGGGGGAGGAGGCGGAGGATGAGGAAGAGGAAGGGGAGGAAGCGAGCAGGGAGTACAAATAGCGGTGGACGAGCCAGTTGGTGGTCGATCCCAGCACTCCACTCAGGAGGATGAGCGAGGCTTCTTGTGGGAGGCCGAGGTAGGACTCGAGGAGGGGCGGGATTCGCGAGGCCATGAGTCGACGGGGCTTGGCTGATACCGGCGGTCAAGTAGCTGCTGACTCGACGGAGAGGGGTTGGTTGTTTGTTCGTTCGTGGTCGACCTACCACGCAGCAGGGGAGTGCAGATTGGCGAGGTGGTCGGAACCCCGCCTGCAGTGGTGGTTTGGGAATTGGACGGAAGACGGGATAGACGCGTGGTATATTTTAAAACAATGTTGGAGAAGTATGGGCACACAAGAAACAATCCCCCGAGACAAAAATATCTACTAGTCACACCTAGTGACACTCGCCCATTGAGATCTAACCAAGTCGGATTCGTGCGATGGGGCTCTCGGCAGCAGATAGAGAGAGGGTGCAGATGCAGAGGACCCTTGATTTGTGCTCGTGGCATTTCATCAGGTGATGGTTGGTGATAAGGCGTGCATGTGTCGATCGTGACCAGGGTGTCCTCGCAAGTGTGTGGCTCCCCAACCCATTCTCCAGCCACAATGACAGATGGGTCACGGATCAGGATACAAGGTACCTTGGAGCCCAACGGGTACCCGTTTGTACCTGATTTGTACCCAACTGGGATGATAGCTACTTCTGGGATGGGGACACCACCCATCCCTTCTTTCAATCAAGCAACTTCCAGAATACAGACCATAGCCACCTATCGTGACCCTGGTCCTTATTCTGGATACCGCTACCACAAGGCACAAGTGTGCCGTCATAATACATAATGCATCTTCATCAGTGGTGCGAAGCGCTGCAGCGCCCGCTACAGTGCCTACAGACCTACCTAAGGTTGATGGTTGGGGAAGGTCGAGTCCCCTGAAAGTGAAGTGTGTTTGAAACAATCCCATGCATGGATGCATTAAGGTTGGTATGCTGTGCAACCTGTAGGCGTAGTGTTGATCATTCCCAAGTATCAGATCTACACTTTGCACTGTTTCCTCACCGTACATTGAATTGCCTGATTGCCTCCAGCCTTCACCTCCTTCCCTTCCGTCTTCACCTGATGGCTGAAAGGAATGATCCCATGCCAAACAGGGACGGACCCTTGAGGCCTTGGGACTAACGAGGTCTGGGTCTAAGAATCCCAGGCGGCTGACGCCTCTCTGGACACATGCAGGGAACGTGGGCCTGACGTTGAGAGCACTGACAGCATGTGCTCTCAGGTGCTCATCACCGCACCGCCTGACCACCCCGTCCGTATCTTCATATCTCCAAATCTCCATATCCCCATATCCCCAACTCCACGCTACTATACTCGCCGCGCCGATTGGACACGAGCTGTCCTGTTCAACCGCCGCTACCACGCCCATCCATCTATTCGTATCTCATCAGTCTGTCTGTCTGTGGGGAACAACAGTTGCTATATCAACTCGAGAGCCGCCAACAGCCAGACAGCTCGAGTCCCTTTGTCCTCTCTCTCCCCCCAGGTTTTGTTAGGTCTTCTCCGCCTTCTCCAGATCCAGGTCCAAGGCATTCATCCCTAGAGACGGTCCGTTTCATCTCACACGCTGGTCCTGAGACGAGCTACCTACCGTTGGCTTTAGCGCAACTGTCATCTGTCAGCTGTGATCTATAACCTCCCCTTATTACTACCTATCCGGCTCTGCCTTCCTCTTGGATTATATCATAAGGAGACATCCGCTTGCGATTCCCCATGGGGTTCGGGTCCAAGTCGCCATAACGTTGCATCCGCACGGCAGTAACTCTCAAGTCGGCGCAGAGATAACGACGACACTTGCCAACATCTTGGTTGTGTGCCTGCCTTGGGTGACACGGTTGGTTAGCTGTTAAAGCACCTGACTCGGCTGTGCTAGGAGGACCTTCAACAATTGACCACCTACACTACACCTCCTACACCTCCTACACCTCCTACACCTCCTACACCTCCTACACCTCCTACACCTCCTACACCTCCTACACCTCCTACACCTCCTACACCTCCTACATCTAAAACCTATCTCTCTACCCTCTCCTCGACCCTATCAACTCACCTTGTCCCTAAATTCCTACCTTCCGTTGATTGTATAACGCCTATAATCACTTCAATATCACACAATTTAGCACTTGTCCAACTCGGCTTGGACGCAAAACGCTGCACAACGGCGCCCAGAAAGATCTCTGTCACGTTGGGCCCGGGGCCGTTACGTCGTTAGAGATGGTGGATTCGGAGACACAGGCGCCTGCGCGCTCGTGGAATACCTTCTTCAAGAGGAGAAAGGGTGCCTCTCCGGATGAGATGGCGGGCGTTGCGGGCGAGGAGAAGCAGACGAAGGCGGTATGGAACATGGGGATGCTCAACGACAAGGAGACTATAGAAGTACCGGGTACGGAGACATACCTCGCCCCGTGTGCAAGACTGTTCATCCATATACTGACACGATGATATAGGATCTGTCTTATTGCTTGCTCAAGGTCGGAATGAACCACTGGGTCTTCGAAACGCCCCAGCTCGGACCTCACATTCTTCCCTCCCAGCCGGCTTTGTCCCAGAGGCACCAACGCCACCACCAGTCCCGGCCGAAGAGGAGAAGAAAATGACGGCAGATGGTCAGATCATCCTCGAGCCTCAGCCCGACGACTCGCACAATGACCCGCTCAACTGGCCTGCGTGGCGTCGCGACTCGGCCTTGCTCTCTCTCGGCCTGTACTGCATGGTAGGTGGCGGTATCACCCCCATCCTCGCCGCAGGCTTCACCAATGTCGCTGAAGGTATGGCAACCACGGTCTAATTCCAGCCGCCGATCCTTCCCGCTAAACCTGCTTCCAGACTACAACATAGACGTGGCCGAGGTGTCACTCACAACTGGTCTATATATGTTGGGCCTCGGCATCGGCTGCGTCATCTTCTCACCCACCGCCATTCTCTATGGCAAGCGCCCGGTCTACCTTTTCAGTTCCATCTTGTTCATCATCTCAGCCGTATGGTGTGCTTTATCACCAAACTTCACCTCGCTCATTCTGGCCAGAATCTTTCAAGGCATCGCTGTCAGTCCTGTAGAATGCTTACCATCTGCTACAATCGCCGAGATCTTCTTCCTGCATGAAAGAGCTTACCGGATCGGCGTCTACACTTTGCTATTGCTCGGTGGCAAGAACCTGGTTCCATTGGTGAGCGCTGTTGTCATCCAGAGTCTTGGCTGGCGCTGGGTATTCTGGTAAGCCACTTAACCTCACCTTGCTAGGCATCTTTTTTGTCTCCTATCCTCACTAACCTTGCCCAGGATTGTCGCCATTGTCGTGGCATTCTGCGGTGCCCTGCTCTTCCTTCTCGTGCCCGAGACTTTCTGGGACAGGTCCCCTGTTCCCAGAGCACGCAACCAACCCAAGAGGCCCGGTTTTTTCAGCAGAAGGTCATCGAGACACAGGGTACCGGGGTTGCTGCATGCCAACGATGGCGCCACTTCGGCTATGGATCAACCTGTGCCGAGTGCATCTGGAGAGAAGTTCACCGAAGACCACGTAGGGACTGCAAAGGAGACGCAACACCGGCACAAGAACGTTCATGTAGGGTTCGCGCCGGCTCCCGAGGATGAGCCAGCCTCTCCGTCAGGTGGAACAGCTACGGGGCCAGACCTCAACGGCAATGATAGTTCTACGGTAGCTGAAGGCCCGTCGACTGCCGGTTATTTCCACGACCCGGAGGGACAGCCAGCCTACCAAGCCCCTGGCATGCTGGAATCAGACGCTGCTAGTGAGAAGATGTCAGTCTCCAGCCTAGCACCTGTCACCAAAGGCCAGGTCTACACGCACAACCTGCGCCAATTACCGGCCAAGTCATTCACGCAGCAACTGAAACTGCACCACGGACGACTCAATCAAGACAAGTGGTGGAAGGCAGCGATCCGGCCACTGATCCTGTACTCGTACCCGTCGGTCCTCTGGTCGGCGGCCATTTACGCTTGCTCGGTGGGATGGCTCATCGTCATCTCGGAATCCGTGGCCATCATCTTCAGACAGGGGACGTACAAGTTCAGTGCACTGGCGACGGGACTAGTGTACATCTCACCGTTCATCGGTGGGGTGCTGGGCACGGCGGTGGCAGGCAAGGTCAGCGATATCATTGTCAAAGCGATGGCCCGAAGGAACGGTGGCCTGTACGAGCCCGAGTTCCGACTCGTCATGGCAGCGCCGGTGGCGGTAACGACAGTCATCGGGCTCATGGGGTTTGGTTGGTCAGCGCAGGTGAAGGATGCTTGGATTGTCCCTACCATCTTCTTCGGAGTGGTCTCGTTCGGCTGCGCGCTCGGCTCCACGACAGCCATCACGTTTTGCGTGGACAGTTACCGGCAGTATGCTGGAGAGGCACTGGTGACGTTGAACTTCAGCAAAAATATCTTCCACGGGCTCGTGTTCAGTCTTTTTGTGACCGAGTGGCTCACACACGACGGGTCCAAGTCGGTTTTCATCTGGATCGGCATCATCCAGCTGATCGTACTTGTCTCGACGATTCCCATGTACATCTACGGCAAGAGAGCTCGTATGTGGACGGTACGGCGGAATTTCATGGAGAAGTTTTAGATTTCTCGCGATGTTTGCTTTTGTTTCGAGATCAGAGCTCAATGGGGTTTGCTAGAAAGGGATTGCATAGTCATAGCCACCATGGGGCATTTGCATTTGATATGGAGTATGAGTTGACACACGGGCATCTGCATCCGCAATCAAGGCGTTTAGGGGACATCAGTCACGATTTCATGGCACGAGAATCTGATACATAGTATTGATACCATCTTTCCAATACTCTTTTCTCCGGTTTATTATCACACAATGAACAGCCTGGTGAAAGCTGGCAAATAGTACGGACGAACACTGCGTATAACCTCGCCTGTGAAAAAGGGGCTCTAGGGGGGTATTGTGAGAGGCTGCATGGACCACCGTATGACGACATCGGGATGCCCACATGAAGCTTGCTGAATGCCGAGCGCCGCCCCTGCGACCTTCCCGTCACCTTGGTCCTTCAGCACTTCAGCATCGAGACTGAGAGCCGTATTCTTCTTTTGCATACACCCGAATGTTCACGACCGAGGGCCGATATTAACATTAGCCAAGCCGGTTCGACTTTCTCGGGAGAGCCTCAGCTTCACTCCGAGTATCGCTGAGAAGGGGGCTACTTACCCAGCTACACCTCCACTGCCAGGCATAGGCACTTCCCGGTCCGGAGACGTTAACAGTCGGATCGACCAACATGCGCTCGACCATGCGCGCCGTCATGATGCCGGTCCTGAGAGACCTTCGCTACTCACCGGCAGCAGGCCGAGCCTTCTCGACAACCCGGAGCCGTCGCGCGGCTAATCAGATCTACGCATCGTGAGTGGAGCGCCCATTCTTCCTCGCCATCAGTCATCACCACTGGACCACGGCTAACCCCCTCTGTTTTCGTCGCAGCGTCCGCCGTCCCGAGGACTTCCACACCTACCAGCTTCTGTCCTCGTCCTCGCGCACGCCCCTCATAACGCTCTGGACGGCCTCCTACTGCGCCACCTGCCGCACCGTGGCGCCCCTAATCCGCTCCGTCATCGAGTCGGGCGTCGGCGAGGCCGAGGGCGGCGTCGGCTACTGCACCGTCGAGTACGACGCCCCGGACATCATGGCCGACGCCCTCGGCCAGACCTACATGATCTCGTCGCTGCCCACCCTGCTGTCGTTCGATGCCGGCGAGGCCCAGGTCACCACCAAGGTTGCCGATCCGCGGAAGCTGGCCGACCGCGCGTTTTTGGAGGAGTGGGTGAGGGAAGAGGCGAGACGGCATGGCGGACGCGGTGGTGGCGGTGGAGGAGGAGGCCTCTTTGGGGGTCTGTTTGGGAGCTTGAGGTGAGACTCGGCTCCTGAATGCTGTGTCTGGCTATTGACATGGTACTGATGGCAGTCGCCTGTTCTGGCCTTGACGCTGCTTGACGACACCGGTGCGTTCATGATCCCATACGAGGCAGTGTGGGTGAGCCGGCACAGAATAAGCCTATACGAATTTGTGGCGACACTGGCCGGCTCGGAAATAGCCATACTACTCTGCAGCCAGGACCAAGCCGTTAGGCGTGGTCCCTGGGCCGTTCGCAGGTACACATCTCAGCAGTCGGACGCCTGAATGGCCCGAGGCGGGTGATACCATGGGGCGTTCGAATGTTGTTTGTCAGGCGTCACAGTCCGATGATGTAGGTGTTCATTACACACGTATTTCACGGCGTTTTGAGCAGGCTGGCATGTTAGATGCCACTTGGCCATCAGACAGTATACTAGGAGCGTATGACTGGGTGTGATAGTCACTACTGACGGTCAGCATAGCTGGGTGGCTGCCTTGCCTCTTGGCTCCATGGCAAGACTTCATTGACCCGGTGCCGTTCTCGGTTCTCTGGTCATCTATGTCGGTCCGCAACTACATGCACACTTTAACCATAGAGGCAGCCACAAAAATCACCAAGCAGAACTCGAGCTCTAAAACAATGCTATTACCCTCCGCTCTATCGTGACAGACACGACTGTCTGATAAATTACCTACCGACTCCCATGTCTACCATTTCCGTCAATGAATCCTCCTCTATCTCGAATATTCGTGAGCCCAGTGTGTCAAATTTCACCCATCGTCTTCATCCGTCTTCGCTTTTCCACCACACAAAAAATCATGGAACCAAGGAAAGCCACCCTGCACCACCGCCCAAACAATCTAGTCCCCAACAATGCGTCTCCCCCAGCCCACTGTCGGGGGGAGTGATGGAATCCTCCGAGTTTCTCACCACCGTGTCCTCGTCCTCGAGTCTCCCATTCCAGGACTGTGGGCGACCGGGCTTTTGCTTTGGTTTGTCCTGGACCATGTCTCGCATGCTCGCTTCGTCGAGGAGGGGAGCGATCTTGGTGTATCGGTTATGGTGGTCATATGCTTCTGGGTCGTCTTGCGGCTGTTTATACGGCGGCGGTTCGACTCCTGATCGTCCGCTCTGGTGAGTGTCCGCCCGGATGAGCTGAGCATCCGACTTGGGCTCGGACCGGCGAGGGCGCTTCCGCTGCTCTCCTTCAGGCGGGTCCTCGGTGGCCGCACGACTACTCCGATGATCGTCTGCCTTGTCTTCGTCTAGCTGGCCCTCGGGACGGCTCTTGCGACTCTTGCGTGGCTTTTCCTTCGAGTCGCCGCGCTCCACTTCATCTTTCTGCGGCTCCTCCGGCTGGCGAGGACGGCGCGGGCGAGGCATTTCCTCCGGGGGTTCCGCCTTCTTGGAGCGCTTCTCCCGCTTCTCACCAGCCTCTGGGTCATCTTGCTCTCCCTCTTTTCGGCGGGAGCGACGGGGTCGATCTCCGTCGGGCTTGAGCTCTGGCTCTGGGCGGGTTCTCTCAGAAGGGGCGGGCTGGGGCTCCATGTCCAGAGGGAACTCGCGCTCGGAGCGCCGTTCCTTGGTTCGTTCGCGGTCGGAAGGCCGAGGCTTGGACTCGCTTAGTTCGGGAATCGGGATTTCCTGGGGTGCGGCCATGACGATGTTGCTTAGTTGTGGTTAGCGAGACGTCGGGGGGTCGGTTAAACACAATGGTGAAGTCAATGAAGCTGAACACTGGCGGAGACCCTGGGGATGTTCGATATTCAGGATTCCTGATGGACGCGATTTTGGGAATGTCGATAATCAAGTGAGCATGTTGATGTGATCAAGGGGGCTGCGAGGGCATCTTATAGTCCGCCCTCGATGGGTAAGTAGGGGAGGCTCAGGAGGGCCCTTTGTCTCGTGCACTCGATATCATGGTTTCGGGTGTGAATCACCGCTCTTGGGCAGCTTGAGATCCATGCAAGTCAGAGCTCGGGCATTGGTGCCGATGAATCACTGTATATTGGTGGAATAGAGCAACAGGTTGTGGCATCCGTTCCTGTCGATGCAGCCACATGTCAGCCAATCTCGAAGTCACGAAGAGGACCTTTCCACTCACTATCTGGGCGCACGTGAATCAGGAGAACTGGGTGTAATAGAGACTCACGACACAGTAGTTCTCTAATCACCCGTTGAGAACTCTTGTTTGCAGAATAACAATAGCTACGGGCAGTGGACATAACCCGGGGTCCGGCCTCTCTCCTCTAATGAATCACAAATCTTACACCCTGATAGATACCCTTAAATACGCTTGCAATGAGGCCAGGGTATGTTAGTCACAGCGAGGAAGGTGTGTAGGCAACACTACGAAGCATCACGGGGAAAGAGAAACGATGGCGCCCTTGGTACTGGTGAATTTTTTGTTTGTCTTTCGCAGCGGTGAATGATATCTGGCTGACCACGTCGAGTCCCATTCCCGTTGCGTGTAGGCTCTTATACCATACACATTGCACCTTCCGAGGTCCGTCCTACGCAACCGCCCCGAAAGTATCGTTTGGATCAGATGTTGATGTGGATTGTTATTCAACCACTTTGTCGGCACTTCTCTCCCTCCTGGCGGAAACAAACTCCATTGCGAGGGTGCGAAGGTGCTGTTGCGTGTCGGGCACCATCACCTTCTTTCGGGAGAAAGCGTCCTCAACGTCGACCCCTGAAGGGACGACATTGTGAGATGGAGCCACTCGAAGGGCATCAGGTCGTGTAGAAGACCTCCTCGACCCCCTTCCACCACGACGGATCGCCGGACTCGCTGTTCTTCGCACCGGGAACCAAGCTCTGTCGCACGGTGTCAGCCAGAATGACAAGCAAGCCCTTGATAGCTGAGCTTTGTAAGCAACCCAGGCTGAATGAGACTCACCTCCTGGAACCCGTCAGTCATGGCCCACCACTCGCGGACTTTCGGGTTTTCCCGCATGCGCTCCATATCGCCCTCGTAGTCGTATCCGACATATTTGAATGTCGCAAAGAGGATTCCCGAGTCCGGTTCGTGGAAGATGCTGTCTGTATGTGTATAAGAAGTAGCACTGGTCAGCCTCGAATCGAACAGCAACACAACACCATTTCAGCATGTCGCCCCAATGACCAGCTGAATCATCACTCGCGGAAGCCCTTGTACCCATCTCCGGGCGTCTCCTCCCAGGGTAAAAGTGTTATCACCCATAGACAATAAAGGTAGTACTCACAATCCCGGATGTTGCAGACCTTGATCTGCTGCAGTACCTCGGGCCACACAGCTGCGTGGACCTCTTTATCTGGTAGCAAATTAAAGTCAGTAATTACTCCTTTTCAACGAGAAACAAAGAGTGGAAATGCGTGTCTCGGGAGCAAGGGCTCTTGACACAGGCTGGAAGAGGAAATTCGCCCCTGAGACACGGCCAAAAGGGGCAATAAGAGACTCGAAAATGTACATACACTTAGCGACGAACTCGGGCTTCAGCTTGACGATCTGGGCGACGCGCTTGCCCGAGGTGCGCTGGCGCGTCGAGTCTCGTTGGTTGGCGCCCGGCTGCGGCGGGCTCGAGGTGCCCGTCGACGGGGAGGACGGCTTTGACCACATGATTTATTTATTTTATTATCAAGGGTGGGAGTGAGAGAGTCGAAGTTGAGGCTTTTCGTATGAGACGGAAGAAACAGGTAGGTGTATAGGTGTGTTTGTGGTACGGCGCACTTTTAAATAGAGATGGGTCAGGTGTGTTTGTGCCAACAAGGTCGTAGGTAAGTAGGAATTATTATTAGAGCCAGACGGGGACACGACCTGGAGTGGCTTGCTTTAAAATATCAAGCTTTCGGTGGAATTGGGCCGAGTGAGCAAGATACATGTGCGTAGTGGATGATCAATCAGCGCTGCACCTTTTGGTCCTTAAGCCAGTGAGTGAGTAAAGGACGATGAGAAATGCGGGGTCGACGGTGAGTGATGTGAGTGATTTGTTTCTATCACCATTACCAAGTGCCTGGATATGCCGTCTGCTGCTGCTTGTGATAGGGCAGGAAGTGCGTCGTCGTCGTCGTTGGTCGTTGGTCGTGGTTCGTTCAGCCACCGAATCCTTCAAGCGGGGGGCCATCTGGCGGTGACACCTCATATATGAATGACTTCCCTCGGTGCTCACTGCTCGGCCACCTGCTCGGCCACCTGCTCGGCCACCTGCTCGAGGTTTGTTGCATCCGGTGCAGGCGCTTCGGTACGCATGTTATACACGAGGCACACACAGCCAGAGCCAGCAGAGTCCATGCGGACCGACATGGAAATTTGTCTGTATTCTCAAGCTTGCTTCGACCTACATTACTGGAATGAGCCCAGTGGTACGGCTGTATCTTTATCTGTATCTGAACCCTAACGAGCTGCTCACTTTTGGTCATGTTTCCAAACGCCAACCCATGCAGTGACGCTACCCATCCCTTGTGTGACATATATGTATAGTAGTACAGCCGTCGCCATCTTTTCGACCCCCTCGTCGACATTGACCTCTACCAGCTGCCGCTCTCCTTTCTCAACAAAAGAAGTCCGCTGGGGACGTAAACCGCACCTTGCGATATCAGGCCCCATCATATCTCTGTAAATTAGCAAAGTAAAGAAGCGTATGCCTGTCTACCAGCGAATCAATAGCCACCGCATCGCGGCCGTGTCGGTCTAAGCGTACAACGCCTCAACCAAGTAGATGAACCCAAACACCAGGAAGGCTACGGCGCCGCCTACCGTGACTGTGTCAGGGAGTCAGTTAAGAGTGCTCCAAACAGGTGTAGCGAGGAAATCATCAACATACCAACTTTGAGGCTGACTTTGCCCGCGATGGCCCTGCCGCCCAGGACTGCCACGCCCGTGCAGCACGCGTGGCCGAGCATGGCACCCAGCGTCACCCACCAGTAGTCCTGACCCGCCGCCATGGCAATCGTCGCAATCTGGCTTCGATCTCCCCACTCGCCCAGGAAGGTCATGATGAATGTCTGCACCCACGCGGGGCTCAGGAGCAGCGAAAAGAGGTTGGTGAGACCCGTGCCAAATCCACTCACCACCCCGCGCCGGGGCGACGGGCTTCGGCCTGGGGACGTCGACGGGCTGCGCGGCGGCGTTGGGAATCGAGACTGGGACCGAGACTTCCGGTCGCCGAGTCCCATCTCGAGCGCGTACGGGGACACTGACGACCGCCGCCTGCCCTCCTTGAAGGCTTTGTGCTCCTTCTCCTGCAGCTCCATCTCCACCTCCTGCATTTCGGCCGTGACACCCTCGCTGGGATCCATGGCCATGCCCTCGCGCAGCAGCTTGGCCCCAAAAACAAAGAAAAGCCCAGCCGCAAGGAATGCCGTGATCCTCTTCGGGATCAGCGCCGGGAGCGTGTGTCCGAGCACGGCCGAGAGGACCGTCATCACCAGCAGGGCACCAAACGCTGCCGTGAAGACCACCATGCGGTCGTGTTTCATGGCCATGAGGGCCGCCACGAGGAACGTCTTGTCGCCCACCTCGGAGAACAGGATCATCATAAGAGAAAGGACGAAAGAGTGGAACGGTCGGATGATGCCTTCAGTGGCGTCGTCATCCAGAGCAGAGCTTTTGGAGCCTGGTTTGGTCGGCTTCGATACGTCGAGGTGGTCTTTGTGCGCCGAGTCTGGCAGCGGATTCGGGTGGTCGTGTAGTTTGTCTGGTAGATCCGAAGGCTTCTATCAACGTTGTCAGTTAGTTGTATCAGAGCGCACGTAGAACTGACACCTCACCTCGAGGCCCGCAACGTCTTCGGGGGTCTTGTGCACATCAGCTTTGGTCTTGTCTTTCTTGCTGTCCTTCTCGCCCACCAACTCTTGCTGCTGGCTGTGCGGCATCGGGGGCTTCTCCTTGGGTGTCTCGGGAATGTTCTCGACGCGTTCTCCCGTCACGCCCTCCTTGGCCTTGCGAGCCTTGTCCTTCTCGCTCACTCCGCCTTCGGTGCCGGTGGTTCCTTGCTTGGGAGTTTGACGATGCGGATCGTCCATGACTCCATCATTGGATTCGGGTATCTTCTTGCCATCGACAATGGTGGGATCTGACGGGCGGTTCTTCAGCGGCGGCAGGTCGATGGATTCAAACCCGTCAGTGGTATCACTCTTCTTGCGCCCTTTGTCGGTGGTCACAAAAGGCCCCTCGTGAGGCATCCCATCCTTGCCGTCTACCGGAGCATTCTTGGTGCCGACGTCAACTTTCGCTTTGGTTGAGGCGAGGGTCGAGTCGAGATCGGAAGCTGCTAAACGAGCCTCCTTGGAATCTGTGTCGAGGGAGGAGGAGGAGGAGGAGGAGGAGGAGGAGGCTAGGGCAAGAGAAGGTAGCAGGAGCAGAAGAAGCGGCGCGGCTGGCTGTCGAAACCTCATGATGGGGGATAGACGGTGTCGGAGGTTGGCAGACGATGCGAGGGATACGGCGCGCCTGAGTCGAGGAGCCACGGGGCAGTCGGTTGCCGGCAGAGGACTCGACTATGCTGCTCTTGGAGGGGTGGACTGTGACAAGACACACGTGGCGAGCCTTGTCAGATGTAGGTCGACGGGAGCGTACAGACTGGACCGTCGAGGGCTGGTTGACGTGACTACCTGTGTTCGTAGTAGTAGACAGAGCGAGAACCTCAATGGGAGGGTGAGAGGTCAACTGGTGATACAAGTGTGACAGCTTGTGGTGACAGGTGACAGCTTGTGGCGGTATACGGGCAGACGGGACGGAAGACAGTGGGGGAATGCCGAATTGAATGTCAGAGGGAAGGGGAAAAGGAGGGAAAAGGGGGTCGTAAGAGAAGCGCATACACACATGCACGTTACTTATTACATGTACGCGTTGCACGCATGCGATATTACCTGAATTAATTGCTCCGAAGTCAACGGGTTCAATGTTCAAGTCCAACCGATCCATGTCAACTGCCGGCATGACCCCTGAGAATACCACCACATGCACGTAAGCCACACCTGGCACACCACCAGCTCAAAGTGCACAGCCACAGCCACAGCCACAGCTTGTCTGGCATTCTCAGCACACGTGACACGATACATCACCGTCTTGTTTACACCAGCCCAAAACGGCAAAATTACCCCAAAACCCTAACCCTGATAACCCTCGTCTCCGCCACCAGCACTTCACAACTACGAGAACATTGCCCCGCAACTTGTTCTGTAGTGATCGCACGCTATGACCGGGCGACGCCGCGAAACAAGTCGTGCAGCTTCTCGCCGAGCCGAGTCCACCGATCCCACCAGCGACGGCCCCGTTGCTAGGCAGACTCGGGGAAGCGCGCGACGTGCCGAGCCCTCTCTAGAGCCAGAGCCCAGGCATCAGACCGAGATAGCCCGCCGAGGAACCCGCCGAGGAACCCGCCGGGGACGACGCCGGAAGAGCCTCGAGAGCATCGCCACTACTGATTTCCCCAAGAGCTCCGGAGAATATGCCAACCCCGAGCCAGAAAGTGAAAGAACTCGTAAGGCTGCCCTGTCTCACCCTTGCATCCATCCATCTGCTCATCGCCTTGTTCAGCTCTAGCCGCCGTGTCTGAGTCCGCAGAACCCAGAGACAGAGACACTGCGTCTCCTACGATGGAGGAGCCGGACCAAGATTCGCTCGAGGTCAAAGCCGCCTTGACTCAGGATATGGTCGACTTTGATATCCCTAAATTCTCACGTTGGTGCGACAACACTTACCGCGCCCTGACCGCGGCAACCGATCCTGAAGCCAGCCCCGAAGAGCAAAGGAAGCTTGCGCTGGCCAGGAGGGGCTTTAATGTGGCTCGTCAGCCCTTCGCCGATGACAGCGAACTTTTCATCCGGTCCTTCCAGCTCCCAGGTGATCAAGATCCCGAAGTTGGAGCAAAAGTCCGCGTTGCGCTCCGTTCTGGAAACCTCGTTTCGCTTCTTGACTATGTTCTTGACGTGGAACAGGGCAAGCAAGATATGCTGACCATTCTGGAACAACTCGATGACGGGTTCCCGGTCCTGTTTTCCGCTCATTCGGACTGCATCGAGGATACTTTTGATTTGGCCTACAAGATTCGGTGCCGCCGTCTCGTCGAGATGCTAGCTACAGACCACACAACTGATTCACTTATTCTTGCTACTCGCATATTCTGCGAGCAGCCAGCCAAAACGAAGAAGAAAGCACTCGAGGCACTGAGCCAGGGACCCTACAGACAGCTTGCCGCGATTGACATAGACGAGGACGTCGGCTCAAATGAAACATACCAAACACGGATGGAGGAACTCAGCTCCTTAGTCCTATCGGATGAAAGTCCGGAATCTAGGGGGTCGTTGGGTGAAGCATACCCCGAGGATTCCCTTCTCCGTGATCTTACATCGTGGGCTCGGGAAATGTTCGAGCACCTCAATAACCCGAGTCGGAAGGGCATTACGGCTACCCATTCGCCCAAGGAAAACCAACCCAACCCGGAGAGCGAGTCACTGTTTGTTCCCGACAACGACAATGCACGAGAATATTCTGAAGTTGACTCGGCGTCCGACTCCGAGTCCGGGACATATGACAAGCTTCCGCCCCAGGATTCAGGGTATGTTTAGAGTGCCTTATCCCACCGCGATTGCCATGAGACGGTACTGACGGCTATAGTGAAATGTTCATCGATGACTTGGACACCTTGGCCGCTGCGAGGCAAAGTGAGCGTAGAGCTTCAGAGCGGCCGACGCCCATATCACCCTCAAGCCGACAGTCCGGTAAGGGGAAACATAAACCATCAGCTAACGTGGAGGCCATCCGGCGCCTGGATCCTTGGCAGATATTGAGTTCATCTCATCCACGTCGGCCAGAGAGTAGCTTTAATAGTCATGAGGACCCTCAAGGTTCAACTTCCAATCCTCGATCAACCTTGGTCTCGCGTGGGTCCGTTACGCGAAAGCGCTCGCAGCCAGGCGAAGACGATGGCAATGGCGATGACTTCGAATTCAACGATCAGCCGGTTGATAAACTTCGGAGAGCGCAGTACGGAAGCGGGACTGTTCGAAGGCCATCCCCCAAGCGTTCCCGATTTGCATCAAGGCCTCCCTCTCGGCCTCTGGGCGAAGGCGACACGCCATTCTCCCCGGCCAAGGCTGGGCCCCCAAGCATTGCAGATGAGCGGCTACTCGAGGATCATGCATCTGTAAATCGTACAATACAGGACCAGGACCTGCTGAAGCTATCACAATCCGCCCGGCAGAACCGACAAGTGAACGGCAGTGGTAAGCCAACGCAGGTCCGTACACGCTGGTCTGCATTCGATACACAATGCCTCCTTAATCTCATAGCCGATCCGAACCTCAACTGCTCCTGGAGTGCAATGGAAAAACAGGGCGGCTTTGAAAAGTACCGAGACCAGCAAGCTTTGCGGGACAAGGCGCGCAACCTCAAAGTCTTGTATCTTCAAGGCGACAAGGTCTTGCCTGCAGGCTTTGACCGAGTCGTGCTGGGCACCAAGGAAAAAAACGCTGTGAAAAACTCTGGTCGCAATCCAGATAGGACCGAACATGATGAGGATGCGCATGGGGAAGTCATCAACAATATTTGGATCGGCAACTGAGTTGAAGTGCTTTCGGGTTCAATGGATACAGCCTTACCGGAGGAGTCAACATTGCAGGAGAGTTTGTCTGTCGCTATGGTTCATGCACATATATCTCTCACTTGGCAGTGGCGTTGCGGGAACAGGCGATAGATACCCCCAGCTGAGAAAGGAAAAAACTACGTACCCTAGTTCTAGGATGAAGGGGCGTCGGAGTCTTTGCCTCGCGCATTTGTCTCAATCGTGCCAATGAATGTTTCTCTCTTCACGCATACTTTACTACACGGTGCTGGGCGACTTCCAGAGTCATTACGCTTGACAAGTCGAGCAATATTGAGAATGGACAATTTCCCTTGCAATCAATTGCCTGGGATGATAAAGAGTTCCACTGGGCGCACATTGATTTTTCTCGCTCGCGAGCATCTTTGATGCCAGTGTCAACTGTGGCATCATCATACGTGCGGCTCTATCGTGCCATGAAGCCAATTTCGACTTTCCCAGCTCGGAACTCAGACGCGGCCTCTTGAACGCCAGCTCCCCTCTCGACAATGGCATGTGTTGCTTGAGTCGGCAAAACAATTATAGTCCACGCGGAGGACCCAAATTCCTGTACACATACCCTTCCGAGATGTCAGGTGAGTTATGAACGCTGGCTCAGCCTTCGCAGTGCGAAGGACTCGCCCTTTGAGTCCAGCAGATTGCGTTGGAATGCTCCAAGGCCTCAATGAACGTGCTGCCCAGATCTCCATCACGCATCATATCTACCAGCGAGCAAAGGCCGGTTTGTATGTGGTTAGGGCGCCCGGACGAGATAGGTCTCATGTTCGAGAGTGTGCCGCTACCTCGGACGCGAATAAGTTGGGTTGGGGAAAGCGGGTGGCGGCAGTTTGCGGACAGTGACAACGATATCAATGGATTCAGGTTCGGTGAAGACTTATATCTCCTCAACATATTGGAATGTCAGTCGATGGAGCCGAACCAGTTCAAGGCCCTTGCCACTACTTCTACATTCTTTCTGTTATCTATTGATAACCAATTTGAATCGTCGAATTCCTCCCTCGGCCCTGATTCGGCCGCGTTTAGGTCCAACAATAAGTCTGCTATGCCGAGGAGACGGGTCATATGCGGACTAGATGTTACAACTTTGGACATTCTCTTCGCGCTGGCTGGATCACGCAGCCCTGGAGGACCGCAAGGTAGCCAGGTAATATATATGACAGCGACCGCACCGTGGACAGCATTGGGCTGCGAGAGAAAGACAGGAACAGAGGGGGCTTATCTCTTAGTTGTGTATATGCGATGTGATTCGGCGTCAAGTGTGAACCGCTGGTGGTATATGCCTCCAAGCACGGTGCCACGGCCCTGAGAAGACAAGAGACACTCTCTGCAGAACCTGGCATCGGACTCCAAGCATTGGTTCCAAGTTCGGAATGAAGTTCCTTGGGAATGCTGGTAGAGTCACCAACACTCCCTGGGATAAACCACCAGCCAACTCCCACTGCTAGTACGCCGCCGCACGGCGGCGTTTCTGGAAAGAGGCGTTCCTGCATGAAGCCGGCAAGGCGGGATACGAGCCAGACCAGACTCGGCTCTGCCGTCATGGGTCCCGGACTTTCGTCCGAAGCTGCGCAAGAATTCCTACATAGTGTCACTCGTTGCCCTTGGGGAGCCGGCGGCATCGGGTTCGGCCCGTCGACAAGGTATACGTCGAAGTTCGCATGCTTCTGAAGCAGTTTAGCAACACAAACGCGTGCCGCGGGGATTTGGCGGGTTCAAAGGTCCTCGAAAACGTTGATTCAGATCGACTATTTATACAAGAATGGAACCGGCACTTCTGACCATGTAGGCAAGAGTAGGTAGGTGGAGGAGGCACCATTGACGATAGAGATGATTTCACCGCCGTCGTCCACATGACCCGATGGGACCTCGATCATGTCGGAACTCTTTAGCCGCAGGTGTATCCGAATGGCGGCAGCTTCCCAAGACGACCATGATGCGTATTGACACAAGGAGCCGCAGAGACCGAGATAGCAGGAACACCAGCGGTAAGAAGGCGTCGGTAATTAAACACGATCTACCGAGGTTCAGCAGCGATGGTGAGCTTTCGGTTTGCCGTTATCAAGCCGGCTACTTCTGCCTCGTCCCGCGCACCACTCAAAGCCGCGACGAGATCGGTATGTTCGAGGATTACGAGCTAGGATTCGGATTCAGACAGGCAGTGCAGACAGGCAGTGCAGACGGGCTATTCAGAGCTAAGTGGCGAGGCCTTCGCCCACGGCATGACATAGGAAGGCATAAAGCTACCGGTGAAACAAGGTCCTCGCGGCGTCGGAATCGGGTCGAGGTTGGATCTGACAGCTGAATGCCGACTTGATTGGAAGCATCTGCTGCCACAGAGGTGTACAAATATACCTAAGGTAGGCTTTTATGCATAGGACAAGCTAGAAATAATGATACACCTTGTCGAATTTAGATACTTTTTAGTGCATAATGATGAGGCTACCTCCTGGGCTGTCGATCTGCTCATTCAGGTAAGCTCGCCTGATGACGCATGACATACAGGCTGCATGAGCGCATCCATGATGAGGAAGAGGAAGCTTGGGTGGATTCAAGTTAGGCTGATATGAGCTCGAGGTTGGGTAGCAACATTCCATGAAGCTTGAGGTGAGTCAGGCCGGCCTGCCGCGGATATGACACGGCGCCGGGTACATTGATGGAGTATCATGTACATTGGATGTAGTCAGACCGACGGCGGCTAATGAAACGTCACACGGTCAGTTCTCCATCAAGGTTATTATTGACATCAATGAGTCTTGCCGTCGATACATATTCCCATGTTATGACATTGAGCAAGCTGGCAAGTTGCGAACTGCAAACAGCCATGTGTGAAATGTAATGCAGGATGGCGGGCAGAAGCGGCAGAGACCGTGGCTGTGTGGCGAAATGGGGCAGGTGGTGGGCAGGATAGGAAGAAAATGTGAAAATTTCGTGAATCAAAATAAAAATCTGAGTTGTGGCGGCCGTGGGTGTGGGCCCTGAAGGAGGGAAGGAGGGGCAACAGCCCCGCAGGTGCGCTCAAGCGTGTCAAGGCGCTTTTCTGGCTTTTTGCACAATCCAACCCCACCTTGCAGGAAAATAAAACCCATCCACTCCCAACCCGCACTCCCATCCCTCTTGATCTTCTTTCGATTCTCTGTCACTATACCGTTAATCATTAAGCATTAACATCTGGCAACTGTGAGTACTCCCCTGCTGGCATCGGCATCAGCATCATCATCACCACTTCATCGTCATCACGAGCATCTGCATCTGCATCAGCTGCATCAGCTGCAGAAGGAGCAGAACTGTAATCGCAGTCACTGTAACCAACCTGGCGACGCAAGCACCTCCCGTGCCCATCATCCTTCTCCTCTCCCTCCTCCAACATCCTCCATCATCATCCTTCATCCGTCGAACCTTTCGACTACCACTACTACTACTTCTACTCCTCTCTGCACCGTCGAGACTGCTGAGCAACCAAGCTAACCATACCTCTTCTTCCGCGCAGCTCGTCTCCCTCTACATCCACACAACACATAGTCACGAACCTTTCCAACCGTCAAGATGGGGTATGTACAACCACAACAATCACCAAGACTCGGTCGCGCACCGTACACCATATTGACCAGTCCTACAGTAAGGAAGACAAGACTCACATCAACGTCGTCGTCATCGGCCACGTCGACAGCGGCAAGTCCACCACCACTGGTCACTTGATCTACCAGTGCGGTGGTATTGACAAGCGAACCATCGAGAAGTTCGAGAAGGTCAGTCAACTTATTCCCATCTTCCCATTTTCCCATTCGAAACTCGGGCATTGCATTTGCATCCGCATCTGCGTTTGGCATCTTCGCGTTGCAAGGCGCGCTCCTCTCCCACACCACTTCACATCAAGCTCCCCCCACCGAGGGGCACAAATTTTCAATTCTCGTTACCCCGCCCTGACGTCTCCCCTCCCGCCTTGACCCGCCGTTACAACCACATTCATGCGCGCACGCGCCCACACGCAAGCATTCCGTTGGCAGTGTCTGACTACCCCACTATCACCAACACCAACACCACACCAATACCACAGCATCAATCGCTCCAAGCAACCGCACGCACCCAACACATTCGCACCCACCATGCCATGATTTGGTATGATTGCTGACGCACCTTACAGGAAGCCGCCGAACTCGGCAAGGGTTCCTTCAAGTATGCCTGGGTTTTGGACAAGCTAAAGGCCGAGCGTGAGCGTGGTATCACCATTGATATCGCCCTCTGGAAGTTCGAGACTCCTAAGTACTACGTTACTGTCATTGGTACGCCCGCTCCTGTGCCCCCAGTGCCCAACTCCATGCTAACCCGTCGTCCAGATGCCCCCGGTCACCGTGACTTCATCAAGAACATGATTACTGGTACTTCCCAGGCCGACTGTGCTATCCTCATCATCGCTGCCGGTACTGGTGAATTCGAGGCTGGTATCTCCAAGGATGGCCAGACCCGTGAGCACGCTCTGCTTGCCTACACCCTGGGTGTCAAGCAGCTCATCGTCGCCATCAACAAGATGGACACTACCAAGTGGTCCGAGGACCGATTCAACGAGATCATCAAGGAGACCTCCTCCTTCATCAAGAAGGTCGGATACAACCCCAAGACTGTCGCTTTCGTTCCTATCTCTGGTTTCAACGGCGACAACATGTTGGCCGCCTCGTCCAACTGCCCCTGGTACAAGGGCTGGGAGAAGGAAGGCAAGGGTGGCAAGGTTACCGGCAAGACCCTCCTTGAGGCCATTGACGCCATCGAGGCCCCCAAGCGACCCACCGACAAGCCCCTCCGCCTTCCCCTTCAGGATGTCTACAAGATCGGTGGCATTGGCACAGTTCCCGTCGGCCGTATCGAGACTGGTGTTCTCAAGCCCGGTACCATCGTTACCTTTGCTCCTCCCATGATCTCCACTGAAGTCAAGTCCGTCGAGATGCACCACGAACAGCTCACCGAGGGTCTCCCCGGTGACAACGTCGGCTTCAACGTCAAGAACATCTCCGTCAAGGATATCCGTCGTGGCAACGTCGCCGGTGACAGCAAGAACGACCCCCCAACTGGTGCCAAGTCCTTCAATGCCCAGGTTATCGTTCTTAACCACCCCGGTCAGGTCGGTGCTGGATACGCTCCCGTTCTGGACTGCCACACTGCCCACATTGCTTGCAAGTTCAGCGAGCTCCTCGAGAAGATTGACCGACGTACCGGAAAGTCTGTTGAGAACGCTCCCAAGTTCATCAAGTCGGGTGACGCTGCCATCGTTAAGATGATTCCGTCCAAGCCCATGTGTGTCGAGGCTTTCACCAACTACCCTCCCCTGGGACGTTTCGCCGTCCGTGACATGCGTCAAACCGTCGCTGTCGGTGTCATCAAGTCGGTCGAGGCCGCCGACAAGGGCACCAAGGAGACCAAGTCTGCTGGCAAGAAGAAGTAAGCGTATCACCCACCACCCTTACTACAACCTTTTGCCACCCCTGGGATACCACACACCCGACATGATCACGCCTGCACGACTTGTTTCTACTTGATATGATCTGTCTACTCGGACGATTTGACTTCGGAGCGCAACGAGAGGAGGGGTTATGGGCATCTCGCGACAAAACTTTCTCATCTTGTGCTTGTAGTAAAATAGAGTCATAGACGTGAACTCAAATTTTCCGATGCTTGTGATTCGTGATTGATCCACTTGTTGATGTGATATGATGCCATCGTATCTACCACCTACCACGTCCCCGTTTGCGCAAGGTCGGAACTTACTGTACTAACGTCGTCGTAGCTCCGCGATGCATTTCTCCAGTATCGTAACAACAACCAACCATTTCATTCGAAGTACACGCCAGTCAATGATGATGCAATGTCTTCGACGCAGCTTCCCCATGTTGATGTAGACAGGGGCGCCATTTCATTCCAATTGGCGTAGTGTAAGCCACCACAGCCTCCGGTAACGTTGGGATTGATTGAGCATCGAGATTAATGTAATGTAACAACCATGTCAAGATTGTACAGTAGGTATTGATGCTCAGAAGAGATCTGATGATGATACATAGGTATATACATGATTTATAGTTATTACACAGGCAGAGTATATGCCATCATGTCTTGCGACTCGGTGGGACAACGGAGCCAGACCAGAGCGAGCCCGACGTAGCCAACCGATAGCAACATGCCAAGAAGTCATCTTGCTGCTTGTCACTCGTGGCGTCGCTCATCTCCCTCTCCCCCTCTCGCTCTCCTTCCCCTTCCGGCGGCGGTGATGCTGCCGGCCACGTGTTGCCGTCACCACCAGAAGGCGTGGCGGCCAGGGGCTCGAGGGTGAGCTCAGCACGGCGGCCTCCGCCCTGGCCGGCCTCAATGGACGTGTAGGCGAGGCGATGGAGGCTGCCGCCATCCTCGTGGGGCAGCGCGACGGAGCGGTGCAGCTCGAGGCCGACGAACTCGTACAGTACGTTGACGAGCGCATGAGAATCGGGGGCCTGCCCCTGACCATTGGTCTGCTGTCCGGACGCGGTTGGGGACTGGTCGGGTTCATCGGCGAACAGCCGGCGGGGCACGGGGAAGGCCTGCCGCGGCGGCATCTCGAGCTTGCCGGCCTGCAGATCGAAGCGCGCGGATCCCAAAAAGTCGGCCAGCGGCTGCCAGGCCGCGAGCGTGGCCGAGTCGGCGCCCTCGAGCAGAGCGTACTGCGTCTGCGTGAAGCGGACGTCGACGGGCGAGGCCGGCAACATGACGTTGGTGTGATGTGTGTGCCGGATCGCCTGCAGCGACTCGATGCCTTCGATGTCGCCGTACTCGGAGACGGCGATTCGGAGCTCGAGAACCGGGGCTGGGGGCATGCCAGCGCGAGGGGTGAGTCGCTTGCCCCGCTTCTTCTTGTTCTTGTTTCCCGGCGCCTGCTCCTCGGTGGTGTCTGGCAGTGCCTTGGGACGAACGTTTATCTCTGGGGAGGGCCAGAAGCGGAGCAGGAGTGTGCCCCTGGTCTGGGCTGGCTGTTGGGGCCTGGTTTTGTCCTGGCTGGGGCCAAAATTGGCGAGGTGAAGTGGGTGTGGGGTTATAGGAGAGAAGACGCGGCGGTCGTTGCTGACCAGCAGATCCGTCTGGGAGCGAGGCGATGAGGCGGTAGTGGGTTGGTGGGGATGTAGTATGTGGCCGAAGTGGGCCGCGGTCGAGGTGCGGACGTTCTCGGACCATCTGACTGGGTGCGCAGGGAATGCCGTCTCTGGGAAGAACTCGTCACCCTCGTTGATCTCCCAGATGCCGTCAGTCACCAGCGCCGGCCGAGGCTCGAATGGTAGTTCAAGTTGCATCGGTGGAGTCGTTGGAGTGGGCGTGCCGGTTTCAGGTGCTAGGGGGAGCACGTAGCGAGCCCAGTGTGCCATCTTGTCCAGCCAGTTCAACTTGTGCTTGGCTGCGACATGGGGTATGAGTCGACCATCGTTCCCTGCATTGACTGCATAGAGCGTAGACGTCGCTCGTGGAGGTGCAAAGGCGGTGAGGAGCAGACGGGCGACAATATGCCTCATGTCCTCCAGCCCAACAAGGCCTTGCTTTGCACGTGCCTTCAGCTCGATCCAGGTGACGTGGAGCTGTGACAGAGCCGTGTCAGTATTCTCATGAGCCATTTGTAGATGTAGTGATGTCTGGACTGACCCTCTCCCCGTTGTGGCTCTTTCTAACGTCGCTATTCGTAATACGTCCGAGTTCCTCCAGCACCGCATCGTCAGGCGGTTCCGTGGCAAACAACTTCACCGGCAAGGTCCTGGTGTGGACGCCGTTGAGGATCTCGTCAAAGTCCTGTAGTAACATCTCGGCTTTCGGCTTGGTGGTGACCAAGCGGAGGGTCTTCTGGTTCCTGAATGATTCGATCTTCTCACCGGCATCTAGGCGGATCTTGCCAACTGTGTTGACGAAACGCTGGGTGCCGCCTACGAGGGATGATTTAGTGAGGCTGTCGACAAGTTACTGGTCACAGGGGTTGCACCTACGCATCAAGAGGATGAACTCTCGGTTGCGGATCCTCACGCGGGTCTCGCCCAGTCCGGTGCTCAGCTCGGCAATGGAAAGGCCCCAGCACTCGCGCATGATACGAACGGCCAGCCTCTCCTTGGTCGATGCCGAATTTGTGATGTAGCCTTGCAGACTGGGGTCGGCGTCCCCCTGAATGCGCAAGGGAACCCAGGGGGTTACGTTATTGATCCAGCTGAATCGGTGAGCTTGGGCGTTATTGTCGTCGTGCTCGGGGGTATCGACGGCTGTGGTATTTCCCTCGTCGTCGCTCTCGAGTAGGTCGACAGCCGAAGTGTTCATGGCATCGCTCTCGAGGTGGTCCGCAGCCGTTGTTGGAAGCTCGTGCTCGTCGTGATGGTGTTTATGAGCCCCTTTCCAGCGCTCGAGGTAGTCTTGCAGTTGTGAGCTCAGGAAGCCGTCGATCAGCAATTCCTTTACTTTCTGGAACTCTCTCGCGGACAGGGTCGTATCTGTCTTGGGCCTCAGTTCGTCGATGTTCCTGCGAGCCTCGGCGGCAGTTGGGGGGTTTCGCTGGCTGTCGAGCATGGCTTCAATGTTGGCCAGGTTGGCATGGGCTTGATCGGACTCGGGCTCGAACAGGGGATCGACAGACTGATTCTTCCTCTTCTTGAAAAAGCCGCCGTCTCTCATGACGATGGCATAGGCAGGCTTGCCCAGCATGTTAGAACCCAGACTCTCGGCGTCCTCAGTGAGGACCCGGTTGCCAGCCAAATGTCTCTTGTGGATGTTGAGCCTCCGGACGGCAGAGGTTCCCTTCCCCCTTCCCCTCGCTCTGGGTCTGGATTCCTTATCTTGGTGCAGTTCCTCCTGGTCTATCTCTGCGGCATGGTCAAACTCGGAGGAGCGAGCTGGCGACTCGCTGGCAAAGCACCGTACGAGAGGCGATGGGCGGCGGGAGGTCGGTGCAAGCAGTCGGGGCGTCGTCTGCCGCTGACGAAGGAGACGCAACTGGCATCTGAAACAGACAGCGCCACCAGCCAGACCTCTCGCGATCATGAAGACGGCTCGGGTGGTGCGTGGTCGTGACAGGATAGCCGGCGACAACTCTGCCGCGCGCGATTCTTGCTGAGATCCAAGACACACCTTTTAACACATTTCTGTGTTTTTTGGTCTCATTCCCTAATTGGGACAGCTCTTGAATAATTAAAGTAGGTACATAGGTAGGTACATGCATATACAGGGGTCCAAGTCTTGGGGGTCTTGGCCCGACGCGACGTGACTTTTCGTCAATCAATTAAAGACTCGAGAAAGGCGCGTCTCCGTCTCCGTCCCCGCCAACATTCACATGTCCATGCGACAGAGTCATGCACTACCGAGTACTCTACCTAGGTACCTGGACAGGCATTGTTTTTGAACTTTGAACAGAGGAATTCGCGCAGATTCGCATCTCCTCCCCAAAAACCACTCTCTAGGCTGTAGCAGCCATGCCCCCTCCGTCGCAGCGCCGCCGGCGAACAGGCAACCATGACGACGAGAACGACACACGCCGACGCCGCCAATCGCGAAAGAACAACCAGTCCGACGACGACGACGACGACGAGCTGTCCGACAAAGAGCAGGACGGCGACGTAGACCTGAAGCCAGCAGCTGCCGACGGCACCGGCGACCAGCTGGTCAAGAAGCTGGTGCGCTACGCCCTGGCATGCGAATACGCGAGGGTACCAATCAAGAGGGATGGTATACGGGACAAAGGTATGCACCGACACCTATCTGGGTAGGTAGTTATACTCGGTGCTGACAGCCCTGCGCAACGGCAGTCCTGGGGAACAATGCGCGCTCGTTCAAGCGAGTCTTCGACGCCGCCCAGGACCAGCTTCAGAAGGTCTTTGGCATGGAGATGTCCGAGTTGCCTGTTCGAGAGAAGCGCACCCTCAAGGAAAAGCAGAGTAAGGCGCCAATCGTCCAACCAACCCCATGCTGTGGTCCGCTAACACGTCTGCACAGAGGCTACAGCCAGGAAGGCGACCTCGCAAGCCAGCACCTCCTCCCGACAGTACATCCTGATCTCCTCCTTGCCGCGCGAGTACAGGGCACAGCCCATCATCGGCCCGTCACGCATACCCAGCTCGTCCGACGAGGCCGCCTACGTCGGCTTCTACACCATGGTCATCTCCCTCATCGTGCTCACGGGAGGAGAGCTGAGCGACGTGAAACTACGACGCTACTTGACACGCCTCAACGCGAGCCAGAACCTGCCCGTGGGCAAGACCGACGATGTGCTGCAGAGAATAGTCAGACAAGGCTACGTAGACAAGGTGACCGAGAAGGCCGAAGCAGAGGAGGACATAGTCACCTGGTGCGTCGGACCGCGGGGCCGCGTCGAGGTGCCGCCCCCGACCATCGCCGCCGTCGTGCGCCAGGTCTGGGGCGAGCTGCCCGACGACTTTGATATCAGGATTGAGAGGAGTCTGGGCATTCAGAGGGCAGACCGACTGCAGGGCGCGAATGGCACAGCCGAAGAACAGGACGAGGAAGGGTGAAACTTGATATTCCTTTGGCACTATTAGCGAGATGGGGCAATGGTCAGGAGTCATGTCACGGCGTTCATGTGTAGGCAGCCAGGGTTGATTGATTACTAGTGGGACGAGTTGCTCGTCTCCTGCGAGAAGGTATGGGCTGGGTTGATTCTCCATGCACTGCTTTGTTCGCCTCGGAATCATCTGCAGTCTGCAGCGTCCACGAGGCCCGCAATCATCCTTCTCCCAAGTCTCATCGACGACCCATATCTAAGCCTAGCAGTCTCGCGTGGCTATACACTGCAATTCGGCCCATTTCCACGCAGCTCAAAATGAGGCATTGTGACATGGCGTGTATATATGTGTCCCCTATTCGGGGCCTGGGGCCTGGGGCCCGCGGCCTTGTTGGTGCAATGTGATCGTCTCGACCGCGCGCACATCCGGTTGTGTTGTATCATTATGATTGCCTTGTAGCTCGACCACTCCAGGTCTTCCGATGATGTAACCAACGCGCAGTGCCTGCCTTCGCAATCCTTCGGCCTAGCATGTATAAGCGCAACAGAGTGATGATTCAATCAAGCTTTGCCTCCCTGTGACACCACAGGCTCCTCGCCCTCGCGCGGCGGTGGCGGGCCACACGGCTGGACCATCTTGCGGATCAGCTGGGCGCGGACCTTGGCGGCGGGCTCGTTCTGGGCCAGGGCGATGTAGGCCAGGTGCGGTGGGTGGCCGACGATGCTCGAGTACGTGTCGCGCGCGATGTTGGTCCGCCACTCCCACGACGTCGTGTCCGGGTGGCCCGTCCCCACGTACTTGGCCTGCAGCCGCTCGAGCTCCTGCTGTGTGCGCAGCTTGTCGGCCTGGAGGTGGTGGTAGGTAGGTAAGCGGTCACGGCTGGGCAGGTTGGGGGTGGGTGCTGACTTACCATGGTCCTAGGTAGTACTGTATGGTCAGCGCGGAAGGATCGCGGTGTCTCGCTCTTCAACTGTAGCAGAAACAACGACGGGAGGTTGCTGGCGGTACGTCAAGAAGGTGAGTTAGGTGGTGTATAGGTAGACGGTTGCCGTTGGATGGCGGATTGCGGATTGCGGATTGCGACTGCGCACTGCCGATGAAATTTGGCGGCGGGACGCTTGGACCTGCATCTCCCTTACTAGGATATTATATATTATACTACTATGATTCACTCTCACCAACTTCATCTTCACGACAACGGTATCTTCACACCGCTAAGTCTTGAAGTCACACGAACAAACGTCCATTATATCTTCTGCTCTTTTTATAACGAACCCTTCAGGAATCGACGTGTCCCACTGTTGCGAAGTCGGCTTCACGCCATCCGGAACTGCTTTCTCTACCTAGAGCGCGCGCGCTAGATACATGTACTAGCACCTTCACTTGGTGTACCTGACCGTCAGTGAGCGAGATAGCGTCAGGGTCACTGGGGATAAGCGGGGAGGCCTGCGTGGGAGGAGATCAGGACAACATGTTGGAGCCATGGGACGAGGTCCTGACCCTTCAGAGGGAACGCAAGCTATGCGCCGAAGATGTGCAGACCATCAAGGCTGAATGTGCCAGGGACCACGGCAAAATCCATGTCGTCGAGTGCCCCGACTGCTGGACGCGCCTCCTCAACCGGATGAGGGATCGCTACCTGAATTCCGCCACCAAGGAGTGGTTCTCGGGACGCCGCGCCTTCTTGCAGGAGCTCGATACCCTCTTCACCAGGGCCCACCAGCACGACGTCGACTTCAGAACCATTGACCAGCGCATATACGACGAGAAGAAGGACTGGTATCGCGACAAGGTCCGGAGTCTGAACCTCCATAAGGCCTGTCAGACGCCGGCCGAGGCACGCGCACTGCAGCAGAAGTTGAACGATCGCAGCATTACCGCCGACCAGCTTGCTTCCGACCTGCAGGAAGCCTTTAGCGACGGCGCTGTCCGGAATGAAGAAGTGTTCAATGGCTTCATAGACGCCTTGAGAGCGGCCAAGTCGCCCAAAGCGCGCACCGACGCCTACATTGACATATTCTTCCAGCCCAACCACGACGTCGCGGGAGCCGCCAAGAGCCAGAAGTACATGGACATGGTGGCGAACGGGATGCCCATTGCCGACGCCATCAACGCCATGCTGCGCGACCGTCAGTTGGCCAAAGGCCACCAGGACGAGGAGAAGCATCAGCTCCTGAAGAAGTACGAGGAGCTCAAGAGAGCCAAAGCCGCGCATGAGCTGGATAGAGCCAAGAAGGACAAAGCACGGCAGGACAGGGCCAGGGCTGCTGCGGCTGCCAGCCGTCAGCACGATGAGCATCAACTTCCCCCATGCGCGGTCTGTCTTAAGAAGGTCGACGCGAAGGACTTCTCTGCGTGCCCACTGTGCCAGCTGCTGGCCGAACACTTTGGAGTGCGGAGGGAACCCGTCGTGTTCTGCTCCCAGGAGTGCAATGACGCAGGCTACGTGAGTCTACCCCTATCGTGTTCAGTATCAAGATGGCTGACCCTGGCTGGACAGAGAGGACACATGCAGGCGACACACGAATGTGCGTCGGGCATGGACTGCGTGCAGCTGCATGACGAGGATGTGGACATGGATGCCGGCCCGCCGGTGGTGGTCTTCTGTCGAGAGTGCGTAGAGAGTCTGGGGGTTCAGACCATCTTCTGCTCGGCGCGGTGTTATGCCGACAACTTTCAGCAACATCGCGACCTGCTTCATCTCATAGAACGAGAAAAGGCGCGGCTCGAGGTGGATGATAAGGGCCAGCTCGAGTTCGATCCGCAGGACAGGTCGAGGTATCGAGCCAGGAAGATCGAAGACCACATAGTCACGCTGCCTGATGCTATGGCGGCATGGCAACGGAAATCTGGAGCTATAGTGTTACCCTAGCCTTAGACGACAGGTCTAAGTGCCCGGAGCGCGGAAAGCAGCCCCTGAGCTGCCATGCTATTGTATCCTGGTCCTGAACATTGGCAGGAGTCATACTACGAGTATCGGAGGGCAAGAAGTATATAACGAGGGTGTGCAGTCATGGATCACAGGCTCTGCACTGTCGAAGCTCATGGTTGTATACATATGTAGGGAGGCGGCTTGTTAAGCTGCCTGCATGGCGGCTTACACCCGGGTTGACGTGGAGGCCTATAGGTTAGGCAGCTTGTAAGATGTCACGAATATAGTGTATGGGTAACTAACCATGTCTCTACCACGTGCATCTCTAAGAGACGAGGACCCTTCTTCTTCAAAGAGTTTCTAGAATAAAGGGTACCACGGGTGACGAACTGGAGACCGGGAACCTTGGAATGGCCGGGGTCGGTGGCCGTTGGTGCTCGGCGCCGATGATGCTTAGACCCGACCGAGGCCGGTTGTGCTTACTTATTTGCGGGCGCGCGGGCTGCTATCAAGAGCTCCAAAAAAAGCTGCAGCGGTTTTGTCATCCGTTGGTTGCATCATCTCTCTCCCCCCCCCATGATAACCTTTGCGACTTATTGGAATCCGACCTCTACTTTCCTTTTCCTCCCTTGACGCGGTACCGTTGTAGTCGACATGTCAATAGTCTCAGCCCTCAAGGGCGACTTGCCGCAGCAAGCCCGGTCACTGGTGAGCCAAACTGCCCTGCGCATACCTTGCTCCAAGCTTCCACTTCACCACCTGCACGGAGCACAGAGCACAGAAACTGACCTGCGACCCCCTGCGCGCAATCCAGTACCGACAACTCCTCCGCCAGGGCGAGCAGTTCCAAGCCTACAACTTCAGGGAATACGCGAAGCGACGGACGAGAGATGCCTTCCGGGACAGCAAGAGCGTCGAGGACCCTCGCCAGATACAAGAACTCATACAGAAGGGGCTCAAGGAGCTACAAGTCATCAAGGTGCGACCTTTGTCAGGAGAGCTGTGATGGGTGTAGGGGGCGCTAACGCGACTGTGGCAGCGGCAAACCGTCGTCAGTCAGTTCTTCCAGATTGACCGCTTAGTGGTCGAAGGGGGCATGGCGGTATGTGGCATTGTGGCGAGATAATCCGCGACAACTCCGACACGAGCATGCGTTTCGTTGCTGACCTTGGGGAATAGGGCAAGGAGACGGGGAAGTCGAACAACATCGTACGGCAGAAGGACACAGGGTAAGGGATACTCAGAACCGACCTCATCATAGGCGAACTGTTTACTAACTCTAGACCAGCTGGGACTGATGCGTGGTTGCTGAAGGGGAAAGACGAGGCCGTTGTCAGTGGAGGGAAGTGAAAGAAGTTGTCCGACCAGGCCGGTGTGCATGTTCGGCCGGCCTTGTACATGGACATTGTATTACTATTTGATGGTGGCGGGTGTACATCAGCGCATGCTAGGGGTACTCCCGGCTTGATAGCATCTTCTTGACTTCCAAATCAATGGTTTGTCCAGCATGCTGAGAATGGGGCATGAAGGCAATAGACGACCTCTACACCTCTTCACCGTTGGTATTCAGGGGCTTGCCGCACTTGCAGGTATAAACACCTTATCAACCTCAAGTCTGTGTTCTTCCGCTTTTCGCTTTGTCCACGGGTCAGTATCATTGGCGACACGGCTTCCGATGACGGTACATACGGTAGTGCCCGACCGACCCGGTGCAGGTGTGCTCCGGAAGGGGTCCACGTGACCTGCCAGTGTGGATCGAAGCCGGCCCCCACGTCAGCTCCCACTGCCCAGACTCCAGAGGCGTCCGGCGGGCAAGCGGGCTCCGCCAAACTTCCAATTCGCGATTTCCCGCTTTGCGACAATCGTTGCCCAACGTCAACATAGAAAAGGTGTTCCATTGCATGGCATTGCATTGCGTTTCATTACTTGGATACCCTCCTTTTGGTCCATGAGTCAGTCTCTTGCACATCAATTGCTTCCGTCGATGGTAATCCGTCGCTACCTACAGCTACCTAGCTTTGCACAGCTTCCCACCCTCAGTCGTCGCGCGACAACGCACGCCGAGTTGGCACGCGTTGCGCATTCGCTTCACTCCCATCTGTGGCGCCACTGATGGCTCCCAACGTAAGACAGACCGAGATGGGCTAGCTTGGGGGGTAGCAAACAGTTCAACGTTGACATTGTTCTGCCTCGTAGTTTCGTCCCAACAGGGAAACCCGCCGCGGCAATCGGAGCGGCTACGTCGAACATGACGACTTCGAGGGTACCTATGCCCTCTACTCCCCGACAATCCGTATTGACTCAGTTCTGACCATCTCCAAACAGGTCTGCCCGTCAGACAATGGCGCCAGGAGTGGGTGACCATCACGCCGCCCCCACCGCCCCACACCACCCAGAGAAACGACGTCTGGGCCATCGAGCTTCCTCACGGCATGCCCAGGGACTCCCAACTACTACCCCAACATACACAAGAGCTACTGAGGGCCGCTCGCTCCGGACGCCTGTACAAGCGACCCGCGCCTGCCGAGGAGGAGGATGCCGATGCAGACACAATCCTGGCTGACAAGGCAGACAAGAAGGACGAGGATCCAACCAACAAGGGGTTTCAAGTCAAGATCTGGAAGCAGGTCGCTCGTAATGCCGAGGGGCCCACCGTTTCGCATCTGGCCAAGAGGAGGAAAGGGACCGTCACCCTCTCGTCCGACCTGCCGGCTGGTGCTGCGTCGGGCGTGACCGTGACGAAAGCTACCGTTCGCCGTGTCGATGCCGCTGGAAACCCCTATACACAAGAGATCACACTGAACGAGGGCCAGCAAGTCGATGGCGAGATAATAGCTACCACCGTAGTGGCTGTACCCACCTCAGCCGCCAACGGAGACGCAACTGCATCAGCGACACCAGTGCGAAGACGCCCGCCACCTCCCAAACGGAAGCCTAAGGGGCCTGGCAGGGGTCGGAAGAAGAAGGTTCCCCTGCCCCTACCTGCACGTCCCGATCCGCCTGTCCCCGGTGTCAGCGGAGTCCCAGAAGGAATCAAGACTGAATCCGCCGAGGCCAACGTAAGTCGCGTGCCAACCAATCCTCCTTCAAGCTCTAATTCTGTACAGGCCGTGAAACCAGAGGACAATGACGCGACAAAGAACCAGGACAGCGAGATGGCCGACGACGACGAAGAAGGCGACGATGGCGAAGACGACGGTGAGGATGGCGAAGAGGGCGACGAAGGGGACGAGGAAGACGGTGAAGGGGAGAACGGTTCTGTTTCGCGGGCGGGGAGCGAAATCAGGCCGGATGGTATGGATGTCAGCCCGACACCTAACCAGCCCGAGAGCACCGGGCAGGAAGCCATGGTTTCGGATGTCTCGGGTGGTCAGAAGACACCTCTTTCCAAAGACCCTATTTTGCCTCTATCACATGTCAATCTGCCTCCTATCCAGCCTCCTTACAACACGCAACCATCCCACTTTGAAGGAAGCCCCCTCAAGAATGTCATTGCTGCTCCGTCACCACTCGATCTGATGCCGAAACTTTCGCCAACAATTAAAACACCCGGCAATGCGGCCACTGCGGCTGAGGTGGGACCATCATCGGTAACCTCGGTTCAAGGTCTGACTGCCGAGCCTGTTCCTTCAGTCGAAGCAAGCGCTACACCAGAGGTTTCGGGACGGTTCATGGAACAAACGACCAGCGTAGAAACAGAGGGTGAGGTGGACGCAGACATGGTCGACGGTGTTCCAGCTGTGGTGGTAGAGCAAACTCAACAGACCACATCACGAGTCAGCGATGCCCGACAGCCGAGTTCGCTGCCAGTCGAGGAGACTCCGGGGGCGGCGCCTGTTGATGTTGCGACCATTGTTCAGACAGACGCGCCAGTCATGTCTGTGGAGTCGACGGTGACCGAGGTCGTCGACGAGCCTCGGACGGAAGAAGTGGCGACATTAGCTGCCGACCCCATAGATACACAAGTAGGAGCCGCTGGGGCACAAGCGACCGAAGAGCAGGAGCCGGACTCGCCCGACCTGTTCAGCGGGCTCGAGGCGGCTCTGAACCTACCGGGGCCGAGCAACGGCTCTACAACCGAGGCTCCGCCAAAGGTCAGGTCTGAAGCGTACTAGTGGACGGCTTGAGGATCAAGTCGGAAGTAGTCACGGCTGGGATGGAATATCTCGAAACGGGCGCAACTGTGATGAAGTCCCAGTTGAGGCACGCACCGCTCGTCATGGATACTTGTGGGTAATGCCTGCTGTAATATGAGTGTTATGGATATAGGTTTACGATGGTTGTTCTGGACATATCTTAGAGCAGTGGATTTGGGCGTGGGCGGGGGCGTGGTCATGGGGTTGGGGTGGTATAGGGAAACGGTATGGGCTACATCATGTCCATCGTCCTCTACCTGCATGGGACATTCTTATAAGGTATATATCGGAAAGTGGTTAGGCTTTTTCAAGTAGGGCACAACCGCCTATACAATTGGCGGCTATCAGATGATTCCTGAAAACATACATGCCGTCACACCTCTTTCATTTGTATTACACGACCCGTGGTCAGAGAACATGGCAACTCGAGGTATCTTTACACCAGAGGATGGAAGCCCTCGGCTCTATTTAGACTATTCCCCATCCCTTTTCCAAGGACTCTCTGCCCTTCTAATAAGTATAGGCGAAAGTGGCAGACAGCGTCTTGAAGGCAGAGTACCTCCCACTCTCCCAACCTCGGGTGTGACCTTGGATGTGAAGTGTGGCCCGTGTGGGGAGGGACTGTTGGGGGAGGCGGGGTCGGGGGATCGGGAAATGCCCGCTGGCTTTGGCCAGGGCCGTGAGCGGGCCGTCCCCGCATCGACTGACCATCGCGGCGGCTCACCCGACGTTATCCAACCTCGATCGTTTGCCTCGTTTCCCCTTTCCAATTTTCGTGCCTCCTTCATCCATCCCAATCCGTCTTGCACACATGGAGACAGACCTTTTGCTGTTTCTGTCTCGCCGTATCGCCATATCGCCGTCAATATTCAGCCACTAGGTCGTCCAGCATGTGCTGGCAGGTAGGGAGGGAGGCGCACTTGTTCGAAATAGTGATCAAGGCCACTCATTCAAGCTCGAGAAGAGGACCCGAGACATGCGTCAAAACGTGTGTGGTATTCACCGCTATAACTCATCTACTGCTGACAAGGGCCTCGCCAAACATGGTCGAGGCATGGTATAGACAGATCAATCAATCAATTCCTCCCGGGCCCGTGGGCATCAATGTCTGCTAGATACGCCGAAACTCCATCGCAATGCCCCTTTTCCAATCCCGCAATGCACGAAAACAAAGATGCAGAGCCGACCGCCGAGATGCTGGTATCGTGATAATAGAAGGATGCGTTCGTTCATACGGTCTCAACATGTACCGATGTGGCGTCGATGGGCTGCGACTGCTGTTCCCACTCGACCTTGCCGAGCGCGGCGGCAAGCTGTTCCTCTTCGGCCTTGCGCTGCATGTCCTGCAGGTATTGGGCGTAGCGCGACTTCTTGTTGTGGATGCCGCACTCGGTCTTGGCCTGGCCCTTCCAGCGGCCGGCCCGCTCGTCCTCGCCAGCGGCCACGGGGGACGTCGAGTGCCAGTCGCCGACAGACTTGTAGCCGCGGTCGAGCAGCACGTTGTACGGCACGTCGTGCTCGGTGATGTAGTTCTTGACCTGAGCGAAGGACCAGTCCAGCAGCGGGTTGATCTTGACAATGCCGAGCTCCTCGTCGACCTCGATGACGCCAATCTTGTCGCGCTCCCCGCCCTGTGACCGCCGCCGTCCCGTAAAGACGGCCGCCACCCCGAGGTCGGCATAGGCGCGTTGCTGCGGCTCGACCTTGGCCACCCAGTCGTACAGCTCGGCCGCCGATTCGTATAGCCGCTCGCCATAGCGCTCCTCGAACTGCGCCGCCGTCTCGGCCCCGTCCGGGCGGTACACGTGCAGGCGAATGTTGGGGTACTTGGCCCGCACGCGGTCGACCAGGTCGTACGTCTCGTTGAAGTGGTACAGCGTGTCGAGGAAGATGGCGTCGACGGGTGAGGACGTCTCGGGGTTCTCGGCCTGGATCTTGGACAGCATGTCGATGGTGACGAGGCCCGTGAGCCCAAAGGCGGTCGTCTGGTACAGGTTCGGGAAGAGCACCATGGAGAAGCGCAGGCGCTCCATGGGGGTCATCTTCTCCATCTGCTGGTTGAGGTGGCGGAGGTGCGGCTTGGTGAGGCTCACGAGGGGGAGCCCGCTCGAGGAGCTCGCCGTCGACGACGAGGCCGAGGCGTAGCCCGACTCCAGGTCGGTGGCATGGGGGACTTTGGAGCTGTCGATGGCGGGGCGAACCCGTGGCGAGGACGCGTTGGACGAGGACAATGATGTGTCCATCTTGCTCAATGTGGTTGTGGTGAAAGTAAGAAGGGTGAGTTGGTATGCCCGAGTATGAGGCTCGGGCAACAGTGAGACTCAGGAATGGGCGGATTGAGGACCAAGCGGATTAGGGAGTAGGTATCGTGCGTGGTGGTGATGTTGTTCGGTCTGGTTCGTGGTGTAATAGCTGGGTGCTGGGTCGAGGCTGTTCTGGGGAAGTGTGGTTGGAGGGGGGAGAGAAGGTTAAGAAAAAAAAAGAGCAGGACAGAGAGAGTATTACGTCGGAATAGGTATTGTGTGCTTGCTCGGAGGCTGGCTGGACTGGTTTGTAAGGGGCCTTTTCTCTTTTCGTGCACGCGAACCCCGACTTACTAATGCTACAATACCTACTTCATGGCTGCCCCGCCGCACTCTGCCCCCCATGGCATGAAATCGGGGCCAGGGGGTATGATGGCATCAAAGAAAGGCACCAAAAGGCAGCCCAAAGCATCTTCGAAATCTCAGACATTGATCACGACATCCGCGCTAGTCCTCTCGCAATGGTCAGGGCGGTTCGCTGATTGGGCAGCAATTGCAGATTCGCAACAAAGTCCCGATACTTTTGCCATCAGGCGCGGCTCGTAGCAAGAATTGCAAGGTTTGGTGCAGATGGCGACATCTCAGAGCCGCCGCCGCGTACCCGATACCCGTCTTAGTTTCTTCGATAGACCCACATCTCAGCCTCTCCCTCCCTCCCTCTCCCGAGCTTGTGGTCCGTGGTCAGTCATCATGATGATGATTATGAATCTATGATGACAGACAGCCCACAACTGTTGCGTGACCGATTGACCGTTGAGATTGATGAGCAGTACCTTCACGATTGCACTTTTTGATAATGTGGAATCTCTGCTTCGGCTCCGGCACGTGTTGTTGTTCTATTCCATTGTGACCGCAGCCAGTCGTCGACGGATGCAGTGGTCTGGACTTTATGTATGCATTGTTCCCCTCTCGCCTGGGTACCTTTCGTGTGCTCTCTTGCCCTCGGTGGTCGCTTGTCGGTCCGCATCTGCTTCGTCGGGCGGTGGCATGACACGGCACACCGGCCGGAACCAATGACGCCTTATTTTGCGCGACATGGTGATCGGTTGGTGATCGGTTGGTGTCCATGTCGCCATCGGCGCCGTTGATGGCGAGTGTTGGTCTGGCGTGAGAAGCGGTTGTCGGACAAGATTTCTGTGGTCTGCAGGGTCAGGACTCAGAAATCGACGGGACAACTAGCGGTTGTCGGGTTAAGGTTTTGGGGCGACCAAGTGGGTGGCATCATCTGGCTAGTGGCATGCGATGAACGATGATGCGAGGTCACAGGTGCAGGAACCGCCTGGTCCATCGGGCCCGACTGCCGTGAAGGGCTTCAGCTGATGGCGGGGACCGTGGACGGGAGTTCCAGTTGCGTCTTGGGGTGCAGCTGCACTGCAGGTGCTGCAGGGGGGTTCGAAGGGGGTGCTAGGGGGGCTAGGGGGGCTAGGGGGGCTATGATTAGGAATATTAAGGTACTTCGGAATAACTATCAGTCGACGCTCCGACACTCCGACCCGATTCCTCCCGCTCTCGACCCCCGGGTGTAGGTGTAGGTGTAGCAGCCCGAGCCCGGGTGTCACGTGGCTGGTTCGTGTGATCTATTTTTGGACCCAGCCACGAGGAACGGGGCTGACAGCTTTCATCGTCCGACGTAGCGGCACAACCACCCCGCCGCCCACGCGGATGCCCGGCTGCCCGACCTCACCTGCGAAGAAAAGAAGGGTCTCGGCAGGGGATCTTACTCCGTGTATACATCTTCGTACCTGCTGTACTGTAGAAGCATCGTGTCGTGCATACCACCAGACCCGTCTTCTCACAAAGACAACGCGAGCATCATGTCGTCCACCACCATGGCCGCCGCCCAGGATAGCCCCAGCCCCAGCCCCGCAAAGCCCACGCCAGCCCGACCACAGCTGTCTTCGTCCATGAGAACGAGCTCCTACCTCAAGGAGCACCAGCAGTACCGCCCCTCGAAGCCACAGCAACAGCAACAGCAGCTCGACGGCCACTTCGGCATCGACACCGTCGTCGAGGACCTGCAGGCCGCGCGCATCTCCCCGCCCAAGTCCTTCAGTCCCTTCAAAGGCGTGCCCTCCAACGACGACCCGCCGCGCATCGTCGAGGGTGTCAGCCACGACTACACCCATCCCAATTGCGCCCCCGTCCAAGGCACCAGGTCGAACCGTCTCGTCGCCACCCTGGTCTACAAGTCCGCCCGCGTTGCCAACGCTAGCAGTATCATCCCTTCGCCGAGCCTCGCCGCCTCCAACTCGGATCTGCCCGCCAACTTTGCGCCCACCCAGAACATCGAGTCCTACCCTCTCGAACCGCCGCCCGCCGCCGCCGAGCCCGAGCCCCTCGACCACCTCTATGGCTCCTACGTCTCGCCCATGTGCATCACCTCCTTCCTCCATCTCATGTCCACCTTCCCCTTGCCGCCCGGTGTCGGCGAGGCTACCTCGTCCCACCGATGTCTGGACGACCCGGACCACCCGTTGGTTGTTGAGTTGACACTGTCCCCCGCGCCGTCCCCCGACTTCCTCTCCCTCGAGGATCTGCGCAAGCACGAGCTCATCTACCGCTTCGAGCGGGAGTGGAACGTCGATATCGCCCTGCAACCCGACACCCTCTGGCGGCGGCACCCCCGTCTGGTGGTATTCGACATGGACAGCACCCTGATCACACAGGAGGTCATCGATCTTCTCGCCGCCACTATCACCGACCCCCCAGATCTGGCCGCCAAGGTCGCCGACATCACGCATCGCGCCATGCTCGGAGAGCTCGAGTTCGATACCGCCTTCCGCGAACGTGTCGCGCTGCTGAGGGGCCTGCCCGCCACCATTTTCGAACAGCTGCAGCCTGTGCTGGATGTGACGCCAGGGGTACCGCAGCTGATGAAGGCCTTCAAGAGACTCGGTATCAAGACGGCCGTGCTGTCCGGCGGCTTCCTCCCGCTCACGTCCTGGCTGGCGCAAGAGCTGGGCATCGACTACGCCCACGCCAACGAGGTGGTCATCGATGATGCGGGGCGGCTGACCGGCGACGTCAAGGGCACCATTGTAGGTAGGGAGCGGAAGCAGGAACTAATGTTCGAGATCGCCAAGAAGGAGGGGATATCGCTCGATCAGGTCGTAGCTGTCGGTGACGGCGCCAACGACCTGCTGATGCTGAGCACGGCGGGCCTGGGCGTGGCGTGGAACGCAAAGCCGCGGGTGCAGATGGAGGCCAGTGCGCGGCTGAATAGCCCCTCGCTGCTTGCTCTGCTGTACTTTTTCGGCTTCACTAGTGAAGAAGTGGACATGTTGACGGCATGAGCTGCCGCGTCGCCAGGTAGGTTCGGCTTCAGGCACATACAACAACAAAGACAGGTCGCAGCTTTTGCTGCTTGCGTAGAACATGGCTCGGCTATATGATACCACCTAGAATATTTAGAGTTAGTGACACGAAGTTGACCAAGTATATACAGCCGTCCAACGATGCAGTGATAGGTTTACTTCTGCAGCTAACTGATGTCCGTGGCGGTGGCCGCCTTGTTGGGAAATGCAGGGATAAGTGCGGTGAGTCGGGGTCGTGAGACATCTCCGCCCCGCCAGTCCCGGTCCGTCTCCCCAGGGGGTAACATCATGACCAAGTAGGTTGCCCGACGCCATCAGCCATCACCCAAGAGTAAGGGCACATTCCTTGACTGAACCTGAGAGGAGGATCGTCAGCAGCCCCCGGTTACGATACCACACAAAGCGCGGCCACGACTTGATACGCAAGGTTTTCGGGGCGTGGTCATCGTACGACATTTGACCAAGATTATCCGCCACATCTCGTGCTCATGCGCCGAGATTGCTGCATACCTGGAAGTCCTGGCAATAATAGTACGCTCGTATCTCGTCACCCTGACGAAAAGATGCTACGGAGAACGGAAACTCCTGGTCTTCGACGTGCATGGAATACAAATCAGCTTTCTGGCTTGTGCGGGAACTGAGACCTCTGTAGAGAAATACATCAGTCAACAAGTATATAAGAGTTCTCGTCATTGGTGGTACTCCAATGCCGTCGATTTAGGTTATGTACAAGCAGGCCGAGTCGGCGGGCCTTCTAAGGACAAAGAGAAGTTGTTTGTCTGTCTGTCTGCCGATGGCAGTCCTTGCTTCCTTAAAAGGTCTCCTAGTAGCCGTCCTTGCCCCATTTGTTGTACTTCTCGTGCAAATGCTACATTCAAGAGAGGTCAGTCATGTCCCGTTTCCAAGCAGCTGAAGAGATTGTAGCTATAAGGTATTGGGGGTGGGATGCCAAAGGGATGGCTGTGTTCGTGGTGGAGGCACTTGTCGGAATGGGAGTCGCGTGGATGCGTACCTTGGGCAGGTTGACGTCGGGGACGACAACGACATTGACGGCGCTGGGGGCGTCCTTGGGAGCGGCCTGGTTGTCACCACCCGGGTGGTATCGGTACTTGCCCTCGGTCGAGCCCGTCTCCCACGGCATGCCCGACTTGGCCATGCCCACCTCGTTTTCGGACGTCGACGAGGTCGGGGTGCTGCCTGTTCATGGCAGTAGTTATCAGTACCGAGCTTTGATCAACGTAGAGAGCTGCGAGAAGCTGGGGTGGCCCGGGTCAAATTGTAGACTCTAGAGGAGACGTACCAAAGTAAAGACCGGCACCACCCAGAGCGAAGACCATGACTCCTCCCAGAATCTAGCAGCACGGCTCAGAGTCAGCATTCGGGCATCGCATAGTCGTAGACCGAGAGAGAAGAAGACGCACCGCCAACTCGGGGTTGCGCTTCGTCTCCTCCTTGAGGGCCGGGTCGGCCTGCTGGGCGAAGCGGCGGGTGGTGGTGGAGAAAGCCCGGCCGGAAATGGCGGCTCGGCGGGCGATGATGGAGGCCATGGCTGTGCGATTGATTCTATGAGTAGATGTCGATACGTTGGGGAGCTTGCGGGAGTTTTCGAGGCTGGAGGTTTGAAGTTGCTTCAATTGCTTGCGATCGTTCGATTTACCGACTGACACCAGAGTCTCGACGGCCAATGCCCACAGCTCCCCTGCTTAGCGCCGAGTGGCTTGCGTGCGACGTGAGGAAGTCCAGCCTCACTCACCTACCTAGGTGCATAACGTACATAAGGTCAGGTACAAGTAGTACATGAATATTATGCTGACTGCCGCTTTATGCACGCAGAAGCGCCCCCCTAAATGAAAGATTAAGGTCACCTACCTAAGAGCATGGCATGCCGCATATGTCGAAACTCGCACGAACCAACCGCCATTTCGTCCACGATAATATCCCATCTCCAGTCCGCCCAGCGCGACGCCCTTCGACCACCCCGACTCTCTTTCTCTTTTTGTTCGTCTTTACATTCATCCAATTCCCGATACGATACGATACTATACGACACACCCGTCTTCCTGCTGTGCAGCTATTCAGCCCATAAACCAGATAATAAATACCCTACCGAGCACGACGTACTGTCTCGACGCTCCCCTTTTCGCAGACGACCAAACACTGCCAGCATCCAGCCTGAATCATAGCCTTCCACACTTTCGCTCCATACCAACTCGTGCCTTTTGCCACCCCTCTTCATTCGTTTCTACCTACCTAGGTAGTGGCCGGCTGCGTTTGATATGCCATAGACGCCGAACCCACCGAGCCTCGCCGAACACCACGCAGTCGCAGTCGTCATTCCCGAGTTGTCTTCGCAATGGCTTCTAATCTTTCCTCCGCGATGCCCACTTCGCCCGTCGACGACAACGACAACGACAACTTTCCCAACTCTACTCTCACTGCCGGACCCCCGAGTATCATCTCCTCGCGCATGACAGACATCGGATCCGAAGATGGCGATCAGGACCCCAACCCCAAGAACAGGTCTGGCGCAAGCCCCAAAAAGGGCAACCACCCCAGCGAATCACGCCCTGGCACCGCGCGGACGGGCATGTCCTCTTCGAGGGGCGCCTGGCCGCAAGGCACCCCATTGCGGAAGGGCATGCAGAGGGCGAGCATAGGCGGGAGCGTTGCGAGCGCCCGGCCCATGAGCTCAACCAGCCGGAGTCATGTTCCGCTGGCCTCGCATGCCTTCTTCCACCCCATGAGTTCCCAGAAACTACAAGCCCAGCGAGGCGCACCACGTCCTCCCACCACGAGCCCGCGCCCTGCCAGTGCCGATCATCTCCAAGACGACGACGACGACGACGACGACGATGACCAGTCCCACGTCGCACCGCAGGGCTTTACTGCATCGCGCCCTGTGGCCCACGTCGCGCACCGGGCCGCCGATGATGGCGATGTGCTGCCTCCTCCGTCCAAGGGAACAGAGATGACCGAGCCGTACGACCGATTTACCGCTACGACAAGTCCCACCCATGGTTACTACCAGACTGGCAGTGTCAGCGAGAGCGTACGCCCCTTGCAACGCAAGAAACCCGACGAGAGGAATCTCACCGTCAACGTCGACAAGAGCCAGGGTTACGGGAACGGCGGAAACGTCCCAAGCCCCCTCAAGTCACCACGCTCTTTCAGGTCCAGCCTTTTCTTACCGGGCAAGGGCGAGGGGACATCGGCCCAAACCAATCGCGATAATCATGGCGCTGAAAAACTGTCTTCGGGTGCCTCGTCTCCCCAGCTCACCCCTGCAGTAACGGCTACTTCGAAGGGCGGCGCGAGGACGGTCAAGGGAAGAGTACCCGGTCAGGGCCGCAATTATGAGCACTTTGAGGGAAACACGGTCTTCTGCATCGGAGGTCGCCTGCAGAACACTCGCCATCGGCCCATCAATATCGCCACAGGCTTTCTCGTGGTGTTGCCCGCCGCTCTATTCTTCGGCACTTCTGCCCCCTATCTATGGCGGCACGTGTCGCCAGCTGTGCCGATCATATTCGCTTACCTCTTCTACATTTCCATCTCTTCCTTTCTTCACGCGTCTGGCACTGATCCTGGGGTAAGTTGTTTGCGATCGCCAATCCGTACCGCCGACACGGCTAATATTTGGTGCCTCACAGATACTGCCGCGTAACCTGCACCAATTCCCTCCCGCGGATGAGAATGAGGACCCGCTGCGTTTGGCTCCTCCAACTAATGATTGGACTCTGATCAAATCAGCCGAGTCGAGCACAGCGGCGATGGAGGTTCCGACGAAATACTGCAAGACTTGCAGTATTTGGCGTCCTCCGCGGGCCCATCATTGCCGCCTTTGCGACAACTGTGTGGAAACCCAGGACCATCATTGTGTATGGATCAACAACTGCGTCGGCCGGCGCAACTATCGATACTTCTTCACTTTCGTAGCCTCGGCCACCCTCCTATCTGCTTTTCTTGTCGGCGCCTCGCTGGCGCAGCTCCTCGTTTACTCACACCTGGAGGGCAAGTCCTTCGGCGAAGCAATCAACCATTTCCGAGTGCCTTTTGCCATGGTCATCTATGGCATCTTTGCCTTCACGTACCCTGCTGCCTTGACAGGCTACCATCTGTTTCTGATGGGCCGAGGTGAGACCACCAGGGAGTTCCTCAACTCGCACAAATTCCTCAAGAAGGACCGATACCGGGCCTTCACCCAGGGCAGTTTCTGGAAGAATTGGAACGTAGTGCTGTGCCGTCCCAGACCCTCGACATATTACCGCTTCAAAACCCGATTCGAGGAGGGCGATCAGCGTCTCGGAGACCGGCGTGCTCAGCAGAAGACCAAGTCGCCTAGGGATGGTCAAGACATGGAGATGCAATCCGTGGGATTTCAAGGTCCGGCGACGCTTCGCAGCGAAGCAAACGCTGCTCGATGAGAGTCGGCTGGGTAGATGAACTCCTTTTCTCTTCGGTCCCTGCGTGGCTCTTCTAGGTCCCAGGGTATTCTACTGGATATGTTGATACGTTTTATCGGGGCTACGTATGGGTGCTAAACGTGCCCCTTCAATGTACGGCTTTGCTTTCTCTTGACCTTCGCGGAGCTGTTTGTTGAACGCGGCGCCATGTCGACTTATTATTTTAATTACTACAGTCGGCGGAGCCGGTCCAATCTAACTCGGACCAGACGAAGCGGACCGGTTCTGGTTTACCGTAGAGACAGTCACTTGGGACGTTGCGGCAGAGTCGGGCGTCTTGCCAGAAGTGGAAATGCAATTGATGTGTTCGCGAGTACATATAACGAACAATTATCCCCGTGGCTGGCCCTTGCCCGCCTCGGACAACCATGCTTCAACATGGTGCCCCTGCCGAGAACATTGATGAGAGAGATCGGTACAAAAGACACCGGGGATCGAATGAATCCCCGTACGCTACGTTAAGAAACAAAGTGCTGAGGTGTGGGATTATCTTACTCTCGAGATGCGAAAAAGGGCAGGGCCGGCAGGTATTGCCCCGAGGTCTGGGCTGTCTGCAGGATTCCCAATGAACCCTGTCTTGCCGGAATGGCCGCCTTTTCTTCCACATATCAATGATCTGTAGCTCGGCCTGAACTGGTACCTGACTGCAGTGCTTTGCGGGGAGCTTGTTCGATCTTGGAGATGCCCCGTCGTCGACTTCTGCACGAGACGCCGCCATGTTACTCTATGATGATACCAGGTGGGCGCCATAGGGTAGAGCCCAATAGCCGGGGCCGCGTCCTCGGAACTTGGGGTTCCTCCCCTGTCTGTCTTCACTGCAGTTGCTGATATATATCTATATGATAGGACAGTCGCTAGCCAGGGTTCAGAACCTACATGAATGGTTGTCAGTCATCCAGACTACCTCGTTGACTTGAAGCTTCGCTCCCCGTGAAAGCAGACTGGCAGGCTCCTCGAGATGAAGAGCTTCATTCCCCTGCTGCTGGCAGCTCTGCTGCATGGCATAGCTTGCGTGCGGCTTGCCCCGTCGCCGGCTGCCATCGGTCCCTTCCTGACACAGATCAACAATGAGACGTGGATCATTGGCAACGAGATATGGAACGTGACGCAAGGTCGTCAGTATGGTGTGAAGCTGCTCTACAACGACCGCGACTGCGTGGGCCAGGCCGTCGGGCACTACGTTAGCTATAGTGAGTTCATGTCCAGGGTAGGACTGAGGCAAGGCTCAGAGGAACGGAATACTAAGAAGAGCTCATTACAGACGGTGCTGCGAGCAATCTCAACTGGACTTCGGCGTCTGTCTTCAAACAAGGCTCGTACGAGGGCTCACAATACATCGACGTCAAGTTCACAGCACTCGAGGGTGACATGCATTGGGTCATCATGTCAGGGTTGGCGGGCGCCTACCAGTACTTTGTCAACCATGCCCTTCCGCAGCTGGGTGAGTTTCGTACACTGTGGCGTCTGGATAACGAGACGTTCACGCATGGCAAGACGGATATCAAAGATCAGGAGCTGCCGCCTCTCAGCGAGTATATTGACGCCAACAAGGTGCAGGATGAGACCTGGTTGGCCCCTGACGGCCGAGGTTACATCACCAAGTATGATTTTGCCAGCTGGGTTAGGACACAGACGTACTACGGTGTCTACGGCGACAGTTTTGGCAGCTGGTACATGAATCCGGGAAAGGACTACTACAATGGAAACCACCTGAAGCAAGAACTAATGGTACGCTCACTGGTATCATGGGTTACGAAATAAGACGCTGATGTCCATATCACGTGTAGGTTCATCGAGAATCGGCGACCGGCGACGTTGTGCAGCTCAACATGATTCACGGCACCCACTTCCAGGTGTCTGCCGTCGATGACTTCCCGGATGGCAAGATGTGGGGACCATGGCTCTGGTATCTCAACAACGGCTCCAAGGAGGATGCGGCGAGGAGGGCCGAGCAAGAGTTCGCGGCATGGCCCTACGCCTGGCTTGAGGATGAAGCTTACCAGTCTCGGGGCTCGGTCCAGGGCCAGCTGGTGCTGTCGGACGGCCGTCCTGCGACCAACGCCGCCGTCTTCCTCGGTGACAACGAACCCAACAAGACAGCGCTGGACATGGGCTCCGACTACTACTACACGACTTATGCCGATGCAGACGGCTACTTCGAGTTTCGGGATGTGCGATCCGCCACCTACGGCCTCCAGGCCTGGTCCAACGGCAGCAAGATCGCAGACGTCACAAAGAGCTACCTGCGCAACAACGTGGTGGTGTCAAAAGAGGCTCCCACAGACCTCGGGCCTCTAGAATGGGCCACGTCCTCGAGGCCAAAGATCTTCCAGGTGGGCGACTTCGACCGCACGAGCTATGGCTTTCTGTACGGTGGTTCGCCGCACCAGCACGCCCTCGTGGCTTCCTGTCCGGCTGACCTCCTGTACACGGTGGGCACGTCTCAAACTGCCGACTGGTGCTTTGGCCAGACGTACGCGGGCAATTGGACGATCAAGTTTGAGCTGGAGAGTGCCGCGCCGACGCACGGCAGCTATCGAAGTAACAGCACCGGCGACGCCACCCTCATTGTATCGCTGGCAGGCTACTCGCAGGGCGCCAGCTCACTCATATGGGCGAACGGCATGCAAATGTATGTATTCCCTATGATTCTTCATACCCCCTTCCGAATAACCTTCGGGGTGTATTCCTCATCTGAGGCCGGCTGGCGAGCTTTTGCTCCCGAGTCTCCCATCCAGAGGCCCCTGGCTTCTATCAATATCCGCAGTGATAAGTTGCTAACTCGTGTTCTCTGCAGTGGGAACCTGACCAGCGCCTCTGAGGAGGGTCTGCTGAACGACCCTAGCCTGTACCGCTCGGCGACGGCGGCGGGCGAGTGGCGCTACTTCGAGTTTCCATTTGATTCTGCGGCCGTTCTGCGGCAGGGTGCGAACGAGGTCACGTTCCAGCTCGTGCAGAATACCACGTGGCGCGGGTTCATGTGGGATAGCATTGTGCTTGAGTGGTGAGAGTGTCTCATCGCGCAGGCTCACGTATATGCTACATTCCATTCGAGAGGCGTGGCTGCATAGGTAGGAACGCCACGGCTTACAGTATCAATAGCAGCGCTGTGGCTAGATTCGAGCAAAATCGCATGATTATATTCAATTCATAGCAGCAATGGTTGTAGGAACGTGGAGCGGCGCCCTGCGGGATAACTTATACAATGGCAGCGTCTTGTCACCGAACTGCTGTAGGATGTTGCCTCCAGGAATACAACTGTTTGTCTTACCGCAAAACTACATTCCAAGTGCAGTAGAAAGCCAGGAATTATCCCATCACGGTCGAGTAGATAGTCATTTTGCATAGATGCTCACCCCTATCACAAGCATCGTCCCACTGCCGTCGGTCACTCATAATTATTCGGAGGGACAACTACGCCACGCATAAACAATAGCAGGCTTCAATCTTGCTACCGATGACTTTAGTTCGGGCCCCGATGGCGGTAAAAGCGTAGAGTTCGGCGCTCATACATGCTCTGTTTCAAGAACAAGGGCAAGAGATTGTGCAATCAGGTTGAGGTGCACCCTCTGGCATTCAAGTAGCTGTTAGTAGTCTCACGGTTACGATGCTCGGTAAGCATCACGGAGCGGCCCCCAAGGCTATGAAGAGTTTCCACCGCGGAGACGATAGGGCTTCTGGTGAGATTCGCAGCTGTCAAGTGTACAGCACGAAGGAGAGGGCGGTTTGCCTGGGACGGAAAGGCATCGTCAAGTTGAATACGGGTGACAGACTCATCTCCAAGACCACCGGCAGGGGTAGATGACCTGGTCTCATCTTTGTACGGACGTGCATTTTCAGGACTGCAACGGCTGGCATACACCATACTTGGATGCACCGAGGCATTGTGTATAGTACCCCTTTAGTATAGCAAATGCGCATGCAAGAGTCGCCTGTCCCATGTGGCATGTACCTGTTATCAGGAGCCCCCCTGCTACCGTGTTCGAATTGTCAGCACAGCTGAACGCGGATACCAGTACGGAGCAACTTCATCCTTCTGCGCGTACAGCTTGGAGGGTAAAAATAACGGGTGACATCGTGGAATGAAACAATTCGAGCGGGCCAGCCCATGAGAAGCACAGTGACGTGTGGCTGCTACACACTGGCATGCTCACAGGTGTTGACAAATTGCTATGTGACGATGCGAATACCGCCACCAACGGCCCCAAGCGAGTACAAACACTCGGCATGGAGGGAGCTCTGATCGCTACCAGCATCATGTCTGCCCGAACTGGGGTGGCTTTGATTCGTGACACATATTCACACATGGCTTGCTCAGGCGTCTCAACTTGATGTCCATGGCAAGTGGACATGTCGGAATCTGAATAAATCGCTTCTCGGTCTCGCAGGCGTATGCACACCTTGCCAGAGGTGTCTTCTTAATATGCCAGAAGCTCATACGACAACTCCCATGGCAAACACCTCCTCAGCGCCGAAATCTTACAGCTAATTGAGGTAAGTTAGGGGAATTTTGCGATAGCCTTGCTTGAAGTTCTTACGTCGCTTGCTCTCTTCCACCTCGTACGAGTAAGCACCACAGAATACCACACGTAAGCGACCACTAGGTTCATCTACTCCGGGTTGTTGCAATGCTCGCGAGCCATGCTCCATCAGTAATGAACAGACCACTGATCCTTTGGTCTCGGCCCATCGCGAGCTACTGCCAAGGCCTCGCTCAGCAGTCCGCCGGCGTCGGATGATGTGGCTTTGTCTGGAGAGATCGACTTTTTCCGCATGGAAAGGGCCTTACCAATCCTAGAAAGAGCTCTCACCGTATTCGCCTGCTCCGCCGAGGTTCCAGACGATACGCCATTAGACCTTCTGCCTTTTCTCGGCCGCTGCGACTTTCGGGCATTCAACGGAGAACAAGCCAAGGATCGCCTCGTCGTCTAGCTCTGAAATCCGGCAGTGGAACAACGTGCTGTTGTAGTGCGCCCAGTACGATTCGGGGGACTGTAGCCATCCGGATTCTGGCCAATACGGGGCGTCCGAGTGTAGGGTTACTGTTTGCAACTGCGAGGAACCACTAGGTCGTCCAGAAAGGAGGTACTCGAATATATGCCTCGCCGCCGAAATCGTGACGTATGGCTTGACTGGCCTGTCGGCGTCGCACAGTCCAATATCGAACCAGATCTCCAGCTCCCTCAGGGCTGGAAAGGAGGCAAGTACATCGAACGCAGCATACGGCCATCCACCAGAACGCGGAACGTCCAGCGTCAGTGTTGCAATTTTGCGACATTCCTGCTGAATGCGTTTCAGCGATGCGAGATCAACGGCCCCGGACTCCCAGCTTGGTTGGTGCGCTTCCGCCTCCGCTTGATGTATGCGAAGCTCTTCTAGCGTATCTGCATGCCGTATGATACCCTCAAGCGTGACCGTCTTGAGAGTGGTGGTAGAGATGCTTCTCAGCGCCGCGGGGACATGGAGGTAGAAACTCTGGATGGCCTCAGGATACCAGTCGTCATCGTAGTGGTCGAAGACCTCCAACGCGACGAGCTTGGGCGAGCAGAACAAAACTGGCTGTCCGGAGTTCGCAGCTTCCTCAGACGTGACCAGTCCATGTTGGAGGCCCAGTAATGGATCTCGGTGCCCTTCTCTGGGTAGCCTTCTGTTCTGCGCTCGTCGCCGAAGGGATATGTTGTCGGGGCCAACTCCTCCAGAGACGGCAGGCGCTCTCCGTCCTGAAAACCGAGACCGTAGTATTGCCGCGAGGGTCCCTCGACCACACAGCCACCGCTTGGATAAGCGATAACCAACTTCAATCGGCCAAGGTTAGGACAAGACATAAGCAAACGCTTCAATGGCCGCATCATCTCTTGGGAATTTGCCGCTTCGAAGTATGTAATCCGGACATCCAACGCTCTGAGGTTGTCGTTACCTTGGAGCCGAAAGAGGTTCTGTTTGGAGGCTGAAAGTCCCGGGGGCTGCCAGCAGGGTGGTGATGCAGCAATCATCGTGGAGAGCGCGACTTGTGGCATCGCTTCCAGTGCCGATACGATGCCATCTGGCACTCGGCTACTGCGGTAACCGACATGCTGTAAACCACTCGCCAGGCGCAGAAGTCTGCATACGGCGCTCAAGCAGGCATGATAACCTTCAGTATGCTTGCCCACCGGTGACCAGTCATTTACAACCACCGTGACATGTCGTATGGCAGAAAGCAAGCCATCTGAATGGATCCAGTTGCACCGTTGTAGGATACTCGAGTAGTGATCGTGCACCGACAGATCATACTTGAGCCGTCTGTGCTGACTATTTTGAGCCAGGCAATACAGCAGTGCCAACCTAGCCAAAGCTGGTGAGGGTCTGCGGGCTGGTCGTCTCCAGCAAATCGGCTATGACCGCAAGCAACTCTCGAGATGGTGAGAGCAATGAGGGCCTCGTGGATTCCAGTCGAGAAGGCTCTCTGACGGCAATGTGCCGCCGTTTCCTAGCCACTCGCGTTCTGGCTTGGAAAATCATGCTGCGATGCAGAAGCTTTCGTCTGCTCAGTCAGTTCGGGGAACTCATGTACAACACAACACCGGCGTGAGACGCCAATGTTGGTGGCGTGGATTGAAAGTGATGAGGGGGTTACAATAATTACCTCGGTTCCAAGTAGTTCCATGACGATCTCCGTGCTTTGTGTAGCAGAGCTTCTCTTCAATATTTCATCAGACATTCTGCCACCCTATGGGTCCGTGGGCCATTGATAGTCTTTTCGAACGACTAGATGTGTAGGAGCGTGATCGCTGGAGGTGCTTCAAAGCTGAATTGCCGAATAACGCTGCCCTGTGATGACAGACAGTCTCGAAATGGGACTGCTCCGATGCCACGAAACCCCCCAACCGTCGGAATGCAGTCAAGCAGAGACCAATGAGAAACTTCAGTGCTATACTGTGGTCGACGCTGCGGCCTTCTCCTCTGACAAGCCAATCTCGCCATCTTCTGTGAAACAGGAACAGTAGGAATATCACTGGATATCGCGGAAGCCACTTGCGCAGCCTGTCGTCTCAGACTCAGCGGGTAGGCTGTATAATAAGGACACCATCCTCGAATACTTGTCAGACGGCAGCAGGAAGGAGGAAGCGGGGAGCGCTACCCAAGGCCCCTTCGAGGGTCTGAAGGGTGTGGTGGAAGTGAATTTTGAAGTCGACACCGAGGCGACTAAGATTGCGAACCATGAGGTCTGGAAGTGTCCCGCGACTGGCGGCGACAAGCTCGGATCAGGGTCAAAAGCTGTTTACCTAGCAACCTTGCGGTCATGCCTTCTCCGGCGTGGCGATCAAGGAGGTACCTGGCGAGAAGTGCTTGACATGCGAGACGGAATATGCTTCGAATGAACCACTCGCTGAGGAAAGCGTCAGGCGGTGGCAAGAAGCGGAAGAAGCATCATCATCATAGCACGGACTAGCACATGAAAAGTGATGAAAAGTGGAAGAAGCACGGAGCGGAGGTGGACCAGTATGCATACTGAACAGGAGATGAGTATTCGTTGTTCTCCAGCCCACGGAGCCTGTCAGGGAGGACTTACCTTACGCATTGCCGATTGCGGGTTCCCGCCGAGGCACTCTACCGCCCCCGTTCATGGCATTGACCAGGGGAAGTGTCGGCGAGGCCCGCTCTGGTCGGATGGCACGGCACAAGTGTTCATATTGAAGAAGCTCGGACGGAGACAAAGGCCGGTGTATGGTGTATTTGACATGATGTTCAGTCGGGCTTCGGCGGACATCTTGAGGTCTACCGTGGTTCGTAGTTGTACAGTCAGACACACACGGAAAAAAGATAGGGGCTGTTCTGCCGATATACGCTTGTTGACCCAGGCAAGGCAAGGCAAGGCATAACATTCTATTCTGGTGTCGTGATGAACTTCCAGACACTCTGATGAAGGGCTGGATGCAGGGCAACAACTCCTCGAGATGTGGGCAGAACCTGCACGTCATTACATCATAGATCCATCATGACTGTGGATTAACTATAGGTATAGGTACCTTATCTACGTTCTGCCAATCTGGGTGGATAGGTATGTGAGTATGTGTTTTTTTTTACTCCAGCTTACCGTACAACGAGAACGTCGGCGGTCCAAAGACAGCGACTGTGGTCTACACCCTATTCCCTATTTCAGATCGAACCGATCCAGGCTCATGACCTTGTCCCACGCAGCCACAAAGTCCTTGACGAGCTTTTCCTCTCCGCCGGCGCTGCCGTACACCTCGGCAAGAGCGCGCAGCTCAGAGTGGGAGCCAAAGACGAGATCGGCGCGGGTGGCCGTCCACTTCTTCTCCCCGGACTTGCGGTCGGTGCCCTCGTAGATCTCGCTGTCGGGGCCCGTCGCCTTCCACGCCGTGCTCATGTCGAGCAGGTTGACGAAGAAGTCGTTGGTCAGCTGGCCCGGGCGGCTCGTCAGCACGCCGTGGGATGACTCGTCGTAGTTGGCGTTCAGCGCGCGCATGCCACCGACCAGAACCGTCATCTCCGGGGCCGAGAGCGTCAACAGATGCGCCTTGTCAACCAGGAAGGCCTCGGTGCGCACGCGGGACGTCGACTTGCCGTAGTTGCGGAAGCCGTCCGCCACAGGCTGCAGGTGGTCGACAGAGCCGATGTCGGTCTGCTCCTGCGAAGCATCGGTGCGGCCGGGCTTGAAGGGCACAGTGACCTCGTGCCCGGCATCCTTTGCGGCCTTCTCGACGGCGGCGCTTCCCGCCAGCACGATCAGGTCGGCGAGCGAGACCTTCTTGCCACCGGTGTGGGCGCCGTTGAAGCGCTTCTGCACGTCCTCGAGCGCACTCAGCACCTCGCCCACCTGCGGCTGGCGATTCACCTCCCAGTCTCGCTGCGGAGCCAGGCGGATGCGGGCGCCGTTGGCCCCGCCACGCTTGTCGCCACCGCGGAAGGTCGAGGCCGAAGCCCAGGCCGTCGACACGAACTTGTGAGCGTCGACGCCGGACGCTAGAATCTCCTTCTTGAGGGAGGCTACGTCGCTGTCGTCGACCAGGGGGTGGTCCACAGCCGGGACGGGGTCCTGCCAGAGGAGCTCCTCGGACGGCACCTCGGGGCCTAGGTAGCGCACGCGCGGGCCCAGGTCGCGGTGCAGCAGCTTGAACCAGGCGCGCGCAAACGTGTCGGCGAACTGGTCCGGATGCTCGAGGAAGCGGCGCGAGATCTTCTCGTATTCCAGATCGAAGCGCAGTGCCAGATCGGTCGTGAGCATGGTCGGCAGGTGCTTCTTGTCGGCGTCGTAGGCGTCGGGCACGGTGGGCTCGGTGTCTTTGGCGACCCATTGGTGTGCGCCGCCGGGACTCTTGGTCAGCTCCCACTCGAATTTGAAAAGGTACTCGAAGAAGGTGTTGCTCCACTTGGTTGGCGTGTTGGTCCAGGTGACTTCGAGGCCACTGGTGATGGTGTCAGGCCCTTTCCCAGAGCGGTGCTTGTTGCTCCAGCCCAGGCCCTGCTGCTCCACGTCGGCCGCCTCGGGCTCCTTGCCCACGTTGTCAGACGGAGCCGCGCCGTGCGTCTTTCCGAACGTGTGGCCGCCGGCAATCAGGGCGACCGTCTCCTCGTCGTCCACTGTGGGAGCAGGGTCAGTCATTTGTGTTCGAGGCGACGACTTCTGACCACTTTCTGTCCAGGTCTACGACACCAATCCCGGGCAAACAATGCACACGGGCCCAACAAACAAGGAGGGCGAATCGAAAAAGTTGCTTACTTGCCATGCGTCCAAAGGTGACGCGGATGTCCTCGGCGGCGGCCAAGGGGTCGGGGTTGCCGTCGGGTCCCTCGGGATTCACATAGATCAGGCCCATGTGGGCGGCTGCCAGCGGCTTCTCCAGTTCGCGCGAGTGCATCTTGTCCTTGGGGTCCTCGTCCGACACCAGCACGCCGGGCTCGGCCACACCTTCGGATCCGGTCGCGTAGCGGACGTCGTTGCCCAGCCACGTCATCTCACCACCCCAGTAGACCGACTCCTCGGCCTCCCACGTGTCCGCGCGGCCCCCGGCGAAGCCGAAGGTCTTGAGGCCCATGGACTCGAGCGCGACGTTGCCCGTGAGAAGCAGCAGGTCGGCCCACGAGATCTTGTTGCCGTACTTCTGCTTGATGGGCCACAGCAGGCGGCGGGCCTTGTCGAGGCTCACGTTGTCGGGCCAGCTGTTGAGCGGGGCGAAGCGTTGCTGGCCCTGGCCGCCGCCGCCGCGGCCGTCGAAGACGCGGTAGGTGCCGGCGCTGTGCCAGGCCATGCGGATGAAGAGCCCGCCGTAGTGGCCGAAGTCGGCGGGCCACCAGTCCTGCGAGTCGGTCATCAGCGCGGTCAGGTCCTTCTTGAGGCCGTCGTAGTCGAGGCTCTTGAAGGCGGCGGCATAGTCGAAGTCGGCGTCCAGCGGGTTGGTGACGGCCGTGTGCTGGCGCAGGATGTTGAGCCGCAGCTGCTCGGGCCACCAGTCGCGGTTCCTGGTGCCGCCACCGGCGATGTTGCTTTTGACCGGGCACTTGCTCTCCGCGTCTGCCATGGTGTCTGCCTGCTCTGAGTTTGTGCTGTGTGCTGTGTGTTATGTTTTTCGTGTGGTATACCTATATGTTCGTGTGTACCTGACCGTGTGGTGCCTGTGCAAACAACAAGACTGCCAACAAGACGACAACAGCTATACGTACTGTTTATAACTTTACGAGATGGGCCCGAGTGCTATAACTAGAGGCGGGGGCGAAGAGCGTGGCGAGGAAAGGAGGGTCATCACCGGCCGACGACCCCGCACTTTATATTCGCTGCCGTCGTATCAGCATCTGCAGTCATCTTCTGACCACTAAGCCGGCTTGAGCAGCTCGGCAGCCACGGGCCTTTGGGGGTTGCATAAGGTAGGTCATCAACCAGCCACGCTGACTGTCGTGTGTTCCTGCACTCTGTACCCCATACATACCATTGTGGCCCGCGTGGGGGTGCTACCATTATTAGCAGCTGTCGCACTGGGACACATTCCTAGAACACTAAGGTTGTTACTTAAAGGTACCTTATTATCAAATATTGTTAAATATACGGATGTCAACTAAATAAATAAATTAACAATGTTGTTTTATTATAAAACTATCGGTATATGTTGCTTGATTTATAATAAAATATAATTATCAAGTCGTATATTAACACGTTATTATTTACATAATACAACTTATATTACTATAAAATCTCTTCGTTTTAAGCGAAAAAAAACAGTTATTATACTGTATTTGTTTTCGTAAAAAATACAGTTATTGATTAGAAAGGTAACTATCGGTGCGTATAATCGCTTATATATTTAATTTATAAAAAACCGTTTTTATATATTAACGCCGCGTTTTAATCGCTTAACTGTTCAATTATATAATTTACTTATTTAACTAATCATTTTAATATTTATTATATTTATTGCTTAATTTCCACTGGTTTTATATGTTTTCTAATATTATTCGCGTGAATTAAATAATTAATATCGTCTTTTATAAACTAAGTTAGTCTTTTTAATAGTTCTTTATTTCTAATTCTTTATCTCGGTTTATACTATTTATTATAAATATTATATATTAGATTATATTGAACTTTTTAAAAAATCATAATAAGTTGTATAAAGAGTCTTTTTATCTATACTTTACTACGTAACTGTGAAGTTCAGGGGCTCAGATAGGGTCAGGATGGGATGGATCAGGTTCAGTGTCTTAGTTATGGATCCATGGGGGATATTCCCACCTAAATACAGCTGTGGGAGCCCTTTGATATCCGGCTGTCTGACAGCAGACAACAGACCTGGACCTTTCACCCCTTTCAGCCTGCTGCCAGCTGCAGCGCACACCTGATAGGCACCAACTGTTCTCACAGTAACCTTATTTACACCTTACTTTAATTAATCAACCGCTACTACTTGCTACCGCTCAACATTAAACCTTATTTACATTATATTTTATAGTTATAACCAGTAATTAATTCTCTTATCTTGTTATATTCTATTAAATTCTCTTGATAATAATGTTATATTTATATTATATTACCTTCGTTCCGCTTTTATATGTCTTATATTGATTGGCTTTGTTTTAAACCTTTCAATTTCGTAATTACTACATTCGAAATTATTCGTATTAACATGAATAATAATCAAAAAACGTCGAACATAATATCGACAATATAAGTACCTTATTACTTTTACTTTCAATCGTAACCATTATTGTGAATATATTTAATTACTATTACTGTATAAAACAACCTTCGACGATTTTAACTTTATTTTGAACATTTCCGCGAAAACGTAGATTTTGATATTACAAAAAAATCCAATATAAACTGAAAAGCGGTAAAAATAACCATAAATTATTTACTCGTATTAACCTTACGCATAATTAAATAGCCGCTACGTATTCAAAAGCTTAGAACTTTGCGATATTATTGTTAAAACATATCGACTGCTTCTAAAAGGCTAGAGCTTATCGTAATATAATAATTATGAATTTATACGGGAAAAAAAGTAAAAAAGTCTTCTACTTACGGCTCTATTGTATACCTAAAAACCTATTCGAAAAAGGTTATTTACATAAAATATTCTTTTATGATCCTAAAAATTAACAATTAACAATGTTTTGCGGTTACGAGAACTTTACCGTGATATTATTTAAAAATTAAAAGTTAATTAATAAGTTAATATAAAAAACACAAAAAAAACCAATAAAAACCAGAAAGGACGACGGAACGAAAAGAAAAAAGAAGCGAGTAGATCTAGCATATAATAAAAAGCAAGAATAAGAAATAAGAAATGAAAAGATATTAAGAAATATAAAAAGCTATGAAGAGGTATAAACAATAAAGGTATTAAAATGAAGGAGGGGTATACATATAAATGAACTTAAAGCGATATGTAGATTTAATATAACCCGAGTTTTAGTTATAAACTAAAAAGGTAAAAAGCAAGTTAGTTATATATATTAAAAGTAATCTTTGTAAGATATTGAAATGTTAATATGTTTATTTCATGGTTTTTTCTAAATCTATGAAGTCTTTTTCTGGAATTCAAAGATATCTGTTTAGAATAATAACGTTTTGATAACCTTTAAACTTAAACTACGTATTTAAATAACATTTTGAATACGTTGTTTTTAATTTTAAACATTTAAAAGTTACAACGTTTTGGAGTATATTCTATGATTAAGATAAAATATACTAAGCTTCCGATAAAATCAGCCTGGGCTTTATCTTTTCGTATTGTATGATTTCGTGAATATATATTAAGCGCCTTTAGGGTTTCTTTAATAGCACTTTGGTAATTTAAACTCGAATATATATGATATAAAGAATTCAAATCAATTTAAAAAGGTTCAAATCAATCTTTATTATCGTTTTGATTGTTAAACTTAGCCTTTTCATATTAAAGTAATAAAGGCGCCGGTATTAAAATACTAGCTTCGTTTTCAGCTTTTTTTGTACGGCAAATACTTTTTTTAACGAAGCTCTTAAATATCATTCTTATTAACTTATTAACTTTACCGTTTCTTAACCCGTCATACTATCATGTATTATCTTTCAAAAAGATTATATTATTAGTTTTAAGTTATCCCAACTTCGATATTAAACAATTCCGCTTAAAAACGATAAAGATTTTTAAATTCATAGGATCGGGATTTACAAGGTTGTTCTTAAAAAACTGACTTCTTTTAAAAGATGTTTAAAAAAAATCCTTATATAAGCCGTAATCAAACTTTACAGTATCATTCTTTTTATGAAAGCTAACGAAGCTTTATTTAACGACGGTTATTTTATTTATAGAAACTCATTTAACAGTTATATAAATCACATAGTTTCGTTTATAATTGTTTGGTACGATGTTCAAGATTATATCGGTTTCCTCTTTAATCGTAACTGGTAAACTTATAATGGAATTTTTTTAACTTTTATTAAATTAAAATATAGGATATATTGAATAGAAGTGTAATTATGCATATTCCAACGTTTAGAAAATCAGCACTTTTCAACGAAATTAAGTGCATTATAATATTTTCGTTGGCGTACAATTATACGTTTCATATTAAAAAGGCGGCCTTTTTAGCTTTAACGCTTTTCTTCAAACTTTTTTGGTTAAACTGATTAATTTTAACGTTCTTTTATCGTTATAAACGTAACAAAATCGAGAAAGCTTTAAGCATTGATACTACGTAAGATTATTCTACTATTATAACTTTTAAAGAGCTTAAAAAGCCTAAAAAGCTTTCATTAATAATAACAATTCTTTCGTATTTTATGCCCGTACTTTTTACGGATTTTAATTTAAATAGAACATGACTTTTAAGTACAATTTTATAATTATACTTATTTAATTAATGATAATAATTATTAATTATAGTATTAGTCTTATTAATTATGTTATGAACTAAAATAACTATAGCGAATATATTCTTATTTATCATAACTTAAACATTTAAAGCATTTTATTCTATTCTATTCAAAGACTTGCCGGGACCTGACACGGTTACTTTAACCTTTATAATCACCGCAGCTACCGCACCCTCGACTATTACGGTTTTTTCGGCCGTTACTTTCATAAATATTACCGTTATTATTATTATTATTATTATTATTATTATTATTATTATTATTATTATTATTACCGTTATTATTATTATTATTATTATTATTATTATTATTATTATTATTATTATTATTATTATTATTATTATTATTATTATTATTATTATTATTATTATTATTATTATTATTATTATTATTATTATTATTATTATTATTATTATTATTATTATTATTATTATTATTATTATTATTATTATTATTATTATTATTATTATTATTATTATTATTATTATTATTATTATTATTATTATTATTTAAAGCTTAACTTAAGGCTGAAATCTTTCATCTACTAAGTCATTTTACGGATGTAATATTCTATTTTATAAAGGAATTTCTCGCACGTCAAATTAATAAGTTCTTTTTATAACTCTTTTTATTATATTACGCTAGTATGGCTGTACGTTGTATTAAACCTTTTAAACATTTTGAAGCCGTTGTAAAGTCTAAGTATTAGCTTTATTAATTTAAGCTAATACGTTTTAATAATACCGTTTACGAAATAAACTTGTTTACATTTTATAAGCTTTATTATGCTTTTTATCCGCTATTATATAAGGCGAAACAAGCGCTTATTTGTAGCGGTCTTAAATAAAAAGATTTTTAAGGTACGTCTTAAAGTAAGATTTAAAGTTAAATCAGTTTTATTTAACTTTTATCTCAGTTTCTCAAAGGTTTTTTTTAAACGCGATGATTTGCGTTTTTTTTTTCGACGGCGATATCGCCGAAAGGTTTATATTAATTTCGTTTAACAATCACGAAACGGTAAAGGATAAGAATAACGATAAAGAGTGATTTAAAAGATTAACTGTGGTCTGATTTTTTTTCGTAGTAAAGTTTAAAACCCGGATTGGTTTTAATTTGCGTTTTTACGGTTGGAAAATCTTACATTTTAAAAACCTACTAAAGCATTTTTTTCAACTTTTCTTTTCACGACAGGGAGAATAATATTAAGAAGCGTTTTGCTCTTAACTTTACGTTATAATCCAATAGCTGAAAGGCTTATAATAACCTTTTTAAAGCTTAAAGTTATAAATATAATAATGGCTATACGTACTATTGATAGCGGTACATTTGCTACCTTGGTATTATATAGTTAGCACGTAATTACCCGCACAACAAGTTATTCCGAGACTACTAAGTACTTAAATTATAAGGCGAGTACATACCCTCTTTAATTTTAATCACGGCAGTTGATTTTGTTTTAAATAAAATATAATTATACGTATATATTTAATATAAGGCTTTCACGTCTTAATTATATAAATATATATATAATACAATCATCTTTCATTTCTTAATTACAGTTTAAAAAATATTAAATTCTATAGAAAATCAATAAATCCGAACGATGTTTAATACGATATAGGGTATTTTATAAAACGAGTTTTATAAAGAACTTGATAGAAATATTTCGATTTAAACCCTCCTTGCCGTATTATTAAAAATAATATTCAATTAAAAAAACCGCCTCTTTTTAAAAGAGCTTGAATTAGAAATACAATTTGTCAATAATAACTATTTTCGTAATTTATTAAGTGTCCACACAGAATGCTTTTAAATTATCCTAAATAACGTATACGCGGCTATAAAAAAGTTACACTATGATAAGAAATAATTCATTTCTGATTATAATATTCTTTTTAAATAAGCTTCAAACCAGGACTGTAAACATTATCGTTAGCGTTCAATTTCAAAAGAATCATGGAAGATATTCATTTATAAGTCGAAAGATATGTTATGTCGTCTTCTTTAAAAAAAGAAATAAAAACTTCTTATATTTTTCGTTTGTATATTTACTAGAATTAGTAAGAACTCGGCGGTTTTACGTCTTATTATACCATTTTAAGATTTTAAAAAGTATTAAATAAAACACTTCAAATTTTATTCTTCAAACTAAAAATTCGCTTCTTTATTAATTTTTTAAAACTTCATGAAAAAACACAGAATAATTTTAAATACTTCAAACACTAAATTAATTCTCGTTTATATCGACGTATTTGCTTTTGCCGGAAAGGTAAAGAAGACTGATTAAAAGCTTAATAAAATTAATCAAAAAGTCGCAACTTTAACATTCAATGTTATTAATAAACATTGATAAGGTTATTATTCACTTAAAGATTTATATCGTTAAAACTGAGAAACTTGTTATTAACGTTATATTAAAAGGTAATATTTAATACATCAAAATAGTTAATGGAAGTAATAATGATTAAATTTTTTAAAAAACATAGTTGTTAATCTGATTGAAAAGAATTTACCCTCGTATCGACTCATTTAAATATTATTATTACTCATACGCTGACCCGCCGTATGGACATCTCGGAGAGTCGTCCGGCATGCAGACCTCCTACGATCTATCTCCGTGTGATAAAATCCCACAGGGGATAAAAACCCACACGCTACGGTCTAGTTCTAGCTTTGTTATGGCGCCGCCGCGGTTTGCTACAGTTGTATGTCATGACCTTTACCGCCTTGACTAACCTGATAGGGCGCGCATCCCTTGGCCCCTGAGACCTCTTCCCCCTTGTGATATTCCCCCTCCCCCTCGTGATATCCCTATTACCATATCCCCCCTCCTTCTCCATTCTATCTGGTACTGCTCTATATCCTCTGCGGTCCGGCTCTTTGGCGCCTGTTGGGCCACCTTGCTACTGCTTAGCTTCCTTGCTAGTGAGAACATCCCCAGTAGCCCTAGTCTCAAAAATCACTGTATAAATTTCGGGGTCTCGTCCGGATCTGATAGCAAGCTCTCGAAGTCTCTCCTTGACCGCAACGTTCTCGTCTCGAGAGAGGCTTACAGTCTGCCTCTTTGGGCCGCGTATAGAGGGCATCGAACCGTCAAGTGGTATGCCGTCTCCTTCTCGCCGCAGTCGCAACGTGGTATAGCCTCTCCTGGCACTCTCCTCTGGAACAGGAAAGCCCTCAAGCCAATGGTCTCTGTCCGGACCTGGCATAGGGCAGACGCCTCGTGTTTCCGCAGTCCGTAGCAATACTGCGGGACCGCCCCTACGAGCTCCTATGGGAAATCTCCTTAAGCTGCCGGCGACCTCACAGCAATTCCCGTCTGGCTGGCTCTTGCGATGGCAACTATCCATCGACTCCTCCACAACCTCTCCAGTGCCTGCTCCGGGTGATCTTGGCCCAGCCACTTTAGGATCGCCTCCTTCCGGTCTGTTGGGTTATCCTTCTGCGGGGACGCTGTTGTGTAGGGCGACCGCTGAGGCCGACCTCTCCCCTGCCTGCCGCCTTGCGCGGGTCTCCTTGTGGCTTCTATTACCGCCAACCTTGCGTCTCTCGCCCTCTCTGCCACCTTTGTTGTTTCGGCAATAACGTGTCTACCGGCCTCTCCGTATATTCGACCTTCAAACGCCGCCACCCTTATATATAGGTATGCGTCCAGCGGGGGACAACCGGTCTCTGTCTCTAGCAAATGTCGCAATGTGGCTTTAAAGGCCCCTGCCACCACCCTTAAACACGCCGCTTGCGTGGTGAGCATCTTCTTTGCTAGCCCTCGGGCCTGGTTGCCCTCCGATGGCGTATGCCACGCCGTCGCGCCAAAGGCAATGGCGCTTCGTACCACTTTAGTGTATACCTCCCGGGCTCGCGCTGCGCTACATCCCCACGTGGAGGCCGCTATCCTGGTGAGGCCGAAGATCTGGCGTTCCATCTTCGCCTTTATCTCTTTTAGGTGCCTGTTCCACTGCAACTTTCTGTCTAGGTATACTCCAAGGAACCTAGCTGACAGTACCGGCTTTACCAGGACCATCCCGTTTCGGACCGGATCCAGGATTTCTTCCTGCTGCCGCGTAAAATGTATAACCTCGCTTTTTTTTGCGTTGAACTGCATTCCGTGGCGAACCGACCACCTCTCGCATACCTGGTATGCCTCTTTAAGGACTTCGCAATTCCTCTTGGCGTCCGGGTGGACCGCCAGCATGTTGGTATCATCAGCAAAGCCCACTACCATCATGGGCAAGCCTGCTGCTTCAAGCTCTTCATACAGTGTGGCAACATATAACAGGAAGATGGTGGGGGACGCTGGGGACCCCTGGGGGACTCCAGCACTCAACTCTCAGACTGCTGACTCTTTTCCATTAAAAAGGAGCTTAACTGACTGTCTATTAGTATAGCTTTTCATCTATCTGATAATCCACATGGGGTATCCCTTCTTCCACAGAATGTGGCGGAGCCGCGTAAAGACGACGGCATCAAAGGCCCCCGTGATGTCCAGCTGCATCAGCGTGGCTACTGCGCCATAGCTCCATCCTGTATGGACTGCTTTGACTACCATGCGGATCGCATGTTCTGTTGACCTGCCCTTACGGTTCCCCATTTGGCCCTTGGGAAGGAGCCCGTGTGTCTCCGTTGCCTCCATCATACGGTTACCGATAACCTTTTCTATGACTTTCCCCATGCAGCTAAGAAGCGCGATAGGCCGATAGGCCCCTAAAAGGGTCTTCTCTTCTGGTGTCTTTCCGGCTTTCGGTAATACCATTATTGATGCCATTTTGAACTGCTTCGGCCACTCACCCAGAACGAACGAGTATTCCACGACCTCCGTCAGGGCCACTCTCAGCGGTTTGCCGCACGCTTTAAGGAATCCTGCTGACAGAAAGTCCCAGCCTGGGGCCTTCCAGGGCTTTATTAAGTCAAGAACTGCCTTAATGTCCGTTTCGTCTACCTTCCTGTTTATGGCAAACTTCCCTTTAAAGGGGTCTAGTCTGGTGTCGAAATCTTCCGGAATATCGGACAAGTCCGCTATTGGGGAAGGGAAGAATTTCCCTGATAGGATATCTACCTGCTCGTCGAACTTAGATGTCAGGCCTCCCATTGAGCCGGGTTTCCTTAAGGGCGGGAGCGTTCCCGCCTCTCGTGGTTTGAACCCGTGTAGCCGTGCCGCCCTTTCAAGGTCCCAAAGCTTCTTATTATCTTTGGACGCTGCTGCTGTGAGGTGACGCCATGTTTTTGTCTGGGCTTTACTGATGGTCTGTTTCTGCACCCGCCTCGCCTTTGCTAGGCCTTCAAAGTCTCGATCCGACCGGGAGGATTGGTGACGTTTTCTTGCCGCTTTCGTATGTGCCATTGCGCGACCGACGTCCTCGTTCCACCACTTCTGTTCGAACCCGGAATTAGGCCCTTTTTTCCTTGTGGAGGCGTCTGCAATGCCTTGGAGCTGCTTAAGCAGCTTGTCGATATACTCTTCCAGATCCTTGATAGATCCGGCTCCCCCTGGAGGCACAATCTTCAAGCCTTTGACTTGGACCGTTGTTTTGTCCATTGTTTTCCACGACCAATCTGGCGGGGCCGCGTTTCGTTTCGGTGTCTCGGTGTGAATTCGTACCATCTGTGGCAGGTGGTCTGAGCCCTCCCACTCCAGTGGGATCTCCAGCTCTGCCCTCAGGAGTGGGTGGGCCCAGATGAGGTCTATCGTGGAGTCCCTCTGATCATGCCCCATCCTTGTGGTCATTCCCCTTGGTGTCATTAGTTCTAGGTTCATCGTTTGAACAAGCATTAAAAGTTCCTCGGTCTCTGCACCTAGCGTGGTTCTTCTGTGTGTATCCCATATCGGGTGGTAGAGGTTAATATCGCCTGCTAAGACAACCCTGCCCTCCCACCTCTTGTTAGCAATCGCTTGGAATGGGGGTGCGCGGTTCCCGCTCGATACCGGCTCATTATATAGCGATATAATATTCAAGACACCTTTCTGCAAGCGGAACGTGACCGCTGCCCAATTGTGCCCTGCGCGTGCCTGCCATGCCTCCGGGGCGAACTTCTTATTGATATACAGCATCGCCCTGCCATGCCCCGAGTAGATCGGTATGTACTTGCAGCTGGCCGGGCAGTGAATGGCATTCTCAGGGCCAATCCATGGCTCCTGGATTGCCATCACGTCCGCCGGTCCCTTTATCCCGTCCTTATCCTCCCCACCCCGGATTGCTAAGGCTACGTTCTGTTTCAAAGCTCCTGTGTTCCACTATGCCAGGTGTACCGGCATTAAAGGACCGGGTGCTCGGGTGTGTCAATGCTGTTACTTTCGGCCCTATCCTAGGTGCTTGAGATATCGATTGTCAGGATGTGTGACAGTCCGTTTGGTGCTGCCTTTCTTGCCGCCGAAGTGAAGGAGATTCTGGTTTGCAAGGCACTGACGTGTATTGGCCGGCCTCTTTTCGGTGTACTTCCGTTCGTGTGATGGTGGCCGCCCTGCTTCCTTTTCTGGACCACCGTGAAGCCGTCCGCTCCTGTCCGGGGCGGCGCTGGGTCTTTCTGGATCTCGAATTGCCGGGGTCGGTATTTGTATGCCTCCTGAGCCGCCTCCTCTCTCTCCCTGTACACGCGGCACCTTTTATCCCACGTCATATGGTTCCCTGCACAGTTCCTGCACTTAACTCTCTTCCGGTCGGTGTTTAAAGGGCAGTTAAGTTCCCCTCCTTTGTGTGGTGCTCTGGCACACCTGCCACACCTCAGTTTATTTTGGTAGTATTTTGCTGGGTGTCCAAAGTCGTGGCACTTGTAATATTGTTCGACTTGGACGTTCTTTGTGAACGGCGCATAAGAGTAGATTGCCGCTTTCTATACCAGCTCTTGCTCGTATAGCTTTTGGGCCTCCGTTATGTCATTCACCCGTAGCACTAATGTTGCGTGTCGGTGCTCCGGGTTTCTTGGGAAGATGGGGTGCATTTTCCCAATCTTTGGTGCATACTGCTGTATCTCTTTTAGAAGCTCTTCCAGCTTTGTGTGAGCCTCCCGCAAAATGCGGTGCGGAAGACCTTTCGCTATCACTGTGAATTCACGGCTCGACTGTTCTGCCGTTGCCCCAAAGGCCACTCTAATCCACGCTGCTGTCCCCTCCTTGTACTTGTTTGCCATATTAAGGAACGTAACCGCGACGTCCCCGCTGGGAAGTCGGCGGGCTGCTACCGCTTCCTGTACGCCAATCGCCATGTTCACCGCTTGTACCGTTTCGATGGCCGTCCTCTTCGTCATCTCTGGGATGCTTCCAGAGTTTCGAATGATGACCTCCCGCTGGATCCGCCCCGGCACGAATACTTTTGGCGTGTTTATCGCTACGGGTCCGCCTGCCGCGGCTACGTTGGCCCAGGATCGTGGTCCTGTTGTTCCTGGTACTGTTTGGGATGTCTTTGGCATAAAGCACCGAAATGCTGTTTCAATGGACCTGTTGAGTTCGTCTCGCGTGATCGCTTCGGTGTTTCAGTTTCCTGTCGTAATTGTTGCTGTGTTTGTGTTGGCCTCGGTGGCCTTTGGCGCCTCTATGGCTGCATACCTATGGACTATCTGGACGACCTCTTTTAGCGCGCCCTCCTTCACTAGGTTAGCCAAATCTTTCTTTAACGTAGTTTGCTCCTCTGCTTCCCCACGCTGCGCCTCGCTCACTGCCAGTGCAGTTGTGTTGGTCGCGCTTCGTCCGGCGTTGGGATGGTACAAACTCTGCTCGAGCCCCGCCCTTCCCTGATCAATGACCATTGGTTCATCCGCATCACCGTCTTGCGCCATTGCTTGGTGATCTTGAAAACCACGCTGCAAGGTCAATTCGGGAGGTAGGAATGCGAATCTTCAAATTATTTGATGTAATAGTGTGTTGTTGCAGAGTTATCCGTGTCCGTTCAATCTATTCGGTGCGGTTTTTTATAAGGTTGTTTTTAATATTAAATATTACCATTAAAATTGGCACGAAAACTCCTTTTATAGTACTTCGGATTCATTGTTAATATCTAAGCTAAACTTAATTTGAAGGTCCACTTATCAAAATAATGCTTCAAATACTTTAACTTATTATATAATAATTATTGAAAAGCGCGAATATTAACATAAACTAGGATAACTTAACATTTATAAGCTTTTATAATTTATAATGCTAATACTAGCTTTTGCAAAAAAAATTATTTAGCGATTTTTTTATAATACTAAGAAAACTCGACAAAAGCGTTTATATATTCGCACTCGAATAGAAATTAAAATAAAAACCCGTTTGAAAACTAAAAAAAGCAAAATATAAGTCTTGTTTACATGTAAAAATTTAGATATAAGAATATTGGTCTAAAAATTATATCCCGAACATACAATATTAATAACGCTAGCAATGGTTTAAAAGCAATTATTTATAATATTAACATTTACATTTGGCTTAATTATATTTTAAAGGTAAAAAAACGTTACGATAATCTTGATTTCGATTAGATACCCTACTTAAAAAAATGGTTTATAATAATCTAGATAAATTTCTTTACACTAATATCCAAAATTATTATTTATGTATCTTTCTTACGGTAATTACTAGGAAACGAAAAGAGATATTAGTTTTTAATAAATCTTTTTATAATCGATACTTCTATTAATAATAATCCTATTATCATTGAAGCTTTTATATCTAATATTCTTACCGTTAATAACGGTATTACGTCTAATATGACAATTAATAACCCGTTTATAACTAACGGCGCTACTTTAATAACTAATAGAATAACATCAAAGAAAGTAGCTTTTAATAAAGCCTTATTTATAACTTTAACGCCTTATGAGCCGTTTATTACTGTATGGATTATTATTAAGCGTATTACCCCGCTTTTTGGTATTTATAATTATAAGGTATTATTTAGTTTCTCGAGGGTATAAAAAAAGTACCGCTTACCCGCAATAATAGCGCTTTATTTACTTAGTTTTGAAGCAACTTTCTTTACTTTATTTTATCGTTATGCGATAATAAAAGGCTTTATATTAACCTTATTTACTTTGCTAAACGTATTAATGAAGCTGTCGGAGTGCTAGTTAAATTCGAAACGGATTGTGTATTTTAATTTTCATAAATACGAACCTTGCTAATATTTAGTAAACCCTTCTTTGCTTAGCCGAATGTTTATTATATAAACATTATAATAAAAAGTATCGATAGTATAAAAAGAATAAAATGTTAAATGTTAAAAACCAAAGGAAATATCAAATGCTTGAATATAAACAGGTTGATGGTGACTTTCAAAACTAAGTGGATAAAAACTCCGGCGAATACGATAAAGATTAGTTGAGGTGTAATAAATTAAGACGTTAAGAAAGCTTCGTATTTTTTCCCAATAAACTAAGAATTTTTAAATATGCCTTTTCTGCCGAAAAGCGTAACTTTCAAAGCAAGATTACATATATACCGATAAAATGGACAGAAAAAAAGTGTATTGTTTAAATAAAAAAAGTATAATCAAGTAACTTGAAGTATTTGAAAAATAAAGATAAAAGAAGGTTATTTTCAAGGGAATCAAGTTTTATTCTAACCCATCAAGGTAATTTTTTTCGTTTAAAGGCTTTTTAATTATATATTGATATAAAAGTTAAGCTCATACGATTATGGTTTATTTTTATATATGGTAATTTGAAACAATTAGTTTCTTTTTATTAAATAGTAACATTGATCATTTAGTTCTAAGTAAGTGCGTATATTTAGAGTTAAATAAATCATAAAGCTACAAAGCTAGGTTTTTTTTAGTTTAAGGCATAGTTATTATGTCTGCTTTTTAAGTATTATATAACGTTTCAAAAGTTTATCAATATGAATATTACGAAGGACTTGATATCTTAACAGGTTTTGAATAACAAGGTTCAATAATATAAAAGTTATTACGATAATAAGTAGTAAAAATTTTTTTATTTTTATAGATTCAACTTTATTTTTATCAATTAATTCAATAGTTAAAAAAGATATGTTTTGTTGAATATATCTTAGTTTAAACTCTGTATAGCATTCAAGTATTACTTTATTGCTCAATGGAATATATCTTAGTCTAAATTATGTATAGCGTTTAACTATTACTTTATTGCTTAATGAAATATAATAAATATATATTGTTACCGCCTTGTTATTTAATGAAATATTTTATACGTGTGATGGTGTACAGCTGTATCCACCTGGCTGGATGCTGAGTCCTCAGGTCACGTGTAGATTAGATAAGGAAGGAACGGGACCACCACTTAAGGTGCGTGCTGCGCACACCACCTTGCTGGCTTCCTTTTCCTTCCTCACCTTTTTATTTTCGTAATCAATCCCAGATTGCAACACACCGCTGCAGGCATCGTGACAATACGGATGTTATTATTCGTTCAATATGTAATTAAGTAATAAGTAAGTTGTATTGGTTTGTAAGCGGGTATTAAACTATTTGAGTAAATGAGATGGTACATGTTTTAATATTTGTCTAAGGGCTAAATTAGTATAATTTACTTATTGTTTAATAAAGTATTTTTAAGTTTTGATATTATTAAGATAATATTAAATTAAGTATTGAACTAGAAGACACTATGCCGTATATATAAGTATTAAATAACTGAACAATATTATCTGTAATTAATATCAATATACCGTCATTATTTTATAAAATGAGAATTTAAAATATACCGACATCAAAATAATGGTGAAAATAGTTAATATTAAGTTTACACCGATAAAATTAAGCATCTTTTTTATCTTTCCGAGAAAGCTAATAATACCAAGTATTTTCCTTTCCAAGCTTATTACAAAGGTAAAAGAAGGGCGAAGAAATAGCTTAACCTTTTAATAAGTATTAAGAACGGCAGTTAGGCCTTAGAAATATTACATCGTACATATATATTTTTATAAAAGTTTTAAAAAGTTTTCATTTAAAAGAAACTACTTCACTTTTAATATAATAATAATTATCTGATTGTATATATTATAGCTTACCGTAATAAATACGCGGTTGTATTAATCATGGCGTTAGATAAACTAGATAATCAGAGTCAATACTTACATTATTGAAAGAAAAATTGACGTATCAAAGATTAAATATAAATATGTTCAATTAAGTTTATATCAAAATCTTAAAAGCTTGATTTTAGGTTAATTATAAATAGTTTGAAAGAATAGTTTTACGATTATATTAGTAAAAAGTTAATGTAAGAGAAAAACGAGGTAATGGTAACGCCATTTAATAATGTAGCAGCTTTTGAAATTTTCAAAAAACAAGTGGGTTATAATAATTGCTTTTAAAAGTTCGATCGAACAATGAACGACAAGTTTAAATATGATAAATCAAAAAAGGCTATGTTTATTATAAATAGAGTAAATACAGCTATAAAGAAGGTGATTATTTAATTTAGAAAAACTAACGTTACGAATAAATTTAAACCTGAGATCATTTTAAACCAGTATAAAAAAGTATTATAATAGCCACGAACAAAAAAAAGATTTTTCTAAAGCTCGAGCGCTTTAAAGTCGTTTTAATAACAAGCTAATATGCTGCTTTTACAAGAGTTTTTTTAATTACTAGTCGTAATATATTAAAAAGTTTGTAACCAGGTTATTAGAGCGTTATGAAAGTGTTCTAATATTTTCAAAAAGCTTATTTAAGTCAAAAAGGGGTCTTTTCAAAACGTTTAACGTTAAAAGGTGCCGTTTTAAAGAATTATAAATCGGATTAAGGTATGTTTATACGCCGAATCGAGATTAAAATATAATCATAGATTAATTCAAATATTATGATGTTTTTAATTAGTTATAAAGTAGTAGGTTGTTTTACGTTTTAACCGCTTTTAAGGAGAGAATGGCTAGCTTATTATATAATACAAAAAGTTACTTTTCGCGCTTCAAAGGTTAATAATAAAAATCGAAGTTTAAACTTAAACTTATTTCAATCTTTTTTACGTTTATAATGTCAACAGCAATATTATTGACGCGTTATTATTATAAAATGATAAAATGAACGTATATATTATAAATATTTTAAAACCTTTATTTTAAAGTCTATTGTAAACTTAAGGTTTTGCTTCTTTTAGTTAAAATAAGAAGTAATGTAACATTTATATTGAAAGTTAGCATAGTTAAGTACAAAGTAATATTGTTAAAAGGAAAAGTTAAAAAGCTTAACCCATTTTACAGGTTAAATATATCAAAGTTCCCGACTGAGATATAATTTTAAAAAAATCTAATTAAAACGGCGGCTATTTAAATAATAACTTGTTAAAATTTTACAGTAAGGGCGATTGTTATTATAAACTAAACGTCATATAATAAAAATTTTTGGTTGGACGAAAAGTTAAAGTTTGATTTAAACCAATTTTGAAAGAAGTACCCGTTGGAGGGTGACGGTAAAATTAAAATACTTTTAAAAATGTGTTGTGATTTAATT